GACCCGGCAGTACCACGTCGTAGTGGACATCCTAGCTGGCTAGCTTGGCTTAGGGTCGGTTTCTTGAGCGGCGGTAATGGTAGTAGTACATGATTAAAAAGGTAGACGACCCCATTGGCGACACATCCGAACGAGGACTGACCTCACGAACTGCTGTTGTTACTATTATTGCAGTTTATAGTTGTTTGTTTGGTTATTTGTTTGTCGTTGCTAGGTTTATAAGAAACTATATCAAAATACCTAAGTACCTCACTTTTTTTTCTTGGGTACTGATATTCTCGACCTTCCAACTGGATCTACCTCTCAATCTTATAGAGAAAAAAAAAGGACAAAAGGGAAAGTGAGGGGCAGCAAGAACCTTACCTTCTAAGTTAAGACTTTTGTACCTTATTCTTATGGTTTTACCTCACACAGGAAATTACAGACCAACAAGCAGTTTCCTCAGATTTACGAGCAAAGAAAAGGGAAACTACGTCTTCAAATTGTCCTAGGTATAACATCAAAGTACGTACTATGTTCCTGTCTTTCCTACATCTCTTACCTTCACTAAGGTTAACTCAATTTTCTTTAATGTTGGAATAATCCAAAATCCTTCCCCCCCACTCTAGGAATTTTCTTTACTGACAACACTTTTTTTTTTGTGCCTCCAGTTCAGCTCGTCATAATCCGCTACTATTGGAGCTTTTATCGAATATCGTTTCCGCACATGACCTCCTCCCCAACGTATTTCTTCATCTGGATCGCACAAGTTGGAGGTCAGCTTCGCAGCTGTTAGCGCTATTTCTTTTCCCGCCAATCCGTGGAAGGCTTTCTTTGCGACGGCCCTGTCTAATTAACCAACCAAAACGAAACACAAGGATCGATATTGCAGGACTAAGAGCAGGACTAAAAGCCGATTGGTGATATTTCTGCTGTGTTCTGTAATCCTGTGCCACATTTACTCGGATTGTCGCTTGTGATTGACTGTACATACACGCATACACGATAGCGAGCACAAGGGCTCATTTCGCAGTTCGGACTTCGCATCGATTTTCAGCAACTGGATAAACACCGACGCAGCCGCGGACGCAGACGCAGGAAAAGGACATCCGGACCCAGTGTTGATCAGAGCGGCTTGTCTAGCTGTCCTGTGTCCACTACCTATCGTTTCATCCATGAGATAATACTTTTGACTATTGTACCAAAAGTCCCCTGCTTGGCTGGCTTGGATAGGCGAGAAGTGCCAGGGCAGGACGCAGGACGCGGGACGCGCGTGGGAGAGAGATTGGGATATTTGGGGGTCACCTTTGCTGGTACAGGTTGCAGTACAGGTTGCCTGTTACTGGCTGTCACTGGCCGCTGTTGGAAATCGAATCGAACAACCCCGCTGTGTGACGCTCCACAGACCTCTGCGACCTCTTGTTGTGTTGGAGAAACGTCATGACGTCTATAGTAAGTACATTGTTACTCTCTCTTCTTTTCAACATTCTATATACCCTGTACTTTTTTTATATTTTATTTTTATTTTATAGTTTTCCCAACTCTGCATTATACCTTACTATGTTTTATGTCTCATCAGCCTAACTGCACGACTATGAAAGCTCAGAGTCGCGTCACGCGTCTTATCTTACTTATTTTTCACTCTTTCATATTTCTTGTCCACCGATTTCAACTTTTGTGCACCCAGAGGGCCAGATATAGCCCATCCACACTGGCCTGACCTGCATACCTTGGCTTCTCGGGACCGCTCTGATTTATTTCTTTGGATATTTGTGTTCCACACCTTTTACTTCTACCACACATCTTCCCATCTTTTAATGTCCTGATCGAATTTCTTCACCGCCTCCTCGTCCGTCCAGACCACCCCGGAAGCCTCGTGTCCCCCCACACTATCGTCTCGTCAGCCCCCTTAGCCCCGGGCCTTACTTGCTTTAAATGCTTATGTTAGACGGTCCCCCTATTCCCATCACGACGGCACGGAGCGAAGCGATGTTGCGCTACGCCCCAGGTCAGCCAAGTATCGAGTTTGATTGGTACCGGTGCCATGATTGTCGCAGATGCCCAAGTTGCCAGCTTGGAATTTGGACTTAGCCCTTGCGCGACAGTGACGTTTTGGCTCTCCAAGCGTAGTCCCTCAAAATTCCTAACTCCTTCCTATTTATCTTTTAATACTTACTCATCTCCCACCCTCCCTTGACCCCAAACCAACTCCTGTCAAATTTGACCCCCACTTCCTATTCAGCTTTATTACTGTTTGCTTGAACTCTGTGACTACTTCAATATCTTTGTGATCTTTTCTTGAGATGCTCCTTTAGCACGTGCATTTCACCAAGTTCATCCTCTGCAATATTGCGCTCAAACATGACTGTTTCTCCGAAGCCAGCAATATTGCCTCTGCTAACCCACATCCAGTTATGTCTGGCGCATTACTGCGACCTACATGGTCCGACACCTCTTATGGTCACCGAAGGCCTACCTGTACCATGCAGACAATGTTGTGATGATAATACTGAGCCAACCCGACCGCAAACCAGTGCTGCAGGTCATGGTCAACAGACAACTGTTGCTGATACTTTACGAAAGATGACGCTTGGATCCCCACGTAGCTCATCTACCCCCGTGACTGATCAAGAAGCCCAGTCGCATCGCGCATCGATACTTCGAGCGTCAAAGTTAGGTCCTAGTACTACAGTCCAGACTGTTACGCCGACACCTCTCACCACAGCCTCAACCGTTCAGACACCACCGCAGAGTCCCCGACATGCTCCAGAAAATTTCCCTGAGATGAATGGCAAAGGGGGTTTACGGCGCGACTCAAGTTTTCGTCGAACCTATGATGATTACGTTACAAAACGAGCGAACCCATGTGACAACTGCGCTCTGACTCTTCCTAAGCGGCAAAACTCGAAAACTGGAAAGGGGGAGAAAGCAAGTACTACAACAGATTCTAAATCCGATCAACGTGGTCCTGTATTGCGCACGCGCGCCCCTTACGCACGCGTCTATGGAGGTAGCAGCGAGTTTAGCCCGCCAAACTCAAATCCGCATTCCTCGTATACTTCTGATGCCGAGGAGGATATTTTACCCAAAGACAATAGCAAGCATTCAAACTTGCAGCGCCGGCCTACTACCTCAACTTCGCATTCAAGCGTATCGTCCAAATCTAGTGTGACACAACATACACACTACCTAGATTACACATCGACTCATGAGCCAGTAGTCCCTACTACGTACTCCATAGTTCGTGCCTCTTGTCTACGAACGCTCTCCTTTGAAACCCTCCCTCGACGGCCTGAGACGACACAGCATGTTTCATCACTCTCGTCGCCGTTGCCCCCTCAATTTACATCGCCGCCAATGAATCACGGCCCAGGTTACATCACTACAGCACCAAATCCTCAATCTGCTGCTAATGGCGGTCCGATCTTCTTTGGTGATCCTTTAGCAGGTTATACGACCGCATACATATTTCGCATTCCCGATATGCATGCTCGTGGCCGCAAGAGAGTCTATGCGTTTCTGGCGCTTAGTACGCACCGTGAACGTCTCGCCATGAAGACATTTAGCTTTATATCAGCCGCATTCCGTGATTTAGCAAACTGGATTCAAGAACTGGCTGAAGCTGAAGCCGAGAGAGAGCGCGATCGAGAGGAAGCCAGCAGTCCAATTGCAGCAATCAATGCAGCATATAGCCGAGGTGGATTTGGTGGTGATGGCCCGCGTGATAGCGGCATAGGGCTAAACCTTGGAGGCGGGTTCAGCGTAGCGAACCTAGACCGTGATCGCGAAAGAGACAGGACCAACGACTCAAGCAGCTTCCTGACTGGTGGTGGCCGCAGTGGTTTAATGCAACGCATGGGCGGATCTATGGGACCCGGTGGATTTGCACCCAAAGCCCGCGGGCTTGCAGAGCTCGTGGGCCTCCCCGACTTCTTCATAGAGCTGCATTCACGGTTTGTGCAGCTCTTGTTGGAGCTGGGCGTTGTGCTTTCCTCTTGAACCTCACCGGCTTCCAATGATATGACATGAGCAACTGATTTATAGCGATATTCGATTTGCTATTCTGTGAGCGGCTGAAATAACTATACAGTTTAATGTGTCCGAGTGCGGAGGTAAAGACGTAATGACGGAGGATATACCCGAGTTGTTGAGTTGACACTGGATACCCCAGCACGCTTCCTTCGGTTGCAAACCACTCCCTCCGAGATATTGGTTACGGTGACTCTCAACGAACTCCTTGACTTTTATGATACCCACGCTTCAAGTTGAAGTAATTGATCTTGCGCTGGTTTGCGCTTATCCCTTTTTTTAGACCTTTCTTGAGGATGATACCCTTTCTGTATTACTACTTGTCAACTTTATTATTGTTTGCGTTTCCGATATGGTTCTACGCTTGAGGGTATGCCGTTCTTGTTCTGTGGTATGGCATGGCATGGCGTGGCATGTAAAACGGCGTACAAAGAAAAGGTCGGATAATGCATGCGGAAGGAAAACCAAATCCCCTAGAGGACAGGTAGACGGATGAGCTCAGGCGGCTCGGACGAATGATTGGACGATGTTGAGGATGTGGGGGGAAGAACGAGGATGTAATTGACATCAATTGTAATACCATGATACGAAAAGATGATTCTTGAGCGTTACGGGCACTTCTGTGCGTTTTATCGAGCGGGTTAGGGGAGCATTTATAGATAAAGACGGATTACGGTTAGACAAACAAGAGCTACTATTGCAAGGTTAATGAACACGTTTTCGGGCTTCCTGAAACTCCCTACTAAAACTGGTACTGCGAAGGGAAGCACGTAATTAGTTCGTTTAGTCGTATTGCTATGATAGTGTTACACTTAGCCAACTCCATCACGTCACGGCTTCTAGGGGCATCCTCTATATGCACGGGATTCCTATCGCAAGATCAAAGCGTATCCGGCGCAGATAAAGGTGCGGATTCCCGTATTTATTACTCGGCTTCCACTCTCCCAAGAACTTAGGGTAAACCATGTCAAGCTACTAAGCCTTTTCCCCGTCTATTTGTAGAAATCGAACTTATTCTCATCACTTGTTCCTTTGACCTGACTGGAGTAAGCGTCTTCGAGGTCAGACTGGATGATATTGTAACGGTTCTTGCGGACGGCACGGAGACCGGCCTCTTGCATGATGGCAGCAATGACGGCGCCGCTAAGGGGATCGTTGCGGACGATAAGACTATCCAGATCGACTTCGGGGGCGAGGCTCATTTTGCTGGCGATGGTACCGAAGATAAGACGACGCTCACGGCGATCACGCAAGCTGGGGAATTCGATCTTCCGATCGAGACGACCGGGTCGTAGGAGCGCAGGATCTAAGGTATCGGCACGGTTCGTGGCCATAATGACCTTGACGTTGGAAGTCTGATCAAAACCGTCCATTTGGTTGAGCAGCTCTAGCAGGATACGTTGGACCTCACGGTCGGCACCGGTTTGGGCGTCGAAACGCTTGGTGGCGATGGCGTCGATCTCGTCGATGAAGATAATGGCGGGGGAATTCTCGCGGGCCATGCGGAAGACGTCACGGACCATGCGAGGACCCTCACCAAGGTACTTCTGGACGAATTCGGAGCCAACGACTCGGATAAAGTTAGCCGTTGTGGAGTTCGCGACAGCCTTGACAAGCATCGTCTTCCCCGTACCGGGGGGGCCGTAAAGTAGGACACCGCGCGGAGGGTCGATACCGATCTGCTTGTAGAGGTCGAAGTGGGTTAAGGGTAACTCGACGGCTTCGCGAATCTCTTGCTTTTGCATGTCGAGGCCACCGACATCAGCATACGTCACGTCTGGCTTCTCATCGGCACCAAGCATGGCGATAGAGGAATCGGCCTCGGGGGGTAGGATATCGACGAGGGCATTGGAGTGCCGATGAAGGGCGACGGAGGACGAGGGCTTAAGCTTCTCACGGTCGAGAGTAGATAGGATTCGGACGACATAGTTGGATCCTGTGCTAGATTGGACTATTCCGGTACTAGTGGTAATGTAAGACTTTTCTGCCGTGATTTACGTTTGACGATCGAATCCAGATATTGATTGGACTTACTTCTGGTCAATGGCCTCCATAAATTGACCAATAACTAGCGGCACACTCTGAATTCTCTTGATCTCCTCCTGTGCCCGAACAAGTTCGCGTTTTAAGCTCCTGCGTAGGTTCCCCGTTAGAATCGGCATCCTATTATAATCACAGGTGGTTGGCATCTCCCGCACTTGTCTCACCTTTGCTCATCCTTGATGTATTCCTCCTGTAACTGGATATATTCCAGGTGCCCTTGTAGCTTTTTTAATACTGCATATTCATCTCCGCCCTGCGCAGGTATGCCCTCAATACTCTCGACGTTCGGGATGGTTGACGGGATAGGCTTGTTATATGGTGCCACGCTATTAGCTGGGTTTTCTACTAAAACGTCACCCATAATCGCGGTGCCGACGGCGGGATTAGCGGAATGAAAAAATAGAGAGGGAGTCGTAAATTATAAACGACCCAAGGATTTGTCGTCGGGATATGTCCGCTGTTGATGTGGAGAATTGATGGATGATGGATGATGATGATAATGGATAATTATCGAGTTTGGAAAGTTGAGGTTACGTTAGTGAGCACAAGGTACAGCTTCTAGGATCCAGGTGCCGACGCCAGCCTTGCAGCCTTGAGAGATGGTTACTAAGTATATGTGGGCCATTGCCAAGGATATAAATGCAGCTAATCCAATCTTGGAAAGTATAGGATTAATAGATTTCCCGCTTTCCCTTAACCCCACCGCCCGGCACCCGCATCGCCTCAAATGCATGAGTTTCGGCTGATTGGCTCTTCACTTCCTAGCACCTGCAAATCCAAGGCGAACATTGAATGTTCCCCATATTAGAGGTCAGTTTTCGACCACTCATCTTGCAGCACAGCCTGCAAAGCCTACTGAAGATCAGCTTCCGGCATCGCCCGACCAGAACTAGCGCTTAACCTAGATCTAATCCATGGACGCTGATATTCGTATAATATGTATACCTTGTATATGTAGTTGTAGTTAGTACGATATATCTAATAGCTTACGTCGTAACAAAAACAAAGAGCACTGTAAGAAATAGGTTCTGATTTTATGATAATGTTATAATTCAACGAAAGAGGTTTACTCATTCTGTCATTGTGGATTTATCTTTAAAGTTAGGTACCTAATGCGCTATGAGAGCCTGAAAAGTATAATATTCTTAGATGTTGGGTCTAAAGGAGCTATGAAGGAACCAGTTGAGCTCATCCCTCATCCCTCTTTCATCTTGCATATATCTTAGCCTCCATGTAGTGTATGTAGGTACGTACATGTACGTTAGGTACATGTATGTTAGGTAGTTGTTGTAGGTAGAGGCAAGTCACTTTACGGCACAGTGTTAACTTTCTTACTACCCGGCCCCCCTCTATTGGACCAATACAGTTCGATCACGAACCTAGAGGACCCGCAAGGGTCCCTCGTTCCCCGATGTGTCATCATACCTAACCAGCGGTTTCGCACTGGGCTATCGTTACCTCTTCCTTCCAACAATCCATTACTTTACATTACAATAAGGTACGTTATCATAGCCCTTCTAGCCTGCTTTAGCCCGCTTGCCCACTTGTCTGCGTTTAGGTAGATTCTGTACATACATCTGCAATTACTAGTGCAGTACATAGCGCACAGCACATACCACATACATGTCATAGCACTCTACAGCAGCAGCACATTGTACCGAATGACCGTTCCCGCATCAAATGCAAGCGCTGTCCGACTTATACTGTACATACGGAGTAGACTCCCTCTAGCCTCTAGCCTCTCACCTTCTCTAAACCACCTGACTTAGATCTTCTTTTCGTCCCTTTTCCCACCTCGTGAATATTACCAAAGATCTCTCAACATTACTTCTTTTTACCTTGTCGTTGCTTGCCTTACGGAGTGAACGTGGACACTAATTTCCTTCTCTTTCTCTCTTAACTCTCTGACATAGTCACTTGTTATTCTCCGCTGGCGTTCTGACTTGCCTTGCTATTTATTATCATTTCGGCTACACAGCCTTCCCTCCGTGTTAAAAATACACTACTGCTAATCGGGTCTCCCGAAAGTCTTCAATAGAGAGAAAAGAAATCCTGTCTTGTGATTTCTACGATGATGGCATCTAATACAATTGCTATCCCGGCTGTCCGGTCCTCGGCTGCTGCCTACGACCAATCTCCCAAGGCTACAACTAGCTCATCTTCATCATATTCAAGTTCTCCGCAAACTCCTAGTCCTAGTCCTAGTGAAGCGTCGTCAGTACAGTCGGCACGCAAGTTAAAATCAATCCACCACCATCGCCGACCTAGTTTATTGAGTATGTTTGCCCCCCTTGTGTATTGACCATAAATCGGAGCACCTTGATGGTGTTCTCCCTCTGAGATCCGCATTGCTCACGCCATACAGGCTCCGCCTTCTGCAAGGACGAGTGCACCGTTATCAACATCGGAGATCCTGATGGGGCACCTCGATTGGTAAGAAAATGCTATCGCTGCTGAAAGTGCCGCTGAGGGGCCGTCTTACTAATACCCCTCGTTATAGATCTCATACCTTGCCTCAAGTCAAGGGTTCGCATGGAACCCCGAACTATTCGTTCCGTCGTACGTCGAATGCAGTTACATACCCCTAGAAAACCGCAGGGAACCCGTACACGAGATTCGACTCAGTGACGAAGAGATCAAGGGGATGCTACCGTAACCAAGAAACCCCATCTAGAGGCCCCCCCCCCCCCTCCTTGGGATATGTCTTTAGCGTCACTGCAATCGATCTCACAGAGCGTCGTTTCTTCCTAGATACACATAACCCTCGCAAGAATACCTTTGCCATTTTCACAAATACTTCGGCGTCTGGATTCGGGCTATATTATTGCCTGGATGGATTGTGGATATCGGTCTCGACATTTCCTATTGCGCGGCGCGGCTTGGAAGGACCAACTTTACACATTACAATAACTTGGACGGATGGGAATATTGTTACATGGGATGTCCACGTCCAGAGGGCTCAGGAGTTCTCGTGAGTACTGTATGATTACATGAAGTTTACATGAATGCCCTTAACGTAGGGCCGGCGTTGGTATTCCCTGGTTGCTCTTGATTTAACCCGGCCGACTCTTTTCTCTACCTTTTTCTACATTTCCAAACAAGCAATGGGTTATTGTTTGTAGATAAGGGCGTTGCTTTCTCAACTTCATAGGTAATAGAAAGACAGCATACATTACTTACGGTTGTGACGCTTAGCAAGTGACTAACTGCTTTAGTAAATTACATTGTTCTATCCGACTTAGTTATCCAAGTCCTCCGTAGTCTGTTTCGCATTTGGGGCGAATGATCTGAAAACCAATACTTGAGTTGAAAGGTTTGGTTGCATGTACCTAGGTAAATAACACACGGGTGCTCGGATAAGAGATGCAGGTGCCGAAGTGTAAAACAATGATGGATCCTCCTTAGTGAAACATTTCTCAAGAAACACCACGTGGATTACCGAGGTAGGAATTACATTGCGAGTATCAATTGTGAAATCGAATAATACGCTCAATTTTTAGAACAGCTGAAACGACTAATTTGCCTACATATTTGATTGCTACGATATTTTAATATATTTTCAATTCGTGCCAGATCCGCGTTTAGATAGGTAGGTACTTATATTTTTATATAACTAGCACTAATTATGACTTAAGTCTCACTTAAGAGGAATAACCATACTTATAACCTTGAAGCAATAGAAGTAAATGGGGATCCAGATGTACCTACATTTATCTCTTGTAGAGACGTGCATATAATAACTTCCTTCATCCCATTTGCAATGCTGCCTCCTTAACAAGTTGTTATACTCGCACAGTGTAGACATCCCACTTGTCGTCAATTAACCCAGCTTTTTACCCCACGAATTGCGTTATCGGACCAACACTCTTACCCTAATAGGAAAGTTAAGGAAGATTAGCGCGACTGATACGGCTAAGCGTTTAGAGCGCTTACAGTACATAAGAGACATCTTTTAAGTTCTAACTTAAGGAATTATATATTACTGTGCAAGCTAAAATCTTTATAACTTATAACATAATCTCAACTTTTATTATTTTATTATAACTATACCTAGGTATTTACTTACTTGTGCAGTCTCATTTTCAAATATCTAATTTCTTATACTACATGCGGTCATAAACTTACTATAGGATGCTACAATCTATTATATAATAAATGCGAACTTTTAAGCAAGTAAACCAACATACCAGATATTACTCGAAATGGTCACGTTCAACGTTGAACTCTTTGATCGCCTCCAAGGAATAATTGTGATTGACCAGGTAGTATGTAAATGCGGGCGGAGATATTCACATGCATTCGTGGCGATCTCGAAGTTAGGGTACCCAATAACCCAATATTAAGATGCTTTGTTTCATAGCCACGTGTACAGGTAGATGAGGGTATATAGGTAAGTCTATTTCAGTATGTCACATCGAATAATGAACCTTTTAAGAAATTATTCCATTACCTCTGATCAGCCTTTCTCATCTCGACAGATCATCGTGCCGAAGGTACTAATGAATCCCTGAATCGGCATATATCATTATAGTGTCAAATTAACTCAGCACGAAGTAAGATATCAGGCACTAACTGGAGCTAAGAGCGGGTTCTCATTAAAGGTTGCAAATATGGGGTAGACTCAGCTTTGCGATCAATGGTGTGAAGTCTATTTGAAGATAAGAGCCTAATCTATTGAATACCTAGATTTAGCTAGGTACATGTAGATAAGCACTTGCATCTAAAATAAGTACATAGGTAACTTATATACCTGGACCTTACTAGCCCCTCCAATTCAGCTTCTAGGGCATGCATGCACATGTGCTGAGCGTCAGACGGTACTTCAACCTTGTATATAATTATTACGTGAGATTAGGTACCTAATTCGTATTGGGTAATGTTAACCTCCGATAAACCGATACCTATACCCTCGGCCCGCTTTTCGACTTGTAGAAGAAAACTCCAATATAACAGGATGCACAATTGTTTTTTACGTTCCCAATCACTCAACAAACTACAAACTATTGTAATATTCATCTAGCAACAATGGTTGAAGTGGATCACGATCGATAAAGCCCCATTCTAATCACGCTAATGCTAGGCTCAACTACCTAGCTAGCGGTGAACATTCTGATAGTACATTACAATGTTGGGCACGGAAAAAGATGCATGTCGCCAAGGCGAAAATACCCAAATACCCAAATACCTAAATACTACCGAATAAACAAATCATTGGACTGAACTTACCGTACCCAAAGCTCGGTCTCGCAACAAGATGCACTACATACGCTTGTTGCGTGGCCCAAAATTAGACGCATCAAACCTCAAGAGACCACTTATCTCAATCCTTCTTACCATCACCACGGATCTGGGTGACTCATTTCTCTACCCGGATGAGCCCGTCGACTTGATTATTTCGGTGGAGAATCCGACAGGCCAGTCAATCATACTAGACGGAGATCCCCCGCCTAGATGGACTGCTGGCATGCGATGTCTTGACGTCAAAGTCCCCATCAAGCCGCATTTCAAGAAGGACGATGTCACGTGTACGATTAGGATTCACCCAGCGACACAAACTCCACCATTAGGAGTGTTGAAGGGTAGCGATATGCTTCCGTGGAGCGTTGCTAGAGGCTCGTTTGCAAGCAAGGGTCTCATCATGCCAGTTTCCGTAGAGATGGCGAAGGGCATCTGCGCGCCCGTTGCTGTGCGAACACTCCAGCTTGACTCCAGGTCTCAGCCCCAGGACCAAATAGATATTGACCTTGAAGAGGACATCGGTGAGAGCATTGCACGCCACATATGGGACGCAGGTGCTGTGACAGCCTCCTTTTTAGGGGACGCATGTAGCACCAAGGAAGGTATCTATGACACGCTGCTTATGCGAGAAGACGGCTTTAATGTCTTAGAGCTCGGCAGTGGTGTTGGCATTCTCGGGATTACCCTGGCGCAAGTCATAGGAAGGGCCGTGGTCCGTGGCCATACGTCCAGTAAAGCTACTGTATTACTAACAGACCTCTCGGAGGCAGAAGAGCGCGCGAGGTCAAACATATTAAGGGCCGAAGCGGCGCTGTCTCACATAAATCCCAATGGTTCTGCAGTGGCTCTTCAGTACGAAGACCTAGACTGGGACGAGGGCAAGCACGGAAAGTTCGGGACTCTTGTTTCTGCTCGTCCGTGGGATCTAGTTGTACTTAGTGATTGTACATACAATGTTGATTCATTACCCGCGCTCATCGGAACGCTGAGCGCGCTACACGCTGCAAAGTTAAAATACCCCGGGGTAGAAGAAGGTGCAAAGACTTTTGTTATCCTAGCAACAAAACCTCGCCATTCTTCGGAGCAGGCTCTATTTGGGTTGCTAACTGCCGATGATTGGCAATACAACATTCTTAAATCCATTCCACTGCCAAAGCTGGGCGAAGAAGATGAGGCAGTTGATATATACTTATTAGAAAAGGGTAAAAAGATGTCATAGTATATAGATCTAACTATACATTTAGCTATACATTTCACCACTTACATAAAAATTTAAAACTATGGGAATGTTTCAAATTTTATACGTGATAAAAACCTTGTGATATATCTAAAATTAAAATCCTAATATTTTTAGTTATTTTCTTGGATGAGTTATAAATATACGATTTTGTTGATTTTATATGGGAAATGGGTGGCCCCTATTAAGGTGGCCCAAGTAACGGTGCTTCGACTTATAAGCGAAAAAAGGCAAAAAGTTTTCAGTCACTTACCGTATTAAACTGACTAATCTAATACACAACAGCTGGAAGTATCTTTTCTTAAATGCGTAAGTGGCTTGATATACGCGCGGATTAAAAGCGCCTATACCATACACACGGGCATTATTATGAAATAAACAAACCCCGTTTGTATTTTCGCTGTAATCTAGTGGCTTCTTCTCCTCTTTACTCTAGCAACTGAACCTGTGTTTTCCCAATAGTTGTCCAAATAAACTATCGTCAATGTATAGCACTCTTTCGCAAAATAACATGCACGTCCGATTTGAAAAGCGACGTCGTAGTCAAACATCCGACGATATGGACCCATCGGTCAACAAAAGACAGCGTTCTCGTTCGGACGTATCAGCAAAGGACATTGCTTCACAGCTAGTCAAAACTACTGCCCTCTCGTCGCCATTACCCCTCAGCCAGGAATCTTTATATAGACAGTCAATTTCTAACTCCGTATCCGACTGGCTTCGGAATGTCGAACTAAATCCGCAAGACCCGAACTCATTACTCCCAAGCTCAAGACAATCAAATGTATCCTTAAGAAATGGCCAGGATGACGAACCTTTGCCTGATCAATCTTCGTCTAGCGCTCACGGAGTACGCGAGGCTAAGTATGAGGAGACGGTCTTGAAGCCGAACTGTATATGGATGGAGCCTCGAGGATATAATTCTCCAAAATAGGTTAAGGAGTTTATTCGGAAACTCTTACAGCCCACTACAGATATACTCCCACAGGAAGAAAGAAAAAACAGGTGGCTGTGGTTTTTTAATGTAGTAGCGACAGTTAGACACTGTATTTTCGAAAATTCTCAATCAGCGATGATGTACGAAGGTTGGGGCCAAAAGTTTCGCACATCTAAGCTTGGCAAGCCACGTGCGAATTAAAAAAAGACTGCACGGTTTTATTTAAGCTATAGTGGCTGATATCGCTATAAATATAGCGGTAAGCCACCTAGATTTAATGGATAGGCCACTATTTAGTTTTTAGCTTAGCGTGTGGCTAATACAGTATTGATAATTCAAAGAACATATAAAATACGGTGCCAAGATTTGGACATGTGCGAAACTTTTGGCCCCAACCTTCGTACCATTTAGGAATGGATTTGATGAATGTCCATCCCTTTAACCAGAATTCAACAGGCCTCGGTTCGCAAGGGAGAGCTTGGTCCTCAATGCTGGTTCGTCGGCCCTGCTCGTATATAACAAGATGGTTCAAGATCACGGTTTCGTAATTTGCGCCGACGTGGCACCAGGTGATCATATTATACACTTCTATCCGATGTGGTCAAAACCGGGCATACCTGGTAAAGTTGAAATACCAGATAAACCTGCTGAATTCACCTCGTATAAGATGATGAACTGCGAGATTCTTTTGTTAAGTGATAGGAGTCACTATAAAAGATGTCTTGTGTTGATCAGCAACATCCATAAATGGGGCCGAGGAGAGAGGTATGATGAGATTGTCGACAGCGTTAAGAAGAGATCGGATGGGCTGTCAAAGCTACATGGCCTTTCCAAGGTCAATCAGGTAGCTGGGTTGAACGAGGCTATTTGATTGTATATGAGGCTGGCTAATGAGAGATGTTGGAATATCTTGGGAGACTAGAGGAATTAGGCGAGGTTGTCGTAGAAGGTACATGAACGACTCATGTAAATGTAATATATATGTACTTATGCGATACTTACTAACCCCGCTATTGTTACGTTTTTTCGACCCGCATACTGTACATAGGGGTCCTTCTAAAGCGCCAAGCGCCAAAACATGAGTAAACATCTGCAATACTATTTACATCACAAGTCTATCCTATTAAATTAGCCAATCACTATTTACCAAAAGGCAAAATTGGGAATCACTAGCATCTCATCGCTGCACTGCACACACATACGGACATATATGCATTGCGGCTGACTATTTCGTATCTTTATCTTTAATTCCGCTCGCGTTTCTACATAGCAGAACACCCAACGGAGAAAAGAAAATACACATACTTACATCTTTCATCGTCATAATCATCATCATCCATCTTCCATTTAGTTCAATTTAAAGCCGTCCTACTTTTTCTCGCTACAACGACAACACCCTCTCCTTTCCTAAACTTAAACCACCATGGAGGGCTCGGCCTCGGCAGCGCATCGAAAGATCGAGCTCCAGACCCCCGATGACCTGGCATATCTTCTGGCCAATGTACGGCGCGCAGCCACGGCACGTCTAGACGAGGCGTTTCCGCCGGTGGATGGGGCAAGCGGCGCCGCTGCCGATGGTGACGAATTGCGGACGAGGATCGAGGAACTTGTCAATGAAGTAAGTTTTACTTTATTTTATTTTATTATTTAGTTTCTATTTTTCTACATTGTGCTTTTTAAAAAAAAAATTTAGCATACAGCTATCAGTGTCTGTATTTCTTCAACCTACCTAATACCTTTTTTTCTACTGTCGTCTTTCTTGTCTTGCCTGCGCATGCAGGTAGAGTATACGGATTTAATTAAAGAGGCCTTGGTGGAATGTGAGAGGTCAATGGAGAGTTCCTATATAAATGGAATTAATGCATTACACTTTCACATACGACCATAGGATCTGGAAAACTCGGGATCCCGTCCGCTCTCCCATAGATAAGCCAGATACCGCCAGATTAGTAGTTGGGTCGGTGACGACCAGCGAATCCCTGGTGTTGTATGTTTTTTTCTTTTCTTTTTTTTATAGTTCTTTTTTATTGCTATATTGCATTCTCTTGTTTTACCTCTTTAAAGTTTTTGTTTTCTATTTTAAACTTGTCTTTTTAATTTAGGATTATCTCATATGAAACACTCTTACAGCCGGACGCTAAATACTAACCTACAAACAGTACATCATCAAGACCTTCACCCTAGCAGGCCCAAACCTCTCTATCAATGGCATGCCCGTTGATGCAGCACATTACCTCTCCGGTAGTCCTTCCGATCCGCAGCAGCCGGAAGAAGTCTACGAGCCGTTTGACGCACGTAAGCGCGCCCGTCTCGAGGAGCTAACGCGCGAGGAAGAGGACCTGCTGAGAGACATTGCCGCCTTGAAGAAATCCGTGCCGCATGCCGCAGCTTCCTCCTGGGCCGAAGCAGCACGCCGCTCCGTCGCTGACGACGAGCAGGCCCTTGCCGCGGCTAACGAGCGTGCCGGTGCTGATGGCGGTGAGCTGTTGCTGGGAGACCTAAGTAAGGGGCTTCCTCGACAGGACGATGTTGAGAGCGGCTACGAGGACGCGATTAGGGGGCTGGGTAGGTTGAAGCGCGAGATGCCGTCGGTAGTGGCGCGCATGGAGAGGGCGCGGGGAGCAGGAGAGTATGTTGTAACAGAGCGGTGAATGCGTACCCTTTTTTGCCCCCTTATATTGATTTGTAGGGGAAGAGGCGGTGGAGTTCCGGCTACGCTTTAGGAGGTGATGGTCATCATACCCGATCTACGCATATGGGAGGTATACATTCGAGGGGAACGCAAGACGGAAGGGCTGTGCCGAGATATGTGGTAAGAAGTTCCGATTGCCCTCCTTTACCTAGGGAGCAATTGCGTCTTCACGTGGAATCTATCGGCCTCTAATATCATGAAGCCATTCGTGCTTGAGTATCCCTATCACAAATAAAACCACTTTAATTCAACAAACTCGATACTTTTGAAGGATATTAATTCGAGTGCACGTAACTACAAATTATTATCCGCGGTAATGGCTAAAATATTAGAACTTTGGAGAAGCGCAGATGCAAATGTATCATATCAGTGTACGAAATGCCTCTAACGGTTCCGAAGAAGATAGCTGCGTAGGCCCTATCAAGGCTCGTATGCCTGCAGGCTGAAATTTGTGATTATAAGATTTTGCCCGGAATAAAAAGTCGTCCCGGATCGACAAATTTCAGCGGTCACTTCCTCATGTGCCTTGATGATCCTATCTAACCACACCCACCGACTCCCTGCTTCATCTGGACTTATGCTCTCCCCTTGTATACAAATGCAACTTTATGTTTCCTTTAAGCAGCGGCTGGAGCAGGTGCTGTAGCTTCGGCTCCCTCCACGGCGGTAGCACCACCGGCAGCGACGGCACCCGCACCGCTGCCGATCTCTGTCGGCCTATTCTCTATCGCTCCATCTTTTTGCTCCCACCAGGCAGGCTTCGCGAACTCAGGGTCATTCCAGGGGCCCGCGTTGCTGAAATGGCAACCACCCTCGCATTGACAGGTACCACCGAATTCCTTAGGGAGGTTTTCGGCGGGGATCTGGTTTAGGAGTTCCTTCTGGTAGTTACCGCCGAGAACGTTGATCTTCTCAACAGTGACGGGGTCGAGCAGAGGGCGAATCATACGCCACACACCAGTAAATAGCCAGTTGGTGTTGATGAGGTACATGCGGCCAAGACGTTCCGGGTAATAGTTTTGACTCATACCGGACGCCTCCTGGATGTAGCCAAAAACCTGGCGCGCATTGCCGAAGCCAACACCGTTGAAATCCATAATGGTGCAAGATGTCTCAAGCAGTTGACCGGCCTTGCGCGAACAAGCGGGTAGTCGCGGGTCCGCCATTTTCTCGTATTCGACAGCTAAGTTGACCAACATGTGCTCATACTCGATACCTTCGTTCTTCATAGCAGTAAGATCAATCTTGCCAAGTTGTTCAATGTACACCGGTCGGCCGTCCTACCGATACGTATATTAGTACAAAAGCTCACAAAAGTTCATCTCTAGGAGATAGCGCAGAGGAGTGATTTCTCTTACCTTATCTGTCTTGTGGTAGTACTGAGGGTAATACTTTGACACCTTCTGCTTGAAGGACCCGTCTTTGTCCCACTCGCCTATCTCCTCGTCGAGACTGATAGTCCGACCGTCGATCTTAAGGGGCTGTCCAGTGTATAGGAGAGTCTTCCTCCAATTTTCGGTGTCGACGAACCTTGTTACCAGGGTCAGTCCATTATTCTCAACAATATTTCTCTATTCTGGAACATCTTTCGCAGCCTTGGCTCGGGGGAGGCTCACATTTTCTTGGCTAAGTTGACGTCGAACTTTCGAGCTCGCAGGAAACGCAACTACATTCCAAACGGAGTGTTAGCTAATTCAACATGTACATGTCCATATATTTAACGTTGTAGCTCTTTTGCTACCTCTTAATATAGCACTTAGTAGGACACGTACCAACGTCAGGGTATCCAGCCGCTTGGTATAACCTTCGGCCTCGAGTAGCATGCGTAGCTGGTGAACCTGAGCTTGCTGGGCCTCGGTCAAGTGGCCTGGATGACCAGGTTTCGCTACGGGGGCGATTGTAGGGAAATCATAGTGGTCGTACTTAGGATTTAGCTCCATGATGAACGTGTTAAATGCGTCGATTTCCTAAGAAATCGAGCTGTTTAAAGTGAGAAGTTCCTGATTGGGTAATACAGCAAACTGTTTATCCAGATAATGCGAGTTAAAAAAAGGGTTAGAAGCCTGAAATTTGAAGTAGGAAGGAAGAAGGAAAGTGTTTTGACAGAATGAGACCGACAAGTGTCGTTAAGAATGTTTTAGGGGACCGAGGATTGTCGATAGGGGAGTTTATGTAAGTGGATAAGCTGGCTTGTTGGCCTTATCCGTAAGTAGTAATAATAAAAAAAAGTCGGGGGGCCGCTTTGCTGTTAGACCGTAACTCGATAGTACATATGGATAGGTAGTACATTAGTAGGTAGGTATGGATATGGTAGGTAAACTGGTAGGTTACCTGTTAGGTTACTTAGGTAATTTTCTAGGTCAGGTATGGATTACCATACAAAATTATAATCATTGGGAAAAAAAAAAGAGTGGCGGCGCTAGATTGCGGGCATGTCCAAGTGGGACATCGTCATTGGTGCGCAGCGGTGAGATCTGGGGACCCAAACTTAACCAAACTTACCCAAACTTTAATCACGCTTCTTAGTGGCCTGCCGCTTGCCGACTTTAGATATGTACCTACATAATATTTAAGATGTTTAGGGGTTAGGTATCTGTTCACCCCCCTTCCCCCCCTTTTATATATACGAGTACCTTGGGTACTTTCAATAGCCTTTTCCATAGGCACTTTTAATTCCATCTAGAATTGAAGGTAATGTACGCTTCGCATAACATAACAAACCAATAGAACTACCAAAGACTATAACTACTTAGTTATGCATCCTAAAGTCGGACAAGATTAGGGAAATATGGTAGTTAAGTTTATGGATTTAAGGGGAATAGGTACTGCAAATAGTCAATTGTAATCATCATTTCCAGGTAAGAATTATTGTATTGCGTCATCAACACGCGGACACGGGTAGAGAATAAGATTAAATCCACATACATTCCTAATCGTTCACTTGAGACGTAGTAAACAGGCAGGAGGTTTCATTAGTAGAGATGGTGCTTAGTATGTCCTGTTTAGTCGGCCGAGCTAACATATAACAATTGACCCTATAGTATTTTATCCGTTTGGCTGCTCGTCACCATCCTCAGTCCCTTTCCCTTTGTGTTCCTCGTCTGCTTTTTCTTTTCGCTTCTGAACAACATCCCAGTTGTACACTCGCGCTACTGCAACCTCCATAGTCTAGTTTAAAGTTAGCTGTCTGTCCATCGGAGGATTCCAAGATGGTGAACAAGATCAGGTAGGTCACATACTGTAATCTGTTCCCTTAAGAAATCAAGGTCTTCCTCGCAATTGGCGTAGCTCTGTTTTGCAGCCGCTAATTTTGACGTTAAAAGGATCTCGGCCTCGTCAACGGGATACGACAGCATTACATTTGCCTATACGACGATCCCGTTAGTGGATTGGGCACTCAAATGCTTGTTCGATATAATAGGCATTACGCCTGAACGTCTCAACGTACACCAAGCCATAAGTACACCTCTTCTGTAGGGGGTATAGACGCTTTCGCATACAAAGTGTCGTTAAGCTCAAACGTTGTTTCGATCGGATCCGATTCCTCCTACAACGACAACATTATGTTAGTAAAAATTCCTAACCGAGTTGATATTAAGGCCATCCTACCGTTCTTGTCTTTAGGAACTTGACTGTTTCCAGAGTCTTTTGTATATCAGGCATCTTGTCTTTTAGTCCAGCCACTCTCCTTTGCAAATTTAGTTCCATAAATTGATATTTACTATATCCAAGCGTTGGTGTCAGCAGATTTCCTGCGTAGAGAGTGAAATGATCCCGAGAGATTAATACGACGAATGGCTGTGAGGTTTGTGCCTCGTCTAGGTAGACGATGCGTAGACATACGAGATCATCTCCTGGAAGCTGCGTAGCGTAGACTGGACATCGTCTCTTGAGGTGACATAGTCTTCGACTTTATCAACGAACGGCGCCTGGGGGATTCCTCTCGGGTTCGTGGTCGCTCCATCTTTTCTATATCGCAGATTCAACCTTGTCAGTAACAGCAAATTCAGCTGATGGGGTGTATATTTGTATCGTACTGGGCGGCCGGTTCTTTTCCTTTAGCTGACATATTGTGTCTATCGTGCAACACCCTTCAGCGCATTATGAGTGGAAGTAGACTAGGTCAAATCGCCGGGCAGTCCCGACAGTCTATTGTTGTGCCTTGGTGGGCACCTATTGGCAGCTCGCAGCAGAAAAAAAATAGGAGCATGGACCATCGAAGGCGGGGGAGGCTAGAAGCTCACCGAGGTGAAGGAGGGGTAAGATTCGGCGTGCAATTAAGCAATCATTCATATAAAGGTTATTATGGTTAACCTATTAACCTAGAAGTAACATAGTTCGTCGCGATAATTTATTATCAACAGAAGAACTTTAAAACTTCCATTCAGTCGAAAATCGAAACTTACTAAAACTTATACTTTTACATTTCCCTACTACGATTTGTTAGCGCTATATTTTGTAACATTTAGGAAGGAATTGTTGATTGATACCTATTTACCAAGAAATTCTGTATAGATTTACGCTACTTTCATAATCACCTAACTTCATTATCAATTATATTGAACGGCATTGAAAGTGAATGGTAACCAAGTCGGATAATAAGCAGCAATTTCAAAATAGAATATTTACTGTGCGAACACTTCGTTTGCTACACCAACCCGAGTAGATTAAAAAGGAAGTGAGATATACGTTCAGGTTATGAGGCACCTCACAAATCATTCCCAACCCACCTTTTGAAGTTTTCCGAGCCTCTCTCAGACCTCTCTTTATTACCCAAAAAAAAAAAGGAACAATAGAAAAACTCACTGAAACGGTCACTATGGGTCAAGGATCATCTCATGACATTGTCCAACTCGAGACTAGAGTTGAAGATCCAACGAACGGAGAATCCCCAAAGGGTCTTGCTCTCATAGCACATGGACGTCTCGGTGGAACCTTTGACCAACCGCCAGTTCGCCTTCTCGCCGAATATCTAAGGGATAAGAAACAGTTAAGAGTTGTCACATGGAATGCCCGTGGAATAGGCCAGAGTGGGGGAGGGAATGAATGGTCAGACTTTGGTGTCTGGATAGGAGATGCTGGGATCAATGACTACCATGTAACACTTCCCTAAGTCCATCCTCTCCCCCTTACTCTGTAGTATAATATATGAGACGTAACTGATCAAACTCCCTAAAACTTATAGCGAATGCTTCGGGAGTCCATGACTCAATATGTAAAAGACTTCCCTGATACACAAGGGGATCAGTTATTCTTATGTGTATAGGCTACCAGTCCACCTCCTATATTAGGTTCATGAAGCTCACATAAATCCAGGGCTACTCCGCGGGTGCCATTTTCGCCGGATGCAGCCGTCCCCCGCTATCATTTCCCCAATTCGCTCCCGCTCACTACATCCTCATATCATATCCAATAGAACTCAACCCCCTCATCGCCTTTCACAAGACGGGTTCCTATTTCCGCTCGGTCGAGGCACTAGTACAGGGCCATGGATGGGAAAACCTGCCCGGCGAGTTCCAAGGTCTCGAGCCAGATGTGGCTGGAGTGCTTACCGTCACAGGCCAGTTCGAAGGCGTCTTCTATGGCATGTGGACTCAGATTCTAGGGAGTAAGAATGCTCGAAACATCCTAAGGCAAGTTAGTGTCGAAGGAGCTAAGCATTCGTGGGACGACAAAGCGCCGCGTATTGTTGAAGAAGTTGATAAGTGGTTGTCTAGTATTTAAAGGCATTGACGAGGTATGGGTATCGATCCCAGTTTTTCGAACTATATGATATATCTAGGAAACCGAAGTGAGTTGACTTAAAGGATTATAAAGCCGTGTATAACTACTTAATTATATTATAAATATTGATAATATCCTGGAAGAGCCGAACGAGTTAGAGTGTGACTATGAATGGTCTTAATATGTCTTGAAGGTTGAGGTGAGTGCATTTAAAATCACAGTACACACTCCACTTATATCAACAAATCAAGACTTCAGAAGAACTCAAAATAGACCGTTTTAAGAATGATGCAGAAGACTCAGTCAGTCAGATTTGGATAAACGACATATATATATATATATATATATAGGTATATTACATCTAAGGGCATTGGCCGAGTATTATTGCCTACCTTTTACTATTACACATTTTTATTCAACTCGATTAACTAACTTCTTTTCGTTGCCTGTTATTTAACATGTGCCTATATTTCTCTTATTCGCAATTCTACCTTATTAGTGTATAAATAGAACTATATAAATGCGAATAAATAATAGGTTACTTTCAGCACTTATGCAAACCAAATCTTAACCCGAAGGATTGGTACCTACCTTAGCAATGTAACACATTCCGCATTCTAGAATGGACCATGACGACATGCTTAGCCGGCGCCTTACGGTTGGGCGGAGCAAACACGATACCGGTCCGGTCTTGGTGACACACCGATTTGTCAGCTAAATGAGACCATCTTGATCAATGGTATATAGCTCGGCCTCGGCCTCCCCACCTTGTTTAGCTTCATAATATCATAGTTAGGTAGAATATAAGTATCGGTTTATGCCTCTCTACGATCTAATTATCAAATAATATTTTATTACGTTATAACATATTGCTAGAGTTATCTCATTGGAATTATATATCATATCCTCGGTGTAAGCTTGCTGTAGTACACCATGACCAATATCAGCGTCAAGATAGTATCGGATACCGTCTGCCCGTGGGTAAGTCGTCTCTACAACGGCTCAACGGTAGAATACTAAAGCAATTTGATATATAGTGTTACATTGGCAAGAAGCGCCTAGACCGAGCTATCGATCTCTACCGCAAGACGTATCCCGACGGCAAGAATGACATTTTCACAGTCTCCTGGGCCCCGTTCTATTTGGACCCGACTTCGCCTAAGAAGGGGATTCCGCTTGTTGAGCGCATGATCCAGCGCTTCGGCCCGGACAAATTAGAAGCCATGCAAAGGCGCTTGGAGCTGATAGGACGCGAGGAGGGCATCAACTTCAGTTTTAAGAGCAAGATTGGTAACACGCGAGACTCGCATCGTCTGATCCAGTTTGGTAAGACGAAAGGCAATGACGTTGAGAACCGTGTCGTGCTGGAGCTATTCAAGTCATATTTCGAGGGTGAGGGGGACATAACGTCACATGATACGCTGATCGATGCGGCTGAGAAGGCCGGTTTGGACAAGGCAGAGGTAAAAGACTGGCTTGAAACGGGCAAGGGCGGCAAGGAAGTCGACGAAGAAGTTCAGGAGGCGTATGCAAAGGATATACACGGTGTACCACATTTCACAATTCAAGGTAAGTACGAGGTCGGCGGAGCAGAAGATCCCCAGACTTTCTTGGAGGCGTTCGCAAAAGCGAAGAGGGGAATTTGAAACGGCGGAGGGTCTGTTCGTCGGGCTTGTCGTAGGAATTGGTGGATGGCGTTTAACTGTATTAGTTAGATGGTTAGGGGTATCATAGTCGTTAGTTATGTATTACAGGTTCAGTAATCCGCCGAGGTCTTCCTCTATCGTCTTCAACCTTCCCTGCAATTCTCTCTTTTTTCGCTCTAATTCCCGTATTTGCTCCTCTTCTCTTTTCAGGTCCTCCTCAGTTAAGAACTCTTCTTTCTCCATCGCGGCGGCCTCCCCATCGTCTTCCTCTTCCTCTTCGTCCATCCAATGATCCTTATTCATTCTTCCTATAGCCTCGGCCTGTTCAGCTACTTTCGCTTCATAGTATGCCAGCGTGCTACGACTATGCGCGTACTTTGATCGTTGCGCTGCTATCCGCTCCAGAGCACCTGGTAAAGGGTAAACGCCGCATAACTTCTCCGCTCCCTTGAGTAGAACCTCGACATCGACGTCATCCCTTCCACTACGTCTCTCGCTCCGGCGAATCTGCTCATGTAGGTCGCCGCCTAAAACGGCTGCCACAGCCGTGTGGCGTCGCGGGGCACCTACATTTCGACCCGTGTTGCTACCAGATGTCGTGACCTCGCCGGATGCTACATTGAAAACGGTCTGCCGACGCCCGGACTGTTTCGGAGGATCTGGGTTCTGAGATGTGGGTGGTGGAGGCGGGGGCGGGACAGAGAAGAGTGCTCGTTCGTGCGCTTCGGTGTCGCGAATTAGGGATGTGATGTCATGGTTGGCTAGAAGGGCATTGGTGAATATCTTGGGTGGTGGGAAGCTTATTTGAAGTGCTAATTAGCTTTAGCTGTACGATTAAGAACACGAACCAGGTATTAATATACGTACGGAAGACTGTCAATTCCTTGACATGAGATAGCAATCTGCTCAAAATGCGCCGAGAGAAGTGACATGATGGGACGGACGCGTTTACACGGCAAGAGATCCGACGGTTATCATGAATGACTATAATTTATTGAAGAGGAGAATCGAATAAATGAGCTTTTGAATATTATTTACAGATTCTCCAAAGTGTGAAATGAAATAGGGACGATAAAACAAAATAAATATGTCAACCTGAGACTGCAAGTTGAACTTGAACAAACACGCGACTTCAATGTACCTTCTTAAGTGTTGACCCCTCCTATCGCTTACCTACATGTACCTATGAATATGTACCTACCCAGCGCCACAGCCCCCCACCATGTGGCTTTGTGCTACCCACGTAGGAGGTACCTATTGCATCGCTGCCAAAATTTAACTCCAACACCAATTTTTTTTTTATGTACAGGCTTCATCAAATCTAAGATGGATTTCATGTTCCGGGGTGATCCTAGACAAAATATAATATAAGCCTTTTGTCAACAATATAATTCTCAATTGCTTGGTCTCGGATGAATTGGGGATTTAAAGCTATACTAGTGCATATCTATCCTAGTCTCCCATCCCGCCGGGCTTAATCCCTCCATTCTGCCTCAGTAGGGCAGGTCTAATAAGCGGCGACAAGTAACAAGTGTTTACCGCTTTTCAACAAGCAAAATGACGATGGTTAATGACTTGCGGGATGAACTCGTTTCATTCTCTCCCCCAAATCATTCAAGTCACCGCAGCGTCGGATCGCCACCTGACAACAACACCACGCATTGTGAAAGGAGGGATAATAAAAAAGTTACGACACATTGACATTATATTACTTGCAGGCCCTGCAGACTTGGGGTATCCCTGACCTCATCAACAGCCAAGCAGTGAATTTTTCCCATCTCCACCACGTCCACTACGTCCACTACGGCTGCGTCTCTTTTCTTCTTTCCTATCCGCAGGAGGCAAGGCTTAAGATCATTGGGCATAATCGAGTGGTATGAGTGGCATGAGTACTGCTACCTGACCCCTGGTCTATTTTTGATCTTCTCTCGTACAACCTCTACCGTAGCCCCAGGGCCCTCGGTCGAAGCCCTGATACGTCTAGTTATTACGTCTAGGCAGGACAAGCCTATGTATTCGCATACATACATACATACATACATACGTACAGTGCTTTATTAAAGCAGCTGTTAACCAGTGTTAATCAGTTTTGTGAACGAATGCTTTTTCGGTCAGCGTCCGGGGTCTAACAGGACCGGCTGAACAGTTCAGTAATAATTTGACCTACCATACTTTCTAGGTCATCTTCTGACTGATAACATGACATTCTACCACAACGTCGGTTTGATGCCATCTTGAGATTCTTCGATTTCCTTTTTACTATATGCCTCATGCCTCATGCCGCATGCTGAATACATGTCGCATTTTTTCTGGACACGCTATGCCTCCCAACGAAAAGTAACCAGGGACTCCTAGGAGCATTGGTGCCCAAGCCGCAATCTTTGCGAGATCCTCTGCTATAGGCTAGTAGACGAGTAGCTAGACCCGTTTTCTTCTACTCTGCCCTGCCCGGGAGTCCGCAATCTTAGCCTGGCTCAGGTATACCTTTATGTTCACAACCATATTATTACATGGATAACAGACTTGTATATGTATTTGCCAGGCACTATAAGACCGTTGGTAGGCCCGCCCCCAATACAAATGCCCCCCTCTCGGTCTCTGCACACATGAGATTTCTCTCTCATACGTAGCAGAGCTTAGACAGCAGAAATATAAGCCGTCAGACCTTGTCTCCCCATCTGGAATAAGTTCCCAACCTTTAAAAAGTTTCCGCAGAATCTTTTCCCTGGGTTTCTCAGCCCTCCGACCCAGGCGACTTTGACTCCTGGAGATCCACAAGAGGGTTTATGCGCTACACAGATATTTCAAGCATTTCAAGCAATTTCAAGCAATTTCATCGAGGGGATAATTTTCTTCTCTTTCTCTTTCTCTCGGTGGCGCTCTTGTCTTCTATCGACACCGTACTTCGTCACTGATGAGGACCACTTGAGATTTGAGAGAGTCAACGCCGCCAGTCTTGACACGTCGACTCTCAATCTTAAAGTTATAGCATAAAGTCTCATTCTACCTTCGCGAGACGATTCCAATTCCATCGCCTTTGTGGAGGAATTGTAGTAGCGGTGTCCGGCCCCTCCGACCTTCTAGAATTCCCAGGAGATTAACATGACCAGTTACCGGAGTCCAATAACTTCTCCGCGTTGGAGGTTTTTGCTCTGGGTGCTGACGCCTTAAAAGTCTCTCGTTCGCCTTTATCTCCCCCGCGAATTCTACCCCACATTGCCTGATCAAAAGGTCAATTGCATCGATAAGATCACGCAAGACAAGGGAAGACGTAAATTCTCGGGCGGGAAGCGCTTTCACACCAAGCCGACACCATGCGGCCACACACCCCCTCTCTGGACACTACTCACGTAGTAGCCGCGGCCGCAGGACCTACTTCACCGCCAGAGACGCCCACCACTGGATCTCCCAAGGTCCACCGTAAAAAAGCAGCATTAAACGGCCGCCCGCAGCGGCATTCAAAGGCTCACAGCCACCAAGACCACCCAGCTAATATCCGGCCGCTGGGTGGGACTAAATTCAGCTATACTCGAGCGCCGAGGCCCGAGGAGATATCACCTCGTTCCTCACATTCATCCGATGAAGAATCTGATTCATCTGCAAGCCCCCCGCAGTCGCCACTCTCGGACGTACCAAAGCTGCGCCACCAACACATAGAGCAGGCAACTTTAATTCAGATCGAACAAGCAACATTTTCTATTGAAGAGTTAAGCGACGATTGTTCACTCAACGGTGAGTATGATCATCTGGATGTTCTTCGGCCGTATGCTTTCGAGTATGCGAATTCGGATCGGAGTCGGTCAAGATCCCGGCCTCGGCCTCCACCGGACATGGATCCGGCTGTAATGGAAGGTATCGAGAACTTAAACACATTTGAAGACTCAGATGGAGATATCGATCGCGATGATGAGGAATTCATCCGGCAACTCCAAAAAACACGCGAGGAACGCCGCCTTAGAAGGATGAAGTCAGGAAGTCTTAGCAAGCGAACAGTAAGCGAGCGAGGCAGTGATTCTGATAGAGAGGACGTCCTTCCTTATTATGAAGGGAACGAGACAGGTCCAACCCGTCGGATGCGGCGAAAGGTTGGCGACCGAATTAGTATCCAATTCATGGGCCCGCTTCCCGAACGAATTGAGGAGCTCAAAGAGCCGAACAGCGACGACGAAATCATTTTAGATGATGCCGAGGTCTTCGCAAGAGAGTTACCATATTGGACTCTAATGGACGTTGATTCCGAATAAGACCAACTTTATACGTTACAAAAATATACAGTGTCACATTTGCTTTGAGGAGCAGAAATTAGACCCAAACCGATTTACTCGCGACATTGAACTTTACGATTATATGATACTTTACGAATATGGACGCATTAATGTTGACACCCCGCCAATTGTCATGGAACCTGATCGTCGCAGTAGGCTTAGTGAACCAAAACAGAAAAGTCTACAGCGATTGGTTCTCGACGGGACCATACAATTAGGGATTGCGGGAGCTGTCATCGCAGCAATATGTATTGAAATTACTTGCATAGAAAATTGGCTACATGGCCTGGGAGACCATTACGGAGGGCTCAGCTTTTCACGTTGTTTATTTCTCATCTCGCTTTTAGATACCTTAGACTTGGACTCAGCGGATGGATTGGGAGCGACTAGGCGATGACGACAATGACGCCAATGATGTAGACGATATGATGATGACGATGTCGACGATACTTGCATAGAAGCGGCCGCTTAGATGGAGAACTAGGCCGCGCTCTTCTGAGTTATTTATAGCATATAGACTTTGGATGCATGGATGATTGGTGGCTCGAGTAGACTTATTAGCTTTAGTTTAGGATATCTGCGGTGTACACTACAGCTTCTTGGTTACTAGATAGCTTGTGGAACACTCGATATTTTAAAAGGATGCGTATTATCTTTATTAACCTAGGTATATGTTAGTTCATCATCTATGGCTTAGTTGACCAAGGTATTTATAGGATCTTTACGAAAGCTTTTTCCAACCCGACTATTTAGAAGTTTATACATTCTTGTAAGGTAAATAAATAAAGTAGTAACCAAGTTGGCTGCTACTTAATAAACAACCAATTTGGTTAAAGTTGAAGTTAAGTTAACTAGTAGTTAAGTATTAAGATTTTGTAATTAACTATAGTAAGTACCTAACCTAGTCAACTACCTGTTATAATTGTATCCCATAGGTTAAGAGTATGTAAGTAAATTGATCACCATTATAAGCTAATGAAGTAGTTATTATTCCCAGGTTCATGTTATCTAGGTAAATAACAACTTTTACCTCTAGGTGTGTATACTAGACACTCCATGCACGTGACTGTTAGCATATCTGCAGTGCCACATCATGTACCTTAGGTACCTAGGTATTTAGACTTTGACATTAGCTTAAGCCACATCTTATGGTTAATAGCACATCTGTGGTCAGCCTTTAGGCTTTCAAACGCGTCCATGCAACTTCCATCAAGCTTCTATTTAATCGAGAAGAGCCCCTCCGTCATCTTTTAATTTTCTCTGTATCTAATTTGTGCAGAAGTTCAGCGGATCCAAGTATGAATTCCGATTCTCCCTCCAACTCAATCCAACCCAATTTAATACTTTTTGTCTACTAATTACTAATTATCTTTACCCACTTCCTAGCCCTCATCAATTGTTGAGGTACACGACTTCACCTTTGAACCTTACTATTTGCACCGTCAACTATCACGTAAACGTAAACGATGAATCCAGCTCAGGGGCAGCCTGCCCAAGGGCAGAACATGATGCGACTTCTCCGACCGGAGCAGATGCGTACGGTTAATTATCTCACCGATGACGAGAAACGGAAGTACGAAACAGGGCTTCAAGGACTATACGCAAAGATGGAACAGTTCGGATCAGAAACCAGAGAGCATCAAGAAGCCAAAGCTAAAGTCGCGGAATTCTCTCGAATGGTTTATAATAAAGTCAAAACCATACAAGCAAGAAATCAAGCAAATTCTCAGGACCAACTAGGCCAACCAAGTCGCCCCATTCCACAGCAACAGAATATACAGAGTGAGCAAGCTCAGAGCAGCTTGGCCACGCCCCAACGGCCTGCGAGTAGACCAGCAGGAGTAGGGCCAAGTAGTAATATCGCAACTCCTGGTGCTGCCGCGCCTAATGCCACTCCAGTCGGGCAGCAGGCCCCTCCAGTCGTGCCTAAGGCTCTTATGGAGCATTTAAACAAGCTTCCATGGCAAGCTTTGCGGATACCGCCCCAGATAACGCCGGAACAAGGCCAAAAATGGTTAAATGAAATGAAACAGCGGTATCTTCGGAATCTTATGCAGATGGAAGCTATCAAGTCGAAAATGACTAGGATGGACGCCATGGTAAAAGAACGACAAGAGAAGGGTGCAATGACTTCGGAGGAGCTCAGGAAGTACCAGGAAAGCAAATCCCAAGATCAGAAGACGTATGTGGAGGCACAACGATTCCTCGAAAGTGTTCGTGGACAGATGAAAGCATCTCAACCTGGAGCGCCGGGGTCGAGTGCCCAACAAGGTCGACCACAACCCATGCAGAACCAAGCTGCCCACCCTATGCAAGCAGCAACCGCATCTGTGAATGCAGCGATGGATGCAGCGAAGAACCAGCAATTAGCAGCCTCCCGGGCAACAGTCCCCGGACAACCGCAACAGCAGCAGCCACAGCAACAGCAACAGCAACAGCAACCACAACCGCAGCAGCAGCCTCAGATTCAACATCAGGTTCAACCTCAGGCTCAACCACACCAACCTCAGCAGCAACACCAACAACACCAGCAACACCAGCAACAGCATCCTGGGACTCCTGTTACTCCTGCTACACCTTCCGCAGGCCCACAACTTCAACACCAGCAACAACTTCAGCAGCAGCTCCAGCAGCAACCCCAATCGCATCCTGCGCCTACTAATCAACCTCAGATTAAGAGCGAACCTTCCAACAACATGCCGCATCCTCCACCGGTTAACACTGCTCTTGCTGCCGCTACCGCTTCGGCACACATACCTTCCGCGGGAACACCAACCCAAGCCTCAGCGCGTGTTCAGACTCCCCAGTCTGCAGGACAAGTGACAGGATCCCAAGTCCGTCCACTAACTCACGCCGCCGCAGTTAACCGTGCCAACTCGTCAACTAACATCACCGGCCAAGCGAATAACTCATCCGGTGGTATTGCGTCAACACCTGGGTCTAGTGGCTTGGTTGGTAACGCAAATCATCCTACTCACTCTCACGCGCACCCACAATCTACTACTCCTGCGATGAATCCCAAGATGCCTATCAGCAAGAACCTGCCCCCCAAAGCGACGGAGATTCCGCAAGCCGTCAACGTTGGCGGAGGAAATACTGCCGGCCGCCCATCGTACGGTGGCGGTAGTGCAACTGGGGGTGGAACTATGAGCCAGCCCGTCATTTCCAAGATGCCTCCTGCTCAATTCGATGCCGAAGGTGAACATGTGCTTTCCAAGAAGAAGCTCGACGAGCTGGTTCGCCAGGTTTGCGGTGGCGGTTCTCCTGGTGCTGACGGCAACTACCTAACCCCTGATGTTGAAGAGGTAAGTTTATCGTAATTAATAGCAGCGGACATCCTTTCGTTCCCTATCGGCTATTATACTAACAAATACTTTCTAGTCTGTCCTCAGCGTCGCCGATAATTTCGTAGATAATGTCCTACACACAGCTTGCCGCCTTGCTAAGGAACGAGGCAGCAAGGTACTTGAAATACGAGACATTCAGCTCGTCCTCGAGCGCGTTTACAACATCCGCATTCCCGGATACACATCGGATGAGCTGCGAACCGTGCGCAAGGTGCAGCCTTCAGCTAACTGGATATCCAAAGTGCACGCTGTTCAGGCTGCCAAGGTCATGCCTGGTAAGGACGACAAATAGGATGTGTCTCCTACCGCCGGCAAATCTAGAGGACGACGACGCGTCCCATCACGTGCTAAGTCTGCGCAAACGAACCCTGAAGCTTCTACTTCTACTAATGCGGGTACGGGTGAAACTGCCGTCGCCGGCCAGAAGCGCAAGAGAGCGGTTATTGATGCGGGACAGTGAAGGAGGCTTTACCTGTCTACGATACTACGATAAGCTGGTTAATTTATCCCTGGTATGGAAATGGAGTTATCGGTTCGGACGATGTTTCCGTGGTATGGGCTGGTCTAGGAAAGGAAACATGGATTATATTATCATTTTGGCTCGGCGTTTCGATGGTTTTTAGCCACTCTGCGATGACTTCTTCTTTGCTCTTAACAGTTAGGCTTCGACCTTAGACGTCACTATTAGTTCTTATCAGGCAGCGAATTTATAGAGAATGATCGCGGGCAGATGCAACTTGGTACTGGCCAACATACATCGCGATTTACATTGCTAATACCTGCATAATTTAACTTTTTACTTTGGTGAATGCGACATGGTGAGATTCGCCTATCTCAGAATCGTAATTTCGCTCCAATCCCGCTCTTCCCAAACATCGTTCGGAGATCAGCAACCAGCTCATCAGGCTTCTCGAACGAAGCAAAATGTCCCCCTTTCTCATGTCTCTTCTCAAATACCACCGGTCCCACTACATCAGCAAAAAGTTAATGACCAACTCCAAAGAAACAAACAAGAAAATCCAAGGAATCAACTTACACGTCCTCCCCCACGAACTCGGCAGCACCGCCACGTCCATAGGGAAATATGATAATCCTAACGGGACTTTCCCATTCCACGATTGGATAGACGCGATCCCGTTTCCTGCCGCAATCATATCCTTCTGATGCATGGCCTCGTAGTACAGCCTTATACTAGCATCCGCGCCGGCCTCGCTAAAGGCGTAGATGCCAACCCAAGTCAGCACTTCCTCGTCGGTCCAGGGGTAGGCGTCGGTCCAGTCAACCAGCTTCTCGTATATCCAGGCGAGCAGGCCGACGGGGCTGTCGGCGAGCGCGAACCCCGGGGTGTGCGGCTTGGTGCCGTGGATGCGTGCGTACGCGCTGCCGTTCTCTTGGAACCATAGGGTGCGTGCCAGCCCGGCTTTCTCGGCGGCCGTGTATAACCCCAAGGCGTGTTGTAGGCAGAGGAGCGGGGAGGAGAGCGGGCTGGGCGGAGAGGCTAGGATGAAGTTTAGGTGCGAGGCTTCTATGTGCGTGGGGTATTTTGCGCCCATGGCGCGTGTGATCATGCATCCCCAGTCGCCGCCTTGTGTTACGTATTTGTTGTATCCGAGCCGGAGCATGAGTTTGTGCTGTGGTGGTCAGGGTTAGATATTGGTCATTTGTGTTGAATATTTTGGGGTCACAGGTATTTCCTAGAACTATTTTGCTAAGGAGTGCCAAAAGGAAAAGGGGAGCTTTATGCTACGTACGCACACCTCGGCGTGTTGCGGTATCCCGAACCCGGGCTTCGAGGTCGCCTGCGAGAAGCCATAGTTCGGCAACGACGGTGCTACGACGTGGAAAGTTGGCTCGTCTTCTCCGGCCCTGGTTGTCAAGAGCGGTAGTATCTTGATGACTTCGATGAAGCTACCCGGCCCTATTTATCAGTTGTGAATAAGTCAAACTCTCTAATAAACGCCTAATATTCTCACTACCCATACTCGAAAATGGCTGAGCCGTAGAAGGAGAAAGTAAAGTAGCGGGGTAAAAGAGACTTACATCCATGACAAAACAACAATGGGATCGCATCTTTCCTCTCGCTCTTTGCATGCACAAAATGGATTTTCAAATCGTCCTCGTGGCCATCAACTGCGATCCTGGTCGTAAACTGCGGTAACGTGTCGTTAAGCTTTGCCTCGGCCTCCCTCCAGTCAAACGTGTCCCTCCACGCTGTGGCCAGTCTTTTCACATCGCTCAGCCGTGCGCCATAGTCCCCATCATTCGAGAAACTCGTCTCTCGCGGGAATGTCGTCAACGCTAACTTAGCCTTCAGCGTCTCGATAGCTTGGTCCGGTACTGCAATCCGGAACGGCTCTACTGCATCGTTAGGGGAGCTCATGGTCGTCTTGCTAGCTCACGTGTGATCTTTACGGACAAGTGTGGTATATATAAAGTATAATTAAAGCGTATATGCTGAGTGGTAGTATGGTCTTTATTTCTCGTAGGACAACTCGTCCTTTAATATAATATACATATTAAGCCTACATACGAATTCCGCGGTATCCGTCTTGGTAGATGAATTCCATGGCACGTACATGCGTTGTCGTACTCGGATTCACCTCTACGAGGGTATGATCTACTGGAACGCAGGGGACATGCCATCCTAGGGTAAGGATGCGGGAATGGAATATGTAGTGGAACCCTTCTAATATAGGATTGAATATAATTGTATCATCGCCGCCATGCAAGAGAGCGGAGGTGGAAAAGGAATTGGCATGATAACTGGACGGTGAAGTCTTGGGTGAGTAAAGGAGATGAAGCCAGCCCATGCCGTGGTAGTTACTGTATATCTTTATCTTTAAAGATAGTGCGAACGAATAGGTACATAGTAATAACTTAGCTATTAATTTAATACTTATCCTATAACTGACAGAAAAAAAAGAAGAAAAGAAAATGATAAAAAGTTATTTCATCTTATCAATGAATGGTTGAATGATCGAACCCAGGCTCGAACTGGGGACCTTCAGTGTGTTAGACTGACGTGATAACCAACTACACCATCCGACCGTAAAGTAATCCAATTGTAATGTACTGGATCCTGTTGTGACAGCTGGCCAGTAATTTTAACTTATATTTTAATGGTTGCTGGTGTGGGTAGGTGGCTTCGAATGCGACCTAGTCTAGCCCTACGGTTACGGCCACCAATGGGAATGTAGATATAGTTAGGTAGAACTAGGTAGAACAGCTTCTTGTGGGTGTAACGGGAAACGGCTTAGAGCGAACCCCTGGCGTTATAGTAGACGAACCCCCTTTACACCGAAGACAAACATACTAAGAAGAGCCAACAGAGATCATTAGAACATCATCGTGTGCGCCTTTCAAGATTTATATTTGTAGGATAATAGCCACAGGGAAGTATGCATAACCCAGTTAAGTATCAAAAACGAAGAAGGTGAAAATTGAGTAGAAAGGCTGCTATATTAGGTAGATAACAAAAGTATCCCGATCTCATCACAACTTGTGGTAGACCCAATCTTTCGATTATAATTATGTAGCGTGCTTAACATATTGATTACCAAGATTATCAACGGAGAGCCTTCGGACCCGATGAACCTGTGATTCGTCCGATTGCGCTCTCCGACGAGACGGCCGAACTCCCACCAGCGTCTACTCCCGTTCTCTGAACTGAAATTGACCGAGAAAGCCTCCGTCTTCATCGCCAACCGACTAGGAACAATTGCTAGATAGCTTCAGTTCAGTATCGAACCAACAGCGATGGGATTGAAATAACGATCGGTGACAATAGCACCCATCCTGTGCAGTCGCATGCGCAATCTGGCGAGAAGGTTTGGCTACATAAGGCACCCAAGGCGAAGAATCGCTTCTCGGGCCATCATTTCGCCACACTGCCGGATGAGGTAGAGTTAAGATGAGAACCGTTTGCACCGGAGGATAACCTCGAAAGCATAAGTAAATGTAGGATACAGACGGAAAATGTCCAACCTAGGTTGCGGTGTGTTAGCTTATCAATAGTGAGGGAGTGGAGGAAATTAGGAGTCGAGAAGGCACCGATGATGCAATAAATATATCATTATAAAGTGTAATCATACGCCTCGTCTAATATTATGGTATAAGATGAACGCCGTCCGATGCATGAAGCTAGATATCTAAACAAGAGTTGCACCCACGTTCGCCGATTACCAGGTTTCTAATATCCTTTCCGCACCCTTCTCTCCCGCAACCATCACACCGAACTGCGGGTTAACAGTCAGCGGGGAAATGATCGAGGCATCAACGACATAAATGTTATCGGTGCCAATGACCTTCGTGTCTGCATCTACACACTTCCCAATCCTGCATGAGCTAGACCAATGCTGGACAGAGCCGACTGCGTAGTCAGACCACGTCGTAATATAAGTACGGATCTCCTCTTGGGTCGAATTCTGAGGAATGTTAAGCGGAGTGAGACCATCGGTAGCTGGCGAGTCCGGCGTTGAGGATGGCAGAGCTTGAAAGATGGTATGGATGAACTTTGCAATGTTCTCACTGTCACGAGGGTCGCTGTAGTAGACATCAGAACTGGGACCTGGTATGAACTTTCCGTCATCAGACAAGATAACACGTCCTGCCGAATATAGACCTGAGGTACCATAGATGTTAAGCGTGATGGTCTTATTGTCTACAAATCCCCCGTGGCCAGATGAGTCGATTGTACCTTGGACTCCGGTCTTAGTACCATCGGGATTGGGCATGTACGCCCAGAAAGCAGAAGTCTGAGACGCGGAAGCGTAGGGACCACTACGTGATGATAGGTACATATCTTTATCCGCAGGGATGGGATTGTTGTAGTCGTGAACGTACGACTCGATTTCTGGTCCGGTAAGTTCGATGAAGGTGTTAGGGTTATCGAAAAGACCCTCGCCAACTGATGGGTTAGGGACCCAACTTGTGGAGTTGAGAGACAGGAACCCAGATGCGGTCATGTTGACGAGTGTTTCGAGAGGACCAATACCAGAATGCATCAGGAGACCCGGGGAAGCAATAGCGCCTCCGCTCAGAATCACTCGACCACAGGAAGAAAGATTGATTTCTAATAATGAACCATCAACTTCGGCAGTAATTCCGGAAGCTATGCCGTTGATATGATTGATGTGTTTAACGTGAACACCTGTCTGGAGGTGGAAGTTACTTCTCTTTAGGGCATTTTGTAAGTATGTCCTGGTTGGGCCACCTCGTTGGCCATCAATGTAGTTGTAGGATGGTCGCCCGAAGACCATGTCCTTATTATCTGGGGTTTCGTTGAACACTACCTCGGATAGTCCAGCTCCGTCAACAAGCCATTTCTTTGCTGCCTCATACCCAGTTTGCATGTAGAACTTGCCGTCTGTTGAGTAGCTTGTTATCGAAGCTTGCATGTCTAGTAGTCTCTGTGTCGCATCCTCGACGTCGGCGCTCTTCCATCCCTCTGGATGATAATCATCCCAGTCAGAGGCTGGAGGCTGGAAGTACAGACCAGCATTAATAGCACTGTTCCCACCAATGGTGCATGCTTGAAAAGAGTTCACGACACCTGGAGGACACAGGATATCTGTATTTCCATTGAAGATACTCTTGTCTATCCAACTTATTAGCCTGACAATTAGATACTATGAGTGTAGGTATATACTCACATAATCCAGGCACATCAACGCGGCTTAGCGACGTTCCATCGAGCCATGCCGGCCTCTCTGTGCTTCCCGTAACTCCGTACGAAGCACCACCAAGCTCTACTAGAAGAGTCTTCTTTCCAGCTTCACTTAACCTATCAGCTACGATGATCCCAGCTGTTCCAGCACCGACGACTATGGCATCCCATTTCTGAGCAGCCCAACTAGTCGTCGAGTTTTGCCGTCTTGCAAATGAAGGTGCGCCAAATGCGGATTCGCTAAGGAAGCCGGCAATTACTGCCAAGGTCGAGAAAGACTTCATCTTGGCGTACTTTGTGTTCGGGTCACCACACAGACTGAGGATGGAGGGGAACAAAGAAAATTATCAGACAATGCTGCCATGATATATCTACAAAATATGTCATAACAAAGAGACTTACCGTACTGCATTGATAGGCTATTCTACGTCGTCCCTTGTCATTCCACTGCCGGGTCTTGGAAGGGAGACCCTTGTCCATCACGAACCCGTCATTTAGCATGTATCCGTTATTTTACAGGCATACTGTGTGTATGGCTTCAGATGAGGACCCTTGACTGCCTCAGGTTAGGTTAGGTTAGGTTAGGTACAAAACAGCTCGTGTTCTGGCAGTGCTAATAAGCCATCGTATTCAGCTTTTCCGATTCCACTACGTCAAAAAGAGCCAAGCGCAATAAGCACGGCCAATAATATTCACTTTGTAGTGCCAATACCCGTGCGTAGGTAATTTTAGAACTGACAAGCATTTCAGGTAGCCGCAATTCTTCTCTTCGGACTGATCGGTTCGAATCAGAGGCCTTTCCGCTTGTCGATAAATCCGACGATGATCAGCAAAGTAATTTATCTAACCTATCAGCTCCTGAAGCCCCTGGACTCTTTTATATATACTTCGCGTGAATAGCCTACTTTTCTCTGTTATACATACATATCACGCAGTACAAATGCAGTAAATATTCAGCCATCCTTTCCATTAACACAATACTAAACGAAAGTAACGATTCAAGTGAGCGTAATCATTAGCTTATTGTACTGTACAATATGTATATCTCCGCTATCAAGCAGAAAGATTCTCAATCCCGAGTAGAGCCGAGCTAAACTCGCAACGGTGTATCCTTTCCGTTTGCCCTTCTCATGCCGATATACCAGTAATCAATTTACAAATTTATCAATTTCAAAATCCAGCCCATTGCCCTATCGGGTCCCTCTAAGGTGTCGAGAATAGCATCAGCATACACTTACATTAGTTAAGAACTAATCCGAGTTCCTTAGCAATAATATCTGCTGCTCTCTCCCCAATTACCATTGCAGTATTGGCGGTATTTGCGCCAACATTCTCTGGTGCGATACTCATATCTACCACTTTAAGTCCGTGTACACCGTGCACGTTTAAGTTCTTATCCACGACGCCCATCTTATCCTGCGGCGCCATCTTAGCCGTGCCCAGCGAGTGCCAGGAAGTTTCAACACGCTCCCGGACGTACTGCTCGATCGCTGCATCATCCTCTGCTGAGTACTCTAGGTCGACAATCGGGGCTCCCTCAACAGGTTGATTCCACTCCTCAATGAGGGCTGCCTTGGAGCCCTCAGGGAACCGAGGATGACAGGGCGGATGTTCACCACGATACATAGAAGTCCGTCGCATGATTTCGCGACCCTTCTTGTACGACCAAATTAACTTCTTAAGGTCTATGTCATTTTCGTCGTTGAAGAAACCTGTGTTGAAATCGAGTGCATCGCCAACTTCGGGGCCTGTGATGTGCATATGACCCCGCGAATAGGAGTAGGTTGTGAAGGGCAAGATGCTCACGAATTGACCAGTGGGCAATACTGAAGAGTTGTCCCCATATAATCTAAACATCGTATTAGCGTTAGCACCCTATGATTTCCTACCTAAGAATCGAGAGATGTGGATGATAGGTATCAAGTTATGTTTCGAGGTATATATCAGGTACTTACCCGCTAACGACAACCATCACTATGAGTGGTCTATTAGGCCGGTTTTTGAAGTCCCTTTCCCACGAAGCCTGGAACTCGGGTCCTAAAGCTACGGCTTCAGCATCTGTCGGCCTAATCTTGGAGGCAAGATCTACGTAATTCCACCCAAGATGCGGGTGTTCCTGGGCGATTGCGTCTTTGAAAGACAATCGTCCACTCAACAAAGCGTCAGCTGTTTCGTCCTGGGATAGAGATGTCTTAAATACGGAAGGCACTTTCAAATGATCCTGGTAACCAGACCCGACCCCGGGAAGCTCTTGGACGATGGGAACACCGGCTCGATCCAGTATATCCCTGGATCCGATTCCGGAACGTTCTAGTACGGGAGGCGTACCGCAGGCACCACATGACACGATAACGAGCTTTCGGGCTCGGACTGTCTGTTTGGGACGTGATACCGAGCCGTTTACCAGGGCTTGGAATCGTGTGTTGGGTGTAAACTCTACTCCACAGGCTCGTTTATTCTCGTCAAACAGAACACGTACTACATTGTGCTCTACCAGAACATGCAAGTTAGGATGTTTACCATCACGCAGCCGAGGATGTATATACCCGCGAGCGACGTCCGAACGCTTTCCTTCGGGAGTAGCGTATTTGAGCCAGCGTTGAAAGCCGTTGTTAGTATCTAGTGATTGGAGATCTTTTATCTCCGGATACCCGACCTGTTCTGCGGCACGCAGCCAGTCGTCTTCTATAGTCTTACCACGGAAGGGCCCATCGGATACTTGGATTGGACCACTAAAGCCATGATGTTCTGGATTTCCCGGCCCGTGGTAAGTCTCTATCTTAAGTAGTAGAGTTGTTAGCAGGACTATTAGACACGTGAAATATAGGTGACTATAGGTACCTTCTTTAGGTATGGCCACAGTTCGTCCGTCGTCCAACCGGGGGTATTCCACGAATCGTAGTCATCGCGCTGAGCTCGCGTGTACCTGGTTTGGAGAAGGTTTCAGTAAGTTATGCTTGGTTTTTTTATGTTGCATTTACATATTAACCTACATCAAGAAATTCATAGAGGAACCTCCACCCAGAGTACCCCCTGAAGGGACGATATATTCCCGATTGGCAATGAGTTTTGACTTAGCTGACTTGTAGAAAATTGCTGTTTCGGAATCCGGTTGAAAATTCAAGGGATAAAGTGCCGGCGTTACTACCTTGGGGTTATCGTAGTTCTCCTGGCCACCCTCAATGACTAGAATCGAGAGCCCCGGATCAGCTTCGGTCAACCGTCCGGCTACGATACACCCAGCTGTCCCACCTTCATATGATAATATATTAGCAGGTTTAATTATCAGTAAATTATTATATTCCTTACCTCCAGCGATGATTATATCCACCTCCTTAATATCCGCTGGTAGCTTCTGGTATAAACCCATATTGATTTTATGACGTAGTACAGCTTAATATGTCATACGTCACTCATGACAGAAACATGACAGAACGATATAAGGTCTCATTTAGGGGATATCCAAGATATAGTACTTTAGCTATGGGATGTCAGATTACCCCAAGGCAACATTCCCCCGCTTTGACGCTGAGTCAATTGACGTCGAGGTCATGCGCGTTGAGGGTTGGGATACGGATTGGAGTAGTACCAAACTTGAATTGACACTTGCAGGTTCTTGATTCGAACTATCTCGGTTCTCCAGATAGCCAATAGAGAGTTAGCACCATGAGCACAAGATGCAAAGACGGTCTAGGTCGTCGTGCGGAGAGGGTATCACGGATATAGGATGATCGACATCGGTATGCATGTCTGTTCCATACATTCACTACTGGAGCCAAGCTTACGCCACCGCCGAGCAATAGTTACAGTGAACGAGGCCAGGCTCAGTCTATACTCCGCCCTTAAAACCGAAAACTACCTTGTTTAAGATCTCGCCTCACGTAAGCATGCCTAAACTTATAGATATAACAACATGGAAAGAAGATAAATTAGTGATCTAATTCTCTATAACCAGTATATAGACTCTTACCAAGTCCATCGTCACCCCTGAGGTGGCAAATTTCAAATCCATAGAATATCACGTAAACACGTCTGTCTCGCAGGAAATTCACAAGAAATATCATAAAGTTTTGGTGAAGAGATAATTTCAGTCGGATTTAACAACTAACTGTTACTATAACAAATAGAAACGACCCAACGCGTCATGGTAAAACAACGCCGATATACCTAACCCGAAAATAATCTGACACGATCAGTCACTAGCAAATGGAAGTATCCTAAGATGCATGCCTTCTCGTGCTTATTTTCACATCGGCACATCGCCAAACGGAACCGCTCGCTTCCAGTTTGTGCCTGGAGTCCACTCTTTCGTCTCGTCTGTGTTCTCTGGATTAACCGCGTAGACCTTGACGTTGAGATTTGGATATTCATATAGCACTGTTAGAGAAATTAGCTTTAGTTAAGATTAACGTAGTGTAAGTTGTCATCAATCATACTGAAAACTGATTCGGGCCTTGGGGTTGTGCCCTTCTTCAACAATACATATGCCGAACCTGTGGTCTCTCTTGCAAGAGCCTCAGACATTCGAGGAGCGAGATCGTTTTGGACTGGGCCTGGGCCACAGTCGCCGAGCCAGTCGTAGTATTGATCATTCGGGTAGACGTTACCCCAGAACTTTCCGTTGATCTGTCCGGCATAGTTCATGGCGTCTCTGTTGGTGCTGGATGGGCTGGTGTAGAAAACAGTTTTGTCGAGAACAAGATTCTTGCTTCTGATCCAGGCACGTATCTCGTCGACCGTGGGGCATGCAGCTTCGGCTTGGATAGCGAGCGAGAGCCCAGTAATGAATACAGCAAGGAACTTCATGGTGAATGTTGATGTTGATGTGAAATATTGGCGTAACTGGATAATATGTGATTTTAAGGATGTTTGCAAGGCAATGAATTCTTAATAGTCTATTACAATCGCTGAATAGTCTGAGAGTTCCTCTTCCTATATACACTTCGAAAGTCATACCAATTGTATGTTTATGCTTTAAACTTGATATTCTCTAAGCTGAGCCGCTCATCAAGGCAAAAGCTATTCTAGTCGATTTCGACTATTTTGAATCCTCCAATCCTCTCACTAGTCAATCATGCCCATCTAAAGAAAGGTTTTGCGATCTCATGAATAACATACTTCTGTGAATAGAATATTGATCATCCGATCTGCAGTTATGGCATGTCTAGAGGAGCCTCACTTGGCTATTTAGTTGGTTATGCGCTTTCAGCTTGTCAGCCATCAGCCATCAGCCAAGCTTGGAATGATGATTGGATGTATTAGTGTTGAGCCCCCTAACGACGTCATTGTTAAATATGGGCTATGGAGGCTGTGCAGATCGCTGAATCCTTAAGCAGGCATCAACTTAACTAACAACTCTCTCTAAGAAGTAATAAAAGTTGTAAACGTAATTATAATATTAATGAGTTATGCATTCGTACTGTTTCACAGGATACAGCTTATTACTGCATTTTAAAATAATACATACAAATAATACGTACAGCGGAAAAGTCTAAACTCTCAAGTCCCTATTATTTCTTTTCTTTTAGAAAAAAAAAATACCCCACCATGTCTATCAAAGAAGAAACTATCCTCGCAGCTGTCTACTCTGGGTCTATCAACCTTTTTGCTACCCTTCTCTCTAAAGACCCTACAATCATCAATTATCAATTCGACAGACGTGGTACACCTCTCGCATTAGCATGTCAAAGTCAACAACCGATCAACTTCATTGAGTTTCTACTTAAGCAAGGCGCTGATCCAAATCAAGATCCCGACATTGCACCATTTCCGTTGGCTTCCGTGGCAGCTTTCTATAGTGACACCAGCGCTGCAGCACTTTTACTAGAGCATGGCGCAAAGATAGAAAACTCGGGAGCGCTTGCAGCTGCAGCAGGAAGAGGGAATGAAACTATGGTGCGATATCTACTTGAGAATGGTGCACAGCAGGATAAAGACGATGTAGAAGGTAGAATTCCCGAGTTGGCCCTGCATATTGCAGCGAGCAGAGGATATGTTGGAATAGTAAAGATGCTGCTGGAGCATGGGGCAGACATAAGAAAAAGAGACGTTGAAGGTCGAACGGCCCTCGAAGTCGTGAAAAAGGCTGAAGAGAAAGATGGAAGTGATTTGAGTGAGGTTCGGAACCTCCTAACGAAGCAGTAATTGGCAAATGTTCTACTTAGGTTAGGAGGTAGTTAAGGTATCATCTCAAAATTATATTAATTAAAGCATGATAGTCAATTTTCATAGTCAGCATACGGCAATATTCGATCAATTAACTAGAAGAATTTAGTTACTATAGATAATATCTATTAATTACCTACCGTAATAGACGGCTACAGTGGATGGCCTTCCAAAATATAAGCAATTTGATTGGTCCTAAAATTGCACGTTATTGTCAAAGGTAACCCACTGTTCCCTTCTTACACTTGAGGATATTTTAGGACCATAGCCTTAACAAAACCTGTTTATCTTATAACTATTTAATCTTCAACATATGTATTCTTGGTATCTACATCCTACTTGATATCCGGGCCAATAATTACCAAAATAAGCATTGTAGTTTCGTAACTTTTATGACTGTACTCTCGAATGATCGACAGGTGAAATCCCACCGGGGGGGGGGCGGAGGCGCGGTAAGTCTAGACCGAAAAAAGAATTATGTAGCGTTAGGTAAGAGCTGAAGCTAAGGCGGTAGGGCGGCAGGGCAGCTCCACGCTATTATGCGCTACTCTGGAGATCTCTTCTATTAATATATTTTAAACAAAACATCACATTTAGTAACTTATCGCGAGAAGCGTCACTATGACGTCGAAAGGAAGTGGCCAGAGGATCTAATGTGAAAGATGAGGCTATGTTTCTTACAAGCTGGGTGGAATAAGGATCAGTAACTATTGTAGTGACATGATGCTAAGATCGAGTTTATGGTTGAGTTACGTACGATATAGTAAAAGACTACACATCGACGGTATGAAGCTTCTGTATAAATTGAGATGCTTTTCCACCTTGAACAATTACTATCTGCATCACTCTACACAACAACAACAAGAACAGTCTTATATCTACACTACCTTCAAAGTCCATCACACTTCATATCTTTTAAAACAACTCAGAAACTCACTTACTTTAAACTTTCAAAATGGTTCAACTCGCCCAAGTCGCAATCATCTTCACCACAGCTCTTGCTGGCTTTACCACTGCTAAAAGCTGCAAAACCGGAGGCATCTACTGCGGTACCTATCTTCTCGAAAGGGGTAAGTCATACTCATACTTAACAAGCTTTAGACAGATAAGTCTAGAGCAATCAACAGTGCCAATGAAATACTAATAATGAGTGTCACAGGTGACTACATTAACAAAATCATCACCAACCTACGGGCTAACAACATGCCAACGGATGACAACACCATTAAGCAATCTCTATGGAGCTGCCTTGAGCACGGCGATATTCAATTCAAGGAGATGTGCACCAGGGGTTGCGTCGGCGGCGATAAAAATGACGACTACTGCACCGGATCCCCTGATGCTGGAGGCGAGAAGAGGGGCGAGCCAGTTTTCTGGGAGGCTTAAGTCTCACACGATTTGAGTCTATGGGCGGATTGTTTATTTGGAGATAGGATCTCATTACTTCCCAATATCTCATTCTTTCGCACCTGTAAACTACCTATGTAAAATATAGAATTACACCATGTTATAACAATATACCACGGACTTCCCCGACTGACAATATTCTCTGCATTGATTGTGTATAGTCTTGATAAAACTTGTTAGGAATTTATACCTACCTTGATACATAGGACTTAAATTGTTCGTTTTACTAGAGCCAAATTCATGACTTCAACAAGGGGGAAAATTCTTCGAATATTTCTTTTAATAAGCTCAATGTATTCAATAGAATTATTCATACTACTTTTAGTCCACAATGTCTATGCTAGAAAATATTCTATTTACCTACCTAAACCTATGTCCAAATAATTTATTGTTTCTGTATCTCGGCTCATACTATATAGGATCATTTCTATCCCCCGACCCCTCAAAACCTCACCTTAGGGTTCCATCCAGCCTTTTGCACTCTCACGAGAAGAAATAAGAAGAAACCGATAGTAGTCATCGTTGCTGCCCATACCTGTGCACCTACGAACTTACCGCCATTGGCTGCTTGGATGGCACCTCCAATTGGCGGTCCTGTTAAGGAAGCAAATGAAGAAATGCTGAAAGCCATCCCGAGCCGTGTTCCAACCATGTCAAGTCTTTTGGTAATACTGGCTAAGAAACCAATTAGATTAGCACTAAAAATTGTAGGTGATTCAATCACGTCCCAAGTCCAGTTAGAAACTCTTAATATAGAAATACTTGGAACCCCCGACGCGTGAAGTAGGTTGATAAGAGGGGAAAATAGGGGTCAAAGTTACTTACTGACAGCGGTAGCAATTAAGCATTGAAAACTACCAGCACATATACCATAGAAGCAGGCGAAGACATATAAGCCAGGTACATTGTCAACCGCAAGCCAACAAAACGCCACGATCGCCCATGCAAGTGTAACGGGAACCATTACGTTAATTGGACCAACTCGATCAGCAATTATTGGCGGTATAACTCGGAAGAGGATGCCTGCTCCGTTAATAAGGATGATCATGATCGAAGCGGTTGAATATGAGAGGCCAAGGGCTTCTCTGCCAAATGAGGCAATCTGGATCAATCTGTCAGCAGAGAAGGTTTGCTTCGGGGCATCCAATACTTCATGGCAAACTCACGTAATAAAAAGAGAAATAATTAGCCATCATCAGTGAGAAAATGCCAGCTACGACACCATTGTACGCAGAATCGCGAAAGGCTGCAAAATCGATTATGGGCCCGGATCGCCTAGGAGGTAGACGTGGACGCATGAATACAAGTACGATAGAAAGACAACCGAGATTAATAAAAGCCAGTACTCTTGTTGTCCAAGCAAATCCTAGTGTTGGAATCAACTGCCTGACAACAACCGGATAAACAATACCACCAGCTGAGTTTCCTGTTGTCGCCAGTCCAACTGCAAGGGCACGCCTCTTATTAAAATACGTCGCGACAAGGGCAAGGGATGGAGTGAAAAAGATCCCTGCTCCTATGCCCGTCAATACGCCTTGAGTCAGCATCAGCGACCAATACTGAGTCGAGATGCTCATTAAGAAGATGCCAAGCACTTGAATCACTGCGCCAACCAAGAAGGTCGGAATGAATAGACCGGCGTCTAGGAGACGTCCGGAGAAAACACTAATCACCAAGCAAAACCATATTTGCACAGACCCAATCCAAGATATAGTTGATGGAGACTGCGGTAGCGTTGATGTGTAGTAAGTCTGGAAGCTACCAAAGGAGTTGACCCATCCCCAAGTTGTGAAGATAACAAGCCACCCCACTGTGTTCAGTTAGTGAAATTATCTTTTGTTATATTTTGAAACCTGCGTACTTGCGACTTGCACCCATGCAGTTGTACCACCATCTGGCGGAGGAGGTGGTTCTGGCCATGACCTCGTAGTAAGGTGCGAGGCCGCGTGTGTAAGTACATTACTAGCGGTTCTTCTTAGATCTAAGGATCTCCTCGTGCGTTTATCTCTCGTTTCAGTTCTTTGCGCAGCCTCAATATCATCTTTATTTTCATGTTTCTGAGCGATATGAACATTATCGTGGGAAGATGTATTTGAAGTGATCTCTTCTTGAGCTGTGGCTAATATAGGATGTTGCTTTTCATCAAGTTGATCGCTATGTTCTTGGCTAGCCATTGTTGTGGTTTAGAATGGATGGTGCTAAAATAGAATAACTAAGTTTAAAAAAAGAAAAACTTACTTTTGAACGGCTAATTGCTAATTCTAATAAAAGAAGATAAATCATATGAAAAGCACGAGAAATAAGCACATGTTGCTGCAATAATCGGCTTAATGCTCCGCGGTCGGCCCCATTGGATAAGTTATTATCAAAAAGAGCTTAATAATAGGCTTAAAGAGCCTATTAGGGACCCCAACGGCTTCGATACCAACCCACCAACATACACCGAATGCCGGTCCGAAATGTCTCCTTTGTGGACCTGATGTAGGAATCCGGGGCGAGGGAACCGACCGGAGCGGCTCCATAATGATCGTCGCAGGGGAGCCCATATAATAATCACCTTTTTATTGGTTAGAGACGGTCAATCGGATTGTTTCCATTTTACACCTGTCCTAAGCTCAATGTTTTTTCCCCTTTGCTCGATTCAACATATGGATCTTTTATACGAGCAACCCCTGATTTTATAATGTTACTCATAATTGAATTATATTACTTTTACTCATCGTTTACTGTATTAGACTTATTAGTTTAGAGGGTTTACTTACATAACTACCTCTTAAACTAAGCGTTCTTATCAAGGCGTAGTTCGTACATTAATAATTTTATAACGGAGCAAAGGAAACAAAATTTGTTTGCGCTTTGGTAGCTTATTTTAGGCATTGATAGGCAGTTGCTCTAAGGAAAAGACTTATATATATTTGTTATTATTATTCATCAATACATAGAACTATTGTTGTTCAATCCCCATAATTTCCATGGTTGTATTAACAGGAAACGCTTTTCCTTATTCAGAGGCAAGAGTTCTACTTTGGGGATAGTTAATTATTAGATTTGTGATTACTAGCTGCTGAGGCTGTGGCTATAACCATCTCCATGATTCTTATATCTTAATCCCGCACTACTCGTTACAAATTATTACTACGGTGTATTCTTACTATTGTATGAAATTCCTAGTTCTTCCCTGCTACAAGACTAGAGAGAGAGCCACGACAAGATGACCAACCCAAGTCAAACTAGCATATCAGTCGAAGAAGAAGTAGAACATTATGAATTTGCGTCTCTGGATCGGCCTTGCCAGTATTGCAAGGTTCTAGAACTTGACGACGCAGGACATGGAGGCACTATAAAACACTCCAAGGGCGGAGAGCGATTCGTCGACTTCGGTGAGATCCAAGAAACAAATGCCGAAAGACATAAGGACAATTATGCGTCAATAGCGGCGATGGCCGGTGCGGGAACTCTTAACGAGTTAAGAACTTGGCCTAGGTTAGAGCTCAAGCTTAATTATAAGAGACACGATATCTTCCCCGATCTTCCTGGGTTTGAATCTACGGGTTCTCGAGGATGTGCATTCTGCGATATACTCAGAAAAAATATCATGTCAAGTTGGGATAAATCCAGGGAGTTTATTAGTCAGGGCTTGAACGACGAGGAGAAGACCCATCAGGTAAAGCTCAACGTTTCTGGAATGACATATAAGTTATACGAGGCATCTCGCGATAACAAGGATGAAGCTACTAGCCTTCCTAAACGTATATGTCTAGATTCACTTTATGTATTCTTTACTGTTGAATGGGGGAGTAAAAAGAATGATTATTCACTCCATTATAACATCCACACTGATGCCCGTGGTACGTCGAGGATCCTTTCATGGTATCTGTACGAAGAAGAGCTTACAAGAACTAGATCCGTGTGCATCATGGTTTCAGATCTGGCGTAGACCTCTATCTAACGAATATTTATCCCCGCCTTCAATCAGGCGCCTGAATACGTTCATTGCTGAATCCCTTTCCGAAGTATCTGAACCAATCGAAGATAAATATTACCCTACGCGTCTTCTGGATGTCGGTTTGGACTCTGACTCCAAGTTATGCCTTATTATCTCGAAGGAACATGTCCATCTTAAGAATGAACCGGACCCTGCGAGAAAAAGATACGCAGCTTTGAGCTACTGCTGGGGCTCTAAATGTGAAGCTGAGAGACAGCTCAAAACGACACGCAACTCAATTCAGAACCATATCTCACAGATTAAACTCGAGAGCCTGCCTCAAACAGTCGCAGATGCTGTCCAAGTTTGTCGGAGCATTGGGATTAGATATCTTTGGGTAGATGCCTTGTGCATTATCCAAGATGACCCTGATGATTGGGCCACTGAAGCTTTCGAAATGTCAAATGTTTATGCTAATAGCTTTATAACATTGTGCATCCTCCAGGGAGAGTCCTGCTTGAGTGGATTCTCCAAGATACCGCACGCTCCACAGATGTTAAAAGTCAACTTCCGTTCTAAACTGGATAATTCTGTATCAGGAAATCTGTACCTTCGAATGATGCACCCTCCAGAGGAAAACCTCATGCAAGGGAATCGACTCATCGGTTATGATCCCGATGTGCCTGCCCAAGAAGATTTCGATAAAGCTGCCTGGAGCAAACGAGGGTGGACATTTCAAGAGGCTCAGTTATCGCCACGTAAATTATTTTTCGGAAAACTGACGTTCCATTTTGACTGTGGGAAGATACACGAGTCAGCAGATGGATCTAGGTTTAACGGCCATGGGCTGGTGGCCCGAGGCGATATGGGGCTCAACGACTCCATGGAATATTGGTATCGTCTTGTTACGGAATATGGCCGTCGTACGCTCACGTACGAGAACGATAGGTTTCCAGCTCTTTCTGCGCTTGCTAGGTCTATATCTGATAAGTTTCCAGACCAGCAATACGTGGCTGGCTTATGGAAATCAGATTTACATAGGGGCCTTCTTTGGACCCCTTATGCGTGGACTGACCTCAAAACTTATCTCAAAAGGTTAGACGACGGATATACTGCGCCTACTTGGAGCTGGGCACATCGTCCTAATGGTCTTGTTTGGGTAGGCGGATTTAAACCAGACAATCCCTTTTCGCCTGAATTTGAACTTAGGGACGCTATAGTCGCCACGGAGAATTTGAATCCATACGGACGCGTGTCAAGCGCAACTCTCAAGCTTTATACCAAAGCCTTCGAATTTCCCCTTAGCAAGGGTAAAGGGAAAATAGTCAAAGCGCCAGATTCTGAGTGGCGATGGCTCCAGATGAATTTCCACTACACGCTGTTATCAGAAAAAGACGAATATATTGCTTCTCTCCATTTAGATTGGCTTTCATATGGCATGGAAGGGGTTCCGGAAGACCCGATGGATCAGTTGTGGATGGTTTTGATCTCTTCAAGTAGCATCGACAAGCTATTCTATCATTGGAGTCCAGAAGAAGACAAGTATGTAACTGATCCGGAGATGATGATTGGTCTCTTGGTGTTACCGAATGGAAGAGAGGATGAATTCATCAAAGTCGGTTTATGGTACTCTGAAACTCGAGGACTAGGCGGGAGGAAGTTTTGGAATGATATCCAAAAGCGCTTGATTAAACTTGTCTAAAATTCTTTTACATAGACGTTTTACGGGGAAAGAGCCTCGTCGTGTAGATGAAGGACCTGATACAGGTAGGTAATCCTATAATATCTTGGAGTGGTCCCGTGATACTTGGGCAATATAGTTGTGGCTTATAAAATTATTCATTTAGTCTTCAACAACTCTTATCTAACAACTTGAACCAATGATATCTTTCTGATCAGGTGGCCGGAGACTGTTATGCTCCAAAGATAACCGGACGTCCTAGAATCGAGTAACATTCCTCTCGCACATACGGACCTTTTTTACAGAGGGTTATGAGGCTTCAATATGACCGGGGTCTTAAGTCTAGCTTGTGTATTGTTAACCCCGCTTCAAACGCATCAAATGGAATATATCTAAGGTGAGGGAGTATGTGGGCTGAAAGAAATGCTGAACGTGCGGGTTGAAGCACAATGCCTAAATCCTTCAAGTTCGGTAATAATTCCCAAAGTAGGTAGGAAAGGATTTCGCGTCTAGCGCCTCTTCAAGCCGCGATAAACGGCCTATTACTACTCAACTTAAAATAGAAAGTAAACTTACCGCTGAGCGATTACTTGTAGTTAACTGAGAAGTTAGACTTGACACTCGCTTCCAATGTTGCCAATTGGTGTCTTAAGACTTAATGTGCAGATTTCTAAGTTACCTACTATTGTTTCTTTCTAACCACGATATTATTTGCTTTTGTTTCTTTTTATAGCTTGCGGCTGAAGCCAATATTTCATCAACTGGCTGTGTCTCGAAGGAACATCAAGTGCGTATGCACTTCTGCAGCCTATCAAAAAGCAATCGAACCATTGCTATCACTACACGGGGTAGAGTCGCAAGGACTAAGAAATCATACGCTGCACCTACTCGTGAAGCATGCGCAGGGGAAAATTCTAGACGTGCTTGGTAGAGGGTTACCTTCCTCTTGTTAGTATGCGTAGGTGCAAATTCAGTGTCGTCTCGGCTCGAAAGTCGGGTTCGTTGGTTCGAGCTTCGGGTCGGAAACGGGAGCTGGTTTTGAAGACCCCTGGCAAATGGTTTTGTAAGGTTTCATCGACCTATTTTCGGTAATCCATGTGGCATTCCCCACGAGGCTATAGGAATCGTTTCCTTGCTCGCGACCCCAAAATATGTCCCAATTTCTTATCTGTAACTAAAACTTAAAACTCCGCCCCGTCGACACATATGCAGGGTGCCGTGGAAGTCAGAGTCGAGTTTCCTCTTCCGGATCAACCCACGAGGCTCCCCGAGACTTTGCTCTTCGGGGAGCTGAGGAACTTGGGATAAATATGAATGAGGGTAACCTCGTGTGAGAGTATATGATCGTGTTTCTTTCGTCATAATAATTATACTCTCATATCTCTTAGGACTTCCGTATCAACATGTTCGTGAAGCCGCTCCTTATGTTTGGCTGGGCTGCGGCCTTTAGCTCTGTATCAGCCTCCATTTCACCTTCGGATATTCTAGTCGATGTGCGAGACGCACCGGGCTCTTCATCCGCGGATACTCTTCGTGCCCTTCGCCGGTCTCTTGAGGAAATAAAACTTCAAGGAAGAGATACGGTACTAAAGAATAGTACAGCTTTAAGCAAAAGTTGGAATGGCGCAACCTTACTTAGCATGTAAGTAGAACCCTAGCCTCTGAGCTGCTTGATTATATCACTTCGTTACCTGACCTTCAGTCCAGTGCTGCCCAGACAAACACCGAAAATAATGCCACGATAAGTGGTGGGGTAGACATAACATGTACAACATGTTATATCAAGGGGAACGCCACAGCTGAATTTAGCATTGATGGAGACTTCAATGTGACGCAAGCACTTAAGAACTTCACAAGCGAAGTTGGAGAGGGAATCCTAAATACTACTGATCAAGTCATTGACTATATCGAAGACTACTTTCCAACTGTTTTCCACAATCTCGAAGACGGCATAGACCTAGACGACTTTGACTTCCCTCCGATAAACATATCTTTCAATGTCGACGTCCCAGATATCCCCGAGTGTCGCCTCCAGTTCAAGTTTGATGACTTAGAGTTATATATGCTCATCGATACAGTGTTATCGGCTGGTGCAACCTATAACTTGAATCTTTACTCATCAAAAACACCCATCGGAATCTCGGCAAGCAGCGACTTATTTATAGGTGTTGTTTTCTCCGTCGACCTGATCCTGAGTGTAGACACCGAGATCGATATCAGTAGCGGAATTCACATCAAGCTAGAAGATGGTGTTGGCCTTGACATGGCTTTGTTCGGACAAAATGTCTCAAGCATTACTTTGTAAGCAAATCGCCCCTTTCCACTGAGCCAACTCGGCAGTGCTAATTCCAAAACTTTAGTAATGGAGCAAACTTTGAGTTCCTCCCGGTAACAGTTGAAAGTGCTGGTGGTCTTCTTAAGGCTGTCCTTCGTATTGGAGTGAATGCAGGATTTGAACTCTCGACTCCTTCTGTGGTGATTCCCAGCTCCTCGTTTACGACCAAGGCGAGCGCTGGTGTAGGTGTTAGTGTGTGGGCTAATATCGCCGAGTTTGCGACAAACATTACCGCAGCTCCTGAAGGTGACGATGAAGACTGTTCGTTGAAGGTTGAGCAGTCGTACCAGTTCGGTCTTGGCGCTGCTGCTGGTGCTACTCTTGCTATTGGAGTAGAGACATGGGGACCAGCTCCTAACGTAAGTTGCTATCTATCTTATTCCACTCAAGCCAACATAAGAGGTAGCTTAGAACTTGGAATATGCTAACCTGAAATAATAGACAAATATCCCTATCTACACGACGACAATAGCCGATATCTGTGCCATCCAGGGTCGCACTCAAACTACCACCGCTTCTATTCCTGCGATCAGCGCTAGAGCCGACGAGGAACTAGAAACGACTACGCTGAGTAAAAAGGTTACTTATACCGGCGTGGGCTGCCTGACTACAGGCTTAGTCGATTGTCCGCCAGCTTTGCAAACTACTACGAAAGTGACAAGTACTTTGACACACATCACAGCAGTGCCTTCGGATTCAGAAGCTACATTCCCCGAGACTACCGGGACTAGCGCTGCTACTCTTGTTCCCTTCGGCACCAACGCGAAGAGTGTCGAAGCCACGACTGGATCCCCTGTGTCTTATGTGGCACCTCCACCAACCTCGTCAGGGGATCCTACTGTTTCCAGCGAGCACCCGCTCGGTGAAGTTAACGGTGTTGATAAGAGAATTATCATCGGAGTTTGTGTTGGGGTTGGCGTGCCCCTGGTCGCTGCAATCATTGCTGGTATCTTGTAAGTTTTTATTCTGATTGCATCCGCTCTAACACCCTATTCGAATATAGTATATCGTGATATTCGTCGGAATATATGCTAACAATCGCCGACAGCTTCTGCCAGAAACGAAGGAGATATGCAGCAGTAACACAACCCTATAAGGGAAATGGATACTAGTAAAAGGGAGAACTAAATTACGGAAATAAGGGGCGTTTAGGGGTCACGACGTGACGAGACACTTGATGGTTATTTGAAGTTAGGGTGCTGGTGTTTAGGCATTTATCAAGATATCCTGTTTGAAAGTTATTAAATATCGAATATTATTCTTATGATACCAGGAGCTTCGGCTCTTAAGTCAATTGAATTTGCACTCTTTAGTATTTGAACAACATGGAGCTACACTGTGTGTTTAGATCCTTGTAAAAAGGATCATCTAATGAAATCCTTGGCGTTGGGACCCTGAATCTTGACTCAACCCCTTGATAATTTAGCAGGGTCTTTGGGTTGCACTAATATCTTACAGGCCTATTAAGCTTTTATTAAGGCTGAAATACCTCTTGTTGATTTTTTGGTACTGATCTCGTAGGGCTTTCAAGACCTTTGGGATTCGATTTAGACCTTATATATGCACAATAACTTATTGTTATTCACCACTTTAAAACGCGGATTGAAGAAGCCTAAATCAGTTTTGAGCCGAGTACTGAATATATGTTCTCCTGTTACTCCAGTAGTTAGTATTCGACATGATGAGTGTAGATACTCTTTTAATGAGTTCGCTATAGGGTTCGATCTTATAATGGCCACCATGAAATATTTACTCTTGGAGAGCTTACCTCGCTTATAAGTGAGGCGAGAGCTGGATACATTTTGGACTGACGAAATCTGTACATGTATAGTACCTCGACAGCCAAGCTCTATGGATATGTTAGTGAACTCCTCGCCCAGCAATCCGTGATGAGCAACGGATAGAAATACGTGAGCGACGGCCCCTTCGCCTTGAAATCTTCACTCTAACTAGGCGGCAGTTTTAGTTGCGGCGAGTGGATACTCATACTTCACGGTCAACTAGCTCAACTTCGCTGCGGCTACGTATCTTGACCTAGATATGAGAGTGATTGCTTTCGCACTCTTCAAGGCTAAGCTTCCCAACGGTGGTTCTAAGGCACCATCTCGTTGGAAGCCGTTTATGTAACAAGATGTAAAATTATGTATAATGATACTGTGATGCAATGGATAACGTATTATGGAGGGTTGAATATAGGGGTTTAAAGCTTGGACGGTGGTATAAGCTTTTACTTGCCCCTATTTGCTACCCCTATTTTATTAAGTGGTTCTGGGTGGCTCTGAATATACATACATAGTAAGCTGGTTGGCTATCATTGCGATTTGTGACATCAGTAACAGTTGAAATCGGGGTGAGTAAAGGTGGGATACACCTAGGTATGCGGTTATATTAGAACCAAAGAGGTTATATTAGAATAGGTCCAGGTATGGAATAGTTGAAAGTGAATTGGTAGAAGTGAGGGGTTCAAGGCTATTAAGCGATTAAAAACCCCATTGTAACCCCACTACTACGAAGGAGGTACCTGCTTTTTCAACCCCCTCAAATTGTGGCGAGTCTATAGGTGTGGCTGGTAGGCTAGGTTTTCTACGTTAGGTATTTTCCACTAGGAACCTTTAAGCCCCTGGAAGCCTCACTCGGAACTCGCCTGACCGGGGCAGGTGTCTTCCAGGTCGCCGAGACAACTTGAAATGACCCGCATTTTTTTCCCGAGGGAGCGCCATATTCTGACCGATACTTTTTATCTCTTTCTGTTCTATCTTCATTAGTTATCAGCAGGTAATCAAACATCATTCGATCGCTGTCGCTGTTACGGTTGTTGCTTGCGCCATTGCTTTTGACAAGCTCGGTTCTTCGGCTGACATCGTTGCTCGCAGTCGAATTTTTCGAGTATTGTTAAATTCTTTTTTGTTATTGGGTGCACACCTTAAGAAACATCGCCAGTTATCAAACATCCTGCAAGTCGATCTTCAACCCCCGCCAAAATCTTCAAGCGCTGTCCACGATGTCGGGAACTATGAGAGGTACACCTAGTCGCGGTGGGAACCGAACCCCTGCTCCGTCATTTGGGCCTGGAAGTCCCGCCAATTCCAATATTCCAAGACCCGTCAACGATCCTCACCCCGCTCCGAGCGAAGTCGCTTCTGGTGTCAGCGCAAGCAGGCAGAAGCAAAGCAAGCGCGATGAGGTATGAGTATCGCGTTTCCATTACGATGATATGGAAGCTGACCCCTTGCACTAGGCCATCAGGCGAAAGCTGGAGAATGACCTCTCCAAGAAGAAGCATCACATTACGGGTCGGGCTCGGCACTCGCGCAAAGCCCCTCCTGGAACCGTCCTCGCCCTGAAGCCGAGCCCTGCCCTCCAGATCAAGCCCGGTACCACCGTCTCCGAAGCCGCGCAGCTAATGGCCGCCAAGAGGGAGGACTGTGTATTGGTGACGGATGAGGATGACCGAATCGCTGGTATCTTTACGGCCAAGGACCTGGCTTTCCGAGTCGTCGGCACTGGCCAAAAGGCTAGCAGTATCACCATCGCAGAGATTATGACGAAAAACCCTTTATGCGCACGCACTGATACCAGCGCTACCGAGGCCTTGGATCTCATGGTTCGCAAGGGTTTTAGACATCTACCTGTTATGGATGAGAACCAAGACATCTCTGGTATTCTCGACATCACGAAATGCTTTTATGATGCTATGGAAAAGCTGGAACGGGCTTATGCATCTTCAACAAAGCTCTACGCCGCTTTGGAAGGTGTCCAGTCAGAACTAGGAACTAGTCAGCCTCAGCAAATCATCCAGTATGTCGAAGCTCTTCGTTCCAAGATGTCCGGCCCGACCTTAGAGAGCGTTCTAAACGGGATGCCACCCACTACTGTTAGCGTCAGAACGACCGTGAAGGAAGCTGCGATGATGATGAAGGAAAACCACACGACTGCCGTGTTAGTTCAAGACCAAGGTCAGATTACGGGTATCTTCACGAGCAAGGATGTGGTCCTACGAGTCATCGCCCCCGGTTTGGATCCGTCGACATGCAGCGTTGTCCGTGTCATGACGCCCCATCCCGACTTCGCGCCCATGGATATGACCATCCAGGCTGCTTTGCGAAAGATGCATGGTTAGTTTCTAGTCAACTCAAGATTATCGGATAGAAGTGGATATGAGCTAACCTAGTATGCAGATGGCCATTACCTTAACCTCCCGGTTATGAATGACCAGGGCGAGATAGTGGGCATGGTGGACGTGCTCAAGTTGACTTATGCGACACTCGAGCAGATCAATACTATGGGAACATCAGGCGACAATGAAGGACCCGCCTGGAACAAATTCTGGCTCTCTCTCGATAATGAGACCGAGTCCATGGTTTCTGGCGATGGTAGCCACCATCATGGTACTATGGCGTCGCGATCAGTTCTGTCTCCCGATGTTAACCGTGAGCGTTCGTACGACCCCGTTGCGCCTGGCGACAGTGCTTCGCACGTAGGCATGGAGTCGTCACCCATCCACTCTGCGGTAGCCCACCAAACCCCTGCCGATATCCCCTTTGCATTTAAGTTCAAGGCCCCAAGCGGTCGCGTACACCGAATACAAGTCGTTGCGAATGAAGGTATCGCGCAATTTGTTGAGCACGTGGCCGCGAAGCTTGGCAGCGAGGTGGAGGCTATTGGGGGTATCCCAGAAGTGGAAGATGGTAACCTAAGTACTGGTGGCTTTGCTCTGAGCTACTTAGACGACGAAGGCGACACTGTTAGCATTACAACCGACCAAGATCTCCTCGAGGCAATCCTACTAGCTCGACATCATCACCATGAGAAAGTCGATCTGTTTGTGTATGATCCCGAGAAGCCACCAGTTACGGTTACTGCTCCTCAACCTGATCCTATCGCTACACCGGCTCCTAGTACGGCCCCTTCGGAACTGCGTCGTAGACGGACCGTGGTAGAAGATGATGATGAGGATGAGGATAGTGAGGAAGAGGACTATGCAACTATTAGACGTCGTAGAAGGGCCCACACACACTCGGAGCCCGACCAGGTTATTGCTGGCGTGCCTAACGAGCTGTTACTGCCTGGCGCTATTGTTACTCTGGCTATTGTCATCATTGGTGTTTTCACAATTTCAAAAGCTACTAGCCGGTAAGACGTTGCGTTTCCGTAAGTTGGAGCATTGTTATTTGGAGTTTTTTTGCGATTGTAGAATCGTTGAAGTTCGAGACGGAAACTTAGATTTCTGAATCCTCATGATGCATAGATTAGTAAACTCATGCCTCTCTTGTTTACTCTGAGTTGTTATATTAATATTCGGGATATTGTGATTGTAATTATTTTTTTTACTGTAATTACTTTCGTTTATTTGCGCCTTGTTAATATTAATATCTCTATTCTAATTCTTAAGCCTATGTCTACCACCAACGGGGGTTAAGGTTTAAGATGTGCGACCTCAAAAATTGTACCATTTAGAAAAGTAAGGTACGAAGGTACTTCAAGCATTTTCCAATTGAGTTCGTGTATGTATAGCCCCGATAACGATACGGCGCGGGAATACGTAGCGCCTGATAAGATCCTTGTCGTCTAAGCTCCACCAAGGAATTGGGACTTGAACCAATCCACCAAAAAAAAGTCATGATACAGCTGTGAGACCATATTTAGACGACAGCAATTGTCGCAGCCATGATTGTAAGAGATATGGGTATCCGCCATGCCCGGAAGGCATTGGCCGCCCCTCTACGTCAGACCTGTCTTCGAGCCCTTTCTACGGAACCGACGTCGACAGGAGTACCCGATCTCACAGAACCGACCCTCCAGTCTCCCAATGCCAGCCCGCAACCTCCCTCCATATTCAATTCGAAGCTCCGCACCCCCTCGCGCCGGAAGAAGCCCGTAGCACCCGATACCACCGTTGCCAACTACAAGATGGCACTGGAACTAAAGTCCCAAATCGGCAAGGTCGGCACCAAAGTCCAGCGCACGTACAGACCGGCAGACGTCTTCCTGAACCCCCCCGGACCAAAAGACGTCACGCTGGAGCTACTCATGGCATCGCAGGCGCACATGGGCCACCACGCGTCGCTGTGGAATCCGGCTAACGCGCGGTATATCTACGGTATCCGCCAGGGCATCCACATCATCTCGCTGGAGGAGACGGCGGCGCATCTACGGCGGGCAGCGCGTGTGGTAGAGGAAGTCGCGTACCGTGGGGGCTTGATCCTGTTCGTGGGCACGCGGCCCGGGCAGACGCAGATCGTGACGCAGGCGGCCCGGCTGGCGCGCGCGTGTCACCTTTTCACGAAGTGGACGCCGGGGTCTATCACCAACTCCGAGGTCATTCTTAACGGCATGCCCGTACAGATGCTGGACGAGCACGACGAGCCTGTCGAGGGGTTCAATCGCCATATCACTGAGCGACGGCCCCTGATTCCGGATCTGGTCGTATGCCTGAACCCCATAGAGAACTACGTCCTGCTGCACGAGTGCGCGTTGGTTAATGTACCCACGATTGGAGTTATTGATACGAATGCGGAGCCTACGTGGGTTACGTACGCCATTCCGGCGAATGACGACAGGTAAGGAAGGCCGTACAATGACCATTTATAAGAGTTGAAAACTAATACGCATACTACATAGTCTGAGATGCTTAGCCGTCATCGGTAGCGTTCTAGGACGGGCCGGCGAGGCGGGCCACGAGCGGCGTATCCGTGACGCGAAGAAAGGCATAGTAGCGTGGGATACTCCGTTAGATGTCGCCCAGTTTATGAAGCAGGAGAGGGCGAGAGCTGCACATGAGTCCGCTACAGCTGCCGAGGCGGCGCGGGGACGTGCTTACCTTTCCAAGGAGGACGAGGTTGGCTTTGGTACTGGGTTCCAGCAGAGTCATTCGACCGGGGTGAGGTCAGATCCGGAACTGGATTGAGTTACGGGACGTAAGGGACTCGGTTGATGTATGTGTAAACTGCTGTATTAGGTAAATGCACATGTATAAATAAAAAGGAGGGGCAAGAGATCCCCTGAATGAACTCATGCTTCGTATTGAATGTTTGGTATCATTAAGTTTAACCTGTATCTGTCTACATTTTACCGCTTGCCAAGTCCTTGCTCGTGGGCAACGCCTGCTAGCTAGCTAACTTGAATATCGTCTAGAGATTAAATAAGGTTCGCTCGTATGTATGCGGAATATGATCAAATATTATGTAGTGAAATAAGAATAAGGGGATCAGAGCCGTACGTGAGGTTATGTTGTTCTCATTCCGGCCCGTTAAAAACAACGTTGTAGATACTGCTCCGTTTGACGGTATTACTAGCCCCTATGTCCCCCATGACGGATTCTTCTCCTATTGCGCTTGTAGTTGGCCTGTCACGGAGATCAATTCCCCCTTCTCGCCTGGTGTCGTGATCGTTTATTATACCGGCGTCAATATCCATCTCGGAGTCGTCGCCCTGTTCGATTAACATATCTAGGTCCCGGTCCACAGCGTCTTGATCCTCAGGATGATCGTCCCCACCGTGCAACGGATGCGCTGTATGGTGATGTACCTCGTCATCAACGCTGTCGGTATCATGTAGCAATGCCTGGAAGGAGTCTGGGTGATGAGAATGATGGTGAGTCTGCATATGAAAAGATTCATGAAGGGCTGCGGAATGGGTATCTTGGGGGTTGTAAGGCTCATGCCCTGGTAGTGATGTATCTGGAGCATGCGGACTAGAGTGTACAACCGTGTCACTAGGATGAAATGAGTTGAATGCGTGAGGATGATGATGATGATGGTGATGACTTTCTGGTTGATGGTGATGCGCGGACTGAGATATAATCTGTGGGTCTATGGGATGATACATATTCGTAGCTTCATGTAGTGAAGCGAGAGTTGCAGCAGAATCGTGATGGAGCTGAGTCTGTAGAAGATGATGATGGGGTTGTAACGAAGCATCTGATAATGTTTGCATGGGTGGATTTAATAAGGACGTGATATCACTTGGGCGAGCATATGGATGTTGAGGGCCAACCAAAGTCGGAAGTTCGTTGTGGGTTGGTGCTGGTAGCTCGAGGACCCTGTCAGTCGCATCAACGCTTCCGGAGCCAGGAGCTAATACAGGAGACAATATCGATGATATAGGACTAACACCGATATTGGCATTGTCGGGATTTATATTGAGACGCTTAATAGGGTTCTGTATGGAAGGAGTTTTGCTCGCTTCTTTGCATTGTTCACACGTCCTAATTACATCCGAAACAGTTTCCTTGATGCGACTCCAGTGATACTTCTCAGCAATAGTCGCCGTAGTCTTGTTAATGCCGGCGTGACCGCCGATCTCGTGGAGGCGACGCGAAATATCCATCTGGCGGATGGGGTCGCTAATGACTTCCTTATCCTTAAGCATCAGTACGTCGTTGTCGAGTAGTTTATAGTGCGTCGCGGCGCTTCGGAGCCTGCTTTTTTCGGCGCGGTCAGATCCATTCGGGTAGCGCCCATATTTGAGGTAGAACTTGATTTTGTCGAAACGCTCTTCACTCACGAGAAGGGGTTCGCCATTGCCCTCGCCGGCACTAGGCCCAAGATCCCGTCCGTAGATGATAGCGTCGATTAGCCGATCTGGGTACGACTTAAGGTTGCCACATCCCTTAACACGTCCGATGCGTTTAAAACCGAGCGCATCCCAAATCTTACACGAGGCCACGTTCGTCTCATAGACGAGGTTAAACACCGAGTATGTATAACCGAGCTTTGGTGCCCAATCCAAGTAACTTTCGCCCATAAGACGGCCCACGCCGCGGTTGCGAGAAGCGTCCGTCACGAGAAAGCCGCCGTTGCACACATGGCTGCTTCGGCCTGGGTAATTTGGCTTAATGTAGAAGCTACCGAGGCATTCTCTTGACCAGTCCTTACCCTCGACTACATCGGCGGCACTCTCGATCTGACCGAGAAGCATAATTCCAGCAAAATTCTGGAACCAGTAAGCTGAGAACTTCTCAAGGGGCATAGGGTCTATCATGGGATAGGTATCCCCGCCCTCAATCTCCTTTGCGAATTGGTCCGAGAGATAGGTTAGCAACGAAGGGGGTACTTGACTGCGAGAAGCAAAAGGCACGACAGTTGCAATAGTTTGACGATCTCGTAGTGTTACCTGACGAGGGAGGACGTTTGGTGGTAGCTCCGGCTTGTTGGGGTCCGGATAAGGGGCTTGTCCGGTGACACGGTAGATAGTTGGACTTGACGGATCATCCATAATTGCCGGCATCTTGTCTCCGAATCCGTGATCCCGTTATGTGCTGAAAGAATTGCGTCACTTAACCTAGACATGTTACCTATCAACAATACGTACTTATTAAACACATCGTAAGACCTATCCTATTTCTTTCATCTTCTTCCTTTTCGTCTCCTTTCCACAACCGCTAACACATTGCCGTGTACATCCTCAAACTCCTCAAACAGACAGGAGAATCATTTCTTCTCGGATCATTCTGACTCGAATAAAGCGTATAATGGCCATCTTACCGAAATTAAAAAATGACTGGTTAGTTACTGAAACGCCACTCAACGCTGTGTTACCGTTGCCACACAGCACACCCCTCGAGGTCGGTTAAGGGTGGGTTAAGGGGGATTGGTCAGGGATTGTAAGGCGTGTGGTTGGCGATGATGAACTGTGCGTCGGGAAGGGAAATTCGTAGACGTGAATATTTTAGAACGCATTGTTAAATGAATGCGCTACGGTAAAAGCTCGGAGACTTATATTTGGCTTAGACGAATACTTTTCACATGCAAGCAATTATCGGCGTTGTAAATTTGTAGTATGAAGATATATAATTAGCCCGAATTCGTGAACACACCAGGGTGAATGTGCTCTTGAATATTTCGGGGTGGATTGATCTGATATCTTAGGAGGAAAAAAAGGGGTAAACTCTGGTACCCGTTACTTGAGGTTAGATTTAGACAGTCAAACAATTTTAGGAATATTCTTCATTAGACGGTCTTTTATTTATTCGTGTGGTAAATATTCCTACATCATCTATGGAATAAAGCAGCCTCACGTAGCTTTTCAGGTATCATAGGTACATTATTGCGCCCCTAATGCATCGCCGACCCTAACATATGTTTACCGTCGCGGCATACCCCTTCCTCGTCCTCTTATCGCCCTCTGTGCTGCTCCTGGCGGCAACGGCTGGCCTGGTGCCTGCGGTTGGGCACTTTCTTCGTTCCGGATAGTCTCATCTACACCTAGGATCAAGCAACTGGCCTCAGTAGCTGACTGTATGGCATTAATCTTGACAAGAGCCGGTTCCCAGACGAACCGTTCCATCATGTCAGCAACGCCCTCGTTCACGAAATCGACGCCAGCCCAGACACCGCCTCTGCGGTGCTCTACACGTAGTCTATTTAAGATATCGGTTGCGTCAAAGCCAGCGTTATCGCATAGCTGGCGGGGAATAACCTCGAGAGCTTTAGCGAAAGACTTGATGATGCCCTGTTGCTTGTGCGGGACATCTTTGTCCGCGAAACGATGTAAGTATGCGGATACCTCCATCTCGCAGGCGCCGCCACCACCCACGATCATATGGTTTTTGATGGCGCGCTTCACGATCATAATGGCATCGTGCAAGGACCGCTCAACCTCAGCGATAAATTGTTCAGCACCACCGCGAAGAACTAGAGTGCACGTCTTGGCCTCTGGACAGTCTTCGAAGAAGTTGAAGCGCTCACCGCCGATCTGGCGTTCATCGAAGGTACCACACGTGCCTAAGTGGTGGGATTGAATATCGGAGCAGGTTGATTGTATGGTAGCACCAGTGGCTTGAACTACTCGTTCCATATCTTCAGAAGCGACACGGCCAGCACAGAATATGTCCCGATCAGCAAAGTACTGTGTTGCCAGGTCTCCGATAGGTAGTTTAGAGAGCACCACTTTGGCACCTGTTTGGTAAACTGCTTCCAGTTTCTTGTAGATAATCTGCCACTCGGCGTCGACGATTGCTTGGTACTCTGAAACTTGCTCGACTCGTACTTCGGCATTGTCTTTCTCAGCCTTCAACTCCAGTTCGACGTTTAGACAAACGATCTTGGGTTTGCTGAAAGACTTAGGCTGCTGCTCAAAACCAGCGTACGAGAATGTCTTTTTGAAAGTTACTCCATTGACGAACAGGGACTCGGTAAGGGAGCCGCCGGGGATCTTCTTGATACCGATAAGTTTCTCGTTTAAGTCATCCTGGTCTAGAGATAGGACAGCGTCCACAACCACTACAACACTGTTAGCTTTGGCATGCGTAAGGGGTTTCGTATTGAGTAGCACATACTCTTCGTGAAAAAGGGAGTATCTTTCTTGATCAGCTTGCTCGTCATAGCCGTGGCAGCTAGTTTTGCTAGGGTATCCCGCCTATTGGACTCGTCTGTCCTCACCGCAATCTCTTTGATCTTGTTGACCGCCATCGCCGAAGCCTTCCGTAAGCCCTTAATGATTATTTGGGAGCTAACACCTTGCTCAACGTGTTCCTTAATTTCCTTAAGTATCTCTCCGGCAAGAACGACTACGGATGTCGTTCCGTCACCGACTTCAGCATCTTGTGATCTTGCGATATCGACGAGGATTCGGGCAGCAGGGTGTACAATATCGAGAAGCTAAAAAGTTTTAGTGACACGATTTTTAAAAAAGGGAACGAAATATCAATCAATCGAACCTTCATCACTGTTGCGCCATCATTGGTAATAGTCTGTCTTCCATTTTCATCCACCATTAATAAATCACCACCGTAGGGTCCCAGGGTCGACTTGATAGTTGCTTGAACGGCTTGGCAGGCATTTATATTTGATATTATCTGACCTTTTCCCTGAGATGTATCGGTCCCTATGTCCAAAGTTAGTTTAAAGACGGTCTTCATTCACAGATCGAGGGGTAGCTTTTGGTCCTCACCTTCTTTCAGGACGATGATAGTGGGGGTTTGACCTCCGAAAGACATTTTGACGGAGTGTATATGGCGAGTAAAGGAAGTGGTTTAAGTAAAGGTAGAAATTTATCGAGGGAGTTAGGAAAAATTTATTCGCCTCGAAAATCGCCAATACCTAATCGTCAATATGTAACTTTCCGTTAGGTGGAAGAGCTTTAGGAGCTTCAAAAAATTATTGCAGCCTCGCGGAGTGGGTCACATACAGCACGGGCCATGATAACCCCGGTATGTGGATATCATTAACCCCTCATTAGTAATCAAAACCCACACTTTCCCAATAAAGCATACAGCCTAAATTTTAATTGGTTAATCATCAACTGAGAGGTACTTAGGTACCTATGTAGCAATAAGACGGTAAAGGGTCTATTAACACGACACGGCGTTGGCAATTGTGTCAGTATAGGAGGTACCTAATTATAATACTCTTTAAGTCTTAATAAACAGGTAAACAGTACAATCATTTGATTACCCGAGGTATATTTCATTAAGCTGTGATCACTAACGCCGTCGGTGGTGAAACTTCCGTAGCCAGCATCACTCTATCATAGTGTAAACAAACGTAGATGAATCCCACTTCTCCGAAAACTCATCGCCCGAAAGGGTCAATAAGTCATCCAGTAACGAAGAATACTGAATAATCTCATCACCACACTCCTCATTGTCCCAAAATACATAGACATGTCGACAAGTTTGACACCCGCTGAATTCCACCTTATTGAATCTATGCTCATCATATCGTACTATATCAGGGATCTGAAGGGGGGATCCCTCATAAATAACCGCAACGACCTCCACTATCGAGATATTAGTCATCATGTGCTCTCAGCGTTGAAAGAAATAGTAATATCAGTTGCTATTTAAAGGAGAGGAAGTCATACTAAGGTTCTTTATAAGCCCACACTGGTTTGGGTTTAATGATTCCGTTCTCGGAGAAGTGGTGATTCCGCGATTTTCTTCACATTTCAACATGTCCAAAATGGTATCGAGTTGTTCAACGCTATCAACTACGAAGATGTCGGATTGAAAGTTGACGTACAGGTATCCGCACGATTCTCCAGTCAAGACTAAGTCTGGAGGAGTTATAGAAAATATATCATCATCGCCGTTCAGGATTATTGGCTCCCTGGAAGTTCGAAAGACGGGCAGCTGGACTGGATACATGTTTAAATATGTTTTTCGGGCCAAGAAGCAGATGCGTAAAGCCGTTGAAATAAGAGAGAGCGTCGGCACAATTTGCCTTGTGCAATTGTCCAAACGTACGAGGCGAATTCTATTTGCGTCCAAGATATACTCTCGCCATATTTCAACTTGAACCTCAGTAGGTAGGTTAGGAAAAGACGGAAACGACATGTCCGCTAAGAACCTCGGGATTTGAAGTGGCCAGAAAAGGAACCAAGGTGTACTTGTAGCGCGGGTCGAATGAAACCTTGTATTTGAGGCCTTTTTACTTGCTGGTGCTTTCTTTTACACACGGAATTTCGATCTGGAGACCACATTAAGGGTTGTTTTTTTATTGAAGTTGAGTCCTAAAAAAGAATCTAAGATGTAAGAGATAGGTATCGCACATTCCATTTTACCGGTACTCTGGTTAGAGGTAGTTACTTCAAATTTCGTATTAAGTTGATAGAATAACATGTTATCGTCATCTAGCAATCAGACTTACGACTTCCCAGTTCTAAAATATAATAGATTTAACTATGGTCGCGCATTTCACCCTTAACTAACGCAGTGTACCTTCCAACACACTATTCAAGGGTAATGATCTAATCGACACATTATCAAGCATTGATCACAAAGGTGTTAAGAGTTTCAGCATCTCTAACTTGGGTTATTAATAGACTATATGAGATATCCTTTCTCAGTCGACAGTGATTTGTTCGAATATTACAAGATACCTCCAGGCATGCTATTGAGCCATTCATAATTGTTGACATCAAAAGTGAAGCTACTAATATCAAACCCTATATCTCCCATAGATTCCTCGGGAAACCTATCCAATACTTCACTAGTGGAGATTGATTGATCTATATGACCTCCAGCAGTAGCGCCTAAACCTCCAGGATTATTCGAGCCCTGAAGTATCTTCGAAGATAGGATTTCTAGAGCGGCTACGCAACGGCGTGCGGAAATGCCAAAATGCTCATGCGATCTAAGACTCGACATTGCCATATTCCAATGTTCAGATATACTAGAGTGTGCAAAGATTTCAACACGGAGTTCTGCGGCCAGGAGGATAGTAGCTGCGGTATATATGTAATAAACCCGATACCACCATGCTGGCAGCAGCGTGATGCTGCGACCAACACTTTCGTGCTCGCTTATAATAGAAATCATCTTTTGAGCGCTGACAACACATGCGTGGGCGCACTGCTCCATCATACGATCACCCAAGCTTTCTTTATCGCATGATCTATCTTTTTGGCTCTGGGACAGGCAGAATCTTGCAAGGATCGGTCGAAGGAGTAGCATACGAGCATGCAAGAACCTGAGTGGTCAACATCGATATGTAACAACAGTCATCCGCGAATAGTATGGCATACCTAATTTGCAAGATGACAGCTTTCCTATGAAGTATTTCATCCTCGGAGATATTTGGACAAGTTAACTTCAAATATAGCGGGAGATTTTTCTCCAGTCTATTAAGGGCGTCGTCTAGCGTAAGAACTGTAATAAGGTCGGTGGTCATCATACTAGCGGGGCCACAATGTGATGAGCTTGGACTTTCGCTGATAGTTGGATCTGAAGTATAAAATGCTCGCATAATCTGATTAATGATCTCGTAAAGTTCTAGCGAATTAATCAAGAAAGCCGAGGGATCAATGTGTATTTTTCCTTGTGATCCGGCCGCATCCCTTCTACTTACCCATAAAGTTCCTATATCTTGGGAACCTAAGGTAGGTGAGATATCATGGCCGGATATCATAGTTGGTCTGCCATGGGTGACCGAAGTCATACTGTCCATATGTTAAGAGTGGGAACGATCATAAGAGTGGGCTAGGATATTCAGCTTACCGATCCATGAGGACACATCCGTGCCACAACCGTTGAACCAATCCTTTAACTTTCTCATTCTTCAGCCCTACAGACGTCTGTGGTAGGTGGAGACCAAGTCCTTGCGCGATTCTAATTGCAGTTCCCACAACCATCCAAGTCTGATGGGGGTTGGTTATACTCTGAAGATATTGGCTGAGGAGTAGAAGATACTGTAAAAGCTCTATTGAACCAATATCCCAAATATCAAGTCTTACGAGACTCTGGGCTCTACTGAAGAATGTCCTACATGTTTGTTCTCTCTGCTCCGTGCCTAGCGTTTCTTGTAATTGAGTTGATAGAGCAAGTACAACATTCAAAGTTGCCATAAATATTCGCTCGTCAGTTTGTATTGGAGTACCATTGAATATGCCATGATAAGAACTTTCGAAGCTTTCCCTCTCTAAAAAGGGGTAAAGTGTATCAACATAACGCCAGTATATCTCTAAAAGGCCGTCAGCCTGTCTTCGGGGAGGCAAGGAGTAATCTATTTCTTTTGTAGTCGCTTGTTGGTGATAACTTTGTCTCTGACCCGGTGCGAGGGCCTGACAGAGAATATGACTTGCATTGTTTGCGGTCGTTAGACCTAGTCGTGCATCAATGGCAATCCTTATTTGACTAGTAAAAGATCCCGCACTACTGCTGCCGAAGTATTCTCGCGTATTACCACCTTCTCCCACAGCAGTCATTGAGTCAACCTCCACATGGAGGGCTTGTGATCCCGGAGCTGGGAGCCTTTGCAAAGGGGACGAGATCACAGGGGTTGGTTGCGGAAGGCGACGGATATCTGGTCCCGAATTAATGGAGCCATCCGAGGAGGAGTGACTAGTATTAACTACGGCAACTCTGCTAAAGTCACTAAGAGTCTGACATGTCGAGAAGGGATCCTCTTGCGATACATTTGGACCCGAGTTGCTTGGATTTAAGCTATAATGACAAGGCTCAACCAAAGCAACCCGTTTTAGGCAATTTCCGCAAGCTTTGAAAGAAGTCAATACCAAATCCTCCTAAATAATTTCTTGTCTAGTTCAAAACTGGCCGAATGCCACGATTGGTTTAGTTGGATATATTTCTACTCACCTGGACGGACACCATCACATTTGACTTTTCTTAAGCGGCATAAATCGCATGCAACAGCAATTTTGAGTCGCCTTCGACGTGGAATAGATGATCCGGTACTTCCGTCGGCGGGTTTTCGCTCTGTACCCGGGGTCTTTGCCATTGTGTCGTCTATGGTACGTCAGGCAGGAGTATCCGGAATTTCGGAATGTATAACGGATGTAAAATTTAAGACCCGAATATCTCGGATCGGATCGTTGGGTACTTAATATATTAAAGAATTAATTTGACCTAATCTTGAAATAATGCCCGTTTCATAATCAAATGCCATCAATTTGTCGATTCTCGACGTGCAGTTACGACGTGATTCCGAAGATCCTTAGCCGAGGTGCCCCTATTCTAAACCTAGTAAAATTCAGCCAATCGCATATCGGTCCGAGACAGTGCCACATCCTATTGCAGAACCATAGTTGAGATTCAAATGGAGGTGTGAGATGACTATTATGTCCGATGTACAAAAATGGATTCTGCAATACTCCTTGGAGAAGCTGGTGCAGCTACCAAAAGTGACCGGGTCACCCTCTGTATCCGTTTGAACTCAGAATGGGAATCCGAGGGCTGCGATCGAGCTCATATGGACCTGTCCCAAGGTTCCGATGCGCTTGTCGAAGCAATCGCCGCAGTGAACTTGAATATTACCGTTGTCAACCAATCGGAAATTCTTATCACGATGCCATATGTAGACAATGTACCAGCTATCATTCATATGTGGCACGGGGGTAACGAAACGGGAAACGTGATCGCAAATATCCTATTCAGTTTGATGAACCCTGACGGGAAGATGCAGTATGCACGCCTACCATATGCTTATTGGAGATAGTAGTCGGAATACATCACTGGATTATAATAGGACATGTAGCATTATCAGGAAAGTGTTTACCAATCCTTTACAAATTAGATCCTGAGTAACAAGTTTAATCCATCTTGAGGTGATTGAAGCTAGGGCGCGGGATGTATATAAGCCCGTAAGGTAAAGGTTATGTTTCCTAAAAGCTAGAAGCCTCCATGAGTTGGGTGGTCAAATAATAAAGGTGGCAGATAATGAGGTACCTTCGATGCCATTCATCTATACTTGAGTCATTTGTTAAAGTAGATATATCCAGTAAATTAATAACTCTGTGCCCTACGCCTAGGTTTTGAATTATAAAGACAAAATGAATCTAAAATATGAATACGAAGTAAATAAACAACCCCTTAAAATGCCTACTGAAGAATCGCTAGCCCCTGAGAATTTTTGCCAGCCAACTCCTCGACACTGAATCTCTGAAGGAACTTCGCTTTTCCTTGGCCACCAGAAATATCCAAGACAATAACAGCAGCGCCAGTAGTCTGATTTCCAGGCGATAGAACATAGAGAAAGTTACCGGCTGCCGCGAGGTCGATGAAGCCCGCGTCACCCGTGTGGGATAGATCAATCTGGGAGATGATGCTGGCGTCCTTGGCGCTCATCTCAACGATGCGAGGCAGAGCAACATCTGTGACGAAGACACTCTTGGTAGCAGGGGCATAGGCAGACCAGCATGTCGCCTTTTGATCGCTGAGGGCTTGTTTGCCAACAGTAGTTACGCCTCCGGTTGCCGGGTCAAGGCTAAATACTGCCGCTCCGAAAGAGGCGTCAGTAGAGAAGAAAGTGTTGGTTCCGGGGATGACCTGAGATCCAAACAAGACTGCAGTGCCCTCGGGCGTGGTGCGAGTGTCGTGCGGACAATCCGAATTGATCTCGGAAACGGGCAGCGTAGAGATAAATCCCGTCTTGTTCGTCGCGGGATCGCCCTTGACAATAGTAATGAGCGTCGACTCGTCATCGGAGAATAAGACTTGGGAGACGGTGTTTGTTGGGCCGACGGGCGGGTTTGATTGTCCGAGGTCAAAGGATAGCACGGACTTGAACGAGTATAGACCTCCATCGTGGAACGGGGCGCAGGAGACACCGGCTTGTGTGGCGGTGGTCGCAGCACACAGGATGTTGTTCTTAGCCGATACGGCGACGGTGTTAGGGAAAGGCCTTTGGATATAAGTTGCACCTTCGCTGATGAATGACAGTTGGGTCGGGTCGCTGTCGGAGATCTTCATTGGGGTTACAGACCCACTGAATGCATTCACGGCGAAGACGACCTATTATAAATTAGCTTTCATCTTGGAAAATAGTGTATAATTTAAGCCTACATTTCCAGATATGGTGATGGAAGACTGGCTCAATAGCGCGTCCGGCGCAGCAGGCTGCCCCATAGCAGTTAGGCTGTTAGATCCAACTCCATTCACCGAGTTCTTCTTTCCGGCTTTCAGAGTGCCATCTGGTTGAATAGGCAAAGCTATAATCGAGTTGTCGGCATCATTGGATATGAAGTACACAGCCTTTCCAGTGGTTGGGACAGCCGGTTTGCAAGATGAGGGTCGGTTGATAGCATGGCCAGCAATGCCTTCAGCCAGCATCAAAGTCGTGAGGAAGTTTGCCTTCATGGTGAAGAAGTGGAAAGTTAAGAGAGCGGATGGATAATGAGAGGTTTCGGTTGGATCTGAAGGGTATATTACAGACTGAAAGGAAATGTGATATTAGTAGAGCTGCTTGGTTTTGATAGAATCTGATGATATTCATATTCAATAGAGATTGGATATCTTGGTTATATACACATCACGACTGAACCACGTCGTCGTCTGTTACTAATGAGACGATACTCTGGGGATCATAGATTGGAATCTGTATTTCCCGTTTAGGAAATCCCACTATAAAATTTAAGGCTGCAAATTTACCAGGCATTGTATATAGCACCATGATCTGTCACAGGGGTTAGGCGGGGACTAATCTCGAACTACAGATTGCTTGTTTTCTTACAGGTATATCTAATCGCATACAGAGATGGTTTCATTCCAATATACATACCCCTGCGAGGGATTCATCAGCAAAACGAGGGGCTGAGCAGATTTGAGCCTAGGAGGTACTCTTTGGAATCTTTGTGATTTCCTAATTTAGATCGTGGATCCATCAGTTCGTGGAGTAAAAATGGGCCAAAGAGATGAGATTAGCTACTTGATTAGCTACTTGATTAGCTACTTGTTAACTATCTCTTCAGCTCTTTTACTATTTAGACATCAGCATGTCCCCACTTTGATCAGCTATATCTTAACGCCTATGACAGGTACCTAATGTAAATGATGGTTAATTGATATAATTTTGGTCTGGACCTGATTATGACCATTCGGTATTAACGAGCATGACCGCGTTTTGCATAGGGACTTCAAGGATGTAAGGGGTAAAAAGTCTAGGTGGGATGTCTTTGTGGGATAGACTATTAATAGTCTGCATCTACTGCAAATTAACTTTATAATCTATAATAACCCATTGCAACTAGCTTATTAATATACTTGCGCTTTTATAAATGATTATAATATTGTAATTCACAGTCCTCATGGGTAGAGGTTAGTTATTAATCATTACCTATAAAGTTGTCATAGCCAAGGTGCAAGTAATGAGGGCATATCTAAGATTTCTACAGATAAAAGTGGGTGCACCAGATTTTTACTTACCATCAACATCATTCCTAACATTAGTATTCGCAGAAGTGCTGTTGCTACAAAGTTTATATGATTCAGTATCTATTCCCTCCTAATTAGAGATATATATTTCCCAATTAGAATTACGGATGTTTCGAAATATATGAATTTAGGCTAATGCAACTGTAATCTGAATCCTAACCTTCACTTGGCATCGCTGAGGCAAGTCAAATCCATCGTTTCAGCGTGGCTAAAACAACTCAACGCATGTAAGATTTTGACTAAAATTCTACAACATGAAGTTAAGAATTAATCAATATCCCCCCAGACCGCGACGTCCTAGTAATAAATGCAGTATTCCCCATCTCGACCTGTAAATATCAAATTTACTGATGCAACACTTTTTCCAGTTGCGTCACACTACTCACATTCTCCATCCTTTCTTCTTTGTCTCCTCCTCAAGCTTCTCCTCCTTTTCCTTTATCTTGATCTTACACTTCTCGCAGATCTCATATCTCACGTGGGTGTTTTTCTTGACAATTTTGCACTTTTTGCTTACCTTGTCACAGAAATCCAAGTCTGCCATAGTAGTACCTATAACCTTCCTGCAATTCGGGCATTTGATCTGGCACTGATGTTGGATACACATGGTAGTAGCTGTAAGATGTTGATGTTGTTCGTTGACTGTATCTTTGGAAAATTTCGTTCAATTCCCGATAAGTTTTCAATTATCCTTGACGAGCGCTAGGTAGTAGTGAAGGAGGGTTGTTTCGCTTTAAAATATAGTGCGTATCTTCCGTGAGATAGAAGAGTTTATATAGGTACCTTCTATGTGAAAATAGCGAATGGTGTCGGCGTACAAGCTGACTTCCACGCACAAGATGTGTTGGATGCGAGGTGTTCCGTTGACTATGGTAGTACGATCACCAGACATTAGTCCCAATAAGAACTCTTACACTTTAGTTAAGACACGTCAAGCAAAGTATCGTACAATGATGAGCAGAGTGATTCAGATACGATCTTCGGGATGCGTCACTATGTGTAAGGTTACCTTTTCCTATTGTACACGAGTGACGAAAGAGTACGTATACCCTTACATTTTAATGCCTTAAATAGTATTGAATGCAATTCAATGTTGGCTTACATATCATGTAGGTGTCACTAAAGATTAGATGTCCAACATTGCAGCAGGAATGATCGGTCTAGCCGTAGTCTCGATAATATTTAAAGCGAGGCTTGAGAGATCTTACCGAATAGACCGTGGTTAAATCATATATATGCCTCCTTCCTTGAATCTATATCTTATACAAATAGCTTCAATAAATCATTAAACTAGCAGGACCAAGTTCAGTATTTATCACTTCTCACTCAGTTGAATATAACACAGTGGTTTTGGCGTATATCAACATACCTTTAACGGTAAGAGATTACTACGTAAATTTAATTACTTCACTTTACTGCCTATGGACTGTTCCTAAGCATCGGACGTGAAGGTATATCATGTTAGTTTCTAGAAGGGGGTTCATCAAATAGAACGCTCACTTAGTATTAAGCAGGGTGGTTTAAAAACCTGATAATTATAACATGGATCTCTTAGATTAAGATAATCACTATAAAGTTGCAGCATATTCTGTGCTAAGCACTAATTTCAAATTGGGACTTTAGCTCGTCTTTCATTTTAGGGGTAAGCATTATTTTTATTTTTGCTAATATAATAATCGATAGGTAAATGAACTAGACTTATAAAAGCTCTAGAAAAGGTTCAGAAGCTGACGCCACCACGGTCGGGAACCCCCTATTTCACCCTCGGCGATCTCCTTGTCTTCTTCCAAATCACGACGTCTCCCCGATTGTAAATCGATCTCTTCATTCTTCCAAAATTTGGTTTTGAAAGCGAGTTTATATCCGATAAATATTACAAAAAACAATGGCAATAGAATGTAGGCATCGACAAAGCCGCCGGCGTCCCATGGAGAAAAGTTAGACCAACCTTGTACTAACGCCAGAAATATATTCGCTGCTAAGCCAAAATATGCATTCCAGGGATACCAAAGAGAAACGTACGGTAGATCCTCAACTTGATAACCCTGTGCTTCCCAAGCTTGGCGAAATCGAATGTGAGTGAGAGAAATAGACCCCCAGACGAGGAAAGTTGAAACCCCACTCAAGTTGACAATATATCCATAGGCTTTAGAAGCACCGGTTGAAATATTCATCATAGACAAGGCACCGAATGCATTTGCTAGAGTGATGGCAGGAATTGGTACTCCCCTCTTGTCTGTCCACCCGAGGAAAGACGGGGCCATTCTTTGCTGTGCCATATATAGCAGAGTCCGCGATGCAATGTAGATAGAACTGTTGATGGCAGAAATGCATGTGATAAGAATAAAGGCATTTATGAGATGCACACCACCTTGCCAGCCTGCATTTTGAATCGCAACGGTCATCGGACTTAACAAAGCGCGGCTGCTGCCATTAACAAGCTGATCAGCATTTGCTGGACAGGTGAGACCGAAAAAGAAAGCTGCGCCCATATAGATGAATATGATGCGCCAGAAGACTTGGCGAATTGCTAGCGGGACAGCAACTCGAGGGTTCTTGGTCTCAGTGGCAGCCACAGCCACCGATTCGCAACCAGCATAGAATGTAGAACAGAAAACAAAGACTTTAGCTACACCACGAAAGCCCTCGACAAAAGGCCCTGGGTCATGCCAATACCGGAAGCCTATAGCATCTGTCCCACTGATTCCGCCTGACACGTATCTACGGCTGTTAGCATATTGACTGATATTATTCGTGCGGGTCTCAGCTTACACGATGGAAAATATGTAGAATGCCACCAATCCCACAAGTTTAAGAAGAGCTAGCCAAAACTCAGCCTCACCAAATGTAGAAACACCCAGGAGTTGGAATAATAAGAAAGCGGTCTGGGAAAACGTCAGCAAACTGATTGTAGAAGTTTGATTGGAAAGTCTTATAAGATTAATACATACCCATAAGAGAAGAAAATATCCCCATACGGGTACCTTGTCACTCCAGAATACTAGTATGCTTGTCGTAGCATTATATTCGTTGGCAAGGACCGCGAACCAGATGACGAAGTAGTTCCATCCAACAGCAACACCAAACGCTGGATCCACAAATCGAGACGCAAGCTGAGTAAATGCTCCTCCCGATGGATAAAGAGTGGTCAGCTCGCCTAGGCTTTGCATAATACTAAGTTTTGAAGGTCAGCACCAAATATATATGCATACTGTTACGGGGGGGGCATGCGATGGTACCTGAAAGCAATTATGCCGATGACACCGAAGCCAATCAACAACGAAGCCGGCCCACCGGCGGATAATGCGCCTCCGCTGCCGACCAAAAGTCCGGGTCCAATGATTCCGGCCAAAGCCATCATTGATAAATGTCGCGTCTTCAAACCACGTTTAACCCCGGATTCGGGATCAATTGAGCGGAAGTCATCCTGATCGGGATCATCATAGGGCTGCAAGATGGACCGATCAAGGTCCTTAGGGCTACTACTCATGGTAGGAAAAGATCACGACGCTTTGCTGCATGAAAACAACAAAGTTACAGTATTAATACTGCTTGCCTGACTGAATATATCCTATTTCTTAGAGGGGAATCATACGAGCAGTAGGCACGACGTTGGCGGGCTATAATAACATTTCGCGCCTGGAGAAAAAAAAAAAAAAAAAACTTGATCGGTCTAGAAAACTCGGTGATGATTTCGTTCAGACGGCATTTGTCATTAGTGTATAAAATTGCGTGATTGAGATTTTGCGCCGCGTACCTAGAAACTCGGTGCCAAGCTGACGGGCTTATCCAACCTTAATCCGGCATAGGATTAGCGCAATGTGTACCCCCTGTAGTCATTCTCTAGGGACGGTCTATAACTTGCTCTTAAACATATGCATTCTATCAATTTGATGTTATACACTTAAGTGTATCGTCATACTATTCTGTGGTTTGGATTGATGTAACTGAGATTCTTGAGATTTATTTTCATACCTTGAATGATGCCCAAATTATAGCATGTCCTTTTTTCCCCCGTTTTTAATGCCACTGTTTATCATGGTAAGATGCAAATTTATAAGAATCTCATTGCACTTAAACAAACACCAAGAACATGCCCATATCATTCTCAACGCTATCGTTAAATTCACCATGTTTGCAAGGTTTCCAACGTATTTCCCCATTTCCGTAGTTACTTCATTTCCCATGACCGGAACCAGTGGCATGCTTCGTTAAGAAACTGTTAAACCTCTTGTAGAATACCGGTGTGTTAGGATGGGTCGGGATGACTGCAGGAAAACAGTGCGGTACACCTTGATAACCGTATATCTCAACGTCAACATTCGCAGCCTTAAGAGCTTCGGCATATGCGAAAGCATCATCCCGGAGAATATCATAACCTGCGCATTGTATCACTAAAAAATAGGGGCAACAGAATGTCAGTTGGCTATAGTTAGGATATTTAAACCTAGATAGGGTGATATGTAGGTAGAGCAAGGGATAGGTGAGAATTCTCTTACACGCTGGCGGAAGATTCGTAAGTGATTCTGCAAGTAGAGGTGACTGCCTATAGTCAGGTCTAGGATTAGGATTATAAGCTCTAAGGAAAGCTTCCATCCTTAGGGTGCTAAGAACAGGATTTTCTGAGTTTTGAATGTAACTGCCGTATTCATATTTATCCCGCGGGAAGAACTTGGGATGACAGACTGTGGGGAAGTGAAGGACTTGAGCGATGATACCGGTAATGCCATTTTCCCTAGCCATTATAGCCATGACTGGAGCCTAGGTAGTAATAGTATTAGCAGGTAACATCGTGTGTAGCCAAAAGCGGCATCACTGTGGAAGCTCACGAGATTGCCTCCCGCGCTGCTCCCGGCAAGAATTATTTTCTCGGGATTGATTCCGAGAGTTTTCCCGTTCTTTTTACACTATAGTCAGGTATCATTAATGTATGATCTTTTAATTGTAGCTTGTTAGAGTGGCGAAAATACCCATAACAATCCATCGTAGCAATCTTCAACTGGCCTCGGAAAGGGAAACTCAGGCGCTCTTTATGAGGTTAGCTAGGTCCTATAAAACAGACGGTATAAAATACACACAGTCGGTAATCTACACTAACAACAACAATGTTGGGATTTGTAGCCGCATAAACATTCTCGGTACCGTCTACCTCGTGTCGCCCGACCGCAAAGCCTAAAATGCAGAATATCAGCAGAGTATAGCTAAGGAAAGGGGGTTGTGTGCGATGTTCCATACCACCGCCGTGCATGCGATATACTAGAGTCGCTTCTGGCACAACATTAGGAGACTTGTAGATTTTTAATTCGTTTAAGTAGCCGTCGCGGGCAGGAAATTGTAGCAGCTCTGTGGTAACATCGCGATACCGATCAGGCCCACCAGGGGGCATAACGGCGTCCAGGTCGCCCGCAGCCTGTCGGAAGGCCTCGAAATTGGGCATTGCCCAAAGTGGCGTGTATGCAGCATCGATGGCCGACTCAACTGCTGTATACTCGGGTGTTTTTTCCGATAGATGGCCATACTTAGGCAAAGGCTTGAAGTCGGCGTCAAGATCAAAGTATTCGGACTTATCCTTGAGGTATTCCATGATTATTTACTTGCTGGTTTTCTATAGTATACTATATAGACCTATTACAAAAATTAACAGGTTTGAGTTCATATAGGTCTTGACGGGGTTTTTTATAATTTTAGCATTTTCAACCATTGGTCTAACTATACGACAGTGTCAACCCTGACAAGTCATTGAATGACACGGTTTCGCGTGAGACCCTAGTGTTCTAAGGGTATGCAACCCTGGATTAAAAAATCTATCATCTTATAATCAGAATGAATCATTTTGAAAAATTTCGTTCTATAAATTCCATGGCTTTGTAGCCTTAGGTTACAGGGTAGCATTGGGATTAGTTGGATAAACACGGCATGTCTTACCAACATAATATACTCAGCCCCATTGAGATGAGAAGTGATTTCAAACCCCATCATTATGAATCATAGGGCCAATAGCCATTTTGGTCAGAAGTCCAGCCCTTGTAATTTGATGCCTCTAGCCCCTTGTATGCAGTACATCATCTAACATACAAATCTGGGTGTAAACTTATGTACCTCTTATAGCTACAATTTTTATAATTGATGAAGGATTGATAGATGTGCATATGTGAGAAAAAGGTAGTTGGTAGTAGTGTTAGCTGCGTATCTCACCTCGGCCATGGTCTTCGAGAAGCCACCCCAGGATAATTTAATACTACCTGCCACCTACGAATGTATAAATACTCAGTGTCCAACATTAACAATGTACTATAAAGACATCTTCATAACCTCGTACAACGCTCAAAACGACCTCTTTGGCCAGTATGGCTAAATTCGAACTACCAAAGTCAGCAAGCGGTCTCCGCGTAGTATCTAACACTCAACTCGACCTACGGCCCGAATCCGAAATTATAAACGAACTCCGTTATTTTCGACCCATTACTTCAGAGAAGAATGTATGGGCTTTCTGGGATAAGGGTATCGATTATATGTATCCAAGCTATAGATGTACGGTGGTGAACTGGGTAAAAAAGCTCGGCAAGTCCTGGACAGTTCGCCTCGTAGATCTTGTCGAGGACTCACCTAATAACATCTACAAATATGTCTCCCAAGACTGGTTTCCCGACTGTTTCGTAAACGGGACAATGGACGGCAGGCATGCGGCACAACATTCCGCTGATCTTGTGAGGCTGCCGCTTCTATTCGAGTATGGAGGTGTCTGGATGGATGTCGGAAGTATGTTACACACTCATCTCGACGCCCTATTTTGGGATCACCTCACGGCTCCGGATACCCCTTACGAGATGGGCGTCTGGAGTATTACCGGGCAGATCAGAAAGGAATGGGGCTGCTTCGCAAACTACGTGATAGCTGCACGAAAAGGTTCCATTTTTATCAAAAATTGGCACAACGGTTATAAACAGCTGTGGAAGGGACGCACTAATGCAAAGGGCTTCCATAAAAGGCCCCTAATACGGGACATCGGGCTTGCTGAGGGAATGGCCGACTGGGGTTTCGAGGGTAAGATCAAAGAGATGAGCGATTACGTGGCGCAGATGCTCATTGGCGACCGTACGAGAAACCTGCTCGATCTAAACACCGGCTGGAACGGACGCGAGTATTACAACAACCAGGTATTTATGGTGGAAGGGATTCTGAACGGTGTGCTAGGCGCGATCAAGACAGACGCCGACGGAGCTAAGCAAGTAGAGCTCTTCACTACTAGGCTCGACGAACCAGATGAAGCAAAAAGGCAGGCGGCCGAATCCTTCGTAATAGAGATGTTGGAGAAAAGCCACATGTATAAGGTATACCATAACTCGGGAGGTGGTCTGCCCGCGCTGGGAGACCTTGTGAAGAAGAAGGAATTCTGGGATGCAGACCATAGGCCTGGCACCTTCGGCGAGATGTATAGGTATGGCACAGTTCACTGGGAGTCAACTCGTGCGGTGGAACGGTTGGTACCGCAAATCGACGAGAAGGATCAACTAATTCGGGCTACACCTACAACCCCGGCATTACGCAAATGGAAAAAATGGTTGGGACTACTGGTTAATATAAAGCAGGCCTTAATGTAGCATTGCTGATAGAAAGTATTCTAGTTCGCGTCGATATACTTTGTTATATGTTGTATTAGTTACATTGTTAAAACTCATAATTCCACGCGAAGTGGAAATCGAAGATTAAATTTTGATATCATCATTCTATAGGTAGTTACTATAACTTGTACTTCAGAGTTTATTGCGTATGATCAATTTTTCCTCTAACGCCACTGTTGCCTTCCAATGGTTTTCTATCGTAGACCAATATCGAGCAGGATGCACTCTCATGTGGCCGACGTGTGGGGAGTCATCAAACATTTCCAACGTTGTCTTGTACCCCTTATTCTTTGCTACCTTCGCTTGTGCTTCAATGTCTTCCCACCAAATAATGTCGTCCTTCTTGGAATATAGGTACGCTCTAGGAGCTCTAGGTGTTGCTATTGAGTGATCCAAGAATACCCTGCCGCTATAGATCCCGGAAGGCTCCCTTCCAATGGCTTTCTCAATAAGATGCATTGTATATAAGAATGTCCACCATATTCGCCGCGTCACTGTAAACGGCCATGGAAACCATTTGGCTGTTCCTACTGCCATTGCCTTCGACCATCGCCCTACTTCTTTAGCGAAGTCAAAACTACCGGGCGTAGAATCGTTTATACATAGATGGTGGGGAAGAGCCTTGTCTTTTCCGTGACGCTCTTGATAGGCGTTCAATGTTGCAGCAGCATAAATACAGCCGGTATTAGACATGATATGTAAAAGTATTCTTGACAAGTCATCATGAGGAGTAGGAAATACGGTGTCGATAATAGGCATCATATCCTTAGTTCTTTGGTCAAGCGACTGAGACGTAGCTGCAAAGGTTGATGATATCACCATCAAGATCCGAGCCCCTGGGAATAGCTTATTATAACCATCGACATATTTGGCGACAGTCTTTGGGCTGCCGTCACCCCATCCGTATATAATGATCGTTGTGGGGTGATCATTTGGTGTTTTCTTGGTGGTTTCGGATGAGTCTTCATTACGGATGAAGATCCGATCGGAGATAGGTGTAAACCCCGATAGCCCCTTTTGCTTCCCTGCCATGTCTGCAAAAGAGAAAATCGACAATTACGGATAAACTAAGATTGATACTTAGGTAGATATAAGCACAAGTTGCAAGCAAAGTACCGAATATATAGGAGATGGGTATAGCTGAATATAATTACTAAAATTTAGAAGATTTGAGGTCAAGTTGTTAACACACAGTAAGTCCGACTCGGTTAGTGTGATTCAACGGGATGGATAGGGGTAGAATATTGTCTGACCTGTCAAAAAAGTGTTGGGCGCGAAGGATATAGATACATAACCCTGCTAGCCGAGGTACGTGGAGCTGATAAATACCTCAAGTGGCTTATCAAAGAGGCTGAATGCAATAAATTTATAGGCCTCGATGTAGGAGCAGTTTCAAAATCATGAGGATCACCTGGATGAGACTTTGACTTATCATCTTACCGGTGAGAAATTACGAGCTAATGCTGGTGTTGGCAAGCCAATCATTAGAAGGCAATTAAGATACTTGCTTCTTCCTCGAACAATATAAGACGCGAGGTGATCTCATTTAACCCAAATGAGATCTAACATACCTAACATGAAGCAGAGGTAATATGTAATATTATAAGCCACCAACCTAATAATCATAAGTTCCCCATGCTTTTCTATCTTCTGATAGCAAATGCAAGTCGAATCTCCAGAGTTTCGATGCCTAAGTCAACAAATAGCTCCAACAAGTCTTCATTAATAAGAACACCCCTCACGTTATAATAAGAAGCCTCATGTTCGATGTTACTCTCATCTGATCCTCGAAATTCGAAGCCAACACTGAGGTTATTCCAGATGAATACACCCCATTGTAAAGTGACTAACTCCCACTGCCCAAGCCCCCTTCGTTGGTCGGGCTGCTCGCCGACAATTATTAGTAACTCCGTAGCTTTGTTGAACTACCACATCACTTCTGGCAGTATACCGACGTTGATGGGGCGCAGAAAAACGTCCAGAGACACGGCAACACGCTCGGGTTCGGATTTAAGGACGAAAGGTACACCTTCTATATCACCCAGGCCCCTACGCTGGAAGTCGTCCCACCTTTCGGGCGTTATATATAATACATCGCGCTGAGGATTGAAGGAGCGTGAGAAAATCTTCTGGCCGTTCTCGTTTATTTTGATATTGATACCCTACGAAGGTTAGGCAGGGCTGACTATGCTAGAGGATTGAGGATTTACAATACTTACCTGTTCGCGGAACCAATCCAGCGCAACACCGCGAGCCTCGTGATTGGCGTTGAAGATATGCACATCTAATTGGACATCATCATCCAACCGGCCGGGGAAGAAGCGCATCTCCAGATCCCCTGTCTCTGGTACCATACTCTCAGGGTCTAGCCACCAACATTCACGTTTGAAGAAGAATAGACTCGGCCCAGTGTATTTCGGCAAGGCCTCGCGCCAAATTAGGCGGCGAAGTTCTGTCGGAAGTTGGGAGAAAAGAAAGAATGTTGTCTCTGCCATGGCAATTGGGTTTCTAAGTGGTATTGGAGAGATAAGAGCTTCAGTGTTATTCTTGATATTGAAACAGTACCTATGAACCTATATTTTGTCTTGTTTGGTATAAGCTCTGTTGTAAGGTTGTTGTTGTTGTTGTTGTTGTTGTTGTTTAAGATGAGGTATAAGGTATAGATGCGTCAATCAATTGTTACTTATAATATGGAAGGTATACCAATGGCAAGTTCGATATATACATCTACCTAATATAATACGCGTCAGGTACATACAACATTTAATATCTCGGTTGTAATTACCTGATTACCTAGCTTAGAGTATTTGACATCCTGAGCAGGAAACCAGTTCAAAGTATCGTCTCGAATGATCATTTCCCCTTCCCCTTTCCCAAACTTCCTCTTCTCCGCTTCCCCCAAGTCCAATGCGCTTTCGGATTCTCAGCCAAAATCCTCATAGCCTTAGCGTCAGCCGCATTTGGTCCCAGTTCTCTTTCCACGGCTCCTACTGCAGCTAGAGCGTATTTTTGCGCCTTCTTCTCTTCGCCGAACAGTGCAAAGTTGAGCGCCGCCCGCGTATATACCCGTCCAAGATAGACATCCAGTCTTTCCTTTTCGTATAAATCTGCTAGCTGCCCTCCAGTTTCTGCAGTTACGATTGTCTGGTTAAAATTCTCTAGGGCGGTTTCTAACTCTTCGATCTTCTGAAGCCTCGCATCTGAAATAGCGACCTCTTCGTCACTCATGCTGCAGTGAGAACAAGCGCATTCGAATCCCCACTTGCGTAGGCGAGAACGACGTTCTTTTCGTGAGAGCATTAGTTCGATATAGCTAATACTTAGTTCCTGACCAGGCTCTATATCACGCGCGGCAACTGTGATATGAGTCATGTTAGAAATACGATAGTGAATACTAAGTGATAATATTGTTATTATATATTTGCATATTGAGAATTCGCTTCTGGGAATAGACTTACTTTGGCCGACAGTCGTGATTAAATCGAGATATCTCAGGATAACATCCTAGGTGGCCTCCCGAGTCGTTTGCCCCGTCGATGTACATTTGGAAACAATTTGTCTCTATTTTATCGTAGACGTCCTCGCCCATCTGGCCCATGAAAAGTTCTCGACCTCTAGTGGGAAGCTTTCCCACGGCAAGGTCATATAGAACATCCCTAGTCCCGGGCTCCATTTCAACATGAGGGTCGGTCTGCACCATCATCGTCGGGGAACGTATGAGAATAGTTTCCCCTTTACGTATTTTCCTATCGGCAACGATACCAACGCCCTTTCCAGGTACTTCTGCCACGTGGAATGGTAATGTTGCCGCCCCATGATTAGTCGTGACTGGGAAATTGCTTGCAATTTTTGCATTTATTTCGCTGGTAATAAGTACGATCCCATCACCCATGTGGCCATTTGAGAAGATACATGTTTCGTTCACACAATGTTTGGGGCCTTCCCAATCCAAATTGACCTTCAAGAGTTTGCTCGGATTTCTCTCTTGTGCTAATTCAAATTCAGCACAAGTTCGGTCTCCTGTTTCACTCAATGGGCTCCATGGACATATTGTAGTAAGAGAATTTGCTTTGGCAACCGCCCCCAAAAATGCCAGACAACCATAGAGTTCGGTAACGCGCATAGTCTTATATGGGAAGGTCTAGTAGAAATCGCGCAATATTATAATAGTAGGTTAATATTATGCTCATCGTTTTATTCTAATGAGAAATCTTAGATATGTGAAGGACAACCGTGTTCATTTGAGGGCGATCACAATAGTTCGTGATCGTCGAATATGTTTCCTTCTCTTTGGCTATATACAGCTTTATCCGACCTACAGCACAAGATTCGCGAATTCCGCTACAGCTTTCAAGGAAGAAACTAATATCTTGGCTATTCCTCTAATTATTACTTTCTCATAGCTGGTAGGTAAGTATCCCTTGCAGAGATATTAATTATTGACCAAGCGAGTATTGTGATCTACTTTAGATATTATTTAAATAATTTGCTCAGAGTCCAGTATTGAGTAATGAGGTCCATAACCGTCTCCATGTCAAACACAGCAATACAGACCAATATCTCAGGTCTTTACTACTCTAGCCGTAGTAAATATAATCGGAGAACCCTTAAAGGGAATCCATCATGCATTGATAAGAGTACTTAATTACGCCACCTCCACGGGCATGCTTGTTATAGACACTTGCCGACTTTCAAACATTAAATGACTTAGACCCCAATTCCAAGACAAGACGTCCAATCTGACGTACCGTTCCCCGGCTAGTAATGATGTCGTTAAGAATCCTTATCCTGTTTTCCTAAGCTAAGCTTCTTCACCCAACTCCAAGCCGACTTCTTTGGCTTCTTCTTCACTTCCCTAACGTTACCGATCCCGAAGCGCTTACACTGGCCCTTCGTCGCGAGGAAGCACTCGTCCCCCTCCCAGCAGCACATCCCCGGATACCAAACCGCGGCGCTGTTCGTCAAGATCTTCAGCGTCTTGGACCCTTGCGTGCGCACCGCGACATTGGTCCCCGTGTGGACTCGTTCGTCGTCATCGAGCTGCATCTGCCCGTACAGGAGCACGATGATGCATTCGTCGGGCAACGGTGCTGATACCTCGCACGGTCTTCCATCGTGTGATTCCGTCTCTGTGTACGCCGGGATACTTTCCCATCCGAGCTATAGCTACATTAGCCCTGGCGCCTTCGTGTGGTGGCGAAATAACGCCCCGTCCAAGATGAGACATACGTGAGCGGTGATAAACTTAGCCTTCTCACCCAACTCATCGCGGCTGTTCAAGCCTTCGCGAAAAGCTTTCCTATCTGGAACGTCTGCTTTTCCTATGATCGTCATGTTTTCTCCTGTGCGAACTAGAGGCTACCGGATAGCAATGTTTTTAAAATTAAAGGTTGAGATGCATGAGCCGTGCTGGACTTTCTAGGGGCTTAGGCATCAGGCTGTAAAGAATACCCCGCCTGCGATGGCAATGATACTTCGCTGCATACTACGTAGTGTAACGAAACATACCGAAATTCGGAGTAGGTAATGGTTGGATAAACATGGAACTTTTCATAGGACTTTAATAACTGCGACACATGTCATATTCTAATCGGTGTAGAACTGCGGTTGTTCGCGGAGGACTGTACTGCAAGTGCACAAGAGAATAGAAGAGCCGAAGTATCACGAGAGAGAAATAATTGCGAAAGAATAGTAAGGTAATTTATCACGTAAAGGTATATCAGCCTAGGACAATCAATATCGCTACAAACACGCGAAACGCCTAATAGTCCTAGAGCTATATTCTATAGCCCATCTAGAACTTCCGCGACAAGACTCTCTAGCATCCGGAGGCCGAACCACTTCGCCACGCCTTGATATACACCTAACCGCCTGACCACTTCACCCCTCTTAACGCTCTCCGCCCACGGACCGCTACATGTACAATGCTCCATGAGGTCATTCAACCGCACGCTGCCGCACCGCTCACACTTTAGGTCTTGCGTGCTCCACTCCACCACCATACTCTGCACATCCGCCAGTAACCTCTCCTCGATCTTCAGTCTGTCCAGCTCAGCATCGCAGAATGGACACTGCCATGTCTTGGCTGCCGCTGCCCTCCGTATTTCCGCCTCGTTGTCACCGGCAAAGCTATTTAGGTCCGGTAGTAGGTGCTCGTCGCGGCACAAGTCCCAGTCGCGGGCGAGGGTGCACTCGTGACAACTCCACTGTGATACTTTGAGGCTCTCGCTTGGATTTGCGAACGCACCCTCTTTACTAAACTCGCGCACTTCGAATAGTGCGAGCAACTCTTTCCTTAGCAACCGCGCTTCCATGGTGATGTTCTTGTCTAGTGACAGGACTTGCATAAGGTTTTTTACGAGTTCAAGTACCGCATTGCGATTTTGCATATTCTTCAAGTGGCTACCTGGTAGAACCGGGAATGACCAATCCGACGCTAGTTCTGGGTGAAGGAGCTCACGAGCTTGGGTCGAGACAAGGGACCTAATCTCCTTCTTGAGTTGTTTTTCGAAATCCTTGCCGAGGATAGCCTGCGAGAGATCACCATCATCACTTTGAGACCCGTTGCGCAACGGTAACTGCGTGAGACGTGGTGTCGCATTGGGGTCTCCGTTCACCATTAAGGGTCGTTTGAGTCCGTGCATAAGTTGTATAAACTCGACAACCCAATGCTGGAACGTGTCCTGTAGTCGAAGAGGTAGGAATGTCTTTATCTGCCAGTTCATGATAGTCTGTAAACTCTGCTGCTCGGCTTCAATAACTTCCTGGCAAGCTTTCCCGCCGTAGTTAAACTCATCATACCACACCAGGTAGTCCCAATACTCCTTGATTTCGAGATCAATAAAATGAAATAGTGGCTTGCTCTTAATGCTCTTTAGGATGTATTGGCTGTATGCATATGCGTTGCCTACTTCCGACTTTGTTGTCTGTAGAAGTAGTCGATTCGAATTCGCAAACACAACTTGCGAACCGACCCGACGGAAGTCCGCCATAAGCTGCTGCATCGCTTTGCGGCTCATCATCTGCACATAATATTGTAATGCTCGGTCGTACATGAAAGAGTCAGGGGACTCGACCCATCGCACTAGATGCTGGACAAGAATATCGGCCATAGGACTGCCCTTGCATGCTTCCGCCCACCAAGACTTGACCATCTCACGTAGTACCAGTACTCCGGCATTAGCAAACGCTGATTCAGAATGCAAAACCTCGTTACCGTCCGATGGTGCAGAGTCAGCAGCGGGATTGAAGGAAACTGAATCTGCGCCTTCGAGCTCATTGATTAGGGCTGATGTGAGTATGGTGTTAATAGCCAGATTACGAACTTCGATATCGATACAAACTGACGCATACGTTCCAGGGGTATTAATCGAGGGCATAGTGACTGTATCAAGTAGGCCTGTCACATCGTCTTGCTCATAGCCGGCATGATCTGGCCTAGGGCCTGGCGACCACCACAGCACTACGTTATTTAACTGTAATCGGCGAGCGTACGCAACGTCGATAAGGAACCTCGGATCGTCGCGCTCCAAGTTACATAAGGGTATATCGCCATACCTTGCTAGGGCTGTGAGGTGAAGAATCCACGACCCAAGATTGAGGTAGTGAGAAACAAGACGCCTAGCGACAACAGATTGCCAGCCAAGAGGGGGAAGGGAGCTGTCTGCCTGGTCGTATCGAAGGGGAAGAATAGGGAACTCTGCGAGGGTGGGGATATCATGAACTAGTAAGCTTTGCTGAGATGACTGAATAACAAGCATGAGGGGCTTCAACTCATCCTTCTTCATCTTCTTGATCAGATCACTAATTTCAAGATGAGCTTTTCGTCGCGTCGTTACCTGAGTTACTTTGAACGCTACTTTCTCCTGGTAGGCAAAGCATTCTTGCCAATTAGTACCCTCTCCTTCTTGTCGTCTCTTTGCAAGCATCTCACTATAGATCTTTGTGACGTTAGGTAGGTCTTGCCCGGCATCCCTGTTCTTTTGAAGGATGACTATATGGGCCTCGTCCCTAGTTGAGGAGAATACACCAAATATCTGCCTCTCGCCCGCGGTGATATGTGATATGTAGAGGTACGCAAGTGGATTAGAGTCCAGGTAGGCCTTGGGTTTTGTCGGCTTTATTAAACTCCTAAGATCGAAACCTTGATCCAAGCCATTTCCGAGTACACCGGGCTGGCTTTCGTCAATGGTACACGAGTTGCCAAGTTGAAGCACTGCTCGAACGTTTAGTGGGACTTGCTTCTCATATACGCCTTCTACACTCGGGTGATTAAACAGCAATGAAAATTTTTGGGACTCGGCAAAGTAAATATCCTCAGGGACGGTAATTTTGAACAAGTGTGTTGACGAGTGTCCATTTGGCAAAGTATGATAGACTTGCTCTACTTCGCAACCCTCAACTTCGATGTCGGGGAGATCCTTGCCCTTGAGGTTTAGGAAAACCTGCCGTGAGACTTTGATCTTGAGTGAGTGAACCTTTGCGTCAATCAAGACGAAGGCAGCTACCACACCTGGATTGTCAGTCGTTCGGAGCTGAAGTAATTGCCACGTATTCCTGAACGTAACTTCTGCTCTCTGGCGGAATGTCTGCTGGATGTTGCCGCTCGCATTACCACGGCGGTCTCCAAAGAGGTGGCGCCGGCGGATTCGGGCCTGCTTTTGGATTTTCCACTTTTTCTTTTGGTATTCCAAAAATGCTGGGTAGTCATCAGAGGGATTTGGCATCTCTTTCGGGAGAGCCGAAAAAGGGTCTATATTCTCCTTTTCTGGTTCGGGGGATTTTCTCTTTGTTGCTGTTGGCGGAGGCTGGGATGCGTTGATGACTGCAGTTGTACTCTTCGGCTTTAGTAACTTGGACCCGAAATCTTCGAGATCGTCTACTCTCGAACCTGTAAGATTTGTTATATCTTCTAGAGGTCCCTTGGTACTTGTGAATAGATCGGTTAATTTTTTCTGCTTCATTTTGTCGTCCTTGATATTGATCCGCCGCTGAAGCCAGTCTGGGTGTGCCACTCGCGGGACTGGGTTACGGACTTTTTGTAATGCGGCAGGAATAGTGATCAGCTTCTGAATAACAGAACCCAATCGTTCTAAATAGTAATTCCAGTCTAAAAGCGCCCTGGGATCGGTATCGGCGGGTTCTTCTTTGAGCCACTTTGTCAAGTATGTTCGCTTGATCTCCGGTGCGGCAGAAAAGATGGCGACAGGAACAGCTCGTTCGGTAACTGGAGCATTCCGAGGTCTAGCGCAAATAATATACTTGCAATTAAGACCCTTATCTTTAACCATCTGCTCGCCTAAGAACTCTGCTAGCCGTTTGGCCGTCGTGATGGATGTGGACTTCTGGCTTCCGTATTCCTCGAGTGTTTTAGACATGCTTCTATTTTCGCAAATGAGATCGATGAGTTCTTCATCAGCTAGTGTCGAGCCCTTATTGTCAAGAACGTCCAGCCATCTGTTTGCGACTTTTGCTACCGCAGCGTAACACTCGGTGAGGTTAGTTCCCTCTAAGAAGAACTTGAAGATTTGCTGCTGGAAGATCTTAATAAGCTTGAGCTCACCTCTTCGCTTCACCTCGAATCCTTTGAGCTCAGCCAGACTACCGTCGTCATTAAAAACAGCATATCTTTTCTTCAAGTTCTTGTCTTCTTCTTTCGATGTCGGCAAAACCATCGCCTTGTAGGGACCGTCGACTTCGAAGAAAATTGAATTATCGCTGTGCGTTTCATATTTAAATGTTTTTGGATCAACCAGAGTCTGATATTGGTGATTCGTGAATTTGGCGTGGACAAGATGGTTCAACATGACACAAGGATATGAGATAGCACATTTCTTGCCGTTCTTAAGTTTAAAGACGAAATTTTCTGGAAATGTAGCAGGCAACATACACCAAATGCCATCCGTATCGAGTTCAAGCGGTCGGCCAAGGCGTTCTACAAGAGATCGCGCCAACTGAATGATGGTTGCGCCAGTTAAACACGTCACACCGGCCATTTCCATAGAGTACCATCTCGAACCCTTTCGCATGACATAACCGTAGAAAGAATTTAAAATAACCTTGTGCGCAAGTTGTAGAGAGTCGTAAAGGACAATCATCTTCTTCGCGGAGTCAACCTCTGTGCTTGATGCTCCGGAAGACTTTAGAGATTCGGTCTTGCCTTTCCAGACTTTCGCTTGTCCTTTATAATCATATCGACGATCTCTGAAATCTCTGACGGTGTCGATATAGAAAGGATTTTCTCGTTGACAAATAATTGCCTCCCGGACAATAGTGGTCGAATCACGGATCTTGTGATAAACCTTTTGACTATACATCTGCAACCGTTTCCGGATGAGACCGGCCTGTTCATCTTCTGGTAACTCTTGAAAAGTTCGCATAGGTCCGCCAGGTCGTTTACCTGGAAATTTCTCGTTTTCAAGCGCATGCCGAATCATGTTATATTCGTCTCGCTTCGCAGGTAGGTACTCGCCTCTCCAAGCCCAGGGCATTCTCCTGTCGCAAGTTTTACCTGGGCGGTTGAAATCGCAGGCAGCGCAGTCCGACTCCTGAATCATTGAGTCTGGCTGCAATCGATTTGTTGTCATAATGTTAGGGTACATAGAGGCAACATCTAAGTGGTAAATTAGAGGTCGCTCGTTTCGATTAGGTGTCTCTTTGAGTTGTAATAACCGCGATGCAATCTGCTCTTTTACCTCATCATAGTTCGTAACATCATCTAGAGACTTCTTTTCTTCGATTTCGATCACGAATTTAAGAGCCGCATCTAAATCTCCGAGGAGCTCATCAACCGCACCGGGATCGACAGCAAAATTCACCGGAATATCTGCTCGAAATACACCCGCCTCGATACTTTCGACGTGGCCGCCGACATAAGTTTCCGCGTCGAGTAGATGTCCATCCCAAAAAGCCTCTTTAGGTGACATGTGCTTATTGGGTAGGATGATCTCGTGCTTATATGCTTGCACCATCAACAGCATCTCACATAAGGTACCCGTTCCTTTGCGTAATACGTCATCGCCTCCCAGAGGTAAAATTGTACACAACGAGAAGATGAATGGGTGGATATACTTCATGTATAGGTAGTACGTAGCGACGGCATCTGAAACTGAATACTCTGCTAGCGTCTGAGGCCTTTCGTTCGCGTATGGTGTCATAAGCTCCGGATCAAGTTCGTCTGGATCGTACCCAAGCTTGGCAACGGTAACAGCCTTCAAACCTCGACTACCCTGGGGTAAGTAAGAATCTCGGTTGACCCACGCTAGACAATCCATATGGACGCCATACGTGCACTTGTAGATGTCTTCACTATCTTTCTTCCATCCAATCTCTCGGTACATATCGATACCATTGATACTGGCTCTTGTTTCTACAAACGGCCAATCGAAAAAGTCTCCGTTGTACGTAGCAATGACGGTCGGTCTCGCCTCTTTAACGTGTGAGAAGAACCTCTCAATAACAGCTTTCTCGTTAGGCTCGTTAAAAATCATGAATGTTCCAGGGTATTCGGGTTTTGGGGTGTATTCGAAATCTGCAATGTCCTCCGAGACGATCTCCCGATTCGTGATGAGGAAACCTTGCCCGTCGATCATATACGACATCATCATAATCTGATCTATAGCGGCGTCGGGGAATTTGAGAGGGGCCTTTGATGTCTCAATATCAAAGGCCATTACTACAGGGTCGGCTTGAACGATGTGTTCTTCATTAAGCGTTATAGTGGTGATGCCATGCTTTACTTCCACCCAATACCATTTTCCTACTCGAATATCTGAAATTCTCATCAGCATGATATAGCAATGGAAGCTAGTGATATACTCTCACCCATATCTATCATTACTCTTACGTGGTACGGTACGTCGTACTCTCTAATATCGACTACGTAGTCGCTAGCGTCCGCAAAAGAAGCATTATGTCGTCCATCGTCATCTCGTGAATCATCAAATAGGTCGAATCCCGCTTGTTCGCTATATTTTATGTTAGTATCTAGACATTTGGAGTAAAAGCCTTCTGGGAATAGGGAGACTAACGAAGCAACCTCTGCATAAACATCAACCGTGCCCATGGATTTCTTATTCTTCTCCGCTACAGGCATTATATCCCGCCTCGCACTCATTAAATCTTGTACGTTCCTAAACCGTAACTCGAGGAACGTCCTCCTATATCCAAGAAGGTGGTTCGGCATAGACAGGTCCTCCTTTTCAACTCGTCTAATGCTATGTACGACACCTCCGCCTGGTACTCGTTTAAGCCACTCCTCAACTTCGCCTTCTCTTCCCTTTCGGCACGCAATGACAAAGTATGGTTCGTATTCGACGGTTGCCTTAAATGTCTGTCCGTCTTCCTCGATAAAATAGCAATCTAAGGCCGCTCTTCCACCAGGGGCTCGATCGTCGCCAAGTGCTACGGTCGTCGGTTGGACATTGACAAGCCATCCCTCTTTTCTTCTACCCGACTCGTATCTAGCAAACCCCATAGACTCGTCAATTTGCTGTGCAAGGAGTGTCCGTTCCGCTTTCTCGTCGGCTGATGTAGCCTCGTTGCGTGTAGTTGAAGCAGCAAATGTTCGAGTTCGGTTGCCACCATGGTAGGCATTCTTGCCTCCCCGCCGAGCATAACCCTTTTGAGGGCGGCGTAGAGATGTGTTTGGCATATTAAAATCAGTAGGAGAGGGATGGTTTTAATTATAGCCTAGCGAAAAAGTTGAAGGAATTGTCGATTATGGCGACGGTATCGTTAGAATGTAGGGTATTTTGGGCGTCATTTGCGACGGTAAAGTTATAATAAGATAACCAATCCAATTAAGATTTCCGAGAATTACCTTATTAAAATAACTAATTGAAGTTCTAATCTTCAAATTTGTTATTTAGTATGGTGGTTGTACCTAAAAGAATCTATAATCGATATAGAATTGGCTACAAAACCCCTGTCCCATTAAATGCGAGACGCGTCTTTGCAAATGTTCGCGTTTTATGTGTTACCATTGTCGCGTTCTTTAAAGTGCCCCTATATATGCATAATAGCACTCAATTCTCTTCACTCGTTTAGTTGAATATTCCCAGTGGGGCCTCTGCATAGCGGCGTCATAGCTCCAAATCGCGATTTTTATAGTCAAAAATAATCGAACCATAGAAATTCAAGCTGAGTATCTTGAGTGCCAGTGATGACGCAAGACAACAACGAACTTCCTAGGGTACGAGGCCCTCCACCTGGAGTAACAGGTCCTCCTGATCATGTCAAGAAACCGCAGATCTACGAAATATTCCCTAGTTCAAAACCCGAAAGTCATGCGGGCGAATCCACGGAGGGGCAAAAGAGCACTCCTGAACCCACGATCAAGGACGGGATTCAGTCCATAAAATCCGACGACTTCTTCAATGTACACAAAATCCCATGTGCCCGCCAGGGCCTCATGACGGGTATCGCATCGGGTGCGGCGGTGGGAATGGGTCGATATTTTGTTGGAGGTACCTAAGCGTTCTACTTGAGAGTTCAAAATGCGCTTAGACTAATTATGTCCTCCAGGGACGGTACCAAAAGCAACAAACTGGGCTTTTGGTGTATTTTTCTTGGGCTCCATAATCCAATGGGAATACTGCCGTGCGCAACGAGCGAACGAGCGCATAGCAGTGGCGCGCATAGTTGAAGTCATGGACAAGAAGCAAGCCGAGAAGAAGGCACAAGCTGAAGAAGCTGCAAGGTTAAAATGGGAAGCAGATAAAGCAAGGCAAGATGCTGCTACAAAGAAAAGCTGGTATAAAATTTGGTGATCTTAGTCGGCCCCCGGACATCACAACAAAAGTAAAGAACAGCTACTATACTATGGAAATTCGGGGTATGTTGCTGAGGTCTATTCATATGCTATCCTTCGAAACCCATAAATCACGTATCAACATTGACGCTTTCGACAGTCTTGTCACTGTTGGTGTGATCTATAGCGATACCGAATTAGAAGCTATGAGGTAGTTTTAGGTTATTTCGCAAAAGCATAAAGAAAGTCGAATAGGTTTCAAATAGATAAAGGCAACCTTGCCATCATGTCGGCCATTTAAGGCTATAAATCTGCGCCAGAGCTATTCAACGCTCTATTAATCAAATCAATTGCCGGTTATATCCACTTAACGCCCCAAGTCCAGAATTATCGTATTGAAATTCAAGTGGGAGAGAACATATTGCTGGCATCAAGTCGTGACCACAGTAGTCGGCTCTGCATCCGAGAAACGCACTCGTGCCATGGAATGTTTCCTCTCCAATTCCGCGACATTGCCAATCCGTTGTCGACGACGTTGACTTCTCTTCGCTCTAGCTTCGCTCTCCTCGCGTTTTCTATAGTCGGCTAGCTGCTGTCTTCGTTTCTGCGCCCGCGCGTATGCCAAAGCAGGAGTTGGTCTGAAACCGATACCGTTGATACCAGTACCATCATCGTCTTTATCCTCGGGATCATATATAGTAATTTCGTCCTCATGCCACGTAAGCGCGGCACGAACGGGATCAATGATGATAGGATCCTCCTCAGTTAAGGCTTCTGCCGTCTTACGCTTTGCTAAAGGAGGAGTGCCCGATCGTTTTCGAATACGCGACTTAGATTCCGATAATCGGTTGATGGATGGATAAGACTTCTGCAAACGGCCTGAACCTTCTATCTTTGCTGTCCTCAAAATAGCAGGATCCACGGCTGTTTGTAAAGTGAATCGAGGGGACTCAATAGGCTGAAGAAAGTCGGGATTCGTCACGTCTACTTCTCCCCCCAACCCTACCTCAGGAGAATTTTGGAGTTCAGTGATGTCAGGCAACTTGACACGCTTACGCGATACAGTATCGTCATCGTCAAGCTGCATGTCTTCGGCGGACGTGCTACTTCTAATACCTCCATCAAAATCGAAGACGGTGAGCTCTGGCGAAAATCTCGGGCTATCAATTGCAAATTGGGGACTAGCCTCGTCTGATCCCGTTCCCGTTCTCGTTCCCATAAAATCAGTGCCATCGACCCTGTCGCTATCAATTACCCCGCCCCCACTTCCAAGGGCCAGTTCTTGGAACTGTTGAGCAACCTTACTTCGAGGACTACTGTTACCGTCTTCAGGGGCATCGTTTCGAGAATTCTCCACTGGTTTCAGGGTCGGAGGTTGGAAAGAGAAGGTGGTCTTAGGCAGACTATAAGTATTTGGAGAAGAGTTGAAAACGCGTTGCTCGTTGAGCATATCGTCGCGCTTACGTTTAGGAGTAGCTTTTAGCGGTGACGATTCAGCCATGGTTTGTTTGTCTAACCCTTTAATTTGCGAATTTCAAAGTAGCTGGGCGTCTATGAAGCTCTCTTTTAGAGCTTACAAGACTTAGAGTTGACCGTCCATTGGTGTATTATTTTCGTATATAATCGGGGAAATCTAGTTAAGCATCTTAGTGTTGAGTTGTCTGTCTATTCCTTTGAATCGGGATTGGAAATGATAATGAATAGCAGATGATGGTTTTTGAATATTAGGTAGGTAGACAAGTGACAAGTGTGAATCAGGAGGGTTAGCGAGGCCGGTGAGTTGGTCGAGCAGCTACCTCCTTAGGTGGCCCGACCTTAGGTAGGTACCTAAGGTTAGGTATCCAATATACGATAAGCATTAGACGGCACCTGCAGTCGGGTATAGGGCAGGTAAAGTACTTCCACGTGGATATTAAGAAATAGCCACGCAGGTGCAGGTGTACCAGATACTAACGCGGGTGCCTTAGCTTGCCTTTTCCTGCCTAATGAAAAGGACAATACTGTAAGGCTAAGAGAATGATTGGCCCAAAATATTATTTGCCCGGACAACAGGTACTTCCAAGCTGACTTCAAGATTGCCTAGCATTTAATGCTAAGACATTCTTGTGGATTTAAGAATAGTTCAAATGTCTACCTGCATGCATTTTTTTTTGAGGTGCATTCATTACTATACCGAACTATTGTATTGTATGTTTATAGTAACTACCTATTTCTAGTTGAATTTTATTCTCTATAAGTTTTATTATAAATGCGATGGAAACGGTACGTCGTAAATAAATAAATTATATAGTAAAATTATATCCCATTAACTCGATCAGGAGTTTAGCTCTAGGCTGGTTCCATCTAACTTCTTGTTAGGTACATATGCGCATCTGTAATACCCGCGTATGGTGATCCGGCTGTACGGGTCCAACAGATTACATAATATCGCCACGCCTCAACAGTACATATAGGAATCGATAGCGTAGAAAGGTAAAGAAATCGCGACTTACCTCGGTGGAATGATGAGGTAAACGGAGTCGTATAATCCGCTTGTACGACCATGTACGACCGAGTTACCCCGCCATACGTACATAAGGGACGTACTAAGGGATGTACTTACTACCCCACTATCTCATGATGGCTCTAAGTTATTGTATGTACTAAGGTTCAGCAGATGGCTTGGAAACTCTCCCCACACTTGTCACTTGTCTCGTGAACATCATATATAGCCTGAATACCAATGCTCTCGCTACTGAGGCCGAGTCTTCTAATTTATTTCCCATATTTAGCTGTCATCCCGCCCTGAGTTTAAGAGTCTATTTCAAGCCTCCAGCTAACCCCCACATCCCGCGAATTCATATTAGTACCAGCAACTACTTGACAACTATAGCAAATACCAACATGGCCGACGAGATCTCCTTCCTGCCACTCGGCGCTATTATCCAATCCTTTAATGTTGGTGGCATTAACATTGTCCAAGGCTTCCCAACCCAAAAACTTTATGCCGAACACAACAGCCCGCACTTTGGTGCCACAATTGGCCGTGTCGCAAACCGCATTTCCGGCGCCAAGGTCGAGACTTTGAACGGAGGAAAGACATACAGCTTCGTTGCCAACAACGGACCGAATACCCTGCACGGTGGAAATGTGGGTTGGGGTAAGCGAGTATGGAAGGGTCCGACCCCGGTGGGCGTCCGCAAGAACATCCCCGGAATCGAGGGTGAGCTTAAGGGTGGAGAGACTGTTGAGTTCTCACTTACAAGCGAGGATGGGGATGAAGGGTTCCCTGGTGAGGTTCTCGTCAAGGTGTTCTATACGGCTGGCAAAGTTACCGAGAACGGAAAAGAGGTCACAGTTCTTAGCCAGGAATACGAGGCCGAACTAGTAGGAGGTGCGGAGGAAACTATCATCAACATGACAAACCATTCGTACGGTCACCTGGACTCCTACGGATAAGAGCAAGAATGAATTATGCTGATATGAATAGATACTTTAACCTCTCGGGAAAGCCAAATATTGAGGGAACCGTGGTCCAACTTTCTACCAATTCATATCTCCCTCTCGACGAGTCGGGTATCCCAACCACCGGACCAACTGCGTACTCTAAAGTCCCAACAACGACTCCTTTTACCCTCGGTGCCCAGGAGCCAGATTTTGACGATTGCTTCATCGTTGATCCCACCGCTTCTCCCAGCTCTGTGCCAATAGACACACGAGCTCTTCCTTTAATTAAACTTGTTTCCGCTCACCACCCAGAGAGCAAGATTCACCTAGAAGTTCTTAGCACAGAACCCGCGTTCCAGTTCTATACCGGCAAGTGGATCGATGTGCCGGCTGTAGGCGGAGCTCCCGCGCGCGGGTCGCGCAGTGGTTTTTGCGTGGAACCCAGCCGGTTTGTAAACGCTATTAATGTTGATGATTGGAGAAGTCAGCAACTTTTAAAGAAGGGTGAGAAATTCGGAGCCCGGATTGTGTACAAGGCATGGGAAGAGTAATCAGCACTCTGATGATGATGGATAACAAGACGTTATTGGAAGACGTGAGCCGCTTATATGTGCTATATGAACCACTCAAATCTAATTGAATATCTACAACTCTTCATCGTCTTCCTCAATCTCCTCCTTGGCTGGCGCTTTAGCCTCCTGTTTTCTATATAGTGCAGCCAGAAACTCGCTACTACTAGCTTCTTCCAACCCTTTATCCTCACGCTTTTTAAGAAAACGCGGGAACCGTAAACTAAGTCCTCGATCTTGGCTCACTAGTCCAATAGCCGCAGTATATGTCGGCGATAATGTAATGTCGGCAAATGCCATCTCCCATACCTCCTGAGGTTCGAACCAGACATCCGGCTCGGGACCCAAGTACTCTACGAAGCTAGGCTTCGTCTTGCGGACATTTTTATATTTCCTCCCTTCAGTCTCACCCTCCTCGTCATTACCTTTCTCGTCTTCCTCTTCGCTTTCCTTGACACCATTGGAATCTGATTGTTCTTCGCCGGAACCGTCGTCGTAGAATTTCTTATTCGCCTTGTAGAAAGCATCCGTAAACCCGGATATGCATTTGCACACGACGTCCAGGGACCCTGTCGCGTCGTTGCGAACGGCCATAAGTATAGGCGACCACCATTTCGCCTTGCGGCCTTGGCCATGCCATCCAGCTACCGGTACAAGATCTAGCGTGTCAAACGAGCTGCTATAGTCCTTCTTCACTTTAAGCCATGAATCGAGGCGTTTATCGGGCTCGTAAGTGGCAAGCAGCGGTTTCCGACGTGGGGATGGCTTCTTTTCTTGGTCACCATTGCTAATTCCCTTTCCTTTACCTTTTTTCCCTTTCGACTTCGTCGGTAAAGTGAGGGTCTCGCTTTCTTCTAAATCATCCGCCGTCATATTAGGATCCTCTAACGCGTTGCTAGGAGCGGGCAGATTGGGCAGATTGTCGAGAATTTTAACCATAATGCCCTCGCATTTTTTCTCTATGGCTTGCTTGAAGAAGTCCAGCACACCTTCGGAATCCTGCGACGTAGCATCGAGACTCTTTACCCAAGTAAAGTGGTGCTGTATTTCCGTAAATAGGGATCTTAGTAGCGTACGTCGCTCGCGGAATGGCCGGTCTAGGAGCGGCTGGCCGTTCAGGTACATCAAGTCGAACGCGAAGAGGCAGACATCAATTGTGATGCTCCCAATCGCCACGTCCTTCCGAGCTCGGTTCGTGAGTGTTTGAAAGTTCTTTAATTCCCCTGTTTGGCGATCCACCGCGACCACTTCTCCCTCCATAATAAAACTACTCACACCCTCTCCACGCAGCTTTGGCACTAACTCCACTAGGTCTGGGTATTTGTCGGTCATGACCTCTAGATGCCGGGAAAATATTGATACCTTGCCCTTATCATCGCAGTGAACTTGCGCTCGTTGACCATCATATTTGAACTCGCATGCGAAATCTCTCCCTTGTAACTTCGTAAGCATCTCAGATAGATCCCTTGTAATGCTCCCCAGCATTGGCCTTAAAGGTATATGCAGTGTCAGATCGCACCTCATTAACAGCTCATCACACACCCCTATTTGGAGCATAGCAGGGACGAGATCGTTATAGTTAGGACGCCTTGCGAAACAAGCTTTGACAATCTCCTCAGCTCTACTCCACACGTCTGCGAGTTCTTCTTTTTTTAATGCCTTGAGTTCGTCGACGGATTTCAATGGAAATTCTGCGTAGGGCGGTCTAGAAAGGAGAAACGCACGCGATAAGGCGATTAACATCGTGGTTTTCACGGCGCCAATCCGAAGATGTTGGCATAGTGTACGGACGACATATCGACTCTCCTCACCGCCCCGAGCATCTTGGAGTAATCGATCCACGATACGCTGTTTCACCTCTGCACTACCCTGTCCCTGGCTACTAGCTACTTTTACTAGAGACTGATAGACGCCTTTGATCGTAAGAGGCTTTGGCTTCCGTAGTGTGAAGCTCTGCTTCTTCTTCGCTTCGAAGGCAACATCTCCCGCATCACCGTACTTGTCATAGATTGCCTTCAGAGATCGATTGTCCAAGCCGCAGACATTCTTCAAGGCCTTTGAAATCGCTGAGCCTCCTAATCCGAGTTCCAGTGAGATATAAGGTGGTGATATTGAGTTGGTGGCAAGCCAGACCTACTTACTGCAATCAGTAAGACATATAAACATAGAGAGAAGACATGTAACTAACAGCTGGCAGTAGGCTCTCAGAGTCCCCTTCTATAAGGACGCGGAGACAATTAACGAGAGTATCTACTATCTTAATGCGGCTAGATGTGCTGTTGATGAGTACGAAACAGCGCGTTAAGAGTGAATATGACGCATTACCACCATCGCTAGCCCAATGTTCCTGAAGCTGTGGTATATACTTTGAAGGGTCGAATGTAAGAGGACTCTCGTCAAATGGTATGTTCTCTGAAACTATGTCCACAGAAGCTGTAACAGATTGTAGCGACAGCGTGCCTTTACCCTTATTTTCAACATTCTTTACTCCTACTAGAGGATCTGAAGATGCTGATTGAACATCAATAGCTTCAGTGAAATTATCTGGTTTGGACAGATTAGAGACTGCTGCTACGGTTGAAGATCCGGAGGCGTGCCCCACAACTTCGGCCTCTTTATCCCATTCAGCCTGGAGCTTCCGTGCGAGCTCCTCGTCCGTCATCACCTGATCCCGCTCAGGACCTTCATCGTCCGGTATTTTATCATTTGGCGTTTGATCATTGGGACTTTTGCTTTCCTTCTGCTTAGAGAAAAAATATTCTAGACCTCTAGAAGGTAAACCTGATGATTTCGAGTTACCACTGTTCAACTTCCGCTTTTTCGTTGGACTAGGCATCTCGATCTCGAGTTTGTAATGAAATACTGCATGGATATATGAATGCAATCGTTATTTAATTATTAAAAGATATCCAGCTCCATGTAATGATTTTGACGCGCCTTCCTCGTATTCCGTAGTACGCTCTAATCAATGATGAGAAAATTGATGATGTCGTTGATAGGTACCGGTTGCATCGCTGTGTTGCATTTGTAATAAAATATTCAATTATACGAGAAATTCATTCTACGAGGTACCTATGTAGAACAGGGTTACGTAAGATATCAGCAAGGAATTGTAGCGCGAGCGCGCGCGCACGCTTTAGATTTCCAAAGTCATTTTCTACTTTTGGTAATTCTCCTTTATCCGTACACAAATAGGCGACTACACTCAAATCAACAAATCTAGAAAACCACTCCTTGATATTTAAATGAAATAACTTGTCATGCCGCAAAACTTATCCTAATACAGCCAGTCGGAGACACAAATCGGTTCCTACCATCGGTAAACCAAAAGAGGGGATTTGCTCAATAGTAGTGCATAACCTAATCCCAATAGAAAAAGAAAGAAAAAGAAAAAAAAAGAAAAAAACCCATCCCGGTTTGACCGCTATTCCAACCTGCGCGTCTACCTCTTGTCATGATGGCGACGACCTAGTTTGCCGTGATTCTAGATCAGACTCCTAGATTAAACCACATTATGTCGGCCTCTCGGTTCACGGGAACCACATGGCCAACGTTATGAGCAGAAATCCCAACCAAGTAACCACCATCTCCGTATATCATTTGAGTATAACCTCCCTGTGGCTTATCCGTAATATTCCGAGTGAGCTCAACACCCTGGACAGCCGACCACTGCTTCAGCTGTTCTCCAAAGTTGTTATAATTGACAAACTCATCCGCGGTACCATGGAAAGTCTGTAGACGGGGATATCCTCCGTTCCATCTTGGGTTCATAGCTCGAACTATCTTTGCCCATTCCTCGCCCGTCTTAATAATCTTGCCGTTGGCGCATGCGCCATCAGCAGTCTGTGGGCTCGATCCGGGTGAGCCCGCCAGGCAGCCTGCTGGGACACCAGAATAGCAAGATCCGGCCATGAACAAGTCCGGATAAGTGGCCAGGAGCACGTTCGTCATCATACAGCCAGAAGACGTGCCTTGAACATAGATTCTCATCGGGTCTGCGTTATACTTGTCGATGAAGTACCTCATCATGTTTGCCAGACCAGTGCTGTCACCTCCTCCATCGACTGTGAGGGACTTGTTGGAGGCAACGTCCTGTGATACCATTAAGTTAGCAAACATCTCTTTCAAGTTAACTTGAATAGACAACTATAATTATATTATCAAACTCACCCAACAGTTGTTGTCCATTCTGGTGGATGGGTAGACTGCAATAAACCCTTTTGCCTCGGCATAAGCGTCAAAGTTCGCCATTTGATGATACGCAGTCCCCGATCCACCACAATAGTGTAGCTGTATATATTGTTAGTTTTTTCTCTTAGGTTGCAGGAATGGTCATATCTTACGGCAAGAAGTACGGCGGGCGATTCCTCCAGATATTTGGGAATATATGCGTTCATGTCTAGGTGTGTTGGGTTCTCGCCCCAATCAGAAATTTGTACCCATTTCGCATATGAAGTCGAACATGAGAGTAGCCAGGCTACTGTGCTTGTGAGAGTGAATCCGCGCATGTTGACTTGACTTTAGAAAGTGTTTAGCTAAGTCTAGTTTTAGAGAGAAGAATGTAGGGTGGTCTGCAAGTCCAAATAAAATCTGGGATCTTGCTGGTCCTTATATAGATATTTATAGACTTGGGATCTCTTACCTAACACTAAAAGGTAAGATACTTTGATGGCTATCAAAGCTCAACCTTAACCGCTTGACTGATCCGAAATTTAGAGTCGGCTAATTGGACGCTCCACGCAGGGGAAGCCAAGAGTTTAATGTAACCCGATGTCATAGAGTATTCGAGTCGTGTAAATTCATATTAATGTCGGTTCCCCGCGCACGGTTCCATCATAGTTTACTTAAATGCCGGCCCAAGAAGCCGCATCTCTCTACACAGACGCGATATATCATTCATGGGAATTTTAGTTAGAGTTACGCCTCTTCAGCCTTCGTAATTGTGACTGAGGTATGTCCGAACGGCACCTAAGCTCTAGATGAAAGTTTAGGCTCTTTCTATTGTGACTCTATTCTTAATTGTTTCTTTACTTTATAGTTTGTATACTCATTTCGCCTTGAACAACGCATAAGCTCGTAAACTTATCCAGGATATTAGGAAAATGAGAACGAAGAAGCTGATTGTATATTTTATTAACCTTATTCCAGTACGATGCAATGCGGAACATAACTAATCCAAACTATGGCCCCGTATATATGCCTTGATTAGGTAAATCCTCGATTATATAACTCGCTGTCATCCATTTGCAGGAAGCTCCTGTGGCTCACTGGGACGACCCCCCTCATTATACATTGTCTTCGAACTGGCTACATCGAGCTCTTGTGGGTGACTAGGGGTATCCAACTCTGTCTTCACTGCTGAGTTTCCATGCAATTCTATTTCGAGCTGCGCTTTAGCTTTTTTTTGCCTACGACGCCATAGTAAAAATATGCTCATGATGATAATAAAAACTCCAGAGCAAGCGCCTACAACAGGCCCGGCGATCCAAGCATGACTATTTGGTGTGGCTGGCTCAGAACTAAACGTAGGTGGCGGTGAAACACTGATCGCTACGAAGAATTAGCGGAGAGATTATATCAGGGAGATTAATTTGAAAATTCCTTACCGCTAGTAGTCTGATTCCCTGAACTTGTCGGCGAACTGCTGCCAATCTGTAGATATGTTGTTGTGAAAGTAAAAGTCGTTAGCTCCCCGTTGATTGTTCTTGAAATCTTGACGACCGCCGTGGCCGGAATCTGCGAATATAGTGTGATGTCTTTTGTAAATGACCAGGTCTTTATGGTGCCTTCAATAGTTGTTATAGCTATATCAAAGTTAATGACAAAGAAGTGGTTATCATTACGTATTTGTCTCGAGATGCTGGACTAGAGAAGAAAGACTACGATACATACTAATCATCAAGTTAATATAGATTTCTCTCAGTTGAGGGGTTTGGGGAGTAGTTTCTACAACATACCCTACTAATATTGTTGTCATAATATCATATGGCATAGTATTGGAGCTTGTTGAATTTGATCCTCCTGTAGGCGTAGTAGAACCTGAAGGTTGCGTATCACAATAATGGAGCAACTGGCCACCTTCATTCGTCGACGTCCAATTCCCTCCATTACTTTCAATGCAACTCTTACACGAATCGCGATATGTCATAAAGGCGGAGTCGGGTGAACATAGCAATGCCGATTTACCAACCTTTTGTGCTTCAATGACGGCATTGTCTGTGATCTTTTGCGTGAGTGACTTTTCTTAGAAACTATCTCCTAGACAGATTAGGGAGTGTATAGATAGGTACTTACTGCATGTGCTATAGCAGACCGATGGGAGTGTTCCGTCCCTAGCAATTACTCGATTTAACAATCGCATGATGCCTGGTGATTTGAGTATGAATAGCAAAGATATTGCACAATACAGGTCTGACGGCAAAGGCAGGCTTTTAATTAAGACCTTCTCCAATATGGCGCCAAGCCTGCTATTTGACCCCCAATATTCGTATCTGACTTTAATTGGTTCCTAGAGGTGATCGCCCCCTTTTGTAGTTGCACTGCAGGCGAGAATGGGTTGATAATGGTGTTTCGCTAGCTGACGGAAGAGGAGATGTCGTTACACTAATTATAGTATAAGTGATGAATTATTCACTAATCTACTATTTCATTGGCTACTTTGAGACGGTTGAAGCGCTATTTCCGAGAAGTAATATAGCTGGTCTGAGTATTTATAAATGTGCATCATGCAGTGTTACCAATAAGAAAACATGCTTAGCTTATTCAGGGGTAGATAGGTTAGGTAGGTACCTCTTTACTACGTGTGAAATTCCGAGAGACACGGTAAGAGGTTCTTATGATATATGTCTATAGGCGCATCACCTGTGATGGTATACAACACGAAGTGAAGAGTCAGATATAATTTAAAAGATGACTTGCATTCGTGTTCCTCCCCGCAGCCATCGTTAATTATAATTTCTCTACATTATTATATAATAGACATATTATACAAGTATATAACAGGTAGCGGAATAACTCGTGTTCTTACAAGATAATATTAGTTTAGAGTTGTAATAACAATTGGATATATAATACTTGATTTGATAGTAAAACTACTTAAGTACCTAATGTCTTGGAATTGATGGCTTTTATATTTCTAATGATACTCGAAACGCATTATGTTTTTATTTAATTACCTACATTGGCTCTTTTGGGAAATATTTATACTTCTCAAAGCTACTTCTAGAATTTCTTGGAAAAGAAATTGCGGCCTCTCATTTACTATCAACCTTGGGTATTGATGGTTATTTACTTATGGTAGGTACCTAGGTACTAGGTATTTAAGTGGAGGCTCTCCCGGTATGTTCTGGGTTAGTTAACTCGCATCTTTTGTCATTGTTCTTCTTAATCACTGGCCATCTTGGATATCGTTCTCATAATTAGGATGGGATACGAAATATTTGAGTGTTACTAAGATGGGAATGACTTACTGATAGTATATAGGTACCACGGGATAGTAAATTTTTGCTTTTATCACTCTACTCACAGTTCATCGTAGAGAATATGTCGTCCTAACTATCTTTACAGAACTCATACAGCTCTATCGATACCTAGCATGTTGTCCCCAGCCTTACGACAATTGTGGATTTAATCACTATCGTGGCGCGAGGAGGCTGAATTAATCTTTCACGTTAACCCTAATATACCCCTCATTAGAAATCCTACTTGGAAAATATGAGTGGATCTGCTATACCTGAATAGTTAGAATATGTTAACCGTGCCACCCTTGTGCTGGTCATGCAGTTGGCGGGAATTTCTTGGCTTTGGAACGGGAATTTGTTTCATCCAAATCATTACTATCCGTGCGTTGCCGATTTCCTTAAATTTCATATGTGCCCGCCGTGAGCCTCCTTATCATTGTCATAATATTTCCCTTTGGCGATCACCAAATCATCACGTATATCGACTATATCTTGAAGTTTAACTTACATAACTTATCTGTTAAAGATCGAACTCAGAAATCCAACATGGTAAGCTCTTTTCCACCCGGTCATTAGAAAAGCACTTAGCGAAACCCCGCTAACCCGACGAGTAGGCTCGACAACTGTCACCGGAGGAAATTCAAGTCTTCAAGGAGCTCTTTGATTCATATGTGAGTACAAGAGCTTACGGGATGTGAAAAATGCTCTGGTTTTAATCTAACTTCGTTCTAGGACACGGACAAGGGCGGTAAGTACCTACTTAGAGCTCATCACGATGATGAGTTCTGACCATCATATCTTGATTACTGTATTCTAATTATTACCAGGCAACATAAGTGTAGAAGAATTTGCGAAAGTAATGTCTCAGAGTCCCGGAAAGCAGCCAACACCAGATGAAGTGCAACAAATCATCAGAGAGGTTGATCTTGACGGTGATGGAACTATTAACTTCAATGGTAAGTTTCATTATCCAATATCTTATTTTAATATCGCTTGGAAAATATGAATACGAAGGGAAGATGAATAGGTCGTGTTCGGAAAGCTGATCCGCCATAGAGTTCATCACGATGATGACAGGCCAGACGTACCCTCCAGTAGACGAAAAGGTCGACTATGCTAAAGCATGGAAGCAATTTGAGCCCTCCCTTAAGGGCTCAATTACCCAAAGCCAATTCCGGCAACTCGTAGCGGGATTAGGAGAGCCTATCGGCGATGTTGAAATTGATCAAATAATCAATAACGTAGATGGAGAAGGCAAAATCACTTGTAAGTTTAGTCTACATTCAACTGTAAACATGCCTCGGCTAACTAGTATCCAGTCCAAGAGTTTGAAACTTTCATGAAGAATAGGAGTCTGGTGGATGAGATCGTGAATGGCTATGCGTGATCAGGTTGATACAAGGCTAAGAAGTGATGATTTGATGCATGGTGTTGATAGCGCGAAGATTATCTTTCGACGGCATTATTATCAACACACCCGTGAAGGAGGAAAATATACGTATCCGAGAAGACTTCTATATCTAATTCTACTTCACCATAGCATTTGTGAAGATATAGATCATTGGGAACATAAAGCCGAACCTACCGACACTACCAATGGAAAACTTGACTTTGCTAGACTAGTTTAATTCTCTTCACTTGAATCATCTGCCTCCTCTTCTTTAGTATCTTCCGAACTTTCTTCACTATCATCAATGCTTGATTCGGTGACTGACGATGTCTCTGATTTATCATCCTCGTCTGCGTTGGAGTCTGACATTGCGTCATATTCTGGCCCCCTCTCCTCGAACTCATGGTCATGCTTATACTCGTGGACAATATCCAAATGGACATAGCATTTCTGACAGAGTATGTAACTGAAGCAAGTCTTGCACGCATAACACAAACCCTTAACTCTCTAGAGGCTATTTAGCTGTCCCGTCTATTATATCATATTTAGTCACGGGGATACTTACCAGAAAGCAACTGTCGCACCAAGCAGTATCGTGTACGTGAGCCGCTCTTGGGAGCACCAAGTGGTTCTCTTCGGTTGGTGTTGGAATATCCTTTGTTACTTGTCCCTCATCTTCTTTTTCAAGACCATTTCTCAAGAGGTCAATAACTCCAGGATTGGCCCCAAAGTAGGAGGCGATCTCAAGCGGAGTCCAAAGTTCATTGCCAACCGGGCACTGAATAGATCGATCGGCGTGTTGTTCTAACAGTGCCCTAGTTACCCCAATCGTATCCTCGGCATCATTGGCATCGTCTTCAAATAGCCAACTACCTCCCCCTTTGGCCACCCAACAAAGAGGCGTCCACCCGTCTATGTCCCTTTGGTCCACATCTATTTGAGGGTTAAGCTCTATGATATGTTTGATAACCTGGGAACGACCGGCTTGGGCAGCCCAGTGCAAGGCGCCACGATTGAGCTTATCCTTTGCTTCGATATCAGCTTTCGCCTCGATAATGATCTGGAAATTGGCAATACTGTGGAGCGCAGCAAAATGAATTGGTCTTCGGCCTAAGGAATCCTCGCTATCAACGGATACTTCTTTTCCTAATAATAACTGGACAATACTTGATTTCATTCCCAAGGCGGCAGCTGCTACTGGGCTTCCAACGTAGTAACTCTTAGCATTTACATTTGCGCCTTGGTCGATGAGATATTTGATCAATTTCTCCGGGTCCTCCTTTTTGCTATCATCCCACGGGAGGCATGCTCTCATTAAAGGCGTGCCGTACCCTGATACTGCCATTGTTTCTATATCGGCCCCGAAATCAAGTAGTTGCTTTGCGATTTCGAAAGATGAGTAGCCGCAGGCTTCATGGATAGGAGAGTCTGCGGCGGTAGGATCTAAACCTCTCAGATTAGGGTCAGCGCCTTGCTCAAGGAGGTACGATATGATTGTCTCTTTGTTGGCTTTCGTTAAGGCTGTCCGACCCATATTGTCCTGTGAATTTATGTTTGAGCCTCCTCGAATAAATAGTTTTATGGGTTTCAATTCATTTTCAAAAGCTGCCAAGCCTAGTGCAGTCTCGCCTACGTCGTCGACTTGGTCTATATCTATTCGTGTACGGAACTCCATCAAGGCCTGGAGGCAACCGCCTTCGATGCCATCGATCCCGTCAATTACAAGGTGAAGTGGGTTGAGGCCGATAGCCTCCTTGTGATTTAAATTTGCTCCGTAAGAAGCTAATAGAGTAATTGTCTCTGGATGGTTGTAAAAGGCAGCAAACGATATCGCGGTATATCCAGCCCAGTTAGAAGCTGTTCGATCAACTTCGATTTCGGTGTCGGCCTTATGTTCCAGGAGAACTTTGACAGAGGCCCCCCATCCTTTAGATGCAAGGAACATTAGCTGGGTAAGGCCACTATCATTTTTGAGATTGAGATTGTTGGTTTTCTCTACCAGAAGCTCAGTAATCGGCGTGCTTGAGGAGGCAACGTGGAGAGGAATCAGGCCTTGAGTTGTTTGGACGTTCACATCTGCGCCTCTCTCGAGTAATAGTTTCACTAGACCTTCGTCTTGATTCCGTACTGCCTCATATATAGGCGTTCTTCCGTCAACATCTGCGAGATTAACGTCGGGCTCATATTCTAGTAGACACCTAGCAAGGGCTTCAAACCGATTTCTGATTGCGATAAGTAATGAAGTGGCTTTCCGCTCATCTGTAGCGTTGATATTCACGTTATATTTAGCCAGAAGCCTTGTTAGGTTGATCCGCTGCTCTGTTGTAAGCGGTAAAGTTTGATTTGCCACGCCATGTAAAAGTGGTGACTTTAGAAGCGCGTTGTTAGGATCGGCGCCGCGTTCCAGTAGTAATTGGCATATCTGCACATTTCCACTGGCGACAGCATGATGCATAGATGTACCTTTTCCTATTCCACTTGGAGTATCGGGATCAACTCCATGATTCAGCAATGCCTCAACACACCTTTTGTTTCTGTGCTTTGTGGCTATTTCAATAGGCTTCATGCCACTAGGGTCCGATTTATTTGGATCTGTTCCGAGTTCAAGGAGTTTTTGTACCGCTGTCGGACGTCCCCATCCGCAAGAGAAACACAAAGGAGATGGCCTAGGAATACTACCGTCGTAAATACTATGCTCTAAAATATCCTTATCTTCTTTAGCAAGGAATTCTATTATTTCGACATGACCTCCTAAAATGGCCGACGTGAGTGGATTCCCACTGAAAGAGCCAGACTTGATGTCGGCCCCGTGCTTCACTAAAACTCTGACTGTTTTGAGGTGCCCAGATGATGATGCAACCCGTAGAAGGTTCATCGAAGAGTCGCCTGTAAGCGGGTTATTACAGTCGATTGAACACCCCTTTGATATCAAGGTTTCCGTAAGCTGATCAAAGTTCAATCTCGCTGCCCTATACAGCAATGGCGGGCCCCATTCGTTAATAGTATCAAAAGAACTGAGGTCTAGGCAATTAATAGTGTCGATTACCAGCTGCTCTTGGCCACTCGGGCCTGCTGCTTCAATAAAACGCAAGATGGTATCTTGGTTCCACGTTTTCGACCTGATGAGCTTTTGAACCACTTCTACGTGGCCCTTGAGAGCTGCTTCAAGTATCCCCATTTCCAAGTCTTCGTCACTTTCTGGTCCAACCTCCAAGCACCCAAAACTAGCAAGGGGTGGAAAGGGGGTTTTCCAGCAATTATCACTCATAGTTATTGGGTGTGCGAAAGCCCAGAAAGCCTCTGGCCAACGTCTCAATCCGATTTCTTTGAAGAGTTGATCCAACTTTCCTATTTTTTCCAAACGATCCTGGACTTGCATATAATGATAAAACCAGTACTGAACCGCATAGGAAAACAAATCATGAGAATCATCCAATATTATGATACATGGGCCTTTTTCCGCATACCTGTTGATAAACTCAACATATCGCTCTTGCATACTAGGTCGTGAGAGGTAGGCTAGACAAGTACTAGCAATTTGATGATGAGCGTCGGGAGCAATCTCATGCCAGATATAGGTTGGTCCTTCTTCGGCCTTTGGTGTCATAAATATATCTCTTATGCGAAGGTTAGACACATGAATTTCATTATTATCAATTCTGATAATACCGGCCAGCCAAGAGAGCCAGCTGTGATAATCTGGGAAGATCACTTCTATGTCTGTCTTTTCGGGTATACTGTTAGATCCTCCATCCTGTTCACGACTGATAAATACTACCGTGGCGAATTCCCAGATAGACAATGGCTTGGTTGAGTAGAGAATCCAGGATAGTATTAGTAGTACCAACGACTTATCGGGGATATTTCGGAGTATACGATCTATAATCATTTCGGGAGGAGTGTTGGCCGTTATGTCATCTATTGGCCTGAGAAAGTCTCCCGGTACAGAGTTCCTATTCAACGCTGTTCTTTGTACCAATTGCTCTTGGATTACCGAACGTGCCAGGAAATCAATATCATCGAACCATGTAGGAACTTCCCACGAAATATGATCGAAGTCGTATGATTGGGGTAGATCTTCACTTTGCTGCCGCTTATTTTCTATATCCTGTGATAAATCGGGTTGAATATCGTCAGAGGTAGAGGCTAAACTAAGGTCGAGGTTTCGCCATTCTAATAACTCATCACTTAGGTTATCGGCTCGACTGGTAACAAATACTTTCCATGATTTTTCATTGATAGCCACAGCACGGGAGACATATCGAATAAACGTTTCCCGCGAGTTCGCATCGCACTCATCGAAGTTGTTGACGACAATGCGAATACCATCGAATCTCAATAGAGCCTGTTCGAACCAATACATAAGGTCATTTTCAGTCCAGGCTCGTTCAGTATCCAGAAACTTTAAGAAAGTCATTACTGAAGACCTCGGACTTGGGTGATGGCAGACAATCTGCGCCAGAAATGTAAAGAGCATCTGAGACAGCCGATTGCGCCTTATATCTTGACGATCAAAGGTGAAGTAAAGTGTAAGAAATGACATAGCCGTTGGTGTTATTATCGCGTCCAGCTGATAAAATACTTGCTCCGCAGTTTCTTGAACATTTTCAATGCCATGCGCATAGAGTAGCTGGCCACCACGGTTATCGAACCATTCTCTATAAGTAGAATAGCTACGAAGCTGATCCTTCAGGTTGCAGTCTGTACGAAACGGTTTAACCGCCGTCGCGAGAGACACCAGAGTGTGTTCATGATCAAATAACCTGGGGACAAATTTTGTTACTGTGTCAATTATTAGTGCCAATCTGCACTATAGGATATTTATGAAAAGCTTAATAGTCTGCCGTACCCTGTTCAAAGTTGCGGAATAGGCTACCCAGTATTATGCTGAAGTTGCTTGGTGTATTTTCGTGTATACGCGTTTCGAATGGTGTCCCTAAAGTTAGGGTAAATGTATTAAAATACTATTAGATAATATTAGTGAACAAATCCGCAACTTCGTCTGGGTATATAATTCTAACCTCATGTACCCCACTAGAAATCTGCATAGTCGTATAAATACTGACGAGGCGAGTACGAAGAAGAACTTTGGATGATATGAAAGAGCCGTTGGTTTCGACAATAGCAGCGGCGAGTCCAGGTAGCGCAGCCGTTGACGGACGGAGGGGGATTTCAAGCTCAGGCGGTGACGTGAAAAGTAGCCGACTTAGACTATCTTGCATTCCTGTTAAGCTCTTACATCGGTGAGGGCAGTGGCTCAGAACCTTGATGGGTTAGTATATGACCAAATATGAAGTATACAGGGTTAATTACCAGCATTCTAGTATAGTCTAATATTTCCATCCAAGAGCCTTCAGCCTGGGAAGCTTGAGATAGTGCCTATGGGTGTCGTCGTTAGGGGTAAAATCACGAGCCAATATCTAAGACCGACTCACATCTTTAACGATGATCCCTCCGATGTCAAAGGCCACGAACATTACAATGCGATTCTGATAAAATTGATTGATGAGCGTCAAAGTCCGGATATTATTTCACGCTGTATACTTACGACCTCATCGTCCCGCTTCTCTACGATACTATCTAGAAGTTCCGAAGATAGTCTTCGAATAACACGACGAGATTGGTAGCTGCGAATAACCTCATTTGGATCGTATTCGAAACGAAATAACCTAACATTAAGATTTGCAGAATGAGTATAATCTAAGAGCCATTTTGGCGAGGTGTCAAGCTGCTGGTAGAGATCAAACAGTCGAGGAATAAATATGATGCTATGCGTAAGATTAATGGAATATTCTTTATAGTGTTGATGTATACACACTCAAGATATGTTACTCCTTCTTTTGGGCTTGCAGTTTGCGAATCCGGCTGATCAGGGTTTGGCTCGGGCGTTGACCACTGAAGTGATAGCCCCTCATGTCGAGGTGCAGATACTTTTCCCTGCACATGCTCACTATCATGGACTGTACTGACATTGGAATGTAAGTCGGGTCCCGGAGAAGTTGAGCTTATAACTGGCTTCTCGGCAGCCATAACTAAGGAAGGCGAAGATCCTGTCACCGTAAATATATTCGAGACGACATATCCATAATGCTATCTATAATTCAACGCAGACTTCCCCAACAGTAGTCTAAAGTTCTGAGATATGTTATGGGGGGGGTAGGCACCAAAGCGTGGGGCGTGTGGCTTCGCCGAATGTGTACAAGTCAGAATTGGGGGCAGAAAATTTGCCAGGCTCTTTAGAACCAACGATGGGACCTCAGCTTCATTGCTTGTCATATTCGCACAGTGTGAGCCGTTTAGAAATACAATCACACATGCAAGAATAATACTTCCTGTGAATAATATAGAAAAGCTTGGGGAAAGTTATATAAATAAGAAGTGAAAAGAGTCGCGATATTATAATTCGATTAATAAGTTGATGAGTTTTCATTTCCATTGTTAATTTCTCATTTTATATGCAAAATACCCCCTAACCATATAGATATTTATTTCATACGCCCCTTCTTGATCACACCATCTAGTAAATGATGAAATACAACATCTGATAGCTTTCTTAGATCAACTGATGCAAGATTCTCTATAGGATATCCAGACTTGTTTAGGTTGTTTGTCGGCTTCTTCTCGGGATCGAAGAGGATAGGGTCATCGCTGCTTCTTGAACCAAAGAAATTCTCCAGTTCAGTTTTCCAATCCGTCTCTATATTTATTTTCGCGGTACATTGGAATTCGTTATTATCTTCTCTCTTTATAAGTATAGCTGTTCGAAGGAATGACGGGATTCCCGTCTTCGTTGATCTGTTCTCGTGTAAGATCCAGCTAACTCCGATCTCGTTGCCAAAATCGTCGCATTCTGTAGACCCATTCAAAGTTGTTGCATTACTCATGTCGAGGGAAATTGTCTTTTCCCATTTCAGAGCGCCGCCTAACTCCCCTCCGAACTGAATACCTGCATTAATTTCACTGCCACGAGTTGTTGACTGTTGCTGAGTCGTCCGTAACATAGCAAAATGGCCAAATGGGGAAAGGTTGTGAATTCTCGGGGAAACTTCTTGCACTGAGTTACCAAAATTCAAGGAGATTGTCGCAGCTGTTATGCGACGCCCAGGTTTCACGGCGTTGAAACTGAAGTCATAAACAAGTAACGTAGCGAACTCGTTAGATTCGGGGTCGAGGAATCCGTGGATAACTTCTCGAGACTTACAGCGGATAGCGACAGCTCCACGCCGTTCAGTAACAGTTTCTCGCTGATATCGTCGTGATGGATTAGGATCATTGCGAATATGATAACCACTACCCTCATCTCCGACCTCGTCCAGATATATGTCAAAGGAAGTATCGTCCATTCTAATCCTTTTGTAACTACCTAATTCTTGATGAGATATGCTGATGAATGATTCAGGTTGGACTAAAGATGGTATCTGTGCCAGGGTTTTGAAAGGCGTCTCTAGGGAATCCTTCGTACCGGAGGGTAGCCAAAGACGTGTTAGCTGAAGTGCACTTTCACTAAAATTCCTCAAGCCACGTTTAGTTTTATATATGCCTACCTACCTAAGCTATATTTATATCGAGGTATTATTAAGTTAAGTACCTAAGGTAGCGTATTCCTATTTTATCTTGTAAATCTTCATTTAGGCTAGTAACCTTTTTACACCATAAGTTACCTAGAAAAACTTCTTAACATTTGAAATAATTTTCTCTCCGAAGCTTCATTCATATTCCATTGCAGCTTATCTCTTATGCTTTAGCAGCTGTTGTTAGCCTGATCCACCTGAACCATAGGTAAGCACCTACGAAATATCTTCAACCCCTGTTCAAAGCTATACTCTTTCCAGTATGAGGGGTAGAAAGCTGAGATATTTACCAATAGGATCAATAAACACATATTACCTACCTATATGTATACACTAGTAAATATAATAGGATCAAGCCGATCTAGTCGATGAAATATGTATAGACAGTGCGAGCCTTGCACCCATAACATCTTTGTCATATCTTCCTAAATTAGGATCGTTGCGCTGAGTTAGGGCGTTGGGGGTGGCTGAGCATTGCTAACCTGCCAATTAGATGAACCAGTTAGGCGCCACTCAGCTATCGCTTCTCGGCGCTATGTACTGCTACGCTCCAGGCAGCCAGGATGAGTGAGGCATGGCCTTTTCCGAATAACTAGCCGAACCCCATGTCCTTAGATTGAGTTAACAGGGCTGAGTTGTTGAGCCTCTCTCAATTTGACCCCTCAGCTTCTAGGTTGGTTCGTTCATATAACTCGTCTATGTACACTACTTCATAAACGATACCGTCTATAAATGCTACGCGCCATAAAGTGTACCTAGCTACTATGGATTTCGTCCATGAACATCCCGAGGACGATGACAATGACTATTCGACTGATAGCGACTCGGGTAGAGAAAGCTCCGGAGATGAAGAAGAGCCTATCGTTACCTCCTATGCCGTATCAGCAGAAGGGTTACTTAAGAGTATCTTAAAAGATATATCTGAAGGGGTTGAAGGCCTAAGTAATAAAGAACATTACCAGAATCTCATACGAGATGGAATATCGGCAGGCCGTCTCACTGAGCTCGCTGCGGACTACACTAACCGCACTGTACTACATGATCTAGCCAGCCGAAAAGATGATATTCCCGAACTCTCGAAACTGCGGGGTTTACTTGAGTTCCTCGTGCAGCATCCAAATAATTTATTAGCTGAGAAGAATCAGAGTGGTGGTCATTCACCCCTACATATAGCGATAATAGAAGGAAAAGAAGATTTTGTAAAGCTAATTTGCGGTGCACATCCCAATATTGATTCTATTCTCTCGATCCCAGACCACCTAGGGAAGAACTGTCTTCACGTGGGTGTCGAGCAGGAAGTGGAATTTCTCGATTACCTCGTTGGAATAGCTGGGGCACAGACATTGAGTGCTAAAGACAGCAGGGGGAATACACCACTACATCTTGCTGTGGAGTATGGGCACTGTAAACCCAATCAGCTTCGTGTGGTAAAAGCTATTATCGCGAAATGCGATGATGTTATGAGGTTTTCTGAAGAATCCTACGAGTCTAGTGATCCACGCGCGCTGACCTATAATAACAATCACTTATCTCCATACCTCTATCATATTACAACCCGCGAAGCAGCTGAAGTAGAGAGGAGAAGGAGAAGAGAGGCTAAAAGGGCAAAGGCAGAAAAAAATATAATCGAACGAAAGAAAACATCGGGTTCTTCCAGGAAAGATGGACGGACAAAGAACAGGGTCGCTCCACCAGATGCTCGTTCAGTTCCTTCGGATCCCAGTCAGGAGGCGCCAAGAGATCCTCGAAATAAGCCTACCATATCGGCCAATCTCGACTTCAATGAAGAATTTGGAAGGGATTCCTACGACATGAGAGACAACGCTATGCAGGCGACAGATCCCTTGCCCTCAAGTATACAAGGTCATCAGTTTAATGTCAACAATTCAGCACAAGTACACAATACTAAATCATCTAATAACGACTTATTTACGAAGTTGGAATTAAAGAAACGTAACTCGGGCCTGAAGTCGTCAAGTAAAGAGATTAGAGATACCCGTCAATTGAAGCCGACCAAAGAATCCGCGGAAGAAATTAGGCTTTTCCTTAAGTACCACTATCTTCGGAATCGCGGCCATGATTCCGCTATAGAAATCATATACGATCGAAAAAGCTCGCTAGGTAGGTAAGGGCCTATTGCACTTTTTAAGGGGTTAATACTATACTCCGATTCATGAAGCAAATCTAATTCCATAATAATAGATAAACAAATTTATTTTGACCTCTCAGGATACACTACTATGACGCGACGTCGATTGATGACGGCACTTAAGCATATTAGATTCGACGATATTCTACAACATGTAGAAGTACCACATATAATCATTGAAGGCAATGACTCTTTGCCAAATACCCCTAAACTTCGTGATTATTCGGCAAAAACGGACTTAGGCGGCAACGGACGTGCGGATCTAGTGTTTATATTTAGATGGCTACGGAGCAAGGGTGTACAAACGATAATCCAAGTCATTGTCGACGACTTAGGGTCTACAGCCCACGGAGATGAATCGATTGAAAAAGCACTCAGTGGCTTTGGAGTTGAGATTTGGAATTGGAAGAAGAGAGACTTGTGCTCCGAGGTAATCATCAACACGGCGCCAAATGTGCAAGTCGTATATCTATATTGGAGTGGAAATAACGCTGTTCTACGGGGTTGGTGTGACGAGGGTGGTTTGAAGAAATTAAAAGAGTTGCGCAAAATTCACATTCATGGCCAGCAGGTAGGTTGAAATATAGTACCCGATGCAGTTTAGCATGATAACTAACAGGCTTTAAGGGCTTTGACTCTTATTCTCGCACCGAGTCCAATCTTGAGTACTTCAAAAGTCGGATGATTGCGACGAACCCCAATATCGAAATAACATGGGACGGACTGCAAGCTGTAAGAGAGCCACAGGCAGCCAAAGCCGCTCTCCCACAACTTCCTCGCCAACCTGCCCAAGATCACTGGATTAAGTGTATGACTGAATTCAGAAGATTTCTCTTCCAGGCAGAAGCCAATTTCAACAAGAGCCAGAATATGGCAGTCGAAGACATGATTGACCAACCGGTAAAGGTGGCGCTAATTGATGATGGCATTAACATTAATGAATTAGAGTATTATCCGGTAGGCGGAAGAAGTTTCTGCCCAAGAACAGAGGACAAGGCTTTCAATTATCCGTATTATGTTTCGAGCAGTGGCCACGGCACAGTTATGGCAAGCCTTATATATAGGATATGTCCACGAGCACAGCTCTATGTCCTGAAACTAGCGGACCATTTAGGTCGTGACGGGAGTCGTCAGATCACAGCCAAGAGTGCTGCACGGGTATGTCTGCACTCACGAGAATATTCATATAGTAGTAGCAAAGATTGCTAACTTTCTTAGGCAATCAGCGAAGCCGTAAGGATGCAAGTCCATGTCATCTCGATGTCTTGGACTATCGACCCCCCTAAAGATGAGAAAACACGAAATGAACTTGAAAGTGCGATTGGCGAGGCAGTAAAGAAGAAGATTCTCCTCTTCTGCTCAGCAAGCGACGGCGGAGCAAAAGAAGACCACAGCTATCCGTGGATAGCAGCTCGCGACAGAATTTTCAGAATAGGAGGGGCACACGCATCAGGCCGAACAGATGATGAAGTCGGCAGTACAAGCCAAATAAACTTTACATTCCCCGGGAATGATGTTATCTTGGAAGGCGTCGGTTCAAACCACGAAGTGAAGTATCGAACCGGTTCTTCGGTTGCCACGGCTCTTGCTGCTGGTCTCGCTGCTCTGATCCTCTACTGCGTTCAAATCAGAATACTACGTGCTAGCAAAGAAGACGCCGAAGTATATAAATCATACTTTAGGCAATTGACGGATCATGATCAAATGGTGAAGGTATTCAGGAGAAGCATCGGAGTTACGGAGGAAAGTAACTATAAGTATATCGCAGTATGGGATACGTTCGAAAAGCCTATCAAGCTAAGCAAGGAAAAGGATCCGGAAAGATGGATTGACCTAATTGCTAGGGTTGGTGAAGAGCTCTGTATGAAGATTTCAACTTCATAAATTCCACCAGAAGTAAATGGCTTAGCCTAGATCGCCAAATACTACCCGGGCATGTGTATTCTATCAGATACTACCGTTTAGGCACATAGTTACATCGAAATCAGTACCCATTGGTCACAGATATAAAGGGGCAGAAATACCAAACTATTAGGTGAGGAAAGAACAATAAATCAATTGAATAAGGAGTAATAACCTAGTAGAATTTAAAGGGAAAGCTCTGATCCAACCACTCATTCAACCGATTCCCTTTTAATAAACGACTGTAACGAAGCTTCATAAGGGGTTATCTACTTCACCCTCAACCCTGCTCACCATTCAGAACACCCATAACACCAACACCAGACACTTTCTAGGTAATACTTAGCCTTACTTCTTCTGGATACTTTGGAGGTATGTGAAGATGCCGTCAATTCTCAAACTCTGGCTCTCCTTGTAGCCAGGCACGTATCGGTCACCCCACGGCTGCAGCTGGGTGTCTAGGTAGGCATAGTTAGCACTGATATAAAATTTATCCGTTGGATTAGTCTTACCCCAAGTGACCGAGGGCTTCTTAGCGCAGACGAATGTGAAGGTTTCGTTGGTAGCCTGAATCAAATCGAAGTTGGGGTATTCCGTAACGATGTTCTGCCACGTCTGGTTGGTGACACCTCGCTCCGGGCCGTTGTAGTCGATAGCAATGCCCTGGCTGGTCACATATACCTCAGGCTCCTTGTAGTATGCGATCGTGCGGGTCGTGTGTAATGCAATGGCGTCGAATACCAGCTGGATGCGGCGGTGGTCCCAGTTCTCACCTCCGTACTTCTTAAGGAACTCTGTCGAAGCGATGGCTCCGTCAACTTCAAATCGCTTGTCCAAAGAGGTTACTGGAGAGTCAGGGGTTTGGTCCCAGCCAAGATCATGTAGAATAGCAGCCACGGCTTGAACTTCAATGTCGACGGTGTTCAGAAGCGTCTCGTTATTTGCAATGATTTGAGATCCAAAGAGCCAAGCGCGAACCTGATGCTTGTAGGTAGCGTCGTCGCTGTGGTTACGAGCGAATTCCCTTGCAAGACGAACGATAGGTGTGTCGATGACGGTAATTCCCGCTATCGTGGTGTTCGGGTAAGGAACGTTTCCTAGAACGGGGATACCACGTGGTCTGAATGGTCCATATGGGTAATAGGGGGCTGAGGCGCCAAGTCCAGCCAAGCTGGTGAGAAGCAGGAGAACGTTCTGAGTGAATTGCATATTGGCGGTTGATGCGAAGGCGAGTTTGTTACCGGATCGGCTTGTTACTAGTTGTTACTGACCTGATGATCTATCTAATTCAAGAAACGAAGACCTTGATGGCCTATATATACACACTTCTCGAACTCTTGACTCCGGAATGACGGACATTATCCATAACTCCATGTTGACCTGTCAACGGCTTCTAGAACTCTTCACGTAGTCATGCGAGTAGCCATGTTGCTGGCCGACCAGGAATGCATCTGTCACGTCAATTTTTGAGAATCTCGAAAGCGAATTGTATTGGACAGAAATCCGATGACATAGTAAGAAGCGACATGAAATCTGTAAGGGCGTCTAAAGTTAGTAAGTGAAGAAGAGCTGAGAGAGGGCAGCAAGGCTCGCTATCTGATTGGTACGGGATATGTTCTATCACCAATCGCGCCTATAGGTAACATTTATATTACTAGTGTGACCCCGACGGATATATTTGATAGCTTACGAGATGTAACTTACCTTATGCCCGACCATTTCGCGGACGAGGGTACACTTCCGGAGGTTGGCAAAGGCTTACCATCAACGACGACGCAGTGCTGCATAGAACTTACTAAAGGCCAATACACGACCCCTGTCCAGATGTGCATATACAGTAATGCTCCCCAACACACTGGGTTGATGCTGATTGTAGCACCTAGCATTGTAGAGAACCCAGGTAGCAGTTTGCAACTCAATACGGATTAGTGTATATTGATCTCGATCAAGCTTCCTAATTTATACCATATTCCTTGGCCGCATCGAAGTCCCTGCATAAAATCTCTAGGCATTATGTCCATCCCGTTAATGATTGGCAAGACGATATCCACCTGGCACGGTCCAAAAAGCTTAACGTCTTAGATACGATGCGAACTTCGTCCGCCGCAAATAGCAGCTACAAAGTCTGCGATATCTTGCGTGCTCCTTGCGTGCTCCTACCTACCAGATCTATACTCGAATTCAATTGGAGTGGCGAACCTTTTCTTTTGGTTCTACAGTAAAATTGTCTTATAGCACTTATTTTTGGGGTAAAGAGGCAATCTCCAAATCGACCTCTCGAAAATACCGCAGAAGCAACAGTTGGGAGGATATGTGCTATGACAAAAGTTCATAGTGGATTTCACTAAAGCCAATCTATAATGTCCTCTGGTGAAGCTTCTCACTTGGCTTCCAATAACTTGCTAAGCACTCTCTAAAGCTTCATATTATATATCGTAAGATCTGATTCTCCTAATTATGGTAGTATTTCAAAGCTACCTTTGTGCATGCCTTGTATCTAGATTTCCAGTTTGCTATACAAATACAGAGCCCAAAGGATAGGCTACTATAAAGTGATACCTACAGGTAAGATTCCTAACCTTCCTAACCAGTATGTACCTGTTTTATTGTATCTGATTGGTACGATATCGTGCCCCAACGGAATTACCCATAGTATCTATCATAGTCCCAAGAGCGTCACCGCCAGAGCCAAGACATCGAATTCGTAAGGAGGCTTGCGGACTAGGTGCGAGTCACGTATAGTAGCATGTTGAGCCACATTCGGGCAAACAGAAGCAGTTCTTGACTAAACATACCACTATACCCTCTAGAGAAAAGATATACAGGATTCTTAGACCCATCAAAACGAGCTTGATCGACAACTAGCTACTCTAGACCAACACGAAAGAACTCAAATTCCCTTCATAGACTACTTCCTGGCGTTTTGGGCTTCGATATGTTGAGCTTTTCATCTAATACCCTGGTCCAAAGAAGCGATTCTTGTTCCAATTAAGAAAGTCGACAGTCTATTAGTTTATGTCAAACGAATAGTGCTTAGTCTATAATATAAACATCTCCAGCATGACTAGTCTCGTAATATTTACATCAGCGTGCGTATCAATCACGTAGTCTGTGGCAGTACGCTAATAGCTCAGTTCTCCGTAGTGGATATGTCTATACTCAACCTCATCGGCTCTAGACCCCTAGGAACAGTTGGTCCCAAATTAGCCTCTCTCACCTTGAATTTGTCACGTCGTACGTGTAATAGACGGCAGTGTATCTTGGCCATCGTGGGTCCCTTACGCATTTAGGTCGTTTTTAAGCCTTGGTATCAAGATATAGCCTACTGTTTTAAGGAAGGTATACACGCTAGAGGCGCGTCATTGTAATGTGATGTATCATCGCCTCCTTTGATCTTCAAGTTTGGGGTCTCGGTTCTGGATTTGGGATTCTTGGCATCCAACACTTTTAGTTCGGAGCTGTTTCATTTCCTTAGGTAGATGATTCGCCCCATAATCTAGAATTATTACTAATTCATGGGGACGGATAGTATTCTATTATAGTGTAGGGCGTATTGAAAGAACTATCCCTAGAATCTATATAAACACCAAGCCATCGTTCTTCTATTCCGCTCTATTCTAAGCCTATCCCTGAGTTCGATTTGATTTTGGAGCTGCATTGCATTGTGTTACTGGCGTTACTCGGAGCTATGGATAAAAGCATCGTTGTAGCCTCAGATAGAAATACCCCTTTTCTTACAGTTGATCCACCATCATTTACCAAATCACTTGAGAAGGCTACACCGGAGTCAAGCGCCAAATATGAAGTGGACGAGAAAGACCTAAGTCTCAGCACGAGCGGGACTCGGGTAAATTCTCCAGACGCTTCCATTCATGATGGCAAGGAAGGTCATGATATTGAGAAGTCAGAGGTTGAACTCGACGGCATCGATATATACGATCCGAATCGCCCGAGGTTCAAGCTTTCTCAAAGGCTGTAAGAAAATGACCACTAGTCTGGATATCAAGATTGACAAAATTTACTGATTATTGAATAACTTAGAGCTCACTTCACTTGGGCCTGGTTTACTTTGCCTATGAGCACCGGAGGCCTAGCACTCTTGATTTACGCTCAACCTCACCAATTCCCCGGACTTCGACAAATCGGATTCGCTGTATATATCACGAACCTCGTCATCTTTGCTGGCATAGTCGCCGCTATGATTATGAGATTCGTTCTGCATAAAGGCACCTTCAAGACGTCTATCACCCATTCTCGAGAGGCATTTTTCGTGCCGACGACTTTTCTCGCTATAGCGACTATTATCACAGGTACTCAGCGCTACGCTATTCCCGAAGAAACCACATCTGCAGTATGGTTTATCTCCGTTCTATTTTGGGGATACGTGGTAGCTGCGCTATTCGTAGCGATAGCACAATATTCCTACGTATTTAGAACTCACCAGCTCGGTCTCCAGACTATGATGCCAACTTGGATATTACCGATATTTCCAATCATGCTCTCAGGCACAATCGCATCAGTTATTGCGGAAACTCAACCACAGATGAATGCAATTCCAATTATTGTGGTCGGGTTGACGTGCCAGGGCTTAGGCTTGTCTGTGGCGTTTATGATGTACGCTCATATGGTAGGACGTTTAATGTCACGAGGTAAGCTTGGTATATCAGTTTATCTAAGAGACTATTAGCTAAAGCACTTAAGGCATGCCAAATCGCGAACACCGAGCAGGTTTATTCATGAACGTTGGCCCACCGGCATTTACAGCCCTGGCAATCATCGGCATGGCAAACGGTCTACCTGATAACTTGGATATTAACATGGGTATGGTGCTTGATATGAAAATAATTAGGCCTATAGCAGTTGTCGGTGCTATATTTCTATGGGCGCTTTCTCTATGGTGGTTTGGTATTGCGGTAGTGTCCGTCATCATGTCACCACCTCAATATTTCCACCTTAATTGGTGGGCCATGGCCTTTCCAAATACAGGCTTCATCTTGGCTACAATTTCTATCGGAAATGAGCTGCAGCATGAAGCTATTCGCTGGTTTGCGACAGGCATGTCTATCTGCTTACTCGTTACATATTGTTCTGTGTTTTACAATCTGGTCCGAGCTGTTATCATTCAGGATATCATGTATCCAGGTCGCGACGAGGATGTATTGGACACTACGGACAATTAAGGGAGTTTGATTGGTACCTCCTGTAATGCAAATATGGACCATGAAGAATATTGGAGAAGTTGTTAGATTGGAAGTTGAAGATTAGAAGAAGAGAACTAGTTAACTAACAGGTAACTAACGGAGAAAAGATGAAGAAGTTAGACTCGGAGGTATAGAATCATAATACGGGTTATAAGGGTACAGGTATACACTCATGCATCAATTATCTTATATAGCGCATAGCTGCAACCTTTCATAAATCTACCTTGTAACTCGCATTTATGGAGACATTCATTAGCTGCCGACATGAAGTGGGGGTGACCTCGTCCCCCGGTTCGCGCATGATGTATTATTTTACGTGAGCTTTGATTGGATGACCTCATCATTTCTATATTTCCTCCACTTTGTGATTAAGTCTTGACTCTCTTAACACCGTCAACGCCGTCAACCTGCCTCCTGCCTCCTACCCCCTGCTTCCTGTATATGCTTTAACTATCAGTCAATCGACGATGGTTTAACAGACCTAGCTGATAGCGATTTGAATTATTACCGGAGACCTATTATACGTATCAAGCACGTCGACCGTCACTAACTGACCAAAGCCGAAGTCCCATTTTGACTATGACTATCGTTAGACGAATCGCATTGCGTCAAAGATTCCTTTTATACCGCTATCCGAATTCAACAATCCCTCTCACTCGTCAATGGCCTAGATTAGTTAGCACCGAAAGAGGAGGCAATGATGCCGAGCGCAAGCGTGGAAGTGTTGGAAAGTTTCTGGGTGGAATGTTGGTAGCCCTTGCGGCTGGAAGTGCAGTTGTTTTATATCCGTCTTTGACCAAAGAAACCCCAAAGCCAAAACAAGCCGTAATTGAATACGAGAAGTCCCGACCGCCCAGTGAATCTAAAGAAGACAACCGGGATATAATAAGTAGCCAACATCTCCAAGTTAAGAAGAGTTGGGAACACCCGGGCGTTTATGCGTGGGGTTCTAACTCAGGTCGAGTAGCCGCACCCGATTCAACCGACAGCGTTATAAAGACGCCACGAAGGATACCATATTTTGACGGGATGCTCCTACGAGATGTAAAGCTAGATCGCGACTTTGGGGCGGCGATTACTGAGAAGGGAGACCTTGTGCAGTGGGGTACGGCTTTCTCGAAAGCCAACCCAACCCCTGCGGAAACGTTAAAAGGCAAAGATCTTGCCAAGATCGAAATATCGCGTGACCGTATCATTGCCTTGGGAAAAAATGGAATTGTCTACTCAATACCTGTAGCAGGAGCCGATCAAGCTTCTGGCCAGAAGTCATATCAGACATCCTGGTTATCCTTTTGGTCCAGCCCGGAAACTGTTAATTATCGACAGCTTAAGCCTAAGAATCTCAGTTGGGGCGAAAGTATTGTCGACATTGCCAGTGGTCTAGAGCATACCCTACTCTTAACATCTAAGGGGCGCGTCTTCTCTGCTGCTTCCAGCACGTCTGACTTTCCCTCTAAAGGACAAATGGGTATACCGGGTTTAACGTGGGCAACTCGACCAAAAGGGCCTTACGACGAGCCACACGAAATTCTCAGTTTAAGAGGCTTTAAAATTGGAAAAGTTGCCACTGGTGACTATCATTCCTTAGCACTCAATGATGACGGGCACGTCTTCGTCTTCGGAGACAATACTTCTGGTCAGCTAGGTTTCGAAGTAGAGCCCCAGTTCCCTTTCATTGATGCTCCAATCCCTTTGCCATTTACCAAAATTTACAGCGGTTCGGGACAACAACCGCGTGTGACGTCAGTTGCAGCTGGAGGTGCAAATTCATTCTTTACGGTAGATGCAAAGCGAGTTGCCGGGCAAAGAGAGGACGCCAATTCTATTAAGGACCTAGGCCGAGTTACTGCCGATACTTGGGCTTGTGGCTCTGGCATTTGGGGTGGCTTAGGTACGGGTAAATGGACACATGTTTCGCTCGGTCCTTCCAAGATCAAGTCGCTCTCTGGACTTTTTGAGTGGGATGAAAAAGCGGATTCAGTCGTCCCAATCCGCCTAGCCCGATTAAGTGCTGGCAGTACTCACGTAGCGGCAGTGATGGACAATGTTACTTCAGTTAATACATCTAATATCAGCTCGTATAATGATACGAACTGGGGTGCAGATGTAGTATTCTGGGGTGGCAACGAGCATTACCAGCTAGGGACAGGAAAGCGGAACAACGCCGCCTTGCCAACTTACATAGGACCCCTAGATGGTGGGGAGGGTGACGCAGAGAAAGGACGACAAAACGAACAACACAGGTTCCAGATCACACCTCGAACAACAGTTAAGATCGGCGAAGGCGGCTCGGGAAGAAAAGTCAGCATTGAGCAGCGAGTGGAGTGTGGCCGTTTCGTGACAGCCGTATATTCCGGAGCATAAAAGTCTTTTATATAGGGGATTATATGGATTTACCCCTTGGTGTATATTAAATCATGGTCAAATGGGATGGGCGGTTGGCTTGAATCATGGACTTGGATTGGAGATGCTTGGCATGAGCATAAGGTCCTTTGATCATTCTGGATCTATATTGATACCCCCTTCTCAATCTATTCACATATGTAGGTAGTCATACATAACATTCATTTTACAGCATCCCTGCTTTGGTTTCTCGCGTTTGGCCCTTCTTTAAAGGGTCTCTCAAATGTCAACTCGGGTTGAACTTCAACCGAGCGAGCGATTAGTTCACGGGGCTTACACAGGTACGTTGTTTACCAAGTCGTTATACATGTACGTTTCAATGCTTTTACTAAACGAATGTCACTCTAAGTATGGATTGTTTTTATGATTCGTGTTGCGTTGAAGGTTCCCCGCACCGAATCTGCCAGCTCCGGGGCGGTATTGTACCTTGATCGGCCCCTATCTAATTCAGATACTGTCCACTATCTTATACATATGCTCCATTATTATAATAATCTTGCATTGCAGTTTAATAGATTCCTGTCAGTAAGTCGCGAGATCGGCTTTCTTCCCGAAGTCCCCGCCGGTTTCCCCTCACCACTCGTTAAGGAGATTAAAGCATCAACTAGAAGCCACACTAAGTGTCTTAGGTATTAACACAGTAGATGGTTATCTGATGAATTGTTATATCAGGCCAGCTGGACTATAATCCTTTAACATTCTCAATTGTTGTTATGGTGGTCCTCTTACCCAGGATTAAGATTATCTAAAAATATCACCTTTCAATGACCATGCCTCGAAAGATTCACCCAGCATCGCAGCCAGATTGGAATAATCTCGCCGTTATTCATAAAAATAGCCTTCCTCCTCGGGCCAATTTCCACATATATAGCACGATACAGGATGCATTAGATTATGACAGCACTAAATCTAACACTTACTCTCTCTCGGGGACTTGGAAATTCAAGCTTGCCAAAAACCCATTCGAGGGCCCCGGAGGATTCGAGGATCCGACCTTCAACACAGCAGAATGGGACAGCATAACAGTGCCTAGTATGTGGCAGTTGAACGGTTATGGAAAGGGGCCTCACTACACCAATGTCAATTTTCCTATCCCCGTAGACCCGCCTAATGTTCCACTCGACGAAAATGAGACCGGATTCTACGTCAAAAAGTTCACAGTCCCTAAGAATCTCATTGGCTTACAGCTGAGGCTAAGGTTCGAGGGAGTAGATTCTGCCTTCCACGTCTGGGTGAACGGAAAAGAAGTGGGATATCATCAGGGGTCGCGGAATCCAACCGAGTTCGACGTCACAGATGTAATTCATCAGGCGGGTGAAAATACTATCGCAGTTCGAGTTTATCAGTATTGCGATGGTACTTACATTGAGGATCAGGTAAGTTCTATTATTCCGAGGTCTCTTAATCCAGTCAACCGAGGATAATGAAAATGCAATCTCATTTTATTCCGTCTCATTTCAAGTATGCTTTTTGAAGCCAATGCCTATGCTTCTAACATCCCTTTCTTCACAGGATCAATGGAGGATGAGCGGAATGTAAGTTTAAGGAACCCCCTAGACACTGTAAAAAACTGACTGGTGATGAGTTACCGCGAAGTCCACCTTCTTGGCTTTCCATCAGAATCGCGTATAGAGAACCTATTCGTCCAGACAAAGTTAGACAACCAGTACGTCAATGCCGATCTAAAAGTCCGGATAGATATCACCGGGTCTGGTAAGCTCCAAGTCGACCTTTGGGACCCATCTAAGAGCAAGGTCATTATTGCGGAGACAAGAACTGTATCTCAGGGGCGCAAAGAGTTCTCTCTCCCAATACAAAATCCTTCGAAATGGACGGCAGAAACACCGATACTTTATTACCTTATTATCTCTTTGAATGATACCAGCTTCGTTGCTCATCGCGTGGGGTTCCGACAGATAGAAATGAAAGATGGCCTAATCAAAGTCAATGGTCGCCGAATTATCCTAAAAGGCGCTAATCGACACGAGCATCATCCTAGACTTGGGCGTTCTGTTCCATTTGAATTCATGAAGCGAGACCTTATCCTTATGAAAACTCACAATATCAATGCGATTCGGACCTGTCACCAACCAAGCGATGTTCGTCTATATGACTTAGCCGACGAACTTGGAGTAGGTTATCTACATGGTATCTTTATGTCCTCGCTATCTCTAACAAGAATAGTTCTGGGTTATGGACGAGGCTGATCTTGAATGTCACGGATTCGAGTCAATATGTACGTTAATACCCACGTTCTAAACTACCTAATAAACTATATTAATCTACCTGATATAGGCGATGCCGCACTATCTCCTGCCGATAGAGCACTTCCGTTCCGCGAGCGGCAGCTTCTCACTCGGACGGATGCAGCTAAATGGACAACGGACAATCCCGCTTGGGAACAAGCTTATGTAGATCGCGCGAAACAGCTAGTTTACCGCGACCAACTTCACCCCTCTGTCATCATTTGGTCTCTAGGAAACGAAGCCTTCTTTGGCCGAAACTTCAAGTCTATGTATAATTGGATCAAATCATACGATGACAGCCGACCTATCCATTATGAAGCCGATATATACGCTGAGACTATGGACATGTATTCAACAATGTACCCGCCGATTGAAACCATCATCGAGTTTGCCAAGGATGAATCTAAGAACAAGCCCCTTGTCCTATGCGAGTTCATTCATGCAATGGGTAATGGACCGGGTAACATTAAGGAGTACATCGATGCTTTTTACAAACATCCAAAACTTCAAGGAGGGTTTGTATGGGAATGGGCGAACCATGGTCTCCTTACCAGGGATAAAGAATCCGGTAATGAGTTCTATGCTTACGGTGGAGATTTCGGTGACGAGCCCAACGATAGCAACTTCATCATGGACGGGGTGTTACACTCTGACCACACGCCAACCCCTGGGTTAGTTGAATACAAAAAGGGGATAGAGCCCATCAAAGTTGTTTCCTACACGTCGCAGACAGCCACGGTCATAAATCGATACGACTTCATTACTCTTGATCATCTCGGATGTACTTACGTGATTTTGGATGAGGGCAGACCAACCTCTTACACTGGCAGCATTGAACTTCCATCTGGCATAGAACCTGGCCAAACTACTGAACTGGCAATTCCATCTCGGCCTGCTGATTTGACTGGAGAAGGGATATTGCAATTCTTTTTTTATCAGCGCGCTTCAACTCTATCCCTCCCAGCCGGATTCGAAATCGCCTTCGAAGAGATCCCACTTAACAGCCCCTGTCTTCCTCTCACTTTTCAACTTCAGTCTACAAATAAAGTGACTATTACTGAAGCATCGACCCTTTGGACCATTTCTAGCCCGGTTGCATCATGGAATTTCTCGCCGGTTCATGGAAAACTGCGGTCTTTTACAAAGAATCACACCGAGCTCTTAGCCGCGAGCCCGGAGTTTACCGCTTACCGGGCACCTACCGATAATGATGCGCCACAAGATGGGCGCGACTGGAAAAATAGGCTTTTGCACCTCGCTAAGTGCCAGACGCGTAGCTGCACATGGGATATCGAAGCCGATGGTCACGCCATCATAGTTCAAGTGCAGCAGCGCTTCGCTCCACCTGTCCTTTCGTGGTCCATTGATTTAGATGTCACGTACACGTTTTACGCATCGGGTACGCTCGTCATACGTGTGAAGGGTAAACCGAAAGGTTTGAATTTACCTCGTACGCTACCGCGCATAGGCCTCACTATGGAACTACCGAGAGAATGGGCCAGAGGAAATAAAGATGCACCGGCGGTAACTTGGTACGGACGTGGTCCGGACGAGAGTTACAGGGACAAGAAGCTATCACAGCGTCTAGGCGTGTATCAAGTCGCCGCGGTGTCCGAGCTCTGGACCGACTATGAGTACCCGCAAGAAGGCGGCAACAGGACGGACACGCGGTGGGTAAAGTTTACGCATGCCGGTGGTGAATCAATCACGGCTTTCTTTTCGGATCAGAATGATTCTAGAAAAAAGCGGAGGCTGTTTGATTTCAACGCGTCGCATTACCGGGTCGCAGATGTAGAGGCGGCGAAACATCCCTATGAATTACAGAGGAAGAAGACGGATAATGTAGTCCTTAGACTGGATGCGACACACCATGGATTAGGAAGTGGTTCTTGTGGACCTAGTACCAGGGATGAATACTCGTTATTGACAGAGGACTTTGAGTTTGAAGTGGTATTGAAATAGGGACCGTTAAAGGTCCCCGTATTCAATCAATATATATTCCTCTCTTTAAACTGTTTAAGGGCTATCACAAATATATTCGTCCGAAAAGCGATCTATTAATTTGGACGTATAGATACCCTAGTGCATGAGTATTTAAAACTGCCCAGATACGTCGGGTTCACTCAACACTCATGATAGGATATTCGATTCTCTGTCTGATACAGATCTTTCCGTCATAAGCCGAGTGTTATTAGCCTTCTTCGTCGTCTGATTGGCGAGTGCGGACATGCATGCATATGAGGCACAAAAGCGCCCCCATATTGCAGCACACCGGGCTCTTCCACACAACTGTGCGTTACCGTTGTAGTGCAATTATATTCATCAAACCCTTCTCTTCTCCATCCTTAAAGTAGCAAGATATATAGCAAGCCGTCAAACATTTCAATATATCATCATCTCATCCCAACATACGGCTTTATTATTTCTAAGGTTCATTCCTAAAAATGGAGGCAAAGTATGATCCCGAGACGAACGTAGCATCACCAAACATGGATAAAGGACATGATAGTGCCATGGATGTCTCTGTACAAGATCCTATGGCCCCTTTAGCAAGATCTACATCGTCTATAGAGCAGCAATTATCCTCAAATCGGGATCACTTGAAAATGAGTTCGTCAAACAGCCAACATGGGTTTCAATGCCTGGACTTGCGCGATGCAACCGGCGCAACTAGGTTCGAATCAGAGGTTTGTCGCAAACAAAGTGGAGTTATCGTGGAATCAGAGGAAAATAGTTTCCTATCAGATGATTCAGCATTATCATCCAAAAGGGACGATTCATTTTCTTCACTATATGATCTCAGTCTTCCGTCACTCAGCGCGGATACTCAAGACAGCGTATCAAGCATGTATCGAGATGCTACTCCGATTGATACGTCAGAGCTTCCTCAAGAGCCTTCATTCCCAGATGACCCTAGGTTCCTACTCTATCAAAATTCCGCTCAATACTATCGGAGCTTATCCCATGAGCCAGATACGGATCAGTCACTCACTATGTCAATTCCCCAAAAGCACAACTACTCGCATCCAGATACAATAGAAACGATCAACGGGCTCGTTCCATTTACGTCATTAAGTGAGACGAACACTAAGCTCTGTGAGTCTGTGGCTCAGGATCCATCTCTTCCCGATTCGAGCTCGACGAGTGTCAAGGAGCAGGTGGCGTATGTTTCCACGTCGCACAGGAACTCGAGCCCAAGTATGTATAGCATTTTTCCCTTGGTAATAGATTCCAAATAGCTACCAGCTAATTTGATTTCAACGCCTAATAGGATGGGATCCTGACATAACCGATGAGGCGATTGAGGGGTCATACTCCAGGCAGCAAAATACTACCAGACAAAGTAGTCCCTCAATAGAACTTTCTAAAACTCTCGGAAATCATATCAACCCTTCAATGTCGAGTCCCTTACCAAGTACATTCGGTAACTCACATCCATCAAGTCTGGGCAACTCAAGTAATGTGACCGAATATGACTCAACGAACTCAAGCGACTTTGAAGAAGACATTAATGCGATGGACCGTGGCATTCTCCAGCCCTTTACCCTATCCATACTAGAAGAGTTATTACCTACCTTCTATAGGCAGCTCAGCCTATTGAGAGGTCAGCCGAACAAAGCTGCTTCCGGAAATACGACATCACGCCCTCAGAGTTGCACAGCAACCCGAAAACAGGGCGACTCTCCTAGTAAAAATGGAATCGCTTTATCACGGGGTAAAAGGAGGCGCAAGGACAGTGACCAGCATCAGTCAGGGGACGAGGGAGACGAAGACAGATACCCACACAAGAGGCTTCACATAGACCGCCCTGATGAAGTTCAACCTATATTCTGGGCGTGTCCGTTCTCTAAATGGAAGCCCCTATCCTATTGCAAATGCCGCCAGTATATCCTAAAGGATATATCCAGAGTAAAGCAGCACCTTCGTCGATATCATGAGAGACCACCTTACTGCCCCGTGTGCTGGGAAGTATTCCGAGAAGAAGACGGATTCGAAAGTCATATTCAAGATCGTACTTGTTCCCCGCGACCAAAAACAGACCTGGAAGGTATAACTCCAACTCAACAAAAGCAACTCGAACGTCGCTCCGATAAGCAACTCTCAAAGCCAGAACAGTGGTACGCGATTTATACGATATTATTTCCTGGTCAACCGCATCCGGACAGTCCATACCTGGAGAGTGACTTATCCTCCGAGCTACTGTTGTTACAAAAGTTCATAGCAACAGATGGGCTGGAAATCGTGGAGCGTAAAGCTCGAGAACATATACCGCCGGATTTAATGCCCCACGAAGACGAAGTCCTAGCCTACTCACAGGCCTTGTTTCAGCAAGCAATACCAGAGATACTCCAAAGATACGACGCTTCTAGACCTATTAAGAGCGGCCCTGAGATACTCAAAAGATCTGGGTTATCCTCGTTGAGTGAAAATGATTGCGACTCCGGATATGGCACATTATCCCAAGTAAGCCAAGATAGAAGCACCCAGAACAAAGGACTAGACACAAACAAAGAGCAGGATAGCGCTATAACCAACGGTATCGACCACACAGGTATCGACTGTACGTCAATTGGTAATGTTCAAATACAGGACTTGTTAGCCCAATCTCAAAATTTATCCACCGTTCAAAAAAGCCTTGAAGGCGACTCTCCGCACTTTACACCTTATGGACCTCTGGATTTGTTATCAAATTTTATGTCACATCCCTTTGACGAACACCAGCTCTTTGAACCAAATGAGAGCGGAGAAACATACAATTGGGATGCTATCATATTCGACAATAATGGGGCTCTAGCCTCGACGAACCACAACTAGGAATCCCAGACCTTAGGCTACAGTAAAGAGTTGGACACAGCTCTAGTACGAATAAGCCAGTGCTGCGGGCGGACTGGCGGACTGGTGGATAAGAGGATATGGGAAGATGCGGGACATGGCCATATATAGGACTTATTGTAGGTAGTTTAAGCTGTCGCTTAGGCACTTATAGTCATTATAAAAGTAGGAAAAATGAAATACATACCTCTTAACGAACAGCTAACTACCTAGCTCTTTACAATATCATTTATCGAATGGGTAGTGATATCTGATTAGTACGAGCCTCACTTAGTACGCCTAACTTGGTCTGTTAGTATTGGTCTGTTAAGCATTATGTACCTAGGTACCTAGGCTATTTAAAGAGCTTCAAGGGCATATACTTGGTAGTCTACAGGATGCCTTCAAATATATGTACCTAGCATAGCCCATGGATCAGCACGTGGCTTAGTTTGCTAACATACCGAATGGCCCCACGTTATTGCGGCGCACACCAAATTGAAGCATACACCGCCCGATTTTACGTACATACAAATTTGACCTCGAAGGCTACGAGTTGAGATAACTCAAATAGTCCATAAATCGTTTACGAAATTATTTTTGGTGTTCGTACTCTTAAGTCTGGCAAAATGGAAACGCTACTACAAACCCCCAACCCACCGGTAAACATTCTCAACAGTTACGTTTCACAACAGCAGACCACTCTAAACGTTTACTGCCACGACAGAATCTTCAAAAAAGTCACAGTTACGGATAGTACCGGCCAGCCTGTATTCCAAGTCGAGGGTACGAGTTTCGGTACATCATGGAGCTGGCGACGTAAGGTCCTAGACAGCTCTAATACTCACATATTCGACTTCCGCCATAAAAGCATCGACATTAAGAACGGCTGGATTATCGAGAATCCGAATGGCGATAAGCTCTGTTCGCTTGTGCACAAGTCTCAGATCACCAATAGCCACTCAGCTATTGACGCCACCGTACGCACCCAAGCAGGCGAAGATGTCCTAGTAATCATGCGGCCCAATGACCATGCCGCGCTGACTACGACTATCAGTGTTGATAGTACCTCCATTGCGACCATACGCAAGGTTGAGGATAACGACATAGCTCCTTTAGGGACTCGGGACAGAAGTGTGTGGGAAGTACGAGTGGCTTCGGGGGTTGACCTAAGCTTAGTGAGTATTGACTGACTTATTAACCTCATCTCCAGTTATAAATATGTATTTCTAATAGCAATTATAGATTATGATTTTGATGCTTTGTCGCGCTGAGATGGGACATGTGTGGAGGCAGTAATGAGCTGAGTTATGGCTAGTTGCGATAATGGTATTAAATTTAAGTTCCTGCGTTATGTAGGGCTTGTTCTGATGCCGAGTAAAGAAAAAGAAATACCTGACTTGTGATAGCTTGAATTATATAATGCAAGGGGGATTTTTCCTACTCACAATAGGAAATTTAGTAAATATCAATCTATAAGTCTGTGCTAACATATAAATAAGTTTAATCAAATTTATGATTAACTACCTCATTATCCAGTCTTTGTATGTTTATACTAGCTTCAACGGATATATTCCTCTCAGTAGTATACGATATAAAGAGTTCTCAAGTGAGTCTGACCACCACAATATGCCGGCTTTAACGACTCTGCCCACCTTGTGATTGTAAATCGGTGTCAGCTATGCGAACATGTTGAACTCTAAATTCGCATCCATTCCCTTTGGGATATTGTTATAGATGCAAAATCCTGAGGTACTAGTAAGTGTATCTATAGATTAACACTTATGACATAGCGCCCATAAGACAACGACCTAATACGTTTCTGATACTTGGTTTCATATAACATATAACAATACTCAGGAAAGAAAATGTATGAGAGGTGTAAGAATAGGTAATGCTAATTAGACTCACCATAGAACGTGGCCAGGGATCTTTACGCACCAGCCAATTATATTGTACGAGTAGATCACATCGTCGTTCATGTATTGGATCATTAAGCAGCTGACGTATTCCATCTTACCATAACGGGAATTAGCTTAGGAATACTGACGACCGTAGAATACTAGCGAAGAGGTTATCTTACTAGAGAAACCTGTCTATATAAGCGAGAACTCATCAGTCTAGTCAGGTATAAATATTGCCGGAGGATTTATCGACAATCAAGTATACCTCCTGAGAAAGTATACTCCATCTAATAAAAACTGAGGAACGAGAGGTGAACAATTTTCGACTTAGATTTCGGTAAATCTCTGCAGAATGTCATCACCTTCGAGAGGACAACTCTTAGGGACTGTGAAGCTCTTCATAGAGGCGTTCAATGAGTTCACACCCGAATCAGTCGTGCGATACCGCAGTCCTACATGCATGCATCGACTAGTTCCCGCCACCTTAAACTCGCCGCCACAGAGCAATACCGAGTACGCGGGCCTCATAGCAGCGCTAACAACCGTTATGCCGACGTTTCATCTCCGAATCGTTGATGGAGGAGAGCCAGTGGTAGACGAAGTCACTCGTAAGGTTGTATTGCATTTGAAGTCGAGGTCCGATACGGCCGTTGGGCTATATGAGAACGAGTATATTTGGATCTTGACATTGAGCAAGGACGGTAAACTCGTGGACGATATTTTGGAATTCGCGGATAGTTTATATACAAGCGACCAATTACCAAAGCTGAAGAAAGCGGTCGAGGACGCAGCTAAGAAGTGAGGATAATTCTTAGATCATCAAGGTGAATAAAGGGACTTTAAGAAATGAGGAGTACCATCGGCTCAGTGGTGCCCCGTAGATGTGGAGCTATCGGGGACTTACATACCTACGGCCTAGCGCCCACGTGCTCCGGAAATCATGCGGGCCGGAACGAGATCTATGGAGGTACTTAAATATTTATTGGACATAAATGAATTCATCATTATCTAAGTTTATCAGATACAAAATATTTTTGGATTTGCTTCATACAACTTTATCGAGCAGCATCTTTTTGGGAGATACGCGAAGCACCCCCCATTGATACTGGCTTTCAAATCAAGCTCGCCTTTTCTTATTGACGAGTTGTGGTCATGCTCTTACTATTCGATGACGTTGGTATGAACTTTTCTATTCGGATCTCGCAAAGGCCGGCCTTAACTTGCGGCATCCTTATTCTAAAAAGTATTCCTAATGATTGCTTGTCACCTATTACTATACAATTCCTCATCATTGTATGTAGAAAACTTGCATTGGTATTAGAAAATTGTGTTCTTATGTCCTCAAGTGTGAGAGAAAGACGGTAGAGTAAGGCAGGGCCAATCAAGCTACTTAAATATTAGGGTGACCTATCGTGTCTCCCTCGCACTTGAGGACATAAGATAGGTAAACTTGTTAACAGACTCTGGACCAACATAAGATCCACAAAAGGTCCTGCCGATAATCGTAAAAATCGGGATGTTTATAATGGCTATATGGACCAACCATTTCGGGATTTGTGGGGAGACGGCCCCGCGTGATGGTCGCATCGACAAGGAAGCTCCTCGCTTCGGTGGCAAATTTTAGGAGAAATGACTTCAGACCACGCGATGGATATGAATGGGGGTTTAAAGGGGGGATCGACACAAGCTACACAATAGACCGGTCTTATCTACATACCTAAATAGACAGATAGATTCTTGTCGCGAGAATAGTACTCTCAGCTCAGCATTGGTAGCCTTCTAAATACTTACGTTAGAGAACAACCTATTAGATGGCCAGGGTTCTATTGTGTATAGCGTCAACAGCGATCTTCAAAATTTCTAGGCGAGCTATTACGTATCAGCATGCGTATCGGTTTAAATGAGCGGTCTTCGATTTGAGATGGTGTTAGCATAACATCGCAACCGGAAGACTGTATCCAAGGAGGTAAAGTGATCTAGATCGCGGATAAGACGAATTTATCAAATCAAAACAATCATAACAGTTCGGTGATCTCGATTGCCCCCGCGTCCCTTTCTTTCTGAGCTGCGAAAATGTAGCCGGCTGATAGTCGCGTGTTCGAATCTTGACACTAACATGTAATTTCGTATGTCAATTGACAGCACAAGGTGTTAAGCATGATTCTACAAATCTCATGTGAAATATTAGCCCATTATGTTCTATCCATGTACATATTTTTATAAACCATAATGCTGATTACTTGTTCGGTTGTCGCTGGAGGGCTGGAGCAAGGCTGTTGAATCAGAAGAAAGGAGATAAATTGGTCCTAATGACGGAACATCCGATTCGATAAGTAAACTACAATATGTACATACGTTCACTGCATATGTACATATATCTAATTGACAGTCACCTGACGGCTTGACTGAACGCATACTGCATAGCTAGATAAGCTTAGCGGCCTTACATAGTTACTTCCTGTCCATAATCTTAATAATTTGGGACCAGAAATTGGCCACTGTGGCTCGGTGTGGCTGCACAAAGTGAAAGCCGGGTCCATCCAATCCACTAAAGACAACTAATGACAAGGGTATACCCCCGGGTAAGCATCTAAGATCTTCTAAGAAATAGCAGATCGAGATTTTACAAAGCCTCTTATCCTCTTTGGGTCGCTCATCATACGATATCTGACCTAATGAGGTCTAATGAGGTTACAATTCGTGGAAACAAGTAGTTTACCTCTTAGAGGTTAGAACCATAATTGCCATGAGTTCTTTTTTGTCCGGCCTTCTTCGATGTCAAGGTGAGTGTCAGATAGCACTGGTCAGATAGGTACCGCCCGAACGCGCAGGTTTTGTTACCTTATTTTAGATGGCAGGGTCGTTTTCGATCCACGCCCTCCTTAACGGCTACAACGGTTACCGTCCGTATACAATTGGTTCGTTAAAGTTCGGCTAGACTCTGAATAGACTTCTGCTCACACACCCGTGGGTGCATGGTTGGCCCCACAGGACCCTTGATCGGCGGAAAAAGGTACGTCGTTCTGTACGATTCCAGCAGGTTACGCTCGATCGTGAGGAAGCTGCACCCCCAAGTGTATCGGTCGTAATGATTGCTAAATCACTTTTAAATCTGCGAGGAAAGCATGTCCGGGCGGCGAAGGGGCCTCGCCAGGCCTTATGGTGGATAGCTACTGTTTTCGTAACCCTCCTAGATCTCGATGCGCATACTTATTTTCTTCAATACATATTGATCATTATAATGTCAGGGAAGCAAAGTTCTCTTTTTTATTTTCTATTAACTATTCCCTAAATGTATCCTCTTGCCACCCTAGGTACCTTAACTACCTAAATAAGCGAATTCATTGATTCCGTTCAATAGTTGCATGCATCCATCATCTATTATATCTATTATTATATGCTTCATCTTCTAGCTCGACTGCATTTTGTTCGATCTGCTCCCGGGCCAATACAATTTAAGCCATCTCAATACGAACTGAATCTTAAAGCCAAGGGAGAAACTCTGCATGTAGGTATGACGTTGCATCGTCAACTTTTCACGAATCCCAACCTCCTTTGGGTTACCGCACCCTAAATGCATCGCAGCGACATCTTGCAGAAGGGTTTCCATCGAATTCTCGCACACTCTTTAGCTACCACTTATCATCGACCCATTCATTACAGCCAATATGCGCTTGCAGTCTCGCGCGAATGGCCGTGATGTGCTGTCCACCCTCCTCACCTAGATAATCATTCCTCAATTTTGCTAAGACGCACCGATGCAAAAACCATCTTGCTTTTGCTCGCCGTACTGACATATTACGAAACTAGAATATACTTCCTATTGACAACTATGTCGCTACCAAATTCCTGTTACATTCTCAGATGATCTATTGAAAGTTCACTTATCTCTCGCCTCTCACCATACCAGTATACGAAGGTATCAGCGCGAGCAGCATGGCCGACTGTAAAGACGCGCCCACTGCACCGAGTGTTACATATAACAATCCGAGACGAAAATCGCCTGATGCCTCTATAACGCTGCAGTATCACCGACAAGCGAGAAATGCTTCCAAGCGTGACCCCCAAACAGCTAACCCACCCATTCACCCAACCTTTTCCAAACCGCGGAGGAATTCTTCTGGGGACAGCAATGAAACAGGCATAAGCGATCCGAAGAAATGGTTTGATATATCAAACCAGAAAGCAATGCACACAACCGACATCGACGAAGCTCCATTCTACCAAAAAGAAACAGATTCTTCCAATGAAGAAATTGCAAAGTTTGGATTGCCGTTGCAGAGTCCGGCATACCGAACCCGCCCGGTTGGGCTGGCACATAGCAATCAAAGCGCTGATGAATTCCGTTCCGTAATTGATGACTTAACGGTTGAGAACAAGCGCCTGAAGGAGGAGCTGAGGAAATATAAACAGATGGGACCTGACTCATTGCGGAGGGACAAGTTATTCGAGGTTAAGGTTCACGGCCTATCTAGTAGAAAGAAGCGAGAGCTGGAGGCTGCACTACGGGATTTTACAACAAGCCTTGAGGGTTCGAGTGCTGGACCCTCCCCAAGCCGGAAGAAGACGCCAGGCAAGTCGAAGAATATCCATTCGTCAGTATCTAAACATGCGTCATCGTCGTCTGGGTCTAACTCAAGACCCGTTGACTCCGCGTATGCATCTATGTCGACCGGACCAAGCTCTTCTGTCCCGTATCTTCCCGGTCAGGCTAAGGCAGCACGAGAACGATCTGAACAGAAGATTGAGAACTATCTACGAGATATCCCCGAAGGTTTATGGCCGCGACCTACCATCATGACCGAGAAGGATAAGAAAAAGCTCGTAGTTAAGAGACTCGAACATCTTTTCACGGGCAAAATGGTGGATCCAGCAGAGCACATCTTGTTACCACAAGTCCCCGAACCTATCATCGAAGATGTAGAAATGGGAGGGACTATCAATAAAGTGACAGCTCCAAACGATACGATACGAGAAGCGCAGATCCAACCGCGAGATGCAAGTCGGAAGGAGAGCAGTTCACGCGACAATGGATCTGCATCTAACTCGCATTCACATTCAAATGGTGACCAAACAGACACAAGGGATAACGGCAACGGCAACGGAACTAGCCACAGTCGCGCGAATGAGAGTGGTAATAATACATCACCGCATGTATCAATGTTACTACCGGAGCAGCGCCCTACGCGGCCACGCGACTTGGACCCTGATCGCAGACAGGTACCATCAGAAAACATGGATTACATACGTCATCTGGGATTGGTAGCGCCCGAGTCGCAGAAGCAATTCTCTGCAAGGGATGTGTCGCCAGATACGGAAGGCTGGGTGTATCTCAATCTGCTGTGCAATTTAGCGCAGCTGCATATTCTCAACGTGACCCCAGCTTTCATTCGTAATGCGGTATCGGAGAAGAGTACTATGTTCCAACTGTCGCCTGATGGAAGAAAAATCCGCTGGCGGGGTGGAATTGAGGGTACCAAGTTCAGTAGTGACAGCGGCAGCTATTCGCAGCACAACCAATCAAGCGATGACACGGACGGATCGAACGATCAAGACCAAAGAAAGAAACAGAAAACGCAGGGATCTGGAAATGACGTCACTGCGCACAAACCCTCAAAATTCGGTCTGGGCGTGCAGCAGTCTAATTCATCCGAAAGTTTCCACTATAAGCCGTTATTTGTACACCACCAGACATCTTCGTCAGACGAACAACCGTCGGGGGGTGATGAGACCGGCTCGTCTTTTGGGCCACCCGAGGAGAGCAACTTGGGGGGTATGAATTCTCGTTGGGGTCAGAGTGGCGTATCAGGTGTCTCGCAGCGTAAGCGCCGTCGCGACGGTGCGATCATTTATTATAGTGGGGCGCCTTTCTGCACAGACCTCTCGGGTGATTTTGGTGAGGGAGAAATCTCCCCCGCTACTGGGTATGATATGACATCATCAGGGGACCAAGACAACCAGGGACCCATGCAGCCCATACAGCCCATCAGCCTCGGCAATATCCGCCCACAATTCAGCCGCTCTACGTCAGGATCATCGCTCCCTTTCAGACCGCTTAGTACCTTACAGTCTCGCAGTACGTTAATGGAGGTTGATCATTCCGATCCTCCAGAGTTAACTTCGGCTGAGACGGAGGACGAAGACATTGAAGCTGATTTTTCTTGGTCTGACAGCAAACAACATGCTCCCTTGTTGGATCTCGAGGCTAGTGGTTTAGGAGGTACTTATCCCGAAGATCATTTTGTAGTTATCGTTCCAACACGACGGCCGAAGTACGCCCACTACGATGAAAATAGCGCTTCCGAAGATGAAGATGATACCCCATCAATACGACCAAGCCTTATTGGGCGCTCGGGTCAGGAGACAACAGACTCCATCATTAACAAGTTAGCTAGCATGACGACTAGCTCACCAGCGCCACGCCAGATCTCGAATATTGGAGCGGATGCCGTCCAAATCGAATACCTGCCGGGGAAGATTCGTCGACTAAATCCCGTACCTCTCCCACCACCTACCTTTTACTTTCCAGCCGGCGAATCCGACCTTGACGAGGATGACGACGAGGATGAAACCATGGACGACTCTTCGGAAAGCCTTATAAGTAGGCAGGCTATCGTAGAAGATGGCCCAAGTTCGGATGTTGACTTGTCTGGAAATGATGAGGAAGATGAACACTCCGATGACGGTCAACACTATGATGCTAGCGGGAGCATATCGCCCGATAATGTGGACGAGCTTCCTGACGTCAGCCAACTTTTACGAGGACGTAGCATAAGGGTTTCGGAAAGATCTATAACTACTGGGAGTTCAGCAGCAACTGCCGGCGGAGCTGTTAGTGGATATACTAGTAGTATCGAGGACATGTGAGAGGATAGCCAAATTTGCTACATATAGCGATCTAATTATTGTGCTGGAAGAGTACTGGCTTGAATGATGGATATACTCAATGGATGTATTTCTATTTACTATTTTCATGGCATTTGGGTCGGCGTAAAAAGTTGGTGGAATACTTTATAATGGGTGGCATCTGAAAACGACCCAAGGTGGTAAAGGGGGGTTGATCTGATATTTAAAACTACCTAGTAATATTGCTAGCATGCGTGGCTACAATGACGCAATGATATACCAATTGACAAATAAGAAAATAGTATCTTGTGTATTTCTTCGTGTTGAATTATTCCTGAACGCGAATAACCCAAATTCGCCAATGCATTTTTATATGCAGTTATTTTTAATGAGTAAGGTACCTATGTATGTAATTTTAGAGAGAGTCACGTGATGTTTACAACTACTTCAACTCTAATTTATGGGGAAACATACTTGGTACACTCACTTGGGTTAGAAATGTCGACCTTAGATGTGATACTTTTAAGGTACAAGCATAACTTCAATCAGAGCAAACATTACTAAGATAGATACGTATTTATCTACAGATAATAATAAAGATATATGTAAATTTTTATTTCTATTCTTTTCAAATCAGAAAACCATATATGTCTTTTGACTTCACACAAAAGCATCCACAACAGAAAGCTCTCATCAATTCGAGCCCCCCCTGTGTTATTGACTTGGGTCTTTCACCACTGCCACTTCAAAATTTCGGTTAAGTTCGTTGACAAGATGAATCGGAAGGATCATTCTAGTATTCTAGGTATGTTATTTCGTCTATTTCCTCGGCATCTTTATCCTAGATCCACGAATATTCCGGTCGGTCGCAAGCACTAGAACAACGCGGAGGTTTTATTTGATTAGATACGCCTTGCACCTTGGGTCTGTTCTTTCTCAGTAACCTTGGTCACATCGAATACCACGGTTACCTAGGAGATAGTTAATACCTGAGAAGGCATCTGTTCTCTGCAAGATGGATATATTTGAACCAAGTTCAGCCTGTTATAGACTCTTACTCTCTGTACATTATACCTAAGCAACATCTTGGTGTATATAAACAGCATGGCTTCCACGAACACCTTGGATGACCTAATCTCGCGCGTCGACGACCTGGATCTCAACCTAGACGAAGATGTAAATGACGTGGCCTTGGGTATCGGAAAGTTGGATATCAACTCTTCCGAGGATTCCCAAGATGACCCCGAAGAGCCCGACTCATCAGTCGAGTCTACAGATCTGGACAATAATCCCCCAGACTTGAAAAAACCAAGCCAAAAACCACAGCAGAAGAAGGCTAACTGTAGCACGTTACTAGACCGTCACAACCGTGCCATCGCACAGATCCTGTCGCACTTCCGCAACATGGTTATGGCTGCCACCGCACCCATCTCGCAAAGCGGCAACATCCTTGAGCTTGCTGCGCTCAACCGTATGACCATGGAGACCGAATCCGCCGCTTTAGTACGTACCTCTACCTTGTATCTCTCCTCACCCTACCCCCCTCCCCTTCTCCTACTTACTTCCATCTCCCCTCCCCATATAAACCACCCCACTAACACCCTCCAGATCTCCGAAATCCAAGGCCTCCTAGCCATCAACCGGGAGATCAAAGCTCTATGGATCCGCGGGCCACTCCGACAGCCCGGCGAGAGCGACACTCGTGAGGCTGAGCTCGACAAGCAGGCCGCTGACGTCGCGCGCCTTTACGATCGCGCTATTGAGATGCGGGAGGCTTCTATCCGCCAGCAAAACGCTGCCAAAGCCGGGGGTGATCTCTCTGCGAGTTCCTAGGAGGACAAGACGGGTGAGAAGAATACCGATGCCGAGACTACGGATAGCGCTACGGAGGGGAAGAGCGACAAAGACGCTGGTAAAGGTGGCGATGGTATTGGCGAGAAAACCCGCTCCGACCCGCCGTCTACTGATATCTAGAGTGAATTACCATGGGGACAGGGAGTTGGCGAAATCTTACGCGACTATGCCCAATATACCCTTCAGTCGTTTACCAATCATAACAGGCCACAATAGATAGATATAGCCAAGATGTCGAGCAGATTCGATATCGTAAAGGTTAATTTACTTCAACTTAGTGGGCTAAATAGATCCATCTGGGTATAGTATGAATACATAGACAGCTTCCCGCTTTCGTGCACTCTTCTCTTTCTCCTTGTATCGCCGCTTGTCCTCTAGGCAACAGCAGTATTCCACTTCTCAGCATCATTTATACATCTACCATCGAATTATCCGTGACTCCCGGCCAATGACCTGGCCCTCGAATAGCTTAAGACATATACGCGCAATATTAGATTGAACAATACGATTAACCTTCGCCTTCATCCGGATTCTCCTCCCCATCATCTCCTAACTCCTCTTCAAGCTCTTTGGGTATTGATTCCATCTGCCCCATCCTTTGCTCCGCCACTTCTATGCCTCCTGCAGTGACCCAAAGGAAGTAACCCTCTTTGTAATTGTCGATTTGATGGAAAAATGTGTGGAACCTAACGACCAAAATTAGTAAAACCGCACGTATACTAACACCGAGAAAAATAAGAAGTTCGACTTACGAGTTCTCCTTCTCCTCTAGCTCAAAAATGCGGCGGTAAATCTGCGAATCCTTAAACTCCTGGATCTCCTTTTCATAGTTGCCAAAGTCGAGCTCCGCCAAGTTGTATTGTTCCCGAGCACGCTTGTTGTAGTTCTCGAACACGGGACGCTCTAGTAGTAGTCCTAGACTAGGGGCCTTGGGGATACTAATACGGGCGGTTCCATAGCTCTCGTCGATACGGGACAGGGGTGTGGCACAGCGGGTGACGAGGACGGCCATGCCGACCATCTTACGGATCTGGTGCATCATAAAAGATTGTCCGTGGACCTTAAGTGATAGCCATTCCGTGTCGTTAATCTGGACGGGTTCTGGGTTTGCGACGAAGGACTTGATGGTACGCTTTGCTGAGGGGTCTGAGTGGCTCTTCTGGATGGTGTAGTTGTGGAAATTTCTCGTGCCTAGGTATCTATCGAGAGCTTCTTGAAGCTGGGATAACCGCTCGGGAGTAACGCGATATCGTCGCTTTGCGGCTACGTATGCGGCTTTGATCTGCTTCAAGGCGCGATCTACAGGATGAATCTCCTTAGATTTAGTAGCTTCTGACTCATCAATGTCTTCAGATCCGGTCATCAGGGTATCTGTCGGCTCTGAGGCCAACTCTGCTGCTACGGTCGAGCTCTCCACTGAAGCATTCTGTATCGAATTGGATGCATCTGTGGGCATGTTATTCGATTTAGTTTCAGTAGTTTCATCCTTCGTCTCAAGCGAGTTGTCTGTAGGCTTCTTCGAAGACTTGGGCTCCGCCACCTCGCCTGAATTCTTGCCGTTGGATGTTTCTTCGGAGGTATGCATGCGTCGTATGACAGTTTCCCGGATACTAGGGTCTAAACTATCCAAAATAGGTTGGATATCATTCTTCTGCACTTCTTCCCAGTAGTCTTTAACTTCGCCTAGACGTTTCGCATATTCTTCCTCGAGACCCTTCTCTTTGATGGACTCGAGAACCTTCTTGCCAAGAAAGCTCTCAGGATGAGGAGGTAATAAGCAGTAACTCGGCATTAAGTACTCGTACCATCTAGAATCGCAGGATTGGTAGCAACTGAAAGCATTGTTCGTACGTTGAATACCCCATACTCGAATCTGAGGCGGTAGGTTGTCGTTTATGTTCTTTACAACGTCCGGGTCCTCAATAATCAACTTGAGAGAGATCATATTACCAGCGGCATGGACACCTTTATCGGTTCTCGCACATCGTACAAAGCTAGACTTCCTAGGATCATCAGCATTGGCCTTTGATATGGCTTTAGCCGCAACTAGCGCAGCGAAAATATCTCCCTCAATCGTCTTTTCCTTGTGGTTAATTTGTAGGCCATGATATCCCGTGCCAGCATATCCAATCATAACAGAGACTTTGCGTTTCGGTCTGCGTTCTTCGGCCGCAATCTCTTCTTCAGGGAACTGAATATTCATATAGCTGGAATCGCTATTCACAGCGGAATTTCCATTCTCGTCAACTCTCCTGCGCTTTCTTTCTTGCCAACCTTTCTCGTTACGTTCGCGTTTATCCTTGGGTCCACGACTACGGGCTGGTTAGCAAGCATTGGCTTGGGTTTATGGAACCAATTGATTAATAGTAAGGCTTACCTTTCCCCACCGCGGCCATTGCCCCTACCTTTCGAGTCCTGACCTCGGCGACGCCCATTAGAGTTGAGCTTTCTGTCGGCATGTCTGTTTCCATCATCGCGACGGTTTGACTTTGTAGTGTCTGAATCGACCTGCAACTCTGGATTCGGGGATATACTAGATGTAGGTTTGGATGCATTTCCATCAGAATTCCCGGTTGGCGCGTTGCGCGAATCAGTCTCGGCCACCATGTTGAAATACGATGGTGAATTCGCATTATCAGTACAGATGAAATTATTTGCGGGTTGAGAAAAGTTCTGGGGGCAGTTTGCGCAGCAGTCAACTTTTGGAGGAAGCAGCTTCATTATCGATAAGAACGAATGAGGGGCCCTTAATAAGGTACCTAGGTACATAAGCAGTACTTCAGGTACATAGGTACCTCCTATCCATAATTCATTTAAACGATTAAAACCTCTTGACTTAGAACCTTCAACTTCCACGATTCAGGGAAGACGGAGAGAATATTATATCATATTAATCTCAGATGATTTGGAGAGTTCTTTTCCAGTACTATTTTACAGTTCCAACTTCCAAGGATGCGTTGCTATAATATACTTTATACTCCTTCATCACAATCCACCAAACGTTCTCCTGTGGCCTTTAGGCGTCAAATACAATCTCAATGACTGAGTCATGAACACCATAAGGCTTCGTGATATTCACAATACGAAGTCTCTCATCAGACGCAGCCAGGAGAGTCTCCCAGTTTCTTTTGCTACGCTCTTTACCGTTAAATCCGGATTTCATGTAGACGTCCGCACTCCTAGGATCAGAGTTAGAAAGACATTACCACTAAAAATGATACTCAAGAGAGTGAAGACAGCTATTAACTGTGACATACCTCTGCATTCGATCTCTCAGTCGATTTCCATCGCTCAAGTTGGGAAGAACAACCTCAGAAAGCCAAATCTTACTCCCTTTTTTAAGAGCTGGTACCAGGTTTTTCAAAATTATGGCAGCGTACTGGTCGCTCCAGTCATGGAAGATATGGCGAAATATATATACATCCGCATGATAAGTTACTTTCTCCTTGAGGAAGTTGTAGCTCTTGTACTCCAATCTGTTGTTAAGGTCCTCGGGAACTTTGGCATCAGCGACAACTTCTGGGAGATCTAACACGACACCTTTCTTGATGTTGGGATACGTGCGGAGAACTACAAACATAATAGTTAGTAATATTCTAAAAATAAACGCTCCAGAGCCGGCCATCACAGCTCATACTATCCAGGCAGTGTAATACACATTATCCTAATCAAAGAAAAAGTGGACAGGCAACAAAAGTGCTCAAAAGATTGAAGTTGAGTCTGGGAATTATCATACTTAGCTGGATTACTTCACCACCGGCACCACCGATATCGACGACTGTCTCCGGGCACTGGTCTTTATTTACCCACGGCAAGGCGTCAACGAAATACGACGACTTAAAAGCCGGAGCTTTGGTCGAAACACCCATAGCAGATCGAAAGCGGGCAACTCGTCTCTCGTCTTCGGCAATGTAATCAAAGAAATTCTTGCTTGGATCAGCGATCTCCTCCCTATCAATACCCATTTCTTTAACTGCCTTCTCCTCTCTCATGGCTAACGCCGAAGCAGAGTGTCCTGGTTCCCCGCTGTCTGGGAACCGCCGCATGCTCTCGACAAGCTTGGCAGCGCCGGACAGCTGCTCGTCGATAAATAGACCCAAGATGTCTTTCATTTCAGGCACAGTAAACATCGATGAGATGGCATTGTGTCTGACAGACATATCAGGGGTAACTTCTTCGAACACGTAGAAGGTGATAGCAGCCTGCACAATGCGACGCGTATCCTCCTCCGGAAGGCCACAACTTTTTGCGAGATCTTTATACGATATCTCAGCATTGGGTGCGAGAGGAATATGAGAGGCAATGTCGAATGCATATAGAGTCTTGAAAACAGCTACTGCAGCGGACTTCGGTGTGTGAGTCAATAAGCACAATTATCGTGGCTTCTCGAATAAGGCTCGACAAGTGGTAAGTACATACCATTGGTAATAGGAAAGATAATAGATACCCCATCGGTCCCAGCAGGCGAATACGTAGTTCTTCGATGGTTTCAAGAAGTTCATCACGAGTTCCCCCAAGAGTAGGAGACAACTCGATTTGTGGCGGTGCTCCGAATGCAAGTGAGAACTGAGCCTCGGGAGATCTTTTCAACCCATCTTCCAGTGTCCGCGTATCGCGTTCAACGATGGATGCAAGTTCAGAAACGGATCTCAAGGGTGCCATAGTGTCGTTAGGGGTGAGCTCTGTCGAGTAGACAAGTGAGAGAAAATAAGTCAAAATAAGGCTCGTATAGTTTGTAACGAGATCTGTAAGGGCTTGGAACGTATATTCAAGATTGACAATAATTTTCTAGGGTCTCTGGGTCCTTGATGATATCTCCTCTCCTTCTGAGGGAATCAAGGCCTATTTGTAGAGAGCCTAAGGTACGTATCTTGAGTCCTAATCACCCCTTTAATATGTGTTATGGTTAACTTGCATTATAGTTGCACCTATCTCACAAACTCCGGGCATGGGTCCTAAAATATATCCATTCCTGTGACATACAGGTGTATAACACAAGAATACATATTTTAGAACCTATGTCCGGAGTTTTATGGGATCTAGTGATGCATATTCTGGATTTTGGCTGCCTCGTACACGTCTCAGCTATGTTGTTCGTATGGTACGGTCGATGCTATTGTTACCCCCGAATCCGAATGAATATGCCGAAACTGACTGACTTGCCCCTATTTATTTCGGTATATTCCGTCGGACTCCGACTATCTAACGCATAGTATAGGATCGTAGTATTCCATCTATGAGTCATTTTTATTTAATGCTATTTTTGTAATTAGTAGCTCAAGAGCGAGAACGAGAACGAGAGCATACGTGTACATATCATCATCGTCCGTGACTCATTTGTGAAATTTGCCAAAATAGAGGTATTGTATAACACATGGATCTGCATGGTCTAGTAATACTGCATCAAAATAATTAATATGTCATAGATCCAAGGGAGATTTGGGTAGCTTGGAGATTCCTCTTACTAGAACCCGGAATGTTGAAGTTACAACTATTGTGGCCGAATCTCTAGAATCTTAATACACTACCAGATCATAAGAATATTATGGCAATGCTACCTTTGATTTGTAATATACCTAGGTATATATGGTTTTATCAAGGTTCCATTTCATTTGCTTCACCATAATGATCTAGGTAACTAGGTACCTAAGGCGCCAGGGGCTACCTATTTCCCGCATCATAATCATATAATTTCGACTCTTCCTAGTCGAGCCCACTACTACACCTTGACACTACCTTCTCAGATGAGGCGACGTAGAAAGTTATTTGAGTATATTCCTCATCCTTCTCGCTTCTAATAGGTGTAACGGAAGTCGGGTTGAGATCCCTCCTATACCATATGTTAGTTTTGAATCTAGCTGTGGTAGAATCGAATGCCTTACGTCGGTCGTTTCAAGATGCTTCTCTCCTCGATCAGCTTTCTTGTTGTCGAAATAATAGGATATGTCTAATAGGACTACAATAATGATTGCTAATAGACAGCATGATATGCACGCATATAAGCCGGGTCGGTATCCAGTAGCAGCATCTTGGGATCTAATCGCCCGTCAGTATCGACCGAAAATGTACCTCGTATCAAATAGACTTTACCTAAAGACCAAACTGCCAGCAATTCCACCAATACTAGCAAAGCTGACCCAAGACGCACTTGCAAAGGCTCGCTTCCATTGTCCGCGGATATTGTTGGCCTGGTACGCCAGCGATGCTGGGACATTTGCTGTTGCTCCGGCGGTGACGAGGAACGATCCGAAGTATCGAATACCGTTGTTGGGGTGCCATCCAAGGATGGGTAGGCCGATAAGTGCAACAACCATGTTGACGACTAAAATAGGGCCACGCAAGTGGTACCGATCCCCGAGCCAACCCATGATGTACATATAAATGCCCGAAAACGCATAAGGGGGTGCGATGAGGGTAAGCGAAATGCCGCGATCAAATCCCAAATTCGTGTTTAAAATAAGGGGTAAGAAGTAGGCTAACGAATAGGTCAAAGTGTTGGTACAAAACGCGATTAGGCCGTATCCCCTAATGAGATGTTAGTTGAAGGAAACCCCATTTGGCATCCTTTCTCCATGCAACAGATGTTTTTCTTCTACCCAGGATGCTTACCAGACTCTTAAATCTAAACCACCCTTCAAAAATAGACTGATCTTAAACTTGGGGGCTTCGACATCACCACGGTCGGTATCAACGCGTCGAACAATCCACGCACGTTCTCTGTCGCTCAAGAACCGCCAAGATTTGCGTTTGGAATCAGGGAAGTCGACCAGAAGCCAATATCCAAGTGAGGCTAGGAGGCAGGTAATAATACCTAGATAGATGTTGGTTAGCACTTAAGGTACGCTCCATAGGATTGACGTCTCCGAGCTACCTTCGATAATGAAGATCCATCGCCAACCACTAAGGCCCGCAACGCCATCCATTTGCATCAAGCCGAATGCGAGAATTCCCCTTAATTAAGTTAGCTAATGACTAGTAACAGATTTATATCTTGTGAGAGTTCTTACGAGCAGGCCGAAGCAACGCAGCCAAGAAGGTAGAATACTGAGTATCTTCTGCCCATCTCATCTGAATCTTTAGTTAGATACCTATCTTCGTCATATTAAGAGGCAACCTATTAGGATCTAATCTTACATCGAGTGTACCATGTCGACCTGAGGATAAGTCAGTATCAGTCTCTCAAGATGTAGTAGATGAATTCTGCGACATACAGTAAGTATACGCAGCCGGGAAAGTAACCAGCCTCAAAGGCACCAAGTACTAGTCGAAGGGCCATGAGGACTTCGAATGACGGACTGAATCCGAATCCAATCATAACGGCACCCCATGCCAACGTAATAGTGGACAAGAAGGTGCGTGGGCCAACCTTACGGATCAGGATGGTAGAGGGGGGCTGGAATAAAATGTATGTGATGAAGAAGACGAGCGTAACGATTGACTATAAGTAAAGGCTGGTTGTTAGCGAAACAATACCAGTGGCAATGACGAAGGCAGAAAAGTCTTACATATCGTTCACCAACGAGGTTCAACTCCTCATTCATTCCAGCAACGGCAGCCGCAGACAGATTGGTTCGGTCCATAAGACTGACGCAGTATAAGACACCGACTAAGGTGACGAGTCGACGGTCGATTCGCCATATAATCTTCTTCCCCTCCTCTTCATCGACATCGTCAACAATATTCGAAGATTGAGTCTTCTCCCCTTCAAACTGCCCGATTTCAATTTCCGCCTTCTCTTGATCGCGATCCATTATTAAAGCTTGCGTATAAGGTGCTCAACTAGGGAAACAGGTAGATTGGTACCAAGGGTGTTATTTTATAGTCCTGATGAACTGACCTAGGATACGAATTAGCACGAGAGTAATCCCCGTGGAGAGAAGAGATTGGGGAACGAGGGGTTAACCGGGGGTAACTTGGAAGTAGTCCCATGCGCATAGGAACGGATACTATACCGATGTTTTGCTTGGAGATAGCTCCAAACTAATTGGGTCGGGTAACTTGTTCAAGAAATACGCTGTTGGTCATTGGTCGTTGCAGTGCATGGGGAAGAGAATGCCCGGTTGCTACTCAACTAGCGGAGTTACCTACCAAGACAGGGCATTAAGTCTGAGGTACTTTTGTTGATCATCAAATCTGGATCATCGTTTGAAGTCGAACGCGTGAGCACAAAATTAGATTTGCCCGCGTCAGTGCTTAAAAATTATTGGCAGAATTCTTCAACGAGGGTTACACATCACTGATAAGCGCGAGGACGATATCTCTAACTATCTCTAATATAGATCGTAGTGTTACATGCAAAACAACCCATCGTATCAACAGAAACTAATTTCAACAAAGTAAATAAATTGGTGATTAATGACTATGATGTACTCTTTGTTCATACTGGAAATAAAGAAGTCCGCCAAGAAGCTATACCAGGTATATCACAATGCCAAGGTATAAAACTTGGGGTACCTAATACATAGAATGCTAACAGGTATCTCTTAAACTTGTAGATTAGTTGGTTTTCAACCTCATCGATCCAGCTAGATACCTAAGTAGCTGAGCTATCAACAACAAACTACCAGCCTACTTTGCGGGAAGCACTTCTGTATAGGTAGGTACTACTAACGATGAAAGAAGGTTTATGAAGCCGTCGTTTATGATTCTAGTCTAGACCCGCCCAAGGTGCTACAATGATAGTCAAGAGTGCGGGGAAAGGCGCCGTTAACTATACCTCGTTGGGACATTGACCGATGCATGGGGTATGCAGCTTGGGGAAGAATGCGGGGGTGATCGCAAGATTAATCCGTTGAAAGGTGACCAAGATTCAAAGGACTATTGCGGATCATATCTTTATATGATTGGAAGTGTGTCGGTAAAAAAGATTTATGATGAAATAATGTGAACAATCTAGTTACATCGCATGAGTTTTTAATATATCATGCCGGTAATCAGATATTATTAATAGTACAAAGATCAAAGTATTATTTCGGGAATTTTAAACCTATGTACGATTTGATATAGTCTCACAAGTGTAGTGGTAAGCATATGCAAACCAAGAACCTGCAAGTTGAGATCCAACTCGATGGGACAGGAGCTGTGCTGTAACTAGCGCAAGCTTCGCATACAAGAGTAGATTTATTGAATCCCACTCTTGGCACATTTAATTTCCCAAGATCGTATTGGTTGACATACTGTATTTAGATCATAACAATGTCATTCCGTACATAGTAGACAATTTTCATCAAGGCCAAATAGCAAACATCCCAAACACATGAGCTTCTAGATGAGCCTAGACTTCCACACCGCACTTCCTAGGCTAGCCGCACGGCCCCGAGGTAATCGATGTTATCGAGCCTCATTCCAATGACACTAATTCCGAATTCTCAAGTTGTAGCCGGGATTTGCTGACTACCGGTAGCCCGCGGCATAAACTATACGTGCTCAGAGTACCTAATAAGGAGCTGTGCGGATTTTAGTGATAATCCAAGTGATATTATTGATGACGAACAATTACAATAGTAGCGTAATCACATCATTAGCCCTCGCTACGATGTAAACCTAATGACAGTATCAACAACCCTTTCCGTCACTAGCAAGGTGAGAGCGTGATTTGATTCAAACTCTACTGTTTCGACCGTCTTGCCCTCACCCTCTATAAATTGTACCATACTCCTCTGGTACTCGATAGGAAGGCTAACATCATTGAGCGCGTACATATAGTAAACCTTGACCTCGTCGCGCCACGCAGGAGTGTTATCGATGGGCATATACATGGACTTCCCGTTCCAACGACCGATAGTCTTAATAAATTCCTTGATTTCCTCTGGGTCAACCTGGTCAGAAGGCCCATCTACTAGGCCCTCCTTCGGGTAGTTCGTTACGCAGCTCTGGTCTGAGTCGATGCCAAAAGAGACGGGTATGAGATCTAAGTGTCCGAATTCCTCTACTTTATCAATCATCCTCTTGCCCTCGGGCAAGGCAAATGCTGACATGTAGATCAGATGTGAGATGCCACCAGAAAGTCCTTTAGCGGACCGGGCGGTTTTGCTGAGCCCATACAATGAGTTAGTGCCCACCTGGCCTCCATAGCTGTGCATTAGAACCGCTATATCCCTGCCAGCTTCAACGAGGCTAGTAGCATAAGAGCGGACGAGTTCCGAGTCGGTGGCTAGATCAGCATTCGGAGGCCGACTTCCGTTCATGGAAGGGAGGCGTGGTACGTGTACTTCAAAGCCGGCAGCGCGAAGGGCTCCAGTGAATTTATTATAACTTTCTGGAATGTGAAAGGCGCCATGAAGTATCAATAGATTTGGTTTGCTGGTAGATTCCATAATAAATCGTAAGGTAAGGTGAAAGCAAAGAGTTTTATCGAAATAAGGCAAACAAGAACAATTTCCCGCTTGACAAAAAAAGAGGGACAAGAGAAATAGATTAGTATCTTCCCATTTTCTTGTCCTGTTTATAACCCCTCTCTGTTATCCCTTACTTCATAAACATTAAATATCTCCCAACAGCTTTGATTATGTAACATTTCCCATCACGTTTTAAAGTAGTATTGGCTAGAGCTAGGGAAAACGAAGGATAATTTTGAGGAATTTAAAGGCAAAGTAACTAAAAAGTAATAGAGAGTTAGTACCAACTATTTCTATATACCCCTAAATGTAACAAGAGGCAGTATGGAACTATTTGCGTATAGGGGCCGCCAAAGCCCCTTATATACTCCCACAGCAGCACTGTAATTTTAGATATCTGTACCACTTAAATAGTGTGTCTAGAGAAGTTGGTTGCTCCGTGTTCCTAACCTGTTCTATTGGTTAAACGCGAGTATCACCATGAGCTGAGAAACTTTAAATACTCTAGAATACGTTTACCAATAATAAAATGATGCACGTATATTCTGGCCTTCAAGGTATAGGCATATTGCTAGGAAATCCCAGAATAGTAACTATGGTCATGGTCTGTATCGGACTTTTCATGAATCTAGTCAAGTATAGCATCATAGTAGCTTAGTTCGCTAACGATCTTGCCAATCCAATCTACCATTATCATGTAGGGGTTATGACATAATACACTTAAATTGCATACTAGTTACACCAAATAAAACATATTTTTCTATCTCTAAATCGATACAGTATATACCTGTTATTATTACTTATTTTCCTTGCTTATTTCCTCGACGAAACGATACCCTCACTACTTGTTGTTACGTATCTATATCTTCTCCTGAACAAGCAAGCAAGCACGCTAAGGAACAATCTACCCCATAAACTTATCAAGTATACCATTAACTAGATAACTCTTGAATTAGAGAATTGTTGAACTACGATCGATATATAGACAGCTACGTGTCAGGATTCTAGATGAAAGATCTAGAATAAAGAACAGTTTAGTATCTATAGATATAGAACCTCATGGGTAGTTAGAGTTCCTTGCGGAATAACAAAGTTGTTTCCATGCTGTTTGGTTCCACCTCGTAACACTACGATCTTATTCTCTGCTGAAATATCACAGGACTTCGAGAGCTACTTTACGGGAGGACAATTGTATCTAAATAATAACATCACAATAATTTCGTGGACGTTTTATTCGAACCGGAGTCCAATATGGTATTGATCGTTCTAAAATTTCGATATCTCATGCAAACGCACACAAGCCTAAAAAAGTAGCAAATTGCGACGAAATACTGTGTACTGTAGGGTATACAAAACAACCCCCCCTTATTGGCTATTTATTTGCCCAGCCATGCATAGCGGGACAACGCAATCCTCCCGCCCCTTATAAGTGGTACCAATTGCTAACATCATGTGGTATAATATTGCCACATCATCTACCTTATCAAATAAGCCCGCTCACAAGACGACACTTTCAAAAAACTGAACAGAGTCATCTACCTACCTTAGGCACATAACTAAGCTAAAATGGGCCGCTGGTCATACCTCGACACAGATGAAGAGCGCCTCCCGCACGGCGTCAAGCGCATCGGGTACGACGCCGACGACCAGGAGTACACATTTTTTGATACTTCAGACGGCAGCATCTGGGTTGGGGGACAGAACGGCCCTACGAAATGTATATCGAGGCCGGAGCAGGTCGCGAGCTCTAGTAATGATAATAAGGTTGAGCCAATGTATATCCCGACCGAGGAAGTTGAAAAAAGCGACCCGCAGCCGCCGAGCAGTCCGAATACAAAGGCGTTGCTTAACTCTTTCGTAGCCGTCGGTAGACTCGCTCGGATCATCGTGGCGCGGAGAGGACCGGGTGCGGATCGTAGGCTAAGCCGTGAAGAGCGGAGGCGAGAGCGCCGTGCCCGTGAGCAAACTAAGGAGGAGCGACTTCAGGATGAGGAAGTGTTCGGTGAGAAGGAACTCGAAGGGAAGGAGTTTGTTTAAAATGAATTATTCAATGGGCCTGTTATTTTAGGAAGTCGGCATGTCTCTTATGCTCTTCGAGCCAGTCTCGAAAACTTAACGACATTTTATTAGGATGAACTCGGGTTAAAGGGGTATAGGAGTATGATTGAATTGGTTAGTTATTACTGGGAGTATCGTCTTGTTATCCATAACCTCACCGTAGCGAACGTGGATCAGACTCGTGATATAGTAATCTATATGACATATCGCCTTGTCTAACCACTACTTACAATCCGAAGGTATACATATTCACGAAGCAAGGGATAAGCCAGATAATCTACCAACCTCTATAACTCTATCTTTAGATCTAACTTAGATATCAACATTATTCGTAAAGCGTTACATTGTCGTTTATATGATCGTGCGTCTAAAGGCTATCTACGATGAGATAAGAGCTCACCGCGACAACAGACATGTATCCAATTGCATCGCATCGCTCATGCTGCATATGCAGCGCAGGAATTAGTACGTGTACTTGAAGCCCTCCACACCCTCGATGAGTATCTTCCCTTGAGAAGCGAGCTTATTCGCAAAGAAGAAGTAGGTCGAGAAAGCGCCCACTATGCCAATAATCAGAATATGCGACCCAATGGAAACCCACACCGCAGTCAGATAATGCGGTGCCTCCTGAGACCGGACGATAAAACTTCCCGCGATACCGCCCGCACCGTTTAGAGCCGTCACAGCAGCGGCAGTAAATGCGCGCTTCCACTGGCCGGCGATATTGTTGGCTTGATAGGCACTCAGAGCCGCCCAATTGCTCACGTACGCGCCGGTCGCGAGGTAAGTCCCGACGTAGCGCACGGTGACCTGTTCAGAAAAGCCAAGCATGCAGAACCCGACGATCAGAGTGACGCAATTAAAGATGATAACGGGGCCGCGGAGGCGAAATCTATCGCCGATCATAGAGGACAGGAGAACAGGGATGACTGCATAATAGTAAGGTGGCGCAGATAAAAGAATGGATTGGTTCTCGTCAAATCCCATGCCGTTCTGCAAGATAATAGGCAAAAAGTAGGATAGCGCAGTCGATACTAAGTTCAATAGGAAGAACATACACGCAAAGCCGTAGACCTTTGGGTCGCGTGCGTGTATGAAGACCTTGCCCCACGAAAATGGATCCGGCTCGACATCTTTACGGTCCGCATTGATACGCGCGACAGCGAGTTCCTGCTCCTCGGGCGTGAGGAACCAAAAAGAGCGGTGCGCTTCCTCAGGGAAATCGACGATCCAGAAGTATGTCATGAACCCGATGATAATGGAGATCAGGCCCTGCACCAGAAACATATAACGCCAACCTGCGATGCCACCTTTACCATCCAGTTGGTTAAGGCCGAAATTGACGATGCCGCCTGTAGCTAGGATAACGACTTCACCAGTCTGCAAGAAGGCAAAGCGCGTTTGCTGCTCTCTCCTCGGATACCACGTTGAAATCAGATACGTCAGGCCCGGATAAATACCGCTCATACACATACCAAGAAGCACACGTAGCGCAATCATCTGTCGCCAGGTCTGAATGAAGGCGGTGCACATAGTAATGAGACCAAAACAGAAAGTAATGAAGGAAAACCATAGACGAGGCCCGAATGTACGCACAGCGAGAGTCGACGGTAGCTGAAAGGCAATGCTCGATATAGTGAAGATAAAGATGCTAACGCTGAATCGGTTACCCGTGAGGTCCAAGTCCGTCGGCATGGATGTCACCGATGCGGAACTGATGACGCCCGAATCGAGTAAATTGAGCGAACAGAGTATGCCGGCGATAGTGCAAAGTCGCAAGTCGACCTTGAGCCTAAGCCGTCGTTCTAAAGCTCGGCGAGTTGCGACAGTATCTATAACATCTTCCTCCTCTTCTTCCTCCCCAGTGAAATTGCGCTCAGAAACAACATCTCCGTCGTTAATAATTTTTGACGGAGAGAAATTGCTCTTCTGTCGATCCTCGGAAGAAGGAGTAAGAGATGAAGCCATTGCCTAGGCCGTATATAAGGAACGCCGGTGCACAAGCGAGTAAAGTTTTAAAACCGCCGGCCAACGGAAAGGCCTTGACTCGGTGTCTTTATCATATAGACTTTGGCTAGTTACCTTTAGGCTTTAGGTCCATACAATAAAAGATTCTACCTACATGTAACTATGTTCCATGTAAAAAAGTATTTCCAATGTATACTAAGCAAAAGTGGAGATGCCGGTAGTATCTTACCAATCAAGGAACTATTTTTTATAGTATTTAGCGTATTTAGCCACTTTACCGTTACGTTTCTGCTCTTATGATGATACAAAGCTTGTCCGGTTGCTTATTTTAGGTAGGTTACTACCTATCCCCTTGGCTGGCATAAGACAGCAACTCCATAATTTTCAGTATCAATACATACGGATTGGCTAGAAAAGAAAGAAACGCTCGTGTGGTATTAAATCGACCAATAATATTTGTAGGTTGCGGTTTTAGAGACTAATCATAAGGCCTTTTCCTATTATGTTAATGAATGACGTTAAGCCTTATGTACTAATACTGAAAGTTATGGAGTTGCTGTCTTATGCCAGCCAAGGGGACAGTCAGTAGTGAAAAATAAAGGCCCAGTCACGGTATTTAGCCCTTCTTAAAGAATCAGCATTTACGCATATATAATTCCACCATTTTTAAGGTAGTAAAATTATAAAAATTACCTATAATGATAATAAAAGCTAACGAGCTAATATATAATTTTTTCCCTTTTTTCAATCCTTTTTTTCATGCTTATTTTGAATATATTATATGGTATTGTTTTGGAGGGAGAATGCCAAGACTGGGCCTTTAATTTTCGCTGGGGGCTGGGGGATAACGGCAGGACGGCTATGTATTACCTTGCATCTGGTCTACTGGTGAATCATTTCCGTATTAAACGAAGGTCGGGCCTAGAATCTAGACTCAACGAATCGAGCACATTCCACGGACCCATTTATATAGTAACAAGCGATTGAGGAACAAGATAACGAAGAGCGGCTGGAAAGCCATTCAACATCCAACGTATTAGATAGGGTTGTTGGATGATAGTAATTCTTAAACATGGTACGGATTTCCCATCTTAAGTGGAAAGAGGGGCTGAAATGTAACTGGTTTGATTCGTCTAGTTATTGTCATAGTCTTAGACAAGTTAGCCACAGCTATCAATGAAGTTGCACCGCAGACTTAGATGAGACACTTGGTATACCCCAAGTAAGACGTGAAATGCCGAATCTTTGTCGAAAAAATTGTATATATCATCTCACCCCGATTATTCGGAGCTCGGGAGTGGACTTCTATGCTCCTAAGAGTATCAGCTCGATTAGTGTAATCTCCGAGGATACCGAAAGTAACGACCGACCGAAATTGTCGTCGCCGAACTCCTAAAATGACATTTCCCTGCGATAGCCTCTGCTATAGCACCGTCGGATATTAAAATATCCTAATATTAAAGATTATTCAGATTAGAAAAGAAACCCCAAATTTTCTTTTCCTATTTTGTCATAGGATCAAATAGGTAACATCCTATACCTCGCTCATCAAACCTGTGATGTGCTTCCCGCATGATACCCCAAATATCCGTCATCGTCGTATGTATAAGCCACCCCTACCGAAGGCCAGATCTTTCAGTTCGCTTCCAGCAGTGCGGACTCCGGCTAGGTGTAGTGGAACGCTATCAACCCGCTTCTGCACTTGTGATCTTATATCAATATATTTATCCTCGATAGTTTTGATGCTCGTTTCCGACTTGATTCTACGAAGAGTCATGTCGCACTGCCAATGCTCGCGACTCAGACTTGCCACTGCCGTACTGATATCTCGTGCAGCAGCGGCTGTCCTTTCTGCAGGTGATTGGGAGCTATCGGGCTTTGGTAGAGGTCTTAGATATGCCATAACTACGACCTCAATATTGGCGTTCAAAAACCTAGCTTCGCCAAAGTCGTGGACAATGTGAACTGCGACTATTTTCTTAGGAACTACTCGAGGCGGTGCGTATGGTGAAGGTCCAATAGTGATGACAGCTTCATGCCAATCGTATGAAATGTTTTCGCTCCCCCGAAATGGCTGGATAGCAGTCCAACCTATATAGACACCATTGGGACGTAGTAGTAAATCCTCTGATATGCTGGATAGGTTCGCTGTTGGTATCCCGGTTTCGCTTCGGCCTCTGCCAGTTCCTTGGACTACCTTGCTAATGAATCGGATTGGGTACGGCTTCTCCGGTCCACTTTCAGCACCGACAATCTGAGGAGGTGCCTCCAGTACCCCCTCTGTTTGCAAAGATTCGTAGGCGCTATCCCTTTCTGCGTCAAGGGTCTCTTCTGCAGCAGTAACCCGTTCGTTCACCCTGGAGTTTTCGTATGCCATAATCGCAGCTTCTTGGGCTATTAACCCCGGGCCATATTTTTCAATCTGGGCCTCTATAACTTCTATCACAGGTCCGGTGTACTTTTCCACGGTGATTTGGCCTATTACTGATGCTACTTTTAATCCGAGTTCGATAGGCATAGTTGTCAAACTTGCACCACGCAATACGCTCACATCTGATGACGTACTAGCTACGCGAAAGACGGGCGAGGGACAAAGCGTTTTCTTTGACCCTTCACCGGTGCACATGACAATACGCAAATAGCCATCTTCTGCCGAGGCGGGGATTCGAATAACACAAGTCTCGCGGGCTATTTGTTTAGATAAATGCCTATGGGATGTTGCCTTCTTGATAAATTTCTTGATATCTCTTTGCCATGCTCGCTCATCCGTTTCTGGGACTTGAGAAGGAAGAGCTGCGAATGATGGAGTTACTTCAATCCAGTTTCCCTGTGTGCGTAGAAGAGCACTAGCAGCCATACCCATATTCCCAGAGAAACCCTTTCTCTGTAGCCAGAACGAACGGTCAGCTGGCAAAGGCTGATCCGCGAATATGGTAATGGCGATACTCGTAGACGGTCCTCGGTAAAGGATCACCCCAGCCGAATGGCGGAGAATACTATAATGTTTAGTTGATTCGAATGGATGTGATATAAGCCCCCCGGCAAAGTAGATGGTCTCATTGACAGCGGTTTTCCATATCGAATGGCCGAGATTAGATGTGTCTGGTGTTGAGACACCTGAGTTAAGTGAGATTTCTGAAGGGCTAGAAACAAGGGGAATGGATAATTGTCTTGGAGGAACGGCTGGGAGTGCGGCAGGACTGATATCCAATTTCAATTCCTTGGTTTCAATTGGTAGCACAGGTTGGTGATGAGGATTTGGTGGTTTAGTTGGTTCTAGATAATCATCAAGGATATCGTCAAGGATATCATCAGGATATGGGGGAGGGGGAGGTGGTTGTGGATTAGCCGATGGGACCGGCTTCCTTTTGATAGTTGTTGTAGATGATTGATACATTTGTTCGTTGAGATAATATTATATTATTACTAGCGAGCTGAGAGATAATTCGACATTATGAGAGGTTTGCTAAAGAGTGAATACTAATATGATAGACAAGTTGTCTTTTCTGAAATTGATAACTATGTAATATCCCATCAAACAAAGAGGTAATCAGTAAATAGTTGATTTTATATAATAATAATACAGGAAATAGATAATGTCTTGAATAGAAAAATATAATAACAAGTTAAAGAATGTACGGCAATGTCGGATGAGAGACAAATGTAATTAGAATTAGGGGCTTTTATCGATGCTTTGCCATTGGAAGCTGCTTGGCGACCGCGATAGCTCGGCTTGGTACACAGGAGATAATGCATGGCACTGTACGGATGTCCCTTTCAAAAGTTTTTACCATAGGGAACCCCTATCAAGATTGTCGCCAGCTGTCTGATACTTGGCCAGCAACTGTCGGTGATTTAAAGATGTATACATTATTATCCCTTAGGTTTACTACTAGGTTTTACAGCCAAATATAATTTCAAAATAAACCAAAAAACTCAAATATTGAAGAGAATTCTTTCATATTTATAATTTTCAGTTTTAAAGAATTTTGAATCTTAATTTAAGAGCATTATATTTTATTGAAATAATAGAGTAAAATAAGATAGGTACATATGTTAAATAGGTGAGCAGCTGTTGCCAAGCTTGGTCAATGCTTACCGGGGGGGGGGAGAGGAGTCTTCCTATGGTAAAAACTTTTGAAAGGGACATCCGTATATAAAACTGTACTTACCTAGATTTGAACTGGAGCTGGAATCGGTACTCCACTAATTCATGTGGGGTGATACATCGGCACTTTAGAGTTTGCTAAGCCGTGATTTGTCCACCGAAGATGTAATGTACCTAGGTACCTAGGTAACATAGTCGTGATCCAGCATTATGGTTCCCCATAGCTTTGCAGCCCCGTAACTCTGCAGAGGTACCCGCCTAATCGCAAGCTATCGAGTGCCTAAGCTCAACCTTAGCTTCTCCAACTTCTCTACAGCTTCATCTCTCTACAGCGTCATCATTCATTACCTACCCATAGTCTTTCATCGTACATGTACCCTTTCGTTTGTTAACTAAGAATGTAGAGGTATTGGCTTGGCCTCTGGCTTGGTAGCTACTTTACATCTTGGTCCCGATACCATAATTCTGATATCATTCAACATGGCATCTATCACCAGTCCACATTCATCCGCGTCCGTCTCTCGCCCTACATCCCAACATGCTGTCTCTAGTCCCGTCGGTTCGATACCCGTCGAAATACTCGTACAGCATCTACTTGATGCCAAACGCTCGCTTAATTCTATGGGCCTGGTCGTACGCGCTGATGGACTCGTTCATTTGGCAAAAGAAGCCCACGAAGAATCCGTAGTTCTCGCCGCGCAGTCGGGATTCATCCGCCAAGGTATAAACGAACAGATCCGACTGCTACAGCATCTACGACGGAGCATAAATCGAACGTATGATAATGGAAAACGCGAGTTCAAGCAGATTATCAAAACCTTAGATGCCGCTCACGGTCGACTCGAGGATACCATGAAAATATTACGGGATAGAGTCGTAGATAGTACATTTAGACCACCCGGTGAGGGCAAAAAGAATCTGTTGGATTTTATAGATGAGTCGCAGGTTGAAGGAATAAGCGATGCTCTAAAGGAAAATATCCAGTCCTTGCAGGTTCGTACTACGTTACACTCATAAGCTCTTATTTTATATTAAGCGAGTCCTAACCCTTTACTAGGCCATCCAGAAATCATTCGACGGTGATTTACTCCGCTTCGACACCGACATGCGCTTACTTAGTAAGACCTTATCCGGCGCTCCATCTTCCCCTTCCCCGTCCGCCTCGTCTTCAGAGCGTTCGTTACCTAAACTCTTCTCCTCGATGATTGATAACTCCCATGCCATGGCCGAGCTCCTCTCGTCCTTGACGAAGCACTTCGACCTGTGTGTAACTGCTGTTAGGACGACGCAAGGCGGAGCAGCCTTAGCTAGGATCAAAGCTGCCGAAGCAATAGACTCCCAAAGTGGTGTGAGCGTATCGATATCTGGTGTAATCGCAGAGCAAGAGTCGCATATGCCCGACGACGAGCCAATTTCCCCTGAGGATCGTGCCCAGATGCTCGAAGTAGTCACGCAAGATGCGTCAGAGGTCGATGATGTAGTTCGAGAACTTAATATACGTTTACAGTCCATGGAATCTGATTTCATAACCATTGACGGCCAAAGAAATCGAGTTAAGGCAGCTTACCGCTCAACTATCGACGCGTTCAGAGTCTTGGAAGATATTGGAGCGCGACTCTCTAGTTATATTTCGGCCGAGGCTGAATTTCGCGACAGATGGAACGAGGAACAACTGGCGATACAGGACAAGCTGCACGAGATGGACGAGTTGCGAATTTTCTACGAAAGTTATTCCAATTCATATGATGGACTAGTCCTGGAGGTCGAAAGGCGTAGAGCGTTGCAAGAGAAAGTAGTAAGCATATGGAAGAAGGCGAAAGAAAGTGTCGACAAACTTTACGAAAACGATCGCAGGGAGCGGGAACTATTCCGACACGAAGTCGCAGAATATCTACCACATGACCTCTGGCCGGGTATGGATGACGACATAGTCAGATGGGAAATTATGCCCATCCGCGATGGTAAATCTATTAGACAAGATGAAAATCTTGAGGGTAGCGTCGTTGAAGCTACAGAGACAAAATATGGACCAACATCAGGCCTATAATATCCAGGCGTAAGATAGGCTAATTAGGTATTTTTCGGAGGCGTTTAAATAGGTTATTGGCTAGGGTTTAGATTTATGTGGTAGGATCGTAAGTCCTGTATTTGGATGGCGTTCAGCGCAATTTCATCCCTTTTTGAAGATCACTAGATTGTAGGGATGATAGACTAGGTACCTAAGGTAGTCAGGGTCAGCAGTACTGAATTTTTGGTTTTAAACTTATAGCTTAAAATGCATCTTTTATCTTCCTATACCCCTCTTAGATCTCTTTCAGATTATTCACCTTCTCTAATTACTTCTTGACTGTCAGGTGAGGATCTAGGCTAATCTACGCATAGGTGTACTGTTGAACCCATATTCTCATTTTAAATGGGATTGCAATGTCTAGGTGTATCGTTTAGTTTTTATGTAGGACATCTTGAAGAACTCGAGGGCCGCGTTGAGTTTATTGGGTCTTGGACTATTGAGTTGGCGTAGAAGGATGAGCGGTTTGGTGAGAGACAGAATCCGACCAAGTCATATATCCTCCTTATTCTACAGCTTGGTATTTAAACAATGTAGCTTACCCCTATGGTTAGTATTTAGAGTGTACAGTCCTTTCTCCTGACGTTACTGTAATTGGATTGCATAAGTATTTCTTGGATCTGGATACAATTACGTTTAGTAATAGACATTGCTAGACAACAATGCGAGATTTGGCAAGCGTCAACACGAAGAAAACATAATTTGAGGTTAATAAGCTTAAATCATGTTGTAAATGGGTATAGTTTGAAGACTAACCCGTATACTTCATAGATAGTAAGTTTTAACAATACAAGTGAATAAATGAAACCCGTAAATCATGCCTAAGGCTTCAACACCAACCGTAGCCCGGGATATCAGTATGCTACCAATGCGCCGAATAATGCCAGAAGGCCCCCGTCTCAGAAACCGTTATAGAAAACCATATGATGCAACATCCTGCGGGGGATACAAAAGCATACACGTATTGATACATCTCAACGCAAACAGTGAGCTCGAGTAGTCTTTCGACTACGAGCACACAACTGCCTCACCTCGAATACACCGGTGCCTGGGGTGCTGGGCATAAAGAGGACCAATCCGCGCAGCGACGCTGCGATTAGGTCGAGATCCGAGGGCATTCGGGAATCTCATATGCGGACCTGCTACGAGCCGTCACCCAGCACGACCCAGGCTTCTCCAGTGACAGAGGTTGCGTCTACAATATCTTCCGCGACAGTATCAACATCCGCATTACTCATAATATCAACGTCCTCCAATAACGCCCAGTCATGCGATTCTTCATCCTCTCCTTCCGAATCAAAAACCAAATCGGGGAAATCAGCGGCCTCCGGGGCAGCCTTTTCAAATGAAGGTGCTGAGCTCTCCGGGAGCTCGCGGATAACTGAGAGTGTCCCATCCCTGTATGATCGTGCTGAATCATTCTTATCCTCGCGATTGTCTTGAGTTACGGAGATATCTTCGGCAGGGGTAAGGATTTCGTGAACCTCGGGAGCCAAGAAAGGACCGACATCTATATCCGAACTTAACAAAGCGTATGAAAGATCTAGGTGTAAATAAGACTCTTCTTTCCGCTGCTTCCTTGCTCGTTTAGCTGGGCGTATTGAGTAGACGGGCTCGTCGTGGACGATAGCGTCCAAGCTAAAGTAGGAACCACGTGTGTGCTCATCATCATAGAGAAGACCCAACTTATATAAGTCAGAATCATCTTCCACTACGTCGGAGTAGAATCCTTGTGTCTTGGGTTCTCGGAAGGCCTCCTGGCGTTCAAGCCGGGGCTTGCTACGACTGCAGTCGGAGGGTAATGCAAAATTAGGGTCGGCTGCCAAACGGCGGCTATCCTCATCGTCGAACCCCCATGCTGGATATGAAGGCCGAGGTCTTCGCTGCCGGATGATACGGTTATCGTGAAGTCTACTAACCCTAATAGATCGATTGACTTGGTCGTACTTGAAGGCTCGTTTGAAACTTTGAGGCTCTTGTCGACTTCGCCATCTAATGGCTGCAGAGCTCAGTCGAGGCACGCGGCGCCGAAAGGGTTGGTCGGGAGGGAGAAGTGACGATGCAACGGTCGCCATGAGGGGCGGCTTGTTAGGATATTTATAAGAGTAATTTTTTTTTCTTATATTTGTTATTGTAATATTGTAGAATTTAGGAACACGTAAAGCAAACGCAATGTCATGGGGTGAAGGACGTAATGGATGCCACGCGCAGGGCGCTGGTAGCGTAAGTATCTCGGTAAAGATTAATTAGTGATAGAGAGAGGCAGAAGCTAAGAGAATAGTAACTTATTTATAAAGTCTACCTTGGGGCGTATGAATCATAACGGTATCTGGTTTCAGCCTACTTATGAGAGAGTCATCGAAAGCGATGTCGTTTTTGATGCCATACCCCCGGCCCCTCCGGCACCCCCGGCTTCGAGGCGTGTAAGATGATTGGCTAGATTGGCCGGGTCAAGGTGAGTCACCGGATCCCATTATCTCTTTAGCTCAAATAGCGAGACGGTAATGGATGGCACAGCCTAGTAGTAACAAGGTAGAACCGCCTCGTCTTAGTAGGTTACTGCAAAATAAGTAGCATTGGGGCCTAGATCTAGGCAGGAAAGATCTTAAAACATGTCAGATGAGTAACATGTTGGGTATATGGTGTCAGACATTTAGAGTGACTCTTGGTTTCAAACTCATGGGCAATAATGTTATATAACTACCTCCTACATAGGTAGCATCATACATACTGACTCTAACATCTAACGTAACGAGGTTAGATACGCATCCAAATCAATATAAGTAACCTATCAATAACCCAGTTTGGTGATGATTGAGCTAGCTCAGATAGGTTACGATTTAAAGTAGCTGAGTATGAGTTTCGTACCTATAGGCAACAGGATAAGTCTTCAATCTTGGGTGCGATGAGCCACTGATTGCGAATCACTTTAGTCTATCTCCTAGAAGAATATATCTTTATAATAAGTACATATCGTGTTAGCGGTAAGATATTATAAAACCCGCAAAAATCAATCTGGGACTAGCAAGTCGCGTCATCTGAAGTAAGATCCACCCATCCAATTACATTACCTAGGTTCAGGAGTTACGACATCGTACATGACCCTTCTTTTTTATGCTTCTTCTATAAAATCAATTCTCATCCGAATAAAAACAACAAAATCAGTATCAGGCGATGTTTTTTTCAACTTGCGAGATATTAAAACCTCAATTTTGAATAAGCTTACCATATTAAATAGTACTTACTCGCTACTCCGACGATCGAGAGATATCGAATGCATGTAATTAATTTGTACATATGAAAACGACGATCCCGACCGACTTGTCACATTTTAATAAGAAATCCATAAATTCCCTTACAACCAGCATCCACACGCGCTACATTGCAGGTGCCGTCTCTGGATTGTAACCCCTAGATCTCCGTGAATTTTAACTGATATCGAATTCATCCGGTTTTTCAATGCAAAGACATCATTCGTTTACGTCTTTCTCTAGCTCTCCATCTCCATCTTCGCCTTTTATCTCATATATTCTTCGCCCGGATTGAAAGAATATAAACATCAAACATATTAACCCTAACATATCAAAATGCCTTCTCCGATGACCAAAGCCACGCTGGCCGCGGCCGGTCTATCCAGCGCATCCAACATCCTGGCGCAATTCCTTGAAGCGTACCGAGACGGTCACCCCTTTGTTTTCGACTTCGCCAATTTCCTCCGCTTTGTCGCCGTTACCTTCATTACTGCTCCTCCGAATTACATGTGGCAGCAATTGCTAGAACGCAGTTTTCCGGCATATGAACGAAAGGCATCCATCGGTGATATTGAAAAGCAAGGCATAGACGGAGAGTATGTGCGAGCGCGAGGAAATATAGAGGAACAAAGGCCTAAGCTGAACCTGCGAAACACTTTCGCCAAATGGTTCATCGACTGTATCACACTCGGCGCCATTTTTAATACGGTCGCATTCTTCATACTAATGGGTATTCTGAAGAGCCAACCCGTAGCTCAGATCGCGCAGAACATCAGGACAGAGACGATCCCCGTCATTGTTGCTGGATATAAGATCTGGCCGTTCGCTTCCATCATCAGCTTTAGTTGCGTGCCGGTGGAACGACGGATCGTCTTCCTTAATTTTGTGGGACTCTTGTGGGGGATTTACATGAGTCTCGTCGCCTCCAGAGTTTAGAGGCGTTGATCACGATCGACACGTTGACATCAGCATGAGCTGCATGATGTCCACGCGAGACTGTAACGATGTACATTGATCAGTGCGTATTCCGGCGGCACGGATAGGATTATCCCATGGAAGTTGGTGGAACCTTTTGTGTATATTTCATATTCAGGTATACCGAATCATACAGTCTGGGAAGCAGTTTTTGTTCGAATCTCAAGTTTAAACGGACCTATGCATCTTGTCCAGACATCCTCGGGGTTGCTTGATACAGATTAATAAACCACAGTCTTCACCATATTTTGAATGCGTCGTCCATGGAATCTGCAGCTTGGAGACGTGATTTGGTGCCCTAAGTTCAGGTCTACCAGTGAATCTTGCCTATTTAAATAAGAAAACACAACCTATACCTCTGACGATCACCACCCTAATCCTATTCGAAGTATGAAAAGTCACATAACTAACTAATTTTATGTTAATAGAACCCGTTACCTTACATCACAGTACAACCTTCGTCTTCTCTCTCGTCGCAGAGCTTCAAGATGTCTATGTCCTTTAAGAATTTCTGTAGTTTCGGCCAGGCCTCCACAACTTCCTTCTTCATTTCGACTTCGCTGGTGGTCTCGTAAGCTTTAGCCTGCTCGTAATAATTGTTTACGAATTTGCCAAACGGTGAATCCCAACCATACATCTGAGGAATATGCTTGCGCAGTTCAAGCATTAAGCCCCAGAACACAAGGCGTGGTTCTATGTCATATTTGGCAAGTTCGCTTTCCGCCTGTGGGTTCGTCGGACCCGCGAGCATACTAGACATCATTGCTAAGGTTTCTGTGAGAATCAACCGTTCTGGGCGGAAAGGTTGGGGGGAAATATTCGGCATTATCTCGACGAGGAGCTTGAGCCCTAGCTTGAGCGCCTTGTAAACACGGCTAGATTCCATGTATACACTAAATAGTCGACGACAGAGCTCGGGTACAGGCTGTCGAGCCCAAGTCCACATTCCTGAGTCGATGCACAGATGAAGGGCCTTCTTAAGGTCGTCCTCTAGGGAGTAACCGCTCTCAGAAACATCGAAAACCGATGCTTGCATAGCAGCGAGTCTAAGCTGCGCCCTAGATTCATCAGTCCCAGCTAAAAACCTTCCCAGCTCTGACCTATGACGCTTCACTAGTCCGTCTGCTACCTTGCAGTACTCCTCGGACAATTCCCGTGGCGGTTTCGCGAATGTATCTTCGGGGGAAACAGGGCACTTTAAACACTTGGCGCATTGGCAAGTGAAGTGATAAGCTTCTTTAATATGCGCTTGTCGTACCCAAAACGGATTCGTCGTCTCGGTATATGCCATGAATATCTCTTCATCTTTCTTAATAGGTTTCAGCGCACGTAGTACCGTGCTTGGCTGGTTGCAGACACGTACTACGTTCGGGTCGCAGGAATGGTTTGCACTACAGATCAAGGGGTCAAACCCGCGGCCATAGTGGCCGGCGTCGAGCGGAGAGCCTATCTCGAAAGTATTATACATAACCTACAAATAAATGTTAGCTCAGTGTCACATTATCTCTATCCAGTCTCGGAGGCGCACGTTAAAAACGAGGTCTCTAGCAACAGCTTCAGCATCGTAGCCGTCGATGGAAGGTTTTCCCGCGTACGTCCAAGCCACGTTAGCCAGCATATAGAAATCGTCGAACTTCTCTCTATCCAATCCACGAATGTCTTCAAGATGGTTACCAGCGACTGGCCAGAAATTCAAGATATCAAGTATCTGTTCCCTCTCGTCGCCGGTGCTATCCTTGAGACGACCAAGGAGCTTGATCACAACACGTACACCCATAGGCACTTAATAGCGATAGTCAGTATATGATTTCGGGTACTTCTCAAGCAACCAGACGGGAAGGTTCTAGCTCTCAAACCAGATCCAGAGAAAGCCCTCAAATACATACAATTTGGACGGGTACTTGGAGCCAGGACATGGCATTCGTATTTATGCTCGCGCTTCCAAGCCTTACTTTGGCATTTCTTAGAACAGTACCCTACTCGGCGGCAATGGGCACATTTCTTAATCTCAATAAGCCCATTGGGAAGCCCCATGGCAGCTGCCTGCATGCGTTCCATAGGATCAGTAGCACCACGCTGGAAGCACCAGCCGCAAGTATCTCCCATATGATCAGTATCAAGCTCGGCGAGGAGCGGCTGGTCAAGGAACACAACTAGACCACCTGGCTCAAAGTCCTGACAGGCGAAGAGGCCGCGCCCGGCTCCGTTGATGGTCGATTTCTTGACCTCTACTTTGTTATCTGCCGACATCGTTTCCTTACAACAACATTTACCATAAGATAGATGAAGTTGGGACCAAATAGAACAGAGATGTCAGGAGAACGTTTTCAACTGTCCCCATTATGATGTCAGCTACACCTTAATTCCACGTTTATCCTTGTTGTTCTTGATAGTGCACAAATCACAGTTAAGCTCATACCTCTCACCGTGCCTCATTTTCATGCATGTCATCTCAAAGAGCCAACAATATTCAATCTCCATTCTCCCGTCGAGATAGCAACATCTAGTCTCTTTCCTACATCAACTATACGACCGCGTAGCGAGCCCCTTTTGCATGTTTTATTTAAAGGAAATTTAGTGACTCGGTATTCCTACCAGAAGAATATTTTAACCCACTTTGAGATATTTAGTTGGGAAGGTTACGCCCCCAAGTGTCAGCCAGATATGGTTGAGTATCTCTCAAAATCTAAGTTAGGGGTTTGGTTTATTCGAAAAGTTCACCATCAATTATAGTCAAACGTAACCTGCCTGTAGATGTACTCCATCGTGTCTCCCTGGAACTTGAGGACATAAGGTTTTGATGTTTGGCTAGCCAAACCGCCAATAATTTCTAGAAAAGTCTACTAGGAATAGGTAGTTCTATCACAAGCCATCAAACCATTGATGTAACAAGTTTAAAAACAACGGGGCATTCATGAGTACAACTTGAAGCAGTGACGTAGTAATGATTCTAAGGATGCTCTAGTTAAACCTTCAAGGGTAATCATTATATGTCTCAAGGATATATCAAGAAATATTTCCCAAAATAAAAATAGAAATCTACCAAGAGATACAATACATACGCTCGTCCCTACCTGGTCTAAATATCTGGACCGTCCAAAATGCAACGACGACATAATCGTTATCAGGTGTATCGTTCTATGTAACCGATTTCACATGTAATCATAAAACGCCTCCCATGAGATTCTAAGAAAAGTAAAAGCTTGACCTCGCTCTTTACCAGCCAAACTTCTCTACCCGAAGTTGAATATCAGCCCCTATTCTAACAGCATCAGCACAAGCATTCCTTGCAGTCCTGTTCAAGCCATCGGGTCCAGAGACTACAAATCCAATCCTACCCTCCGAGGCGGCGGTTAAATCGGCAACGTAGCCAGGGATATCCGGCCTGCCTGCTTCAATTGTCGGCTCAGGGATAGTTACATGGACTCCAAGCTTCTGTAATTCAGTGATTCTCTCCTCTGGTACCCAGGAACGTTGAGCTCGGGAGTGTATCACCCAGATTAAATGGATCTGTCTCTTCCCGCAATGACTTGTTACTAAATCCCATACCATGGGGAAGACGACTGCAATCCCGGATCCGCCAGCGACGAGGACAGCATTCTCGCATGACCTTAGCATATTAAGCGGATCCTGGGACCCATATGGTCCGTCTAGACGAACAGCGACTCTCGAGTTTAAACGTGCATGGTTTAGAAGATCAGAAGTGAAGCCGGATTGTACTCGAATTAATAAACTTAACCAAGCATGGCTAGGCGAGTCTGTGGGGTCTGTCGCGGGTGCAGCGGACGCGATCGTAAATGGGTGAGCCTGGAGAGAGTGACTACGGCCGAGTACTGGGACTGAAATAAACACATGGTCAGCTGGGCGCCAACCATGTCGGATACTTTGTCCCATGGAACCAAGACACCCTCGTGCTTTAGATGTAGGTATGTCCCAGTCCACGGAGAGAATGAATGTCTGGTCATCCTCCAATACCGTAAGATCTGCCGTAAATTTTGCAGACTTCATCCACAAACGCCAAACAAGTCTATCAAGGAGGAAAATAGCCAGCGATGCGAGTACATAGGGCCTACTCGTGAAGAAATGCATATATAAAAATGCAAGAGCCGCGACTTGTAAGACTACATGCGAAGCCAAGAAGATCTCATACCATCTTTGGCGAAAACTTCCGAGAGAAGTAAAGTAGAGCAACTCATATGACACCCACGCCCCAATACCCCAAAGGCATAAAGGGTGGGTAATATAGGCGTAGAAGCTACCACTCCTTAGCCAAGGAGGTTCAAGAATCAGCCGCCAAAGAAGCATTCCAAAGAAATGGATTACTGCTTCGAAGCACATCAGTTCGCCAACGCGACGATGGTAGATATTGAGAGCTTCATAAGAGTGTCCTGTAAGGAGTCTAAGGGGCTGGTTTTTGGCGGCGAGGAGGTAGAGAAGAGGTAAATTGACGATGAATATTATACCAGCTCGATCAGCGAAAGCAAAAAAGTACTCGGGAGCTAATGGGACCTGATAGAAGTGGTAGAAAGCATTAAGTCCCAGAAAGGCCAAAACGAAAAGAGACGTCCCATTTGACGGCAAGGTCCGATTAATTAATGGGATCGGCCGAGGTTGATACATCAACAGGGACTGCAAACGCTTAACAACACGATTTCCCCATCCAACCGACGGAGGTTGGCGCCGTCTAGATCTAAGCAGAGGTTGTCTCTCAATATCGGTGTCGATAGCTTTCAGTGTAACTTGGGATGATAACGAGCCCTCTAGAGTACTACTAGAAGATGACTCGGCCTCGTTCGCAGCCTCGGAATTGTCGGCTGTGTTTCTGGTAGAGCCTTGCTCGAGTTGTCGCCATTTAGACTTCTCTCGTATTCTCTCGTTTATGTGGAGTAAAGTAAATAGTAAAAGCACTACTAATAAAACAATGTTGTAGGTATAAATGATAATGCGACCGTCGAGGATGTAGGCAATTAGGTTCCGTAAATACTCTAGCTTTTCGGGATCGATCGGAATCTCTCTCACCGGAGGGGTATTGTTAAATAAAAGAGAAACATCATCTAGACCAAGAGGAAGACGTGATGTCCTCAAGCTTTCCCTAAAGATGTCGATAAACCGGTCCCTATCAACTTGGTTGATGGACATCGTTCCTCGATATTAGGTGGTGTTTAGTGTAAGATTTAATTAACAGGGGGGTTCCGAGGCAACAAGATCTTATCAGATTGATAAATATTCAGCTGATCCCTGAAACTGCGGCATCGGGCACATGACAGGTACATAGTACGTGGGGGTTGTCGGCCGATCTAATGCAATAGCTTATAATACAGCAGCTTGGCTGTCAGTTATCGTGCACGGATCAAGAGTGACTAAACTTTTAGACTTGACTTTTAGACTCATTCAGGGGTTATAAGAAAAGCGATTCAAAAATAATAATCACTATTATGTTATTCAATACAATCAGGTAGTATTAGAAGTTATTAGGACGAATTAGTCTTTGTTAATTAACTGGCTCGAATAATCAGAATTGATTCAAGTTACCTAATTTACGTACCAAATGTAACCTACATTTCGAGTTACACCTCTTGTAGGGATTCGAATCACGAATCAAGAACTCATACCACTCATTCTACCTTATCCTTTCTAGCAATCGTAGTTTAAAATTGAATGAAATCCTAACTTGTAACCCGACTTCATTGCGAGAAAGGGGGTGTCGGTCGGGGCGACATCTTATGATCTTACAAGGATGCTAAATGAGAGACTTAGAGTAACACTCTTAACACTAAATACTCGACTTTCACAACTTAAGATTGGGGTTTATTCTCATGTTATCTAGATTCGCTGCACAATATTTCAATATATCTAGTAGGTATGACAAAATGTCATGTATTAAGTCTATCAAACAAATCTATAACGCAAACTAGGTAACATTAACAAGAAGGTAAATCCCTAGACAGTAGTTCCAAACTTGAGGTTATCCAGTGATACTTTACAGGATGAGAAGCCGCAAGCTCCTAAGACATCCCGTCTCCTTTCGATATCGCAACATGAACCCTCTTACAAGACGGCAGTGAGCGAGGTCACTGGCAACTCAAACGAGGTGGCGCTGGCGGGGAACTCGACGGAGCCGGAGGCATTGTACCGGGTCTCGCCCTGGTTCCAGACGTGGAAGATCGAGAGCTTAACAAGGTCGTCCGACGAGGGTACTTCCCACACCGACTCCACGTACGAACTATCAGACGCAGTTATGGTCTCGCAGCTATGTGCGCTATCTTTATCCTATAATGTGAGTTAGTACTTGTAACTTACAGCTACATGGCTAAGAACTCTAACAAATGCCTCCTGTAAAGGATCTCGGATAGATAGCAAGTAGTTAATTGAAAGAAAAGGGATAAAACATACAGCGGAGAGAGGGTGGCAGACGGCTTTGAATGCCGGAGCGCCTTTTACGTATTCCTCGGGGGCGTTGATGTTGAAAACGGCTGTGCAGCCGCCCTATAGGTTTATTAGCAGAGGTTAATAGGGAATCTCTTCGGTTTACCTACTGGGTGGAAGCACTCCTGCTTAAAGCCATCGGCGGGCCAAGTAGCCAAGACCTCACGGGCAGCAAGGTTAGGAACACCCACCACGGAGGCGGCGAGGGTAGAGACAACTGCAAGGACTGAAGCAAACATGTTGGCGAGTTGATGGTAGAGAGAGATGTGGTGATTGAAAGGTAAGTAGATATAGTTGTAGAAGGTATCGGGAACTTGTCTGTGGTGTGGAATAATATCAACTTGACAAGAGGTGCTAGCAGCCTTTATATATAAGACTTCGGGCTCATTATCCGAAGTTACCCCTGTACAGATCTTGAAGCTATCTCAATTTGTTTCCAAGACCTTGCTATGGCGGTGAGGCTTAACCTCGTGCCGAGTTAATGAGAATTTATGCCAACATTGGAATTTTTGCTTTGATAAACGTGAAAATTTCCGGATCAGGTATTGTTAGGCTACTTCATTGAGATTCTTCACCCAAATGTCATCAACCGTGTCTTGGATTCAGTGTTAGGAGCTAGAATCTGTATTTGAAGCTGGAGTGGAGACTTGCATAATGAAAGGCTCAAGGGAACCGATAAATGATACAAAAAACTACATCTAAACGAACACCATAGTGCATCGCAACGTGGCTAGCTCCGGTTTGGCCGATACTGTTAGGATTGGAGATGGTAGCTTCATGTAGAGCTGTGAAAAACGTTCGTATTGTTTCTACACTAGGTAGACCGGGTCCGTCTGAAAGGTGCGGATAAACAGGCTTGGCATCTGTACCATCAGAATACCTGTGCAACCAACCTCGTACTTAGAGAAATAAAAGCAATAAAGGAAATGATTTTCTCTATGTATTATACTGGCTTATGGAAAGAGCTAAAAATATTCAATTTTGCTGACGCCGTTATGTATTAAATAGAGGCGGACTAGGGTTGCATATGCCGGGTATTCAGCCTCGGTGTCTATGAGGCTGTTCGCCCCAACAAGATCGACTGAGAAAAGTCGTCCATTCCCCGGGAAGGATCAGTTTAGATTTGGTTAGGAAGATACGATCTATCAAATCGCAAGGCTCCTCTGTATGTCTCCACTCGGAGCCAACTCCAAGCAAAATCGATTAACTATGTATGTAACAGTTCAAAAACACTACCACTTTCTTTTCTCCTTTGTTACTAATGTATAATTAATGTATAATCGAAGCTATTTTATATAAGTATATTTATTAAAAAGAAGACTCTAGTCCGTATTCTCACTCTAGCTATAGCTCCATAGCTACTTAAACTAGAAAAGGGGCGAAGACAGTCTCTAAGTTACATCGTAAGTTGTATCGCAAATGCCAATGCAAAGGATGACAGACGGGAGATAGGCTATTAGTTATGAAGAGTGGGTTAGTTAAGTAGGGCTGGAAAACGCTAGGGCCAAGAAAAGGGGCTGAAGAATAGCAACGGGCATCTGGGGCGACGATCTTCTACAATAGGGCATGTAAATCAATAACGTAGCAATAAGTGTGGCTTTTTGACCCCGCGACACATTTATGTTTAATGAATGGTACGTTAACTTCGCCAACTGTGACATATCGAACGCATACCCTAGTAATAAGTTCTAGTATGAAATCCGCTACTCCCCGCCCCCGATCTAGCCAGTTTTGATGGTAGGAAGTTGATGCTGTAACATAGTTTTTACGCTTGGCGGAATAGAAAATATCTGAGATTTAAAAGTCAAAATGACTACAATAGATTTAACTGCAGATGATACAGATGATACAATTGAAGTTCCCAGCTACGGGTATTAAGATAGATAAGCGCAGTGTATTGCCAACAACTTAAAGGTCCTTTAACGTACATCTACCAAAATAACTTATCGTCAACCGAGCTGCATCGTGAACCAATCCTCGACAAGACGAGAAAAACACATTTGCTCTTACACATTAGGTAGTTCCGAAAGGATATAGCGTTACATTATGAATCTAAGAAAACTACTTGGATTAAGCTATGTGGTATTCCCCTTAAACATAATCAGGTACCCGTCCCTACATACTGCATAGTGACCGGGGTAATTGGCTGAGAATAGATAATTCGTACCAATTTACATAGCCTACTTTAAATCCTACGAGATTTATAAGCCCGACGCACCCGCAGGACGTCGGAGTAGTCAGATTCGATATATGATCGGAGCTCGTTGTCACCAAGAACCAAGCATCAGTTGTTAAGGAGGAAAGGAAAGATGAGCGACTCTCAGATATCACCGACTTCAGGATAGATTAAGGTTATACTTACTTGGGCAGTTCTGTAATATCTTTGATATACTGCACGAATAACTTAAAAGAGTGGCACTATATAGGAAATCGATCCGCGGTGAGTCTACAGATGGAATACCAGCAAGCAAAATCTGTTAGTTGTTCCAACATGCCATCCATTTATATCAGTAGATAGTAGGATTCTTATAGCATATAAGCATGTTTGATCTTCTCCGTTATATACCTACATTAGGTACCTCCACCTATATCTATGTTTTAAAAAGTTGAGTTCCAACAGTTTTCTTAGTAAACTTAGTTAGAGCCTACTCAAACCAACGCTTACTAGTGGCAAATAATAGGATATTGTTCGCTTTCACATTAATCTGTTATGAGTCAGAGCCCCTGTAACTACCGGGGGGGGTCATAGGTCAATATACCATACAAGATCATCTCTTAGATATAATCCTTCCGGCCATAGCCAACTTAAGTACATAACTGTCTTTTATAAGGGGAGTGATTCGAAATCTCAACGACTTGAGTATTATCTGTTAATATTCTTCCAAAATAAGGCGTCTGGGGATCTAAGTCCATTACATTGTCCCATAGGCTATGATAACGTAGGAGATCATAGGTGACATCTAGTCAATATTAGAGTTGGGTTAAAATCATGCGTAGGTACCTGACGTAAGTAAGTAGCAATTTAATGAGGATATATATTTTATATTTCAATAATTCAACTTCTACTTAACACATATGTTAAAAGGCCGCGCTGGGGCAGGTTACGTGAACCATAACGAGCGAATAAACATAGGGATACTTATAGCAATATGCCGTGAATGATACTAATATGGGATAGAGTTATAAGTACCTCAAGAAGCAATCTAAATTGAGTGCACGAGACTACTCGATCGGAATTGACTATACTGATAAAAAGGGGCTACTGAGAGCTTGAATTCTCCCAAGATGTATTATGAGTGAAAGAAGTCTGTTCCTATTTATTATATAGCACAAAGGCTCAGAGAGGCGGATGTTAGGCCGTCTATGTGTCCTATTAGTCACTGCATTAGCCCAGTCGAGAATATCGTTGTGAGACATCAAGCAAGTCCTTCTACGACAGGCCGGTCGAGTGATCATATGGTTCATGCTAGCCTGGACTTGACTACAGTCGATTGAAGATTAAATAACAAATTCGTTTCCTAGGCCCCGGTAGGGCGTTTACTCTTCGGTCTCCTTTAAGGCCATGCTATTATGACTATCAGTACTCTAATTTATCTAAATATAGTGCCGCACAGAAAGGCATCTATAGAACCGCCAGTCCTTCTTGCTTGTCTAGAGGTTCTTCTTGATTTATATGAGATGAAGGGAGTTGATTGTGCAACACCCTAGGCGTTAAGATTATATATTAAAAATCTAAACAAAAAGCTTCCATAGTTACCTGTAGGTACCTAGGTTTAAGTTTGCGTGCTTCTTGTTTTACGTCTTGATAGTCACTATGTCATCGTCATCGTGTAAAGTTGGTGATATACTGCTATTGGGACGAGGAGAACGACTGTATGTCGAAAAGCCACCCCCAATCTCTAAAAGAAGAGATAAATATTGCCCCGATGATGATATCAGAATTTCAGTAAATTTCAGTTTTGAGCTTTTACTGTTTGCATCTGTCTCCATACATTACGCATGGCGTATCAATTAAAAGATAACTCTACCAGGAATATTTTTGATACAAAGATAGCAACCCCTAAACTTCATGAGTAATGTCTCTAATATATTATTATGCATTATTTTCCCAGTAGGCCTCAAGAGCGCGTCCCGTTATCGTTAGAGATGATTCTTCGCCTAATCAGTGAATCTGGACTGAATAGCCTGCGTGCTTATATTAGTCCTGGGAATGCCTTTATATGTACTCAATATAAAGGCTAAAGGCGTAGCTTTCTCCATCTATGTCCATCGTATATATCAACAATATATCATTCTACCATACAGTTCTACTAGGAGTAGTTTAGTGATTTTACGATGAATGGAAATGGAATTGATGCTGTATTTGCATACTATGGTTTTAAGGCTCAGTTGCGATTTTGGGCTAAGAAAGATCTTTATTTCTACGATATAATTTGATCAAAGTAGGTCTCTATATGAAAAAGCTAAATCGTACGCTTGTAAACTTCACCATTGTAGCTAAGACGGTAATTCTGATAGGAAAGGTCATTGCTGTTCTAATAGTTTAGTAAGATCCTTATTAAGACATTGTGGATGAAGATAGAGCCTCTGCGAAGGAACTAATGATATCTTGACTGCGATTAACGCATTTGTGAGAATATCCTCGTTTACCGATCTGATGTAATATCTATTTAGTGTAGTGTGGTAAGCTATCTTACTACCTAGATTCGCCTGAGTATCTTTGGAGGGGGTGATTTTGTACTTGGGAAACGACATAGGCACTTACATGATACGTTTTACTTATTGGAATATCTTACGTGCTTGGCCTTCATGAATTACAATATTGGTAAATTAATAGTTGAAAAGTTGTGATTTTGCGTGATTGAGCTATGACGGTTTAACATGTCGAGATAGGGGCTTAAAATAGGGGTTCGTAATATTGAAACAGGTGCACGTTCATGAGAGAGCTTAACTACTTTTTCCCACCTAAGATTTAATTAAAGATACGAATATAAAGTATAATGCTATTGACTGATTGCGTGCTCAGGGGTGAGTCTAACAATAGTATCTAACTAAGCTAAGTTTTTAGGCATCTAGAAGATGATATCTGTAGATGAATGTTTCATTACGGAACGGCAGTGGCTGAATCCTACGGATGATATAATATTGTTATGCGAACGACGGAAGATCTCGTGAAAATGGCGAGATCAAGCCACAGGGGGCTGGCGGCTGTCGGAGTTCCGGTGGATAAGGAATCGATTACCTAATGACACTGTACGATACAGTATATCGGACACTATGTTACCAGTTTTCTGATGAGCTTTGTCCGTTAAGGGATGACGTATTATTTTTATAGTGCGAGAAAGTCTTGATACATGATACCCCAAAATTGGAAGCAATTCACATTCTGACTTAGTAGTCCATTTATACCTCCAATTTAGGAAGATGTACAGAAAAGGAAAGAAAAAAAATTTAAGGTTCATGGCCTACATCGCATACAAATGCGGGCGCGGCATCCGAAAAGCCTCAACCGGACTGAGTCTATTTTAAGGTGCACAGATGCTTTTAAGGTGCACTTACCCCAGACCCCACTAGGCTATTCCTGAGCTGTCGAAGCCCCGATAGCCGTAGTGGGTCCCGGCACTTCGGAAGGTTATCGGTCTAGTATGTCGCCATTCGGGCCCCAAAGCACTACAAAGGTGAACAAAGCAAGACCCTAAGACCCTAAATGCCCAAAAGCCAAATTGCTTTGGCGCTGGTTTGGCGGCTGGTCGGCTCTTAGGGGACAAAAATCACCACTTTTTTGACCGCTTCGATGTTTCCATGAGCCAACCAGTCAAGACCAACCAGCGCCAAACAATTGGAAAGTAGGGAAAGTAAGAAAATGCAACTTGCGCCGATTTCGCCATCTTGTTCTACTTGACGTGCAATTGCCCCCGTTCAAGTCCGTCCCTCTTTTTTTTTTGCTTCCCCGGCTTTTTGGCCATCAAGGCCGTCGATACTTGAGAAAAAAAAAAGAAAAAGGAAAAGGAAAAGGGAAGGAAACTAAAAAGGAAAAACTAGGGTACATCATATTATACCGAGCCGTCTAACCCGTCAACCGGCATTATTGGATTGCTAGATCCTGGGGGTCTGCGAGATCCCGTTCAGTCTACGACAACCGAAAGGCGAAGGGAAACGAGCGCAAATCTGTACCGCACTTTGTATAGTTTATCATCGACCCAGCACGCCATCTCACCGCGTTTCACCGTAGTCCTCACCATACTCTCTTCGATGGTGCAATTCGAATAAGATCTTACCAGGGCTTTGTCCTTACATCCGGCCACCAATCTAATTTCCCTCAACTTTCATCATCTATCATTATGGACAGCCTACCGCCAATACCGATACCCAACGGCCACGAGTCGACGTCGAGACACGATGGCCCCATTTTCCTACCAGACCATACCACACCGACGAATCTGAACAATATATCCACCATCAACCGATCTCGTCTGCAGAGACAGTCCTTGTCCTCTGTACCAACCGAACAATCTAAACCGTCAAGGGACAACTGTGATAGACGAAGACCCGAGGATACAGAGGACTCCTCCCGACTACCCAATATGTCCCAACAACTTATGGGCCAATCCGTTACTCCCTTTTTACGGGAACATATCCCCGGGCTGTATGCACCTATAGGAAAGCCCGATCTTCCATCTATGGCTGCTATCACGACAAAGGATCCTAACAGTAAATATTGTTACCGACACCGGCCAGATTCCAAGTGTCGTAGGGCTGCTGACGAGACTAAGATGGGGTTAATCCAGAGCGTATGTTCTTACCCTCCACCTTGAATTACATACCTCTTCACCGATACTGATATTCATGTATAGGAACTCGAAACACTACCTGCTGCCGATAGACAGGCTATTACGAATGTTTGGTCATTGTTTTCTGCTGCTCCCTCAAAGCACCGCGAGCTTATGTTGCAAGGCATCATTACTCAGTGTTGCTTTCCTCAACTATCTACAGTGTCTCGTGAGGTCCACGAACAATTAAAGATAGACTTCCTGTCTGCTCTACCAACAGAGCTATCTCTGAAGATTCTATGTTACCTTGATTGTTCTTCTCTCTGCAAGGCTGCTCAGGTTAGCAGAAGGTGGACCCAGCTATCTGGAGACGACGTCGTATGGCACCGTATGTGTGAGCAACATATCGGACGCAAGTGCGAGAAGTGCCAATGGGGTCTTCCGAGATTGGAGAAGAAGCGGCTAAAAGAATGGAAAATTCAACATCAAGCAAACCTGAACAACCACCGAACGCTGTTGGCCAATGGTCAGGATTCTTCTGTTGTGACGATCGTCAAGCGTGCCGCGTCCTCCCTAGAGGATAAAGAAACGGATTCTTCGAAACGTCAATGTGTCAATGGTGTCGGCAACCAAAACAAGCCAACGAGTACCCAGAAGTTTAGGCCGTGGAAAGATCTATACCGTGAGAGATATCGCGTTGGATCAAACTGGCGGTATGGTAGGTGTACCATTAAAACATTTGGGGGACAGCACACGAACGGTATAACTGCTTTGCAATTCGACGACAACATGCTTGCTACGGGCTCTTATGATTCGAAAATAAAGCTCTGGGATATTGAGAAGGGCGAGGTTATTCGGACTCTCGAGGGTCATACGATGGGAATTCGAGCCCTCCAGTTCGATGATAGGATGCTTGTTTCCGCAAGTTTAGATGGTACGGTCAAAATATGGAACTGGCGAACGGGTGTTTGTATCAACACCCTTAACCACCAAGGCGGCGTCATAACCGTGCATATGGATGGTGGCCTTTTAGCTTCGGGATCCATGGACAGGTCGATCAAAATATTCAACTTTAAAACCCAACAGTCATTTACTCTACGCGGCCACTGCGATTGGGTAAACCATGTTCGCATTGACGCGTCTTCACGTACGCTACTCTCGGCCTCCGACGACTGCACTGTGAAGCTTTGGGATCTCGATTCCAAAGTCTGTATCAAGACATTCGAGGGTCATGTCGGACAAGTACAACAAGTTCTTCCGCTTCCGGACGATTACGAATTTGAAGATGAGACGACCCGTGACGGTGATGCCGTCTCTGTAACCAGCAACCGTAGCAGCACGCCTCCAAACGGTTCGTCTTCTTCGTTTTCGAGCACCCAGGATGTGGATGAGGAGCGAGCAATGTATGGTCCTATCTTCCAGAGCGACCCCGACCGACCGCTACCTCCACGCTATATGCTTACGGGCTCCCTTGACGCAACTATGAGGCTCTGGGACACAGCAACAGGGAAAAGCCCCCGAACCTTCTTTGGTCATGTCGAAGGCATCTGGGGACTGGCGGCTGACTCTCTGCGATACGTTACTAGTGCCAATGACGCTACAGGTAAGAGTTTGATCTAGACTTTTGAAAATTTCCAAGCATTTGCTAATATTTTTATCAATGTAGTCAAAGTGTGGGATTCTCGAACTGGCAAGTGCGAACGAACATTTACTGGCCATGCTGGACCAGTAACCTGTGTCGGGCTCAGTGATAGCCGGATGGCGAGCGGTGGCGAGGACGGAGAAGTGCGGTTATATAGCTTCGAGGGTGAGCCTTCAGAAGTCGAAGAGTTCGGTACCCCTGCTTAACCTTTTGGGGCGCATTTCTGGGTTATCCGATTTACCCCAATGCGGACCAACATTATTCATGGATTGATTTTACAGCGAGTTTGTTTCACGGGGAGGCGTTCAAATATACCACAACTGTTAAAACCGGCTACAAAGGGATGAAAAAGCAGCCAAACTCAAAGGCGACAGCTTATTAATGAAAACTTGATGGCATCAAGGAGGGTCGGCGTCTAATATTTATAAAATTCTAAGGCGTACTGGATAAGGCTTGGCAACGCAGTGATATCGCGTGCTGAAGGGGTGGGTTTTACTTATGGTTAGGATAGAACCCGATATATTCAACATTGTCCAATACATTAAAAATAATTATCTCCTGTGATGCATAATAATGAAAATAGTATTTTGATACGCGGCTTAAGCCTCCCCGCGTTATGCTAACCGTTATATGTTACATGTGAGGCTAGGTTATACTATTTCTTAGACTGGATGATTCATTTATAAATGATGGACCTCTGCACCCCGCGGCTGAAAATCGTATAGTTACATGTAGCTCAAAAGCATTCTTTATTGAATGATTCTAATTTCTTGACTTTGTGTCAGAAGCTCGGCCAAGAAACATTCCAGTTGCATCTCTAACCTCGGCAAGTGAAGTATTAACCACGTTCATAAATTCATATTCTTACTAGAGCCTCAAAGAACTAGACTCTAAAGAACATCTCTACCCGGTAGTATCCGATATGGACCATAAGGTCTAGCTACGTAAGTTGTTGGTACGTACTAATTTGAGATCCTTGTCAAGTCTTATGCCCCGGCCTTCTCTCCCCGCAAAATCACAAGCTCGGCTCTCAGTCGGTAAACACACCTTTTTCGACGTCACAGCTAAATAATCACAGGCCAAAACTTGTCAATATTCTAGCTATAGCAGCAGATAATACGAATGAGGAATCAAGATTATGAGGTACAGGATACTTAGTATTAGTTAATTGACCAATAAGCATAGGAATTTCTCATACTTGAAAGATTCTTAAGGGGCTTAGATCACTTCCCGCCGGCCGTCAATGGCTATCATAACAACATGCGACTAGAGCTCCGGTTTGCCGAACGAGGGCTGATCCGGCAGCCCGTCCACACCAAGAAGAAAGGGAGCAAATATTGGAGTATAGTGTACACACACGCGCGCGCGCGCCCAGGTTAAAGTTTCTGCTGTCATCACTTGTCGTCGATCTAGCCCCTCGACCCCACAGCCAATTGCCTTTCCTAGTACGTACGCAGCCTAGACCCAGGAGGAGAGCACGAGATTATGGGCGTGTCGTTGTCCCAGCCGCGGATCTTTGGTGCTGGCGAGTTAGTCACTTGGTCGACTTCTCCGGTATGGCGGGTACGCAGGTGCAAACTCGACTCCTGGAGCTCGGTAATCCTGGTACCTTGACCGGTCTGGCTTTTTATATAGATGCTTAGATATCCCAGCTCGAGTTCCTAGTTCGGGGTCCTCTTGTAGGTTTTGTCGTCTGCTTCTCCTATTGCTCATGAGTCATAAGTCTCCTATATACGCAACATACCCATACTCGTTAGACTTGATACTTTGTGCTTTGTGCTGCTGTACTCGTACCGAGCTCCCTTCTCCCACGTGCCTCTGCGAAACTCATACACTAAGTACATCTCTCTTTGTTGAAAGGGCTTCCTCTTTCCTCGGTATTACTTAACAGCACGTCGGTGACGGCCATTGCATGTGGTTACCCTCTTACAATACTCCATGGTTCTTCGCCCAGTATCAACAACATAGCTAAGAACAGAAACACGTTGGAGTATAACCTGGGCGAAAGCCCTATACTAATAATACATAATGGCGACAAAAGTAGGAGGAAAGGATGGCAAGGCGCCGCCGACGGCAGCGACGAATCTGATCGGTGCGTTCTTGGACCATACCTGCTCTCAGAAAGCCGGTTTACTATATACTAACATGCATTGAAACAGCTGGCGGCGGAGCAGGTATGATGGAAGCCCTGGCCTGCCATCCTCTCGGTTCGTACTCTATCCATATCCATCATCTCATCATCTTCTCTAATAGCAGCCCTTACGCACAGACACAATAAAAGTACGAATGCAGCTCTCACGACGAGCGCGCCAGCCCGGCGCCCCTAAACGCGGATTCATCCGCACCGGAACCGAAATTGTAAAGCGCGAAACACCACTAGGCTTATACAAGGGACTGGGCGCAGTTCTAACCGGCATCGTACCTAAGATGGCGATCCGGTTCACGTCCTTCGAGGCTTACAAGCAAATGCTAGCCGACACCGAAACGCGCGCGATCTCCGGGAGCGGGACCTTCGTCGCAGGACTCGCAGCAGGCGTAACCGAAGCCGTGGCCGTCGTCACGCCTATGGAAGTCATCAAGATCCGCCTGCAGGCGCAACACCACAGCATGGCGGACCCTCTCGACATACCCAAGTACCGGAACGCGGCTCACGCGCTATACACGGTGGTTCGCGAGGAAGGCTTCGGCGCGTTGTACCGAGGTGTGAGTCTGACGGCGCTGCGGCAGGGCAGCAATCAGGCTGTCAATTTCACCGCGTATACTTACTTCAAGGAAGTGCTGCTGCGGTGGCAGGATGATAAGGGAGGAAGCGCGGTGAGTCTGCCGAGCTGGCAGACTACGCTTATTGGCCTTGTGAGCGGCGCGATGGGGCCGCTGAGTAATGCGCCCATCGATACGATTAAGACGAGGTTGCAGAAGACGCCGGCGGAAGAGGGGGTTTCGGCGTTTAAGAGGATCAGTTTGATTGCTAGGGATATGTTTAGGTGAGCTCATTTTCTGCTTCGTCTTCATCATCTATTCACTCATGTATCAGTGCTAATACTGTATGTATGATATAGACAAGAGGGATTCCATGCGTTCTATAAAGGCATCACGCCGAGAATCATGCGTGTTGCGCCAGGCCAAGCTGTAACATTTACAGTGTACGAATTCTTGAAGGACAAGTTGGAGAAGAGTGGGCCGAGTATGTTGTCGGGGAGGAGGTATGAAGAATAGGAAAGGATATATGATCTTAAGGAGCTGAGTTATGTACTAGCTATAACCCTATGGCGTTGCTTTAACGGGGACCTTGGGCTGGCTATTTTCGATTTAATCACGTTGGTGATATATCATATCATGTTAAGAAATATACCGAAATATAATCGCATTGCTTCCGTATCTCATATGCGTTCTCGCTAATTCCAAGTTCCAAGTTCATCTTCGCCAATATGCTATGTACCTGATGTGATAGAAACAAGTCTCTATGGGACGTTTCACCTGCCGGGTCGTTTAGGTCTTCTGAAAGCCGTCTTAACCTCCGCCTCTGGGAATAACTCGGACGTAACGGACTGTTCGGTGATTTCGCTCGGGTCCTCAAGCTCAAATTTCTTTTCGATATGGAGCCCTGCCTCTTTTGTGGCCACCTCAAGTACGGCACGCTTCATTAGCGGGTACATCATTCGGAACTTAATAGCCTTGGTTCCTGCCGAGGCGGGACATGTGTAGAAGAAAAGTATGACGTTTTTCTCTTCCCCTCCGCTCGGTGGTGTGGCTTTGTATCGGAAGAAAGTGAAGCGGGGTTCAGTTGTCGAAATGCTCTTCACGAGTTCAGGGATTGTGGAAGGCGAGGAGGAATCTTGGAATAGCTCTACGACTTCGGTCTCGGGATTGATTTTCTATTGATTCCAGTTAGTATGTGTATCCCCTGGTTCTATTGCTCGAAGAACTCACAAGCATCACCAGTCCGGTTCCCTCCTCACGACCAAGAGCGCTTAGGGCGACCAACGCATCGGTAGCGACGGGCATGTTCATAGTTTTGCTGAGATGGATTTCACGAACACCCGTGCCGGCACCAGCTTCGGCCTCAGCTCTCTTAACCTCACCCAAAGTTCTCTCCTCTTCGGTCAAGGGTGCCTCAAGTTGATTATGACGGTCATGCTTTTTGAACCCCTCGGCACTCAGCTCTTCAGCCATGGTTGCGAAGATTGTCTCACGGAAGTGATCGGATCCCAACTCACGCACCAACGTCAACCGTGTCGCCGCGAACAGCATCTTTTGCCGTACCTTGGCCGTGTCGGGCACATAGGTAACAGCTATTAGGTAGGGAGCTGTGTCATATCTTCGTAGAATAACATAGAGGGGTTCATCGGGTTTTATGTAAGAGGATAGCTTCGGAAGGTCGGCATCGAAACTGCTCGATGGAGAGGATCGCGGGAGTGTAATTGACGGAGTCAGGGACTCTCCGGTGATAGTTACGAGAAGTCCGAATTGTGATGAGTCGCCCAAGAACTTGTTGAACTGAGTGACAAGCTCCTGAGAAGCTGAAGTTCACGAAAGTAAGCTAAGTTATCTTTAAGTTAAGAATAGGGGTTGATATAATACCAGATATTCCGGACTGCATCCTGGGTTTGCGTTGAGACCTTGTAGTCTCTTTATATTAAATAAATCTTTCTAGAGTCTAAATCGGAGTGTTTTTTTTTAAAGGCAACGACTATAGACTACCTAAGGTAGGTACCTACTTATGTGAGGTAAGTAGCGTTGTCGGTGATCCTACCTAACACAACTCAGCTCGCAGGTCTGAAGATGTAAAGTAAAGATATTAGGGCTGGCGCGGCCTGAAAAGTTGCAAGGATGCCCCTCCATCATCAGCCCATTGCTGCAACGCTGAATGGTGCGGGGTGCGGGGCCTGAAGAGGGATACCTGCATAGGTCTGCATATATGTATAATAATTGTTTCATAAAAGTATAGCTATATGTGATAATTACATACTCTCGTTTCATAATAACAGGTAGGTAGTTTAGATACCTAACGTTTAATTTCCAAGTCTTCATTCCTAAACATCCTCTCAAAATAACAACTCTTGATCCCTTACTCATTTTTCTGCTTTCTCACTCGCCTCTGTCCATGCAGATATATATCCGAACGGAACCCATTTGACCACACTTTCAATATGAGAAATTAATCCGTTATCAACTTTGATCAACTGCGGAATCATATAAGTCCCCGGAACACGACCTGCCGGCGACAGTGGACCGGGACCGTTGGCAGGTTCATCCACTAGAATCACGGCCAACACGACTCCTCTCTTACTATCCGCAACTAGGATTCGTCGATCACGCACTGTTGTTGTAGTGTTAGAGAGACCATTAGGAGTCGGTCCCTTTCCATCCAGCTGATCAGCGCAAGTCAGACCCCCTTGGCCAAAGTTGTCACGCCTAGTGCACTCTTCTGCAAATGGCACTCCCTCGCTTGAATGCTTTTCTAGGCCATCGAAATATGCACTCAATAATTCTGGCGGAATCTCACCATTGGTGCTATATGCTTGAAACACAGAGTCGAGGAAACTTGTGGTATTACCCTCCCACTCGACTGGAAGCGGAGGGCGCATAAGCGTTACTGTCCCGCCACGACTATCAGTAGCTTCTCCACGCACAACGTTGGCTTCGATCTCTGTTATTTGGCCGTTGTCGACCTTGATACGTAGCGAAAGGACTCCCGGTATACTGTGCTCCGTACTGAATCCCCAGTAGCCAACCGTCCCGCTTTCCGAATCGCATACGACTGCTCCATACCTGTCCGTCCAAGTAATTGCTTCCAGTGTCTCCCATAGACCATCACCAAATGCTACAAATTGGCCATTCTCAGAGTAAAGTACACCCTTCGCTAGGGGTAGACGCGTGTGATCATGGACCCGGATCGCCATGAGTACATCTCCCACTACATTCTCGAGGCAGACCTGGTCGCACGGAATGGGATACGTGGTAAAGTTTGTACCGGGCCCGCTGAGATCTACAGGTGGAATATCGGGAAATGCTGCTCGCATGTTATAAGGAACTTCAATTAGTGTCATCTCGATGCGATAAAGCTTCTCGCCACGCAAGCGAAATGCCTCCATGGCTCTCAACGAACGAGGCGTTTCGAAATAACGCGGGATTGGCGAGGATGTGCCATTCACGCTAGGCAACGATTTCACCGTAGCATTATGATCTAAAGTAGTGATGGCAAAGACGGCCTGGCGCTCCTCATCCACTACGGGAAAGTGGCGTTCCCGGATTCTTGTGACAAAGCCAAGAAATCCTGTCTGAAATTGCTCCTCGCAAGTTAGAGAAGCGAATGCCGTATCGTTAGAATGGCCATAAGGATCACCGGTCTTGACGTTTGTCGTTTGAAGACCATCTTCCAGACGATTACACTCTTTGTCAAAGAAGCTGTAGTCACCATTTGGGTCGTTTCCCTGCATGCCGGTGTAATATTTGTTAGTTTGTGAGATCAGCTCGTCTCGGGTAATCCGTTCCTCGGGCGGTACAGCTTCGAGCCAAACGGCTTCCGGCTGACCTCGTTGTTCATAGAGCTCTGCGCCGCCAGAATCACGTGTGATTTGTGATTCGATTTCGCTTATCTTTCCGTCCTCCTCTACCTTGAGGCGCACAAGATAAATAGCACCAACGCCATTCTCGGTAATGGTAGTGATGGTCGCGACCTGGCCTGCTTCGGGATCAGAGAACGTGTGGTTATATTTTCCTAGTGACTCCACGATATGCCACTCGCCAGTGCCGAACGGTAATATTTGATCGTTCTCTACGTATTTCACGTCCGAAGTCGTCGGCAAACTCGATGGGTCGTGGGCTACTAAGGCATTAAGGTAGTCCGAGATTAGGCCTTCTAAGCAAGATCTCTCACAGCGTTCAGCCAGTGTTGTAGAGCTGAGCGCTAACACCGACAAGCCAGCCCCGATGGCCTTACGAACCGTAGCAATCATCGTTCACCTTTCTCGCTGATTCCCTACCGACTTTGATATTTTCCAAATCTCGCCAATAGACCTTTTAGAGTTAGGTAAGGAATATTTCTTACATTACGCCTACGGATGTCCTTTAAATATGGCAAGCATTCTCCGCAAAATTAAATGCCGGAAAAATTGATCCTCATACCCTCGGCGCGGGGGGTCTAATCCAATGCATGACTGCTGATCTCTTGAATGACAAGGGTGGTGGTTATTTTGCCTAACCTTAGATTACTTCATTCATATAGCTTCACGTTTAAGTGGTTTTTATCTGAAGTACTTTATTAGGCTCAAGGGGTGCTATAAATAACCTGGCACTATCGACTAAAACAACTAAACCACGCGGGACCCAATAATATGCGTGTTAATCATTTGCGGCTGTATGAAGGGTTCTGGATCAGTAGTTCTTATATACAATCTATTTAAAGTCAGAAGATACATATAGGGCTTGGGTTGTCATATTATTCCCTTAACATAGTACCTCGACCCAGATGTTAGCACAGTAGGTACATATATTGGGAGATTGTTAAGCGTGGAACCTCAGTTTGCTCCTGATTTAGACTTTGGAAGTCAGATAATAGGAAAGTTTTAGTAGAACGAGGTGATTCTGACCTGTTTTAATATAACCTTTCGATGAATTTACGAAGTTTACAATGGTTAATACAATGCTGAGAAGTTTATTGATGAAGTACATACCTAGGTACATATATGACAATAAGTCTGTTCCAATTAGAATGTGATTTCAGGCGTGACCAATTATAGCAGAGTTATACGATGAGCGTTTCATTTCTCTGGCGGGCGTAGGTAGGCTGAGTGAGGTGCTCTAAATAAGTAATACAACTTGTGGCAAGGACCGAAGTATGTTAAAAACTAATGAAAATTGTGATAATACATAAAAATAAGGCTATAGAGTTACAGGAATTCGTAATAAGTTATGCTAAACGCTTAAGGAATATCTTAGTTCCATTAGTATTGAGTCGACACGATAGATGGCAGCAGCTGGAATCTCAATCAAGGTTAAGAAACAAGATAGGCTTATATAATTCATCTTAGATATATAGTCAAGATTAGTACTCTTAAGCCTTTCTGCTTTTTACCATAAGGCCTTCTATACATGGGTACCTCGCAATGAAGAACCTCGAGCAGTAAGAACCGTCTCAACACCTCCTCCCCTTTAAGCTTGGTACTGATACTGGAAGGGTTGTACGATGGCTGAATGCAAGATCTCAACGGCGTTGAAAGCTCCCTTGACCAATAATACTGTTGGGATACTGTATCTGCATCGTAAGCTGCATTAGGTAGCTTCCACCCTAAAACACCCTGCCTAGGTAGGTACCCAAACGGACATGTACCTTTCATGTACTCAAAATCAATCAATCTGTACTTGAAGGGAGTTCCTAGATGAAAAGATAAGAATATCTTGATTCGCACACTTTAAATTACATATACACGACTTTAAATTACATACACCCAACTTTAAATTACATACACACGACTTTATTTTCTAGGCCATTTCGTCTTATATCTTCTTATCTGAATGCTCAGAGCCTCATCACCATGGCCGACTATAACCAGGTACATGAGAACAACTTAGGCAGCGATGCCTTGATCGGAAATTCCACCTTTCAGCATAACGCTGCATATCACGACCTGCAACATGACCCAATTAACGGTCTTCCTGCTCCCCAGACTGCCCCACTTTTGGGAGCACATCTGCAGGAGCATGGAAGGTAATTTTTTTTGTCGAACCAGAAAAGCTGATTGGTTAGGATTTCGGTAGTCGACCGCCACGATGCTTTTACACTAAGAACCCAGATCTGCGTTGATCCCACGTGCTACAAAACCTTCGGGACAAATGAACAACTCCGAAAGCATGGCGAAAAGGAGGGACATAAGCCGTACGGGTGCGTCTGTAGCAAGAAATTTGGTCGATTAGACACTCTTAAACGCCACATCTCTTCTAAGTCCCGCAACGGTCCTCTGTACTCATGCGAACACTGCCCTAATAGCCAAGGCAAGAACCGGTTTGCTCGTCGGGATCATCTCACCCAACATATAAGGCTTGTCCATAAGTCCGAGGCTACTGGAGAGCTAGGTCATCATGCTACGGCCATCGTTTCTAATGCAGAAGCATCTCAGATTATGATGCCCGCCTATGACTGTCCGGTGCTCGGCTGCCCTAGACTCGGTCTTGACGGGTTCGTCCGTAAGGAGGACGTTGATTTGCATGTGGCTTTTATGCATCCTTATAATATGCAGAACAACGTATCCAACCAGCAGTACGAGATGCCTATGCAGTCGGACCAGCACGATGGAGCATCCAGCTCGAACTACCAAGGATACGGGTTTAATGGATCCGAGATCTAGTCCGCCACGGCTATGCCAATTGATATTGTCGATACCTGACTCTTCTTAAGAGTCAAGATTCGACATCACCGAAGGGATAAGATCGTTGAATGTGTTTTTGATTTACTTATTTTTATACTATGATACTAAAGATTTACAATGGTCACTATGTAGAGTCTATTGACTCATTTTCTTGTTGTATTGTTGTAGGAGAGAGATAAAATGGAAAAAGTTCGGAGTTACCAGAGATTGTGATAACTTCGTATATCAGCAGAGAGAAGGGGCTTTTAACGATATTGACGACTTTCCTATTTGTATCTTGGCTATTACTGCCATAGCTCACTCTTTACATAGGTATTAAGTGTGTTCTTCCTATCAACGTTTTTATTGACCTAGATGAAGTGTAGTAGGTAGTTATGTCTTATAAGAGATCTGTATCGTACAGCTTGTACGGACCGATCCGAGAATCAACCGTCTGGCACGGATGAGTAATATGGTCCGTGTCTTCTTGGCGGAGCTCCGTACCCCCTTTAGACCCCGGCCGGTTGGCCGATTCTTATCTCGTTTAGCCCCTCGGACGTTATGCTCTGTCTTATTGGGCCCGGGATCAGCGCTAATTGGAGAATGTTGGACCTTATTCTGGGTAATTTACGTGAAATCGTATTTTCCCCCTTGGCTAGGACCGGAAATGACACGTTAAGGATTGGCACAGTCAGACTTTTGAAATACATTTTTATAAACACAATGATTTTATCGTCCTTTACGATATTTAAATTCGGTTCAATTACATAGTTTTCCTGCGTCTGGTTACGCAGGTCGTGTATTATAATGCATCGCCAAGTTCGCAAGCATAGACGTACCTTAATCCTTCTGACCGGCGCCCTTGCAATATGGTGGATGCTGTCGGCGTCTTTTTCGGGCCTGTGGATCTCGGAATTCGCCAGGCTTGAACGGCATATGAACAGTGATGCATCATCTCCTCCGATCGCATTAAAACAAAGTAGCTTCGATTGGAGTACCGTTCCTTTTCATTTTCCTGCCGAGGAAATAACTCCTTTGCCAACGGGGAAGCCTCGTCGCCTACCTGTTCAGGCTCAATTTCATTCCGAGGCGTCTGCTGATAGACAGGCTCGAGAAGCAAGACGCCTCGAAGTGAAGAAAACCTTCCTCGATGATTGGGCGGCATACAAGAAGTATGCATGGATGAAGGATGCACTGAAGCCAATCTCCGGGGAGTTTCAGGACCAATTCAGCGGATGGGCTGCGACTTTAGTTGACTCCCTCGATACCTTATGGATCTTAGGTTTAAGAGAGGAATTTGACGAGGCGGTCGATGCAGTCTCCAAGATAGACTTCGGTCGATCTAGCTCCACAAGAGTCAACACTTTCGAGACGAACATTCGCTACTTAGGAGGTCTACTTGCAACGTATGATCTTAGCAAGCGAGATGTCTTGCGTTTGAAAGCTATCGAGCTTGGAGACTTGATTTATGTAGCTTTCAACACAGAGAATCGGATGCCCGTTGACTTCATCGATTTTCAGGCCGCCAAAACAGGGAAACCTCTATCTGTCGAGTACTCTGTGGTCTCGGCCTCCCCAGGAACGCTGTCTCTTGAACTGACGCGGCTCTCACAGCTCACGGAAGACCCGAAATATTACGATGCAGCTGCAAGAGTAATGGACGTCTTCTACCGAGGCCAAAATCAAACTTTGATACCGGGTCTATGGCCTACCTATGTCTCTATGAAATCCCAGGATGTTATAACGGGGAACTCATACACTCTTGCTGGCTGTGCTGATAGCTTATACGAGTATCTTCCTAAGGAGTATGCTCTTCTTGGGGGTACGGAGCCGAAGTACGAGATGATGTCTAAGGGGTTCTTGGAGGCCGCTAAGAATAATCTGCTCTTTAGACCTATGGTACCTAACAACATGCAGATGCTTATTGCCAGTAGTGCCAGTGTATCTGCTACAGGTGAGGTGACCTTAGACGAGGAGACTGAGCATCTTGCTTGCTATCTCGGTGGAGTCTATGCGCTAAGTGGGAAATTGTTTGGTAACCCGGGATACATCAATATTGGCGCCAAGTTGACGCTTGGTTGCGTGTATGGGTATCGGTCATTTCCAACGGGAATGATGCCTGAACGACTGAATATGGTAGCTTGCAAGTCGTTTGAAGATTGCGAGTGGGACGAGAAGCGATTTGACGAGGAGAAGCAGAAGCGACGTGAGTGTAAGTTGGCGCATAAATTCCTAAACTATTTGTTTCTTCGTAGCTTTCGAAGTAGTCAACTTGATTCATTTTCTGGTCTCGTAACTAGCACCTACTGATTTCTGATGATATAGGGAAGGACCATCTTCCTCTTGGATTCACCACTGCTAAAGACCCCCGGTATATCCTAAGACCTGAGGCGATAGAGAGTGTGTTCATCATGTATCGTATCACTGGGAATGCAGTTTGGCAAGACATAGGATGGGATATGTTCACGGCCATCGCGAACGGAACTAAGACCAATCGGGGGACTCATGCGGCGGTAAAAGACGTGACCCGCATGGCGGATGTTCTACCAAAAGAGGACTATATGGAGGTGAGTACGAATATGCGTATTTATCTTATAATACTGACGTTTAAATACAGAGTTTTTGGTTAGCAGAGACTTTGAAATATTTTTACCTGCTCTTCTCGACTCCTGACGTCATTAATCTCGACGACTATGTGCTCAATACTGAAGCACATCCTTTTCTCAGGCCAAAATGATCAAATCATTTTTTATTATTAGCGTCTTCTGCAGTAAAATTGCGTGTAGATAGATAGGTTAGTTGAGTATTTTCTGTAGTTAGTGTCTCGGCTTGTCGTATAATTGGTAATAGTATTCTGTAAATTCTGCTAACGCGTCGTAGTAAACAGAAGTGATTCTATTCAAGTTCAGGTTTAAGTGCATGGTGGATATTTTTGCTACGACTTTCCATCGGTGACTAGTCGAAAAAGAAAAAAGAAATTACTTCCTCATGCCTTTTACACTCTACCTAGTGTCATCTATAGATGTTAGCGTAATATGAGAAACTATGCCTAGAACTTTAGAAGAATCTAACATTTACAATATCGACCTCATGACGAGATTATTATAGGTGATGCTGCGGAGCCGCTGCTAAGCCAGCCTTCAATAGTTTTCCAGAGACAAGATTTCGAAGCACTAAAGCAATGAGCTGTTGTTTAATAAGGCCGAGGCTATATCTATTGTAGTTAGTGTCCGAATATTACTCCGCATAATCTCCAGCTTCATCCTTGGCCTCAAAACGGACTTCTCCGCAAACCCCACAGAATCTCCAATATCCAAGCATTCCGAAGTCACATCGTGACCTTGCGGCGGAACAAAATTACGAAAATTAGACCGAAAGGCTTATGAACTATTATATAAATACTACAGACGACTGCTTATGATGATGTACTTATTAGCCACTCAGGATTCGGAACTCATCTTGAGGGAGCCTCATCTTTCACATCTCAAGACACGATGAAGCTTTCACCAGCTGTTTTGGCGGGAACCCTTGCCGCAAGGCAAGAGATCGACTACAATGCGGCACCGCCAAACTTGTCAACTCTCGCCAACTTGACTCTCTTCAATACATGGCGGCCGAAAGCGCATGTCCTTCCGCCAACTGGGCAGATAGGCGATCCCTGTATGCATTATACCGATCCCGAAACTGGGCTCTTCCATGTCGGTTGGTTGCATAACGGTGCTGCTGGTGCCACGACAGACGATCTCGTTACGTATCATGATGCCAATCCAGAAGGACGGCCGTTCATAGTAGCGGGCGGGAAGAATGATCCAATCGCAGTATTCGATGGGTCGGTCATCCCTAGTGGTATCGACGGCAAACCTACCCTTCTGTATACGTCTGTGAGCTTCCTACCTATTCAATGGACTATCCCATACACACGAGGAAGTGAGACGCAGTCTTTAGCGGTATCTTATGACGGAGGTCGTAACTTCACGAAACTTGAACAAGGTCCTGTTATTCCCTCGCCGCCTTTCGCAGTCAATGTGACAGGTTTCCGCGACCCTTTCGTCTTCCAGAACAGCCAGCTCGATACCGAACTCGGAAGTGCGCCCGGAACTTGGTATAACGTTATCTCTGGAGGCGTCCATGGAGAGGGGCCTAGCCTATTCCTCTACCGACAACACGACCCAGAGTTCCAGTACTGGGAAGAGTTGGGTCAATGGTGGCATGAACCCGCTAACACAACCTGGGGCAATGGTAACTGGGCTGGTCGGTGGGGATTTAACTTTGAAGTCGCCAATATCTTCAGCTTGGATGAGCAAGGCTACAATGCTGGGGGCGAAATCTTCACAACCTTGGGCGCTGAATGGTCGATGGACCCGATCGTGCCACAAGTTTCGGGTTTCCGCGAGATGCTTTGGGCAGCTGGAAATGTTTCTCAGGTAGATGGAAAACCCAAGTTTCAACCAACTATGGCCGGAAAGTTTGACTGGGGAGCTTCTGCATATGCCGCTGCTGGCAAGGAGTTACCGGCAACCTCGAAAGCCTCCCAGAAAAGCGGCGCTCCCGATCGTTTCATCTCCTATCTATGGTTGACAGGAGATTTCTACGATACTCTGGACTTCCCGACTAATCAGCAGAATTGGACCGGTGCACTCCTCCTCCCGCGTGAGTTGAGTGTCGGAAAAATCTGCAATGTCGTTGACAATCAACTTGTTCGTGAAACCGGGTCTTGGCGGGTTGGTAGTAGCGATTCTGGTGTCGTTGAACTAGTGACCTTAAAGCAGGGGATCGCGCGTGAAGCACTGGCCGCATTAACCAGCGGTAGCTCTACTATCGAACCAGGTCGGAGTTTGAACTCACCAGGCGTTATACCATTCCAAACCATTCCCGAAAGCAAATTTTATGTGATCACCGCATCGCTTTCTTTCCCCAAGGCTTGTCGCGAGAGTGGTTTACGAGCTGGCTTCCAGATCTTGTCTTCTGAATACGAGAGCACGACCATCTACTACCAATTCTCCAACGAGTCCATCATCATCGACCGCAGCAATACCAGTGCCGCGGCAAAGACGACGAATGGTATCGATTCTCGTAACGAAGCAGGCCGATTACGTCTGTTTGACTTGGTGCAAGATGGCCATCAGGAGATCGAAAGACTTGATTTAACTATAGTGGTCGATAATTCCATTGTCGAAGTGCACGCTAATGGGAGATTCGCTATAAGTACTTGGGCTCGGTAAGTGTCTATTTGGTTCCTCATCTTTGACATACATTCTAACATTTTAATAGATCTTGGTATGCTGCTTCCCGAGAAATTAAATTCTTCCACGACGGTGAAGGTGAAGTAGTATTCGGAGACGTGACTGTTCACGAAGGGCTATATGATGCCTGGCCCGATCGAAAGGCCGAGCAGTAAAGCAGCAAAGTAAATAATAATATTCAATAATCTTTTTCAATTCGTCGTTTTGGCGGAGAATAAAGTAATAATCATGATGATCTATGTAGTAGGGATTCCGATCCTTCATCCATTAGCTAACTTGATGGTAATCACTTCATTACCACCTGGCTAAACAAATTATCCTTGAAGTGTCAGAACTTAAAAAATAAACAATCGTATGTCGTCGAAAAAAACGAGGAGCGTAGACGATGATACGCTGCGCCACGATAAGTTTCATCAGACATGTCAGTCCAGGTCCAAATCAGCCGATTGGACCAGCGTATCTCCCACCAATTCCGTCTGTTATTCAACCAATCATCCCTACGATAATCTCGGTGCCTTGAGCGATCGGCACTCCGCCGCCTCTCCTCTAAAGCCAAGAGGCGTGGTTTTGGTCCATTTTCTACTTTTTTTATCGTATTTTATTTTTGTACTTCTATACTTACGAACCCCTCTCCTCTTAACCGTCAGGCCGCTCCTCGACTTAAATCGGATTAACCTGCATGTAGTCCAAGGCAGCAGTATAACGGATTTGATTTATTTTGATGCGCTAAACGTTCAAAATGGAGCGTCCACCCTCTGCTACGACTTCTAAGATGTCCGTCACCGGAAGACGGGATTACGGTATGAAGTTTATTGCAGATATGGATGACCTTGCTGGTAGCACTGTCAACGTTGGTTCGCACGTGCAACCGCCTCTAACAGGATCTCACGAATCTGTCAAGACATACGGAGGCACTCCGTATTGGGAGAGGCAGCCTGAAGTTATGAATACTAGACACGATGAAGAGGACGACTTCGATGAAGGTTGTCATCCATTCTGGACGTCATGGTGGGATATGATTAGGGGAATGGGATTAATTCTCGCTGGCGCGCTTAAAATTCCTTTTACTATTGGGCACGGTATAGCAAAGGCGCTACATTTCACCCCAACATTATATAACGACACCACTGTTCGGAAGTGGTTTCAGATCACCGGTTTCCCATCGGGAATCGTCGCTGCTGTCCAGGTAAGAGTTTATAATCACCTCGCCTCACCCGTCGATTCTGACATGTTTCACCGCAGGCATTTTTATACGGGATTCTCGATGGTTCTACAGACTGGTTCGTGTTGCCGTATAAGTGCGCCAAAAAGGATGGATTCCTTGGATTTTTCAAAGGATTCATACAGGGAATTGGTAGCATAATATTCAAACCATCTGCTGGTGAGTTTAGTCCCAGCCACTTCTCATATCCTACATTCAAGTCGTGACCACCCATCTAACAATAACAGGTGCCATCGGATTAGCGTCGCATCCGTTCTATGGTATATATAAGGAGGTGGCAAAATTTAAAGTGGAATTTAAACGTGAGCGTCGGCCTCGACAAGATGTCGGGTCTCTAATATAGTGCTCGACCTAATATAAATTCACTAATCGGCCTAACTGTCCCGCCAGGAATCCCCTTTCAATCCGGACGACGAGTTCAGAAAGAGAAAAGCCCCGTGTAGGTGGCTATAACGCCTTCTAATTCGAACTTGAGATGAGCTCTTGTAGTCAACTGACTGTAATTACGAGATGGAATCACGGAGCAAATGTTAGTTACTGCTCACGGAAGCGTATCTTCGAGACGTTTCATAGGATTTAATGGAGCATATATGTGTAACTAGGCACCTATATGTATACCGGGCACCTAAATCACGGTGTTTACCGGAAGTTATGGCTTGGGTATTGTAGTTGACGATTGTGTAGTACTAGGATTACGGCGAGATAATCATTTACATCATATAATGACTACCTACCTACCTACCTATATTTCAAAGAATATACGAGAGTAAACAATCGCAAAGCTACTCTGCAATAAAGCCACATGATTATGGCTTCTGGAAAAGATTAGCTATCGTCTTGAATAGCTCAAAAATTCCAGTTGTATAGCGTTCTATTAAATGATCACTTTTAGCGAGAACCCCCCAACCTTAGGTAGTCAACTGAAGTATTTTGATATGTCCAAAGGGAAATGCGGGGCACCAAAGAACAGCCGTCGATATATATGGTCGGCATGATACCCCTGAAACCATATAATAAAGACTTGTGTCTTTCATTCCAATAGATTTCTGACTTGAGTAAATCTATTTTCGAATACTGTTATCTACCATGTCGTGACGAATAGAATATAACCGGCTGGAATTCTCTCAAGTCGTATTGGAGGGTAACAGATGACGCAATTTTGGTGTGATGTTGCTCATTTCTCCAACTTGGCTACTACACACTAACTATTGGGACATAATTGTAGATAATACGATACAGAAAGAATAATAATCTCATTGTGCAAGTACAAAAATAAGCGAGTTCAGCTGAGTTTCCTTGACTCCGAGAATAGTAAATATGTCAACAACAACAACCGTGACGTTTGTGACGCCAAAGGCGCCCGCGCCACCGGGTCAGCCCGATATCTCGTATGCTCCGGACTACGATAAGTGGCAGGCCCGAGCAGCTCGTCGGCTGAAAGAGGGGAACTTGCCGACTGCCGTACCGGAAGGTTTCCCGGCGCAATTGAAGGGTGATTTAGTCTGGGAAGGTGAAAATGTGGCGGACACTTATGACTGGACCTACGTTCTCAATGACGAACAGCTTAATGAGATAGAACAGGCTGTGACTTACTTTAAAGGTAAGTTATGGCATTTGAATTTCTATGTGTCTTGATCTCTTATTAACTAACTTTATCAAGGATTGGGTTTGTCACTGGGCCATCTCACTGTAGAGACGTTCCCGCTGCCGAACCTCCACACGGAATTACGCCGGTTATCTGCAGAATTGCACAACGGGCACGGTTTCTTCGTGATTCGAGGCCTACGAGTCGATGACCACTCTCGGGAAGAAAATGTCATCATCTATGCGGGCATATCCGCGCACATTGCTGCTCAGCGCGGCCGACAGGACCACAAGTATAATGGTCAGACAGCTGATGTGGTCCTTAGCCACATTAAAGATTTGACCTGGTCGCAGAACAATGGATCCATTGGCAGTCCGGCCTATACCACTGATAAACAGGTCTTCCACACGGATTCAGGAGATATTGTATCTTTGTTTGCCCTCGAAACATCGGCAGCGGGTGGTGCTAGCAAATTGGCGAGTACATGGCGGGTATATAACGAAATTGCTGCTACTCGTCCGGACCTTATCCATACCTTGTCTCAAAGTTGGGATATGGAAGTGTGAGTTGTTTCTTAAGACGTGGTCTCATTTGCCATCAGATTATTTCGAGATTCGGGCAATGCAGGTGCATCAGTTTCACTAATATGTGGTCCGCATCCTAGATTTGAGAAAGCCGACAAGCAGTACGTGGAAAGACCGCTACTGTATCACTTCCCTGCGACGGATTCATCCCCGGAGCGGGTGGCCCTACAATATGGCCGACGGTACTTCGTCGGCTTCGGTGCCCTCCCACGCAGATCTAACATCCCGCCTATCTCAGAGGCTCAGGCTGAAGCTCTTGATACAATCCATTTCCTAGGTGAGAAATACTGCGTGAATACCGACTTCCAAAAAGGAGATATCCAGTATATAAATAACCTCGCCGTATTCCACGCAAGAGACGGATTTACCGACACGTTAGAAAAGCGGTAAGCATGCCTTCAACCCACACAGCCGTGAACGCGTTTATTTGTGTTGCTGACAAAACTTATTCTCTTTATATAGCCGCCACCTTTTACGTTTATGGCTGCGGGACCCTGAAAATGCTTGGCCAACCCCTGAAGCTTGGAGGTACCGTTGGGCACAACTTTACGAAGGCGTTACACCAGAGGGACAGGTATTTCCTCTTGAACCGTTTATTCGTAGTGCTGGAAATAAGGGGAGATAAGGTTGACCGCGTGTGCGTGATCTATGTCTACACCAAAATGCTAGAAAAGCTGCATATCCATCGCTATGTTGAAAAGGAAACCTCTCGTCAAGTGGGGAATTCCGACCCTGTACCTAAAGCCAAAGACGCCGAAACCCATTATTAAAAATCTACTCTAGGAGAATTTCATAATCGTCCTTTGCAACTCGCACAGGCTCATTTCCGCTTCCATATTTACGTCGGACAAGCTCGAAGATTATTAAACCAGCACTGGTACTTGGCACCTGTCGAACTGTAGTAATTTGTTAGATATATCTCCTATAAAATCGATATAAACTAGGCATTGGCTTGTCTATGGGAGGGCAAGACGTACTAGTATTCCACCAAAATCCGCGATATAACCACCGTGTCAGACCTTTCCCTTCCGAGGTTGCTTCGGCGGTGCACTTAGTCCAAGTCTCTTGGTAGGCGTGATAATAAGCTCGGAGCATGCGCCATCTACGCCTTGGCTTATCAGGATTCGCTGCTGCCGAGTTTCTCAACTTCGCTGCTTTAGCGTCGAGATCTTCTAGATGATCCCAATGTTCAACTTGAATATGATTTAATGGGTGAAGAATTAGCTGTTGGGTGAGTGAGGCCGTGAAGCCAGCGAATAACAGGAACATCGGTTCAATTGCGTAGTGCGGACGTATTACAACTGGGCGGCTACCATCTTTCGTAGTATTGTCATTTGAGCTCTTGTGGGTGGGTGGTCTCTTTTGGGCCAACACATCAACAACATCAGGCTGCAGTCCACCATAATACCATGTGATGAACCGATAAAAACCTTGGGCCTTCACAAACTCGAAAGTGCTAAAGAAAACCGCACTTCCGAAACTATCTTTTAAGAAAGATAGTCCCCATCCTGCAAATATCCCTCGCAGTCCTATTTCCCGAAGCTTTTCTGCTGAGAAGGCCCACATGCTCCTCGGTTTCCCGTTCTCATTACCGGAAATGAGATCACGGTGGTCATATCTCGCCTGTATAGCATCAAGTGGTGCTGCAACAACGCTTTGGATGCTTCCGGCTATGAATCCTGCAGTGAAGGTATGGATCGGGTCTGGCGGAGGAAATATCCTCTTCGGCGCCCTCGATGTCTCCTCATGTAGCTGAGCTAAGATATGTAAATAGCTGGTATATAGTACAGCGCCAACTCCAACATTTGCCATAAGAGGCGGGAGAATCTGCTGTGGTACGACGCTCCATCCGTGCTGCTGAATGACGGACGCGAGTAAGCCCGGGGTAGTACCTCGTGCCCACATCCATGCTTGTTTGAAGGTGAAGCCTACTCTCGAAGCAGTTTGGCTATTAGCAGCAGCACGGGCTAGTAACTCCGTCTGAGTTTGATGCACACTCCGGGCATATGCAAGGTAGTCAACCCGTGTCCGGAAGAAAGCCTTAACAGGAGCCCTGAAGTAAAAAGCGATGGCCTGAGCACTCAAGGCCCGAACACCGGCGGCGGACGCGGCAGTTGCAGCATTATTGCGCGATGGATTATCTGAACCTAAATCGGATGGTATTACAGGGAGAACCCCAGTATATATATCCCGGGGCGAGCCATTAATATCATCGCGACCTGGTGGCATTGTCCTCATAAGTCATTTTGAGGTTATGATGATGAATGAAGTCTGATCGAGTTTGGAGTCTTTTGCGGGGAATTGTCGGGTGAATAATTTGTTGCGAAATAATGAATTTAGATAGGTTAGGTACATAAATATTATGCAATATTAAAATGGGGCATCGACATCATAACTGTTTGTAAATCTTGCCCCTTAAACTGAATTAAATAAGGAAATCGCAATGCATTAACTCTGGCTATGACACTACGAACGGTACAAAAATGCGATAGCTAGAGTGAATAATGGTAAATACCTAACCTAGCGCATTTGATAGCTGTTTCTACTAGCATGCATGCGCATGTACTCTATTCTGAAATTGTGTGACATTTGAACCACTTATTCCATATGACGTCAACAATTCGTCCCAAAAGGTTACCCAAAGATTCAATTTTCGGATGTCTTCTGCTCCCAATAAATCCAACACGGTACCTAATCAAGTACATAGTCTCGTATTGATTTTAAACCCCGGCATAAGAGATTCCAAGACGTCGTAATGTATTAATACCATATTATATGGATTAAAGAAATACTTTTTCTTCTATTTTGGATTTTCTTAACCCGTAATCTCCAGTTGCCTATTATGTCCTCTACAACTTTGTCTCCGCAGCAGTTAGGGGCTTTAGTCGACATTCTCGTTCACCACGAGACTTATTCGGAAGCTGTGAGCTTTAAGAACCCTGAAGCTATCGAGAAATATGGGTATCCATTTGATCCTTCGGCTCGCGACGGAGGTAGTAATGCAGACGGAAAATCAGCATCTCCACTGCTACAACTTCTTCTTACTAGATTAATTCTTCCTATTCCTGGAGTCAGAGATCTCCCCTCCGAATTTTGGACTACCAAGTTCCGAAGTATTATGAGAAGATTTGGTGAGATAGAACTGTCAGAAAGCTACGATAAAGGGACTCTAGGTAGTAGGAAACGGTTGGCCTCAGCCGCCTCAGTCATTCACGAATGCATCACTAGGGGTCTATTAAATGGTGTACCAAATGATGAGCTACCGAACCTACATGGTCAATATGATACCGGTAAAGCAGAAGACCTTTCTAGGGCTTGGGATGATGTGGTTCAACATTTAGTCTACGGGAACTTGATCGATGAGTTATTCGATCACTTCACGAAGACTGCAAACCTCGAGGATCATTCACCTGCGGTTGATGCTGCCGTTAATCTCGCTATAATATATGTGGCTACATTTCTCCACCATCTTTTTGTCCTCTCGGCGGAAGGCCCCTATTTACTCAAGTTGATCAATAACATTCATGGATTGATCCCCTATACGGTAATTGGACAAACACTACGCGTCGGAAATGCGGGAACAATGATCAACGCCATGGTTAGATTATTTCTAGCAAAAGTCAGTGTCGGCGCAATTTCGAACTGGCTTGGCTTGACGCAGAATGCTTCAGATGGGATGAACCTCTTACAAAGGTGCGTACTTGCTAACAAATTGGAGAGAAGCTAACCTAATCATTTTTAGGATAATATCTCTAGTGTTAGAATGGGATACCAGCGAGTTTCGCAAGGCAATAGATAATATTAAGCGAAGCAAAGGTAGACCCGATGAATCGTGCCTAACCGCAATCGACGCACACCTACAGGCTTCTAGGGACCAACACGAATCACTTCGTAAATTGAGTAGGAGGAATGAAACGTCCATAATCGTAGCTATTCTAGAGGCCAAAGACAAGGCATCGCTAGAATCGCTGACAGAGGAGCAACATGCCCAATGTTTACAATATTATTCGGCTCAACTTGCGATCCGAGACAGGGAGAAAATTACCGAAGCTCTCTGCCGTCAGACCCCGGATTTAACTACAACTATCGTGCGAGATGTTGTGTCCGTCTTCGAACCTATGATTAGAGACATTCACAAGAGTGTTGACATACGCAAGCATCTTAGCTCTGTCGAAAGCTTTTTGACGGACTTAATAGAGACAAGTAAGCCAAAGCAGCGAGATAGCAGCAAAGCACAGAGCAGTACTACACCGCCATCCGTTGAGGATTATGTCGCTTTGTTAAGACGGAACCGTCAGTTAGCCTACGACTATCTACGTGACTTCGCTGAAGGGTGTCCGGACTTACGGACAACGTGGCTAAATTGGGCTAAGAAAAGCCTCGAGACTTTCCGACGGGCCAATCAAGATAGCAACACTTGCGATCCCAAAGAAATGGATAGGAACTTACAGGATCTGTTTGGTAAACTCCCATCTGACCGACAGAGTAGTGTCAGGGCCATCATCGATAATCACGTTGAATATCTCTCTGCATCAGAAAACGTATCAATAGTACGGATGCAGAGCATTATAGATGGCCTAGCTTCCTATGAAAAGAAAGAAGCATGTGGAAGCATGGGCGGTCCAGGGGTGTACATAACGCGTTGGCACTGCCTGTTGGATGAGACCATTGTTACACCAAACACACCAAGAGGTTTGCCAAGAAGTGGGAAGGACGTTAAGGGTGTAAAAGCTCTCGGAAAGACCGAGTCTGTCGCCAAAACAGAGACTTGGGACCCAGATACTCTTACTCGACAGGAGGAGCAAGCGTGGCCCGAACCCCCTGGTGTCTCAACTGTTGTTGATGCACTTGGCCCTCAATTTAAAACTCTAATTGCTAATATTTCAAGCAACGGCCTATCGCCTAAGTAAGAGGCATAGTATTACATAGATACAGGAACTAAGACCATAGCGAGATCCTATCTTATAAACGGTATTGTTACCCAGGCGGATATATACAACGGCAGAGCTCATACAAGGAAAGGGTTGATAGGTCAGAGGCGTTGGATACAATAGACTAGGATAGAGCATATTAATGGTTGAATTAGAGACTATGTAACAATCGATGAAGAAAACAAAGATGTCTCCAGGGGAAGAATGGTCACGAGAAGGGCCCAGCGGATGATAGGATTCAGGTAAGGCCAGAAATTAATGGAAATAATAATCTATTAATACACCAGACAACACGGAACCAATTGTTACTTCAAAACTAAACTGCTACTAATGCATACCCTAAACTCCCTCTTTTCACCCTTTTATTTCCAAACTCTGCTTTTTTATCGTGTTGTGAGGTTTATTGGCGAGTGACGAATAGTGCTGATAAGGATCGGTGACATAGCCTGAACACAGTTAATAAAGATGTAAGCTATAATATTATGGGGGAAAAAACTGGCAGCTTTACCTCTAGTGAGTACCAAAGCCTTTGAAGCCACCGAGAAGTCCAGAAAGCCCGCTCTCGTCCTTATCGTCCACCTTCTTGATCCTAGATCCCTCCGCAGCGCCCCCGGAGCCCCGGAAACCAGCACCCGAGCCCTCGGCGGCGATGTTGGATCCTTCAGCTGCGCCCTGCGAGCCTTCGAATCCAGAGTGGGAGCCTTCAGTACCCGATCTGTATCCCTGGCTACCGTGCTTAGAGCCCTCGTAGCCGGCTCTAGATCCCTCATATCCAGACTTGGATCCTTCGAATCCGGCCCGGAAGCCGTCGGCCTTGTCCAAGGAGGCCCTGTCGGCACTGTCGGCGCCGTTCTTGTTGTTGTGCGCGAGACCTTTCTTGGAAGCGCTCCTGTCAGCGCCGTAGTTTCCGGCCCGGCTGCCTTCACTGCCATGTTCGTAGGCCTGGTGTTGCTCCTCAGCGGCCTTGTGCCCCTGCTGGGCCGCTTGCTGGCCCTCAAAGCCAGCCTGCTGTTCATCGTTGTTGGTGAACTGACCCTCCTTATGAGCATTTTGGCCTTGTTGGCCGGCTACATGGCTGCCTTCGACGGCATGCTGCCCTGCTTTTCCGGCTATCTGGCCAGCAGCGCCTGCCTTTTGGCCACCCTTCACGGCTCCTTGAGCACCCTCGACGGACTTGTGGCCCTTCTTGGATTCTCCCTTAATGCCGGCACCGCCAGCAGTAACGCCAGACACAGTGGGAGGGGCACTTCGGGGGGCATTCTCGACGACCTTGGCACCGGGGGCTGCGAGAGCTCCGACGCCTGGTACCGTGTTGACTGGCGCGGCGTTGGCGGCTGCTGCAAGCAGGGTGATGAGAGCAATGATTGCGCGTTGCTGCATTTTGATTGATTGGGTTGGAAAGGGTTGGAATCTCGAAAGATAGAAGTTGAATAGTTGAATTTATATTTGAAATGTAAGTGGAAGACTAAATGAGTGACTGTGAATGAATGACCAACTAGTTTGATGTTGTTGAGTGAATAATGCCAATTAACTCGAGGATTCTGCCGGTTTTTGTATCTGAATGGCTCTCAATATGATTTCAAGGGAATGGGTAGCCCTGATTTTACTGCATACCTGTCGCCCCTTGATTCTCAGTAGTTGGATTGGATTGACTCATGATTTTGTAGTATGTCTCAGTTCACGCACGCACAATCGGCACTCGAGGGATCACTTCAAGACCGAGAAATCGCAATGTGGAATTCATTTATATTATGAAGGGCTATTCTATGGAGCAATCTTCGCTCTAGGTTCATAGCATACCGTCGCGTCCCTCCTTTGGTGAGTGATCTATTAAAACGGTTCTCCTAGAACTCACCGTCCACAGGTTGGCATGAGATCGATCAATACTTACTCTTAGGGGGTATTTTTCTATCGTCCCGAGTAGGATCATGATGGTTAAATAATTATCACCTATTTAGCTCACGGTATTATCTTTATTTAATTGCTATTCGGGAAGTCAAGTTTAAAATCTTTTTTATCATGGCATGATATCTGTGCTTAAATCCTACGTTCTGCTAATTCGTCTATCGCGCCACCCGGAATGAAGTCGCCAATAGTTGACAACAGCCCGTAAAATCCTCCTGTTGAATTGTTCAACTGCGATGTTTACGATGAATACATGCCCATATCCACCACAGTAAGAAAACTATGGCTGCAGGCGCACAGATAAATACCGCTATCCAGGGTGCAAGACTCCCTCCTCTGGGTGGCCAATCAAGGGATGCATGGGAGCCTTCCCTTGGAAATATCCCCTCGCACCAAGGAGAGGCGGCTCCTGGATCAGGGGAGTCCTGTTCTGGACACATGGCGCGAATTTTAAGTGGAAAAGGGGCCATAACTATTAACAATTGATACTAGGTAGTTGATCAAAATGTGGTTTTCTTTCTTCGCCGTTGTTGGAAGATATATAAGATTAGTGATTGCCTATATAAGCTTGGAAAATAACTTCGTAGCCCCTGAACAATCTATATTTAACTGTACAATACTTCTGTATTGTGGCGTGTTTTGGGTAGTTAGTCACAAGTACAAAGCCTTTGATACACTACTCACGTAACTACTTAAATTCGAAAGAGACTAATGTTCTTCTTTGTATATCAGCCACGTTGATTACACTTATGCTCTTATGTATTAAGCAAAGCATTGACTGCTCACTACGTCATTAGTTATAAATGGATTTCGACTCGAGGCTTTGAACTGCGACCTTGCGATAATATGTGATTTTATTACTTGGTAGATTATGAGTTGTGTTGATAGGAATATATACATCGGCAGATAGTAAATATTCCATGATTATAATACTAGTAACTGTATAAAACGAGTTACTATTGTTCTGTGAAGTAGATAGTCAAACGTATGCCACCTTTCTGATACATGACTCTCTTTTATGGTGATATTAGAAGCTTAAGTGAATAGACTTTATAGGACATATATAGAAAAGGGTTGGCTTCCCAAGGTTCCTTTTCTTTCCTTTTCCGGCGAATATTAATACACGCTTGTATAAGCTTTATCAAGTATAACTAACTAAACAAATTTATTTTACATGTCTTTGTTTGCACGTCGAGGGTGTCATGGGGAAATACTTGTGTACCTATCGACTAAAAGACTAGAAAAGTTGATAAGTTATAAACTGTTTGTTTGCTAACTACTTGTCCAATCAATATTTCTGAGTGAAGAAGGGTACAAAAGTGGGTAGTGCAACTCATGTGATACATCTGTGCTTTGTTTGTATATGTATATTTGCCGAAGATAATACACTACATAATCTGGGGACAAGCAAGGAACCCGGAGCGGTGAACATTTCTGGAATCTTATGCCGCACTGGCCGAATTGCCAAGTCAGTGGAGCGGAGCGTCATTGGATCCATGTATGTCATAAACGCAAACATCCTGGGTTATTGCAACACTTAAAAACATGGGCTTCCGCCTCACTTTGGAGAAAAATCTAGTTTCAATCTCCTAGGTTAAAGGTGTTGTTCAAAGTTAGGGTTCGGTCTATCTAAGACCAGCTCTCATATTGTGGCCGCTATGTTGTCTCCGTTGTTAACGGCCCTCTTCGTATCGTCGCTTGTCGCATCTGCCCCCTCTGGTCCTACAGGCAATTATGCACAATCACCACCGGTTTTCCCCTCACGTAAGTCTATATAGGCCCAAGTAGTCGCGTTGGTTTGGTCACTTATCTGTATTTATAGCACCTGGAAAAGGGGTAGGTAGATGGGCCGACGCGTACGATAGCGCCAGCAGTCTTGTAAGCCAGATGACATTAGAGGAGAAGGTCAACGTCACACGCGGCTTCACTCTTGGCGATAATACCTGCGCCGGTAACACGGGGACAGTCCCGCGACTCGACTGGCCAGGTATGTGCTTGCACGACGCAGGTAATGGGGTTAGAGCTACGGACCTTGTTAACTCATATCCGTCGGCAATCCACGTTGGCGCCAGTTGGGATAAGAATCTGACCTACCAAAGGGCCTTTTATATTGGCTATGAGTTCAAGGCCAAAGGCAGTGAGTATATAGAGAGCCTTTCATAGTCGCCTTAGGGTAGCTGACTTACATCTTATTAGTCAATGTCGTGCTTGGTCCCAATGCAGGTCCCCTAGGGAGGACTCCTTTAGGTGGTCGTAACTGGGAGGGTTTCTCTGTTGACCCTTACTTATCTGGACAGTTAAACGCGGAGACAATTATTGGCCACCAAGACGCTGGTGTAATTGCAAATATTAAGGTATGAGTACGATGCATAGCATTAGAGTATCATCGAGTTGCTAATTCCATCGTCTAGCATTTTATTGCTAATGAACAGGAGACGTACAGACGGCCATACTTTGGGGTTGAAGCTATTTCAGCAAATATTGATGATAAAACGCTTCATGAACTTTACCTCTGGCCGTTTATGGACGGAGTGAGAGCTGGTGTGGCTTCAGTTATGTGCTCCTATAATAGAATTAACAACACCTACGGCTGCGAGAACAGCAAACTCTTGAATGGTGTTCTTAAAACCGAACTTGCCTTTGACGGATTCGTACTCCTTGATTGGAACGCTCAACACAATCTTGAGAGCGCGAACGCGGGACTGGATAGTATGTCCTCCTACTTGCGAGCTTCTTAACTTGAACTATAGTTACTAACTTATGATATCAATAGTGCTTATGCCTGGAGGTGGGCTTTGGGGCAATAACCTAACCGAAGCGGTTCGTAACGGATCCGTCAGTGATGATAGAGTCACCGATATGGCTACTAGGTAAGAAAAAGGTCGACTCTTAAGTTAATTACTAGTCAGCTCAACGCGTTTAGGATTCTTGCAGCATGGTACCTTGTTGGCCAAAACGGTAGCAACTTTCCGGTCCCTGGAATCGGGATGAAGAATCTCACTTTACCTCATGAGCAAGTCGATGCTCGTACCCCTGAATCGAAACCGATCATATTAGAAGGTGCGATAGCCGGGCATGTTCTGGTAAAGAATAACGATGCCTTGCCTTTTAAGAAGAATCCGACTATGCTGTCTGTTTATGGCTATGATGCTACAATTCCTGATACTAAAAACACGGATAATCTTTTCCAACTAGGTTACACTTCTTCCTCAGAAATGGGCCAAGCAGTATTAGGCACAGAGAATCATTTCAACCAGGCTGCTAAAGGAGGTACAATTGTGACTGGTGGAAGAGCTGGTGCCAATGGGCCAGCCTATATCGACGACGTAAGTAGTTTAAAATTCCTATTCTTCGTTCTTACTAACTTTTATGCAGCCATTGAGCGCTATTCAGCAGAGGGCAAGAGTTGATGGGACATGGGTCAACTGGGATTTAACTTCACCTAATCCGGATGTCAATGCGGCATCGGATGCTTGCTTGGTCTTCATCAATGCTATTGCAACTGAAGGTTGGGATCGTGATGGGCTTCACGACGACTTTAGCGACGGACTTGTTTTAAACGTGGCCTCCAAGTGTCTGAATACTATCGTCGTCATCCACGCCGCAGGCATTCGCCTCGTAGATCAGTGGATCGATCATCCTAACGTCACTGCAGCAATTATTGCTCACTTACCCGGCCAAGATAGCGGTGAAGCCTTAGTCCAGCTCCTCTATGGAGAGGCTGGATTTTCGGGGAAACTACCATACACTTTGGCGAAGAACGAGAGTGATTATGCAGTATACGCCCCGTGTGGTCGCGGCCCGTCAAATACGACAAACCCGCAATGTGATTTTACTGAAAAGGTCTACGTTGATTATCGCCACTTTGACGAGAATAAAATAGCACCACGATACGAATTTGGGTATGGATTATCGTACACAACATTTACCTATTCTTCGCTCTCAGTCGAGCCCCTGATTATTACACCGGAGCCGCAAGGATCCTCTATTCCGAGTCACGATGAAGCTTTATGGAATATTGTGGCTATTGTTAAAGCAACGATTTCTAATTCCGGAGAGGTATCCGGCGCGGAAGTAGCACAACTCTACCTCGGCATCCCGAACAGTCCGCCCAAGCAGTTACGCGGCTTCGAAAAAGTTCTTCTTGCCCCAGGAGAATCTGCCGAGATCACTTTCGAACTTACAAGGCGTGATCTTAGTGTATGGGATGTTATCACCCAGGGATGGATCGTACAAGATGGCCAATATGATTTATATGTTGGTGCTAGTAGTCGGGATATCAGATTGACAAGTAGCATCGCAGTCTAGTGGGCAGCAATGCGCTTTGATACAGATACCTTAATGAAACAGATTACGATAATGTCCTAATACTTAGTGTAATAGTACCTAAGATATATAAAGAATAATACTCTTATTTTGGCTTCTGAAAGCCTCTTCGCTTCCGTAGTTGATCACATCCCTAGTCCCGTAAATATTCCTCAGGCTCTAGTAATGCATTCACGCAGCTATCCTTCCCACTGATTGGGTTGCACCGCACAGCTATTCCACCTTTGAACCGCGCAGAGTAGTCAACATGCCAGCGGCTAGTTAGCCCGTAGGTCGGGAAGTCAGTACTAACAATTTGAGCTCCGCTATCAAAAGCCGAGTCGCGCATGGACGTTGTATCATTACTTAGAATTGTGGTCAGTGGCTCATCCGCGCGTGTACGTACCCAGTAACCTGCGTGAACCTGCCTCTGGATATATTCTAGACTAGTCGCATTCCGGGGGTCATTTAGCTTCTGGAATACGCAGTCGTCGTACCCAGGTTTCGAGTTGGTGAAAATTACGCGGCCTTCGAGATTCGGGCGTCCGGTAGTGTAGACATCGCGGATTGACCCCGGTTCGTTATCCATTAGAAAGAAAACACGACCGCGAGCCGAGTCCAAGTCCGGCCATTCGTATTTTAATACAGACTGCTCTAATGTGTGGTTATCGCGCCTGAGATCATCCGCCGTGATAAGCTGTGATGGGGAGAAGACGGAACGAATCTCCTCGTCAAGATCATCCAAGAGCTCGCTATCGTTCCACGGAATAAGGGGAGCCCCACCTCCAGTCCCAGTTTCAGCAGTTTTGAACTCTAGCATAAATGGGATCGGCACATGATTAGGGTGTTCTTGAGACCACTTCTTCACTATGGTTAAGCATTCAATAAGTGTATAGCAACTAGGCCAAACATCGGCGTCTGAGACATGGAGAACCTTCACTCCGGGTTTGTTCATCACATCCTGTGGCGGCAACTCAGTTCCGGAGTTGCGAATCACGAGCGGTGTCGCGTACTTGCCCCCCTCCGGATCCGCGAAGATGTCAAGCTCGAAGCTGCGCACAGACTGGTACGAAGCTTGAACGTCAAGCGCCGCGTGTGAATAGTAATAATTGATGACGCTTTCAAGCAGCTGGGCTTGCGCTTCACGCGCCTCTAACGGGGATTCTCTATGATAAGAATTGTGTGTACCGATGACCTTTATATAATAAACCATATTAGGTTTCCAATCTCCATATAACCCAAAAAGGGATGTGTTAAGGGGTAAGTTGGAGTAGCGAAAGCCAGCCCTTACTTGGATTTGGTTCATTCGAACAGCACGAGACCACTTGAGGCCATTCTTGGTGTAGATACCGTCAGATATAGCGGGCTGCCCTATTTACATCATTAGTTAGAACGGAAATATTTCTACGAAGATAAGTTAATGGAGCTTTTACAGCATAAGATAATAGCGCCAATCAGAGCCGTCTTTGAGAACTAGGTTCACCGATCAGAAACCCATTTCGTTCTAGCTAAAGGTTGATACAAATGCATACCATCTTGTTAAATAATACGTAGTGGGAAGTCTAAGGGCTTAAGGAATGGGGAACAAATATATTAATATCAAAATCCTACAAATTCTAAGCCTCTCGACGATGGAATTTATATAGTTCACAGCACAGACTACAATACCTTGACGAAACACAACGCTACTAATTCACATTATCGGTGTTCACATTGTGCCAGTGAGTTGAGAACCGCATTCTACATTAACTATCGATATTGAGCTAGACCAATGAGCTAATAGGATAGACACTCGTGTCAAAATGCCAAGTTAAGGGAGCGGGGATGCCAACCATTGCCAAGTCTCTGTAGATGGGGGCGCCACATAGTAGGGCTGAAAGCGAGTACGAGATGATGATTCGAAAGTGATATCAAATATGCATATAGGTTTGCTAGAGTCTACCTCCAACAATATAAACACCAGTTCTTACTTGGATTTTGAAGCGTATCCTATTTAACTATAATAACTAGGTAGTAACTACTATATTCTCAATTTATGGTGATTAGATGTAGCCTTCGTAGAGAAGCAATTGGTCAACCCCTTCCATATAAATAGTCGAGAAGGAGAGCTACATCATAGCATGATAACAAATTACACGTGCCCAACTCACGCGAACCTCGGGCTTAATGTGTATGCCTAAGGTGTTCCAACTGTCTTATATTCCATATCTTTAAGGGAGTGTACTGCAGCAGGAAGTACTGCAAATCGGTTAATCAAAGAATCCGAAGAGTTTCAGTCCAACCGAATCGATAATTAGTTCCGAGTCCATCGGCCTTCTTAGACATAGGCTACACTTCTGCCCCCCTTGCTCCTATTATAAAAGAAGGTCAAAGCGACAACGGCAACTCCGAAAACGAAGGCTAAATATTCAAATACGTAGTCGGCCTGATGCATGATTCGGGATTAGTAAGTATCCTAGTTAGATGCTCTGATTGTTTTTCTTGGAATGGATTCGTGTTATCCCTCAAGTGCATTGGCATTTCGAACGAAACTTAGAGCAATGGAAATATTATAAATAGGTAGGTACTGACCTGCACTCTTTGACATCGACCTTTTGCATCCTGATCATCAGGCCTGCCTGGGCAATAAGTTTTACCGGCGAGGGTCCCACAGCCACCATTTAGGAGTTTATTTATAGCTCTTTCATAGATGCTCTCGTTATCATCACCTGTACAGCTTGGTATGGGTTTTAAAGCGACTGTCAATGCCTGACACAGAGTGATATTAGCATATTTATATCCACTATTGGACCTGAAAGCTTATATTCATCCTGCAAATTTACTTACAATGGCGCCAGCAAGGTAAAGCGCTGTAGCAACACCATCTGCTCCCATTGATACTATGCTAGGGATCTTATCGATGAACAGGGCGGCAATGCCTATCAGCGAGACTAGTATACCGAACGCGCCGCAAAAACTTCCAAATGAAGTTTCTGCAGGAGGGGAACCTTCGACTTGTTGCTTCGCAAGAGTCACTGAAAGACCTAGTACTACTGCACCGAAGAGAAGCTAAGCGCTAATGAGTATGATGATGTCTGGTATAGTGAGGGTAAATATTTGCGGGACATACCAAGAAGCCTCGAACCCCCAGTACTGCTAACTTGAGCATCGTGATACGGGTAGTAGAAAGAAGGTCGAGGTATTATGAAGAAAACAAGTATACGGGGGAGTTTGATCGTATGAGTATGGCCAGGCTACACATAAATTGCACTGAGGAAACTCCAAAAAGAACAAGACACAAGCCGAACAAAAAGGGCGGCTGTCCTAACCTACTAGGGATTCATATATATACTGCAATCACACGGGCTTGGCATATAGAGGACATTGACTCATTGCTGCGGTGATACGTAGTCTCGAACAAGATATATTGGTTTCGGTGCAGCTGCCTAGCCGCTGTCATTGTAACATTAAATTCGGGATGGACATGGGGGATTAAGTCGTTGGTAATTTTATTTCTGGCTACAATTTAAGGCTTGTACTTAATAAACAATTCTTACGGATGTGAATCCAAGTCGAAACAGTTCTAAATCATTGTATTACATCACATCTTAACCGCGTTGGGTTCTGGAAGAAAATAGCATCCTGCTATGCAAAATTATGATTACATTTTATCAGGTACCTAGCTGGGTAGTTATTGGCTTAAAATATACGATAGCTATGATATCTGGGTTTGACGGGTAGTGCCGACCTTGTTGGTTTAAATTAGAACCGTAGAAGGATCTGTAATACGACGTGCATGGTTTTATGGGGGATTATAAAAAAAAAAGCGGTTGGTTAAAGTATATTAAGCGATGTCTACAGTATGTCTGGAGGATGATAGACCTCACGATATGCGGGCCATCGGCCCCCTTCTTTTCAACAAACCCCACAACTCAAAACATTTTCACCAGGTAAAGATGCGTCTGATTCGCTAGAGCTGCAGCCTGCCGCATTCCCGTCTTGGCATGGCGAAAAGTCCTAGACGGGGTTGAACATGAAATTCTACCCAATACATGATACGTGGGTACTGAAAACGCCCGATAGTTATGGCGTGGTTTGGAATAAGGAAGGTCATAAGGCTGATCGGGGGAAGTAAACTACTCCATGTACAACTAGGGCGCAGCTTGGGGGCCAAGCGGTACCTTTACCTTAGGTATGTAAGACAGGGATCGACCGTGCTTTCATGTCTTTAGGTAGTTATTGAATACAAAGTGCCTATTTATAATCCTTGCAACCTGAATCAACCATTCCATGTCGAGGCCGAAAATCCTATTGGCAAAATAATAAGAACAAGAAACAAGAAACAAGAACCATAATCTACCACATTCGTCTCTGCTCTCGAGTTGAGTCCATGAGCCAACCCAGAAGAGTCTGCTCGATCGATGCCATCCCGCGGGTATGTCTCCTCAACTGTTCCTTAGTTAGGTGAGTCGACCTGCCAGCTTTGGTGCGATACCAAATGGTGTCTTCTATTTCCGATCGAACCATGGCGTTTAGCAGTGAAACATGGATTTGGTGGCGCTCACTTTCAGCTGAAGCCTTTGATAGGGATTCGTTTGTCTCGCGTGTCACGAACTCGGGCCAAATAAGCGCCAGGATGTCGTCTAGAGATTGTCTAAGCCCCATGCCCATATGTTGATCTCTATGCGCCCGATGTCCAGCTGCGTCTAAAGGCACGTGGGCGAGTGTTCTTTGCCGGCATAAGACACATTCGTCGGCAAGAGCATACCGAATATGCGATCGAATATGTCTCCATCTACATTCTATACAGCTTTGCGGGTCTCTTGCACCTTCGGGGATCGTCAGGGGAAATGTGTCCCGGATTGGATTGTTGCCTTCAACTGGAATTAAGGCCGGCGGGATGGCGTGGCCGCAGCCCTGATATGCCATTCTAAACCCACAAGTCGGGCAGACGAGGTCTGATCCTTGAGCTAAGAGGCTCCTGATGCATCGGTCTCCAAAAACATGACCACATGCAAGAGCTACAGTCCGTTCGATATCATGTTTGATATAATCAACAAAGTTTCGATGTAGTTCGAGATGTTCCTTGGGGGGTTCGATAGAAGAAGTATATTCTCTGGCGCTCTTCGATATATCCAGTTTGCTCTCCTGGCAGATCGCGCATACGCTTTCTATGGCTACGCCCTCCGTGTCGCCTTGAGTGTCGAGGAGTTGTTGGAGGTAAGGGAGATAGTTGCTTCTTTGTACTTTCGCCATGGTATTTTGAAAAGTCTTTATCCTTCTGGTCCTTCTGGTATATCGTAAGATGATGTACTTCGACGGACGCGCAGGCGCAGGGACGGCCTGTCGAGTTGCATTTGTATTCCGGCCAAAATAATACCAAGGAGGTTAGAATTCACATGTCATACCGGACAGAACAAAGCTTCTTTTTTGACATATAGATAATTAGGCATAAAGATCATAGGTAGTTCTTTGGGCCACAATACAATCCCGTTGTAATGGATGCGGGGGGATACTGAATCGTGTTTGCGACAATGACGCCCGTCAATAAAAGCATACAGAATCATAGTCGCCTAATAAACCGCCTAATAAATGGACCAATGCAGTAATTAAGCAACCATCCACATGCAACCACGTCAGCGCGTCGTAAAGTCCGCCACGCTTGTTTAAGTACCTTAGGAACAAAGTTTGCCGCCTTTCACAACCTCAGACTCCTAAAGACACCAACGAACCATCATCTACAATATTTAAAATACTTCGTGCAAAATAGTTCATATTTTTCAAATTCTTCCAAGATCTAGCAATGTTAGTTAACCTGTTCCTGAAACGATTCTTTATTTTTCCGAAAATATCTACATCCCCTAATCAACCTAGAACTTAGCACTGGTACGACTTTTAAAGGTGGTACTTTTAGAGTACATATAACAGCGTAATGGTTCCTCTTGAATCATCATTACAATATAGCTACCTTTCTAGTAGTTGCTTCGGGTTTTAATTCTCGTTAGGTGTTGCACTTAATTTATTAGAATAACTAATGAGCCCAAGGTCAAACAAATCCCCATGGAATCCCTGGATTAGGTTAGGTACCTCTTATATGTTCCTAAAATCCCACTCGAAATATCTCTACATCAATCACACCTCTATCTAAGTAATACTCTGAATGTGTGGGCTAGGTAATAGCTTCCAAGTGATTACTATCTCCTTAGACATATTCTCCATTTCATTCGTTTCGTGTTCCATCTCTTCCAAGTCGTCTATATTGAAAATGTTAGAACCCTCTGGCCCATACATAAGCCAAGGAAGAGGGGACGCCTTCCAAGCCGGGAAGCTCCTATGTTCCTTAGAGCATATAGTCCATATGAATAGTACTACGGTCAAGAGAGCTAATGACGATGGGAATGCGATCCATTGCCATTGCACCTTTATGCAAGTAGCATAATGGAAAACTTGGCCAATTGCGGGCTCCGAATAGTTTTTGTCGCCATTAGTCCGAATATAAGTAGTCAAGGATTCTGATATGTTTGCAAACATATCTTGAACGTGGTTGAAGTCGATACGGCCATAGTCATACATAAGGTTTATAATATCCGATCCATCAAAATTGCTAAGAGTCATGCCGTATTCAACGCTATTTTCGCCAAATCCCCTCAAGGCACCTCCGAAGTGTGTGCCTATAATAAAAGGCCCGAAGCTGGATGCAAAACCAGTATCCATGAAATATAAGCACTTCCGGGTAAGAAGTGAATTAGTCATATTCATAGTTAATGATTTGCTTGAATAAATATCGAATGAGACGTTGTAAGGAAGCCAGCGGTGGGTTTCGTCGACAACATACCCATAGCCTCTCAGTGTATTTTTATCTTGGGGCGTAAGGCACTCAGTATCTATAATACCAAGCCCTCCGTTTTGTATAGGATCTTTGCCCCATACCACATCGTCTGATTGAGTAAGTAGATGCTCAGTCAAGTGACCTGCTTTTACTGTGGAATTATATATCCTTACACATGGTTGGACTGCACAAGTAGCTGCGCCGTATCCCCTACAGCGCCATTTATTAACCGAAGTCCCGTTCTCACAACCCTTCATAACTTGTCCCGTGGACATGTCAATATGTCTATCAGAGAATGATGTCTTTCCAGCTAGTATTTTAACTATAATTCTCTCCGGTCTTTTTGGCCTTTTAATGTCGTTGTAGTTCTTAGCAAAGAGGCTCACTTTAGCTACTTCGACTCCATTCTGCTCGCAACTCTCATAAGGAGCAGACTTGGAAATATTGATTGAATACGTGACGTTTAGACGCGAGGGCCCTGTTTGATCGTTTATCGAATATATTCCCTCAGGAAGACTGGATTTGATTATAATCGTTTCATTGTAATATGGCTCTACGGTTGAGTTCTTAATAGGAATGTAACTCGTGTCAATAGTAATCTCATCCGACGTATCTTCGCAGTAGCTGCAGTACCCCAAAGTGCCGTAAGATTCTGGAAACGAACAGTTTCCAGTTGCGCAGTCGGGATATAATCCGTTCCCTAATTTTGTAATTCCTTGTGAAATAGCCGCGTCAATATCACGGCCAAATGTTCGTACCTGAAGCTGATCATCAAATTGATTTGTACGAGCCAATGTGGCTATTTTATCAGCAACTACTGTACTACAGTCGTAAAGGCCAATAAGCTCCTGGATAAAAGGATCGACGCCAACAGATAAAATAAAAAGAAGTCCACCTAAAGCCGTTAAAGGATGGCATAATCGCTGTGCCCAAAGCAATTGTAGTGATCCCCATGGACCTTGGCGCGCATTATCGTATCGAACGAGGTCATAAATCGGACGCCCCTTGGAGAACCAAACCCATTGAAACTGGCCAATGCATGAGGCAACCACGAATGTTAGGCCAGCCTTTAGTATCATGGAGTAAATCGACAACAATGTGTTCATAGATATCCGAAGCGGCCATTGAGGCAAAGATCGACCATCATATGGATATAGCGTAGCTAGCATAACCAAAGGTGATGCTAACACAAGGACGCAAGACATAATCTCCCATTTCCAAAACCTCCAAGTGTATAATAGGATTTCAAGCCCAGGCGTCTTAGCATGTTTACTTGAAGTCGTGTATGGAGAAGCTTTATGTGATTTAGGACGATTTGTAAAAACCTGTCTATATCGACCAGAAGTGGTTTTCAAATGCTGGTGATCGGGGTTTTTATTTTGGCCGAAATGTAGTTGGTTTCCCGAAGGCATATCTGGTATTGGATTCATAATAAAGTACAGTAGGCTTCAGATACGAAGTATTAAAGAGAAGTTTGAAGTCTTAGGATAGTCGTCGCAGATTGATGAGTAAACTTAGGTAGGTCATAGTTAGGTAAAAAGCACAGATTCTCTGCATGGAAACCGAAAAATGTTTCAACAAAATTATTTTCGTGTAACTGAGTGGCGCTTCTATATATCGAAGAGCATGTACTACATTTGCCACCTGTTTTAGACATTGGGGGCACTCAACTACTGCCGTGTAATATAATAGGGGCAATGCTACGGCTTGGCTGATAGTAAAGATAGATGGTGGAAAATGACTAGAAACTGGCAGCCCTAGAATGTGCCTGCTTCGTTCAAATTTAATGACAGTACCGTACCAAACTCCAGGAGTCTACTGATATTGAACACGAAAGGGGGCTTCATTAACTACCTCTTACCCCAAATAACATGGTTAAAAAGCACTTAGGGATGAACAAAACTCTGCACTGTGATGCTAACTATTTTCCGATAAAAAACTCTCATGGCCTCCAGATGAAAGCCTAGCTAGAAACTATCTTCCGTCCTGAATAGATACACTCGGTAGGTAGGCTACCTGACTGCTACCTACACGATAGATATCATAGTTAGGTACCTATATATGCAACATGATAATGAATTTATTCTTAAGCGTACGGCTCCCGTATAGCCTCCTCCCTATTAATTTATCTATCATCAGCATCGCCGTCCTTGAATAATGTACGAGTCTCGAGATAAGCCTGCTAAAAGATGCTTGTCTAAAAAAAATCGAAATTACTGATGAAGAAAATATCGGTTTTTAAACAAGATTGGGATCTCATCTAATAGCCTTTTAACCTCAATATAATGAAACGATCTAAGCATCTTAACCCGAACTTCAGTAAGACGATCCAAGAAGTGGGTTGTACGAAAATGTTAGTTGACCGTTATAAGCCTAAACTTGAAGGTTTTCTTAAAAGATCTATTTGGTAGTTTCTCCTTGACTTCGTCTCCGGCACTACCACATTCTCACTTTTTCCTCTACTCCTAATGTCGGCATCACCATGACTATAAAAACATCCCAGAGCTTTCCACGGTTGTTTCGAAATTGCGAGAATCCAGATACATGCTGTGTCAGCGAAGGAAGTTAGGTATATAAGGGTTGCAAGGGGCGGGAGATAATAGCCACTCATCGAATCCTAATTTCTCGGGTAGCGTCTCGTTACACTACGGTGAGGGGTTTACATGGCAGTAAATGTCCATTGATCACGAAGCCTGCTTTGCGACACCTGCACCGAAAAATGGCATGCGAACGTCGGAGTTAAAAACGTGGGTTGGATAGGTAGGGATGCAGTTGAATAGTAAAGAGTCTACAGTTAGGTACTATTGAAGATCTTGATCACATGCTAATAATAACAGAAGTCTCTTTCAAGAGTTATGTCCATACAACGTATTTACTACCTTTGACCACAGCTTGTAGTACTTGAGGAAGGGAAGTCCAAACGCGTTCATCGTCCTTCCTGGATGAAATACTTTTTTATCAAATTACTATATACCTATTAAAATATTTATCTCATATTTATGATAGTAACATTAAACTTGGATCTCATTTTAATCCGATACTTAAAAGAATTAAATATTCCATTAAAAGCGAACCAATTGAAGAAATTGCAAAAAGTCTTTAAGCAATGAATGGGCTCCCGCCTGTCTTGCACGTGGCTTTTCCTAGATCAGATGTTTTCTACCTAATGAATAATAGGTCCGATTTATACTCCGTCTAATAGTTCCGGCCATCTTTAGAGTAGGCCCTCCCATCTTTAACTCTCTTTAACATCAATGTAAGTTTAGTCTGTCTGTCAGTTTACTCAGAGTCTCAGCGAAACTAAGCCATTCCGTAGAATATAACTAAAAAAAAACCTAAGCGCCTCCCAACTAAACTAAAAGCTAATTTTCGCAACATTATATGATATCGAGAACAACATTCTACAGTCATACTCGGTTGATAGGTTGAGAGGTAAGCGCTGTTCATAATGTGTCTTGGGCAACTTATCTACTCCACTAAGAATGCTACCTGCTATCCTCGTCGATCTTTTCCTTTATTGGTGCTTATCGGCACTTTCGCGTAGATGACTTGCAGTAGATCTCGAATCAGTCTAGCTGTTAAGATTGCAGTTGAAGATCGTTCCTTAGATTTAAATAACGGCAATGCGTACCTAACCTAACCTAATCTAATATACATAGACTCATAGAAAGGGAGTGTCACGTGTGAGTTAAGACATGTAAATAATTATCTGAACCATTATCCGAACTATATTATGCGGCTTTAGGCTCTAGGTGCAACCTATATGCAAGTTAAACCATGATTCAAATTTAAATTCCTGATTTCGATATTGATGCAAGGGGTTGTGACCCTCCGTATTCATGCTGTCACACACGACAGCAGGAGCTACGCTTCGAGCCGAGCCTCTCACTACAACCTGCCCCTTATTTCTTTATACTGTGGCGTTTATAAGTCACTCGGTATATATGACAGCTGATGAATGTTTAAAATTCATGTCAGGTACACGGAGTAGGTCCTACCAATCATATGTTCTTGCAGGACAACCCAGATCCGATAACTCAAATGCCACCAGATAAGTGCCTACTTGCATCTCTTAGGGCGGACAGGGGGGGGAACAGACCGCGGCGGGTGGCTTTTTCGTATCCGTCCTGTCAACAGACTGTGAACACTATTTAAGCTTGGCAATAGACTCGCATGGCACAAATCTTGAATAGAGAACGGACATTGCGTGCGGCGCTTAAGTGTTGCATCGGATCGAGGGAAAGCCACCGAGCCCATAGCGATATTGGGGAAATATGACTGGGTTGCTAAACTTACATCGCGTTTAAACTTCTCATATGAACGATGCGCATGTGGACGATTTATATATAAAGCACCTGCGTTTGGCATCAAACGAGGTAATCCATCTACTATTCTACTAGTTATACGACAGTTTCTCTAAATATTTACGAAGAACTCTTTACGAATACCAAACTGTGAAGCATCATTGGGTTATTAAGGATTCATTCGAGCTCAGTATACCGTCACTTTACAAGTACACAGACATGTTGCCATTTCTGTCATTGGCGGCATGCTGCCTTTCATTATCCCCCCTAGTTTCTGGGGCAGCAATCAGACGGGAGTTGGTACCATTAGATGCGACCAAAGTAGCGGTAGATGCTATGATGGCGTTATACGATGAGAAAACAGGCCTTTGGGATCCTAACAATACAGCATCGTCTTGGTGGCAGAGCGGTGTCGCTCTTTGGGCTCTCACGGAGTACATGGTTAAGTCGGGATCTCACGAATATCTCCCCCAAGCACTAAACACAGTCCAAATCCAGCGGGCACCTCTCAGCTGGTGGCCGGATGGAGATGGCGACTTCCGCGCTGACAGTACTGATGATACGGCCTGGTGGGCGCTCGCAATGACTAGTCTATATGAGCTCACAGATGACGAAGAATACCTACTCATTGCTCAGGAAGATGAGGCCTACATGTACAAATACTGGAACACGACAACGTGCTCGGGTGGGCTTATTTGGAGTATTCCAAGCCGGACTTATCATAATGCCATCAGCAATGAGCTTTACCTAGAGCTTACGGCTAAGCTGCACAACCTCGTCCCAGGAGACACGACATACCTAAACCACAGCCTACAAGAGTGGGAATGGTTCAAGAACAGCGGCATGATCAACAGCGAAAACCTTGTTAACGACGGGCTAACGGACGACGCCGCCTGTGTCAACAACGGAAGGACAACATGGACATATAACCAAGGAGTGATCCTAGGCGGCCTCGTCGAGCTATACAAAGCTACTGGGGATAGTTCGTACCTCGACGAAGCGCAACGGATAGCAGATGCCACAGTCAGCAGCGCGCTACTAGTTAAGGACGGAACCCTGACAGAACCCTGCAGCAGCGAAACAGAATGCGAGCCGAACGGCACATCGTTTAAGGGCATATTTATCCGGGAGCTGGCTAAACTCAACGCTGCGCTGGATGACCACCCCTATAGCACTTTCATCGCACAAAACGCTGTCACTGCGTACGAGAACGCGCGGAACGGGTCTAATTTTTATGGTTTCCAGTGGCAGGGGCCGTATGATAATGTCACGATCGGCACTCAGGAGGCTGCGGTTCATCTTTTGGTCGCAGCATATTTATAATAGTTCGGAAGTAGTTGAAATTGTGTTCAATGAGATGGAGGTAATGGCGGCGATTCTGCCCGACTGCATTAGGATGCGATACATTGGGGAAATAAAGCGTTGGATTTATAATAGAGCAGATGCATAAAGTAGAATCTGCATATATTGTTATTCGCATATTGTTGTTCTCTTGGCCATAGGGAGTCTGGGGCGAGCGTTAATAAGGGTCTGGTAACTGGTTTCCGCAGTGATTGCCTATTGAGGCTATTTGGCGTAAAGTTATGAACTCAGATACGAAGTAAGATACCAATGATCGGGGCTTTTTGACGGAAAGTTAGCTTAGGTCTTAATAAAAGTTTACTCTCACTTTTCTTCCCATTGGTCCTGAGGTCATACAACCGACTATGTAGGTGTATATTTATACGCTCTTCCTATCAGTACCAGGAGCAAATCATTGCTAAGCCGGCTACTCATAATAACAAAGCAATATCATATGTAGTATGTGTCCCTGGGAGGGAATTTAAAGCTAGGTTAACAATTGGTTGTCTGATTGGGCAATCAACAAGGCAAGTAACTTTTACTTGGTCGCCCATTTATCTACGTTAGATATCTATATTAATTATTAATGATAAATACGATGTTCTTCGCATTTAATAGCATTGCTATACTTCCTAATCCGAGATCTACAACTTATTCATTGGATAAGGCCTTGACAGTAGCAATGACGCAGCAAATCCAAGTTGCCAAGTCGACCGTAAGGCTTCGCCATAAGTCAAAGCATCTTTACTGGGGCCACCCTAATGGGGACCACCTCAAAATTGCAATACATTTGTAATAAAGTTTATATATAAATTATTATATAATTTTACCAATATTTAATTTATTAAAAAATAAAATATATTATTTAATTCTTTATTTTTTAAAGATTTTAAAATACTTACTTTTTTAGTTTAATTGCGTTATATTGCGGTAATAAATAACGTTTTTAAAGGTATATTTTTGCGGTAAATGTTTAAAAATTACCTTATTTTAAAATATTATTTTACAAATTAAATATTAAATTGTAAATTATAAGAAAAATATTTAAAAAAACGTTAAAAATTATCAAAATATTAAAAAAAAAAATTAGCCTAATAAATTATTACGTTAAACCATATTAGCTATACGTTACTTTTATATTAATTTAAAGATATTATAAAAAAATTATTAGTTTATAATTACCGGTTTAATATTTTTAATAAATATTAATATATATAATTTTTAATCCGTTATTTTAATATTAAATTAATTAAAGTTTATTTAATTAATTATAAATGCGTTAATAATGCTATAGCCGATAATATTAATATATTTTTTAACCGATTTAAAATTTCTTATATTATTAATATTTTTATTATATATATTTATAATATAAATAAAATAAAAATAATAAAAAAGGTTAAAAATAATAAAATAATTATTAAAAAAATTTATAAAAAATATATTATTATTAAAAATTATAATAATAAAATTTAAACGTTAATTATTAAATACGTTAATAATAACGGTAAATCCCTAAATTCTTTTATTATATATATAAATAAATATATATAATAATAGTAATTTTTTAATAAAAATAATGTTAGATTTAAAAGCTAACATTTTATTACATTTTTTAATAGCTAAACTAATAATAATATTGTTTTAAAATAATTTTGTAAAGTTTTTTTACAAAAAATAAAACTTTTAAATTTCCGGTAATAGCGTTTATTAATTTTTAACAATTATAGTAATTATATTATAATAAAATTCTTTTAAGAATATTTTATAAATAAAATTTATATTATTTTTATTTTAATATATTTATTTTATATTTTATAAATTATCGATATAAATATATTTTTATTAGTAAAACAAAATTATTATTAAAAATTTATTAAAATATATTAATTATATTATATTTTTATTTTTAGTAAAAAAGAATTTATTACGGTTTATTAAATAGTATAAAAAAAACGTTTAATTAAAAATAATATATTAATTAATTAAAAAATTATAGAAATTTATTTTAAAAATTGTAATAAAACCTTAAATTATTGGTTTATAATTTAAAAAACTTAAATTATTACTTTAATAATTATAAATTTAATTATTAATTTTAAAAATTTAATTTTATCGAAAAAATGGCTTTAATACTTTTAAAAACACTTTTAAATTTATAAAACTTTAATATTTTAATAAAAAAATTAATTAAAATTAATATAACATTTTTTAAATTTATAGTAAAGTTTTTATTTAAAAAAGTTAATAAAATCTTTAATAATGCTATTATAAAATTAATAATAATAAAAATTTGCGTTAATTATTTAAAAAAAATACTAATTTAAATAAAACCGTAAAAATAATATAAAATATTACCAAATTTTAATTTAACATTTATAAATATTAAAACTATTATAAAAAAGAAAAAATAATTAAAAACCTAAAAATTAAATAATATAATTATAATTAACAATTTTAACGTTAATTTTAAAAATAAAACTTTATTAATTAAATCTATAATAAAAAATTATATTATTATTAAAATGTAATAAATTATAAATTAATTAAATTTAATTTAATTAAATATTATTAATTTAAAATAGGTATATTTATTTTAAAGGTTTAAAAATTTGAGGTGGCCCCTATTAAAGTGGCCTTAATAAGGGTGCTTTGATTTATATGGATATAAATCTAGCTGTTTAGCTCGGAGATATTCTTCTCCTTTGCATCTCCCTGGATAACTCGAATACTAGGAAGGATGAGTAGAACCCATAATATGGCGAGACATTTTATGAATCGGAATGCATATAGTGATTCGTATCTCTGATCAGGGCACGGTATACCTATGGTCTTGATACTACGCGACTAGAGGGAGGAAAACTGTGTCCCTCCCTTGATTGCGTAATAGACAAAGGGCTTCCTGTTGTAACATAGTGTACTTTGTATAAATGTAATTATTGGCAAGTTGGTAAAACCGAATATTGGATGCAAGGGATTGTACCCAATGTGGCACATGGGCAACCACTACATCAATTAAACCCCGACTTAGGTCGCATGATCTCTATCATCGAGGTATACCGAGTTAACTTATAGCTTTTTTAAGAGTTTCAAGTTTTAGATACGTGTACTCTCGAATAATATTAGTTATCATTGCCCGCTACGGCTTGCCAAAGCCAAGACTTCATCATGGGTATTGTCCTATCTATACGTTGTCCGTGGAATCATTTCTTTGCGGAACTTCCAATTTTGTTTGATTGTCTGATTAAGCTTCATTATACATGTAGCATCTCTTCACAATAAAAGCTGCTTCAGAACTATCGCAGCTCTTTTAGGCATCTTAGATCTGATATTAGACTTTGATTCATTGCCTTGCACTATCAAGCTTTAATGTATTAGCACGCTCTAGTATCGCCACCATTTCAGAATGTTGCGCGGACCGAGCAATATCCAATGCGGTCTCTCCTGACTTATTCCTTATAGTCAAATCAACACCATGTTTTAGTAGGACCTCAGCACTTTCTCTGGAGTCCCAATCCGCGCATAGAAACAGAGCAGTTGGGTAATCGTCGTAGTAGAAATGGTTGACATCAGCTCCTTTTGAGAGCATATATTCTGCCAGTTTCGTATTTGAACACGCATTCGCCCAGAGAAAGGGGTCTCTTCCGTTGTTACCTTTGATATGCATGTCGGCGCCACTGTCTATTAAAACCTTAGCACATTCGAAATACTCCTCGTCGCCCAGGCCACTTAATACTACACCGCCTTGAAACATGTTAGTGATTTAGGGTCAATAGGGGAAGCACATCCTCACTACTCACCATCGCCTGGGTAGACATAATTAATATTGGCACCGCTTTCTAGTAGAATGCGGGTCATCTCAACGTCTCTTAGTACCCTCGCAGCAATTTCTAATGGGATATATCCATTGTTGAAGAAGGCTGCCATCTTCTGGTGAGAGCGAATATTTTCATCAAGCCTATCCTCCGTCTCTGGTGGTAGATAATCGTCCTTATTAGCACCATGGGCTAACAATAACCGAACAGCTTCTTTTTGCTGTTGCATCATCGCCTGATATAATGGAGGAAGGCCTAATACATACCAGTTAGTTTCGAACACTTCAAATTTCGTGTAGTAATTACCACTCACCATATTGGTCTCTGGTATTTGGGTCGAACCCTGCAGAAAGAAGAATCTCAAGACTCTGGAGATCGTTGGTTTCGAGAGCTCGATGGACAAGGTATGGTCCAGAGGCTGACTTGTTGAATTTTGGCGCCAGGGTTTTAAGTAGTGGTCTAATGCCGGGTATCTCTTCTATCCTTTGGGTCAAGGGGAAAACCATGTCAGTGGACCCCGTAAGAGAGCATCCCCTTTGCACCAAGACGTTTGCAACGGTTAATGCTTCGGATGAGAGAGCAACGTTTAAAGGAGAACGTAACTGATTGTCACGCGCGTTGATATCAGCACCATGGTCGAGCAGGAGTTGGGCAATCTCCGCATCATTATATATGGCGCAGAAATGAAGCACTGTTTGGCCATCTTGCGTTCTCTCAGCCGTCGAATAACCGCTCGAAATAAGACGGACAACTCCATCGCTATTCCTAGTTCTAACTGCTTCAAGCAAAGTGATTGGCTCTACTAAGAACGGACTTAGGAGTACTTCACTAGATGCCTGCGAATTGGATTGATAATCTAGCGGAGACAGGGGGTTCGGGGGCTCTGGCAATTGATCGAAGTACCTGTTCAAAGCAAAGGCGGCGTCTGTTGATTGAGATATGGATTGACGCCGCCCTTCGAAGGCCGAAACGCTCGCGACATCATCTTCCATCCTCTTTCGGACTCTCTTTCCGCTATCTCGATTCCGAAGCTGAATAGAAAGCTTCTCGTAAACCTTGTTGACATCGTTCTTGATCTCATCCTGGCCTTTTCCCTCGAGGAATCTGCGATTGGCTTAGTATGGCTTGAAGAATATGGTAGTTATGATAAGAATCCAGGCTCACGAACCCATTTATTACTGATATTGTGATATTCAAACTTGTTTTACCCTCCTGAAGTCTCTCCCTCAATGCTTTGATTTCACCTTTCCGCATCACCCAACCAACCATCCTTATCGGACTTCTTCTACCAGACCCTTTTAGAGGCGCTATAAGTATACGGATGGATTGCATACTGTCTTGGCATAGGTTAATACACTCCGTTAAACTATTTTCCAGTGCAAGATCCTCTGATTTTAAATCGTATTTAGCGCAAATATCCTGGAGAGATCCAAGCACCACGGAAAGATTCTGCACGTCGCGACGAATATGAAGTATCTCCTGAGGCGCATCGGTCATCTCTTGAATTAGCGAAATAAGGGCTCTTGATGTAGATAAAGCAAGCCCAGCGACGCCTATGACGCTAGCAACCATTGACAGCGGATCGGCCATATTGATTGTTGGAATTATATGTAAGATGGCTGTAAGATGGCTCAATATCGTGATTTAAAGTATAGGTAATTATGATTCAATGTGAAATTCCACTGATTCTATTCCAACAGACTCATAATAAACAACATGCAAGTGGACTCGTTGAACGTTGAAGCATTACTTAATGGTCGCAGGGCTTAGTGGAAGGATTGCGGCAGCGCCACTTTCCTGTGGCATTAGGTTGCCTCATTCACATGGTTACATTATACTATTTATATCATTGGTTAAATGCGGCTGAGAAAATATACCTAGCTTGCTACTAGGGTCAGCGCATAAAATGTACATGTATTTATACCTAATGAATATTAAATATCAAATATGCATGTATAAGCATTACAACAGAAAATATTTGATATTTTAATTAGGTAGTCATTATACAGCTTTTTGGAGCTATTCTATACCAGGCGATAACAAAAGGTGAGTACCGTCAAAGTGAATATCGTAGAGGTGAGTGTAAAATTTCCTCTCCGTAGTGATCCTTCTTCAATCTTCTAGTTCACCGGCACCGAACCCTAATACATAAACACCATAAATAATCCATATCGGTCGATTTATGCCGAGGCCGTCGTATCGGGCGAAAAGGTCTCGTAGTTCAATATGTTGGCCCTGTATATATGGTAGAATATCTAACCACGGCCTGAAATGGAATCGGAATCGGAATCGAAGTCTTCTCAGGTGTATATATGTTGCAGTGGCGATGTTATGCGCCAGAGTTGTTGATACGCTGATAAGGAGGACTCGATATAAGATGCCAGGCATGATGGTGTGGTGAGTGAGATGTAGATGGGGATGAGTCGGTGTGTCTGTTGGTACAAATATGAATAATTGTTGGTTGGTATGTTAAGGAGCTTTTACTTATGAGAATAGGAGGCTCGAATAAGTTAGGAGGTATTCTTTGATTTAAACAATGATTTATGAGATTGGAGAGGTATGGGAGCTAGTTGGATATTATATACTTATTCCTTATTTGTTAATACCTTTAGAGAAGGTTTACACTTCGAATCTTGATACGGAGTAGCTTCTGTATGAATTATTTAGTTTTCTAATATTGACAGTGCGTAACATGAAAATTTTTAATGATATATTAGGTATCTAGTCATTAGCTTGAGCCTGAGCTTGAAAGCCAAATTGCGCATGGATGATAGGCGTGGGTATTTAAGTCTCATAGAATAGCTTTGCGAAAACATTTTAACAATCTTCATAGTTTCTTCTTTGACAAGGAGCAAAAAAGAAGACATGAATAGCAATTACTAACTCTCTAACCTAATATTTATACCCTTAGAGATAGGAAAGTAATTTAGCCACTTAAAAGAGCTAGAATTCAACCAAAGGTGGGACCTACCTGTTATGTAATAACCCCTCCCCCACTATAGCATTACGTCATGAATAACCTTCCTATATATGAGTAGAAAATGCGCAAATTTTTAATCCGAATTGGTGTAGTGGCTAACATTTGACGCTCTCAAAGATTTAACAATCATGGAACCGTCAAGCCCGGGGTTCGATTCCCCGATTCGGAGTTTCTTTTTCGTGTTTCGATATACTTTTTTTACCTTTTCTAGTAGGTTCGGTAAATGGATCTTTCCCTTGTACCTACTACGTCTTTTAACCATCGAGTCCTTAATAATGCATGCCATCCCCTTTAAATGCGATGCTATTCTTAAAGATGCGGATCGATCCGTCGCCCTTCCCCTTCTTGCTTTCCGATTTTTGGCCAATCTTCCATCTTATGTTTCACGGATGGCCCTATGATGACTATGCTTACTTACAATAACCAAGAGGCCTTTTATCCTACACAAGTCTCTATATCCTAGCTTTCCTTGTATGCTTTGGTTTCGGGTGATAGTCTTGCGATTTGAATCTCTAGGTGATCGGGTATTAGCTCCGACTTTAGCTCCTCCTGTCTTTCCTTACGAACTAAGCCTAAGACCTAAACAAGAACCTATTGAATGAATGGCTCACCTGGTACACGGATATGGAATCATAGAGGGTCCAGGACGTGTGACATTGAGGTCATGTGATACCCCTGAATCCGAACGTGCCCCCTGGCTCCTCAGCACTAGTACTATCGATATAGTCTATATAATGAGGCCTTGCTATCTAGATGGTCTTAGAATATCGGCAGTAGTTAATCTAAGTATCACCTGGATCAATAAAACCACTTTAACCTCGATATTGACGTTATTACTTTTAAACCAAGCCTAGATCGTTACACCTCTCGGGCACCGCATATTAATTAAGGGGAAGGTATACGTCTTATGTTTTGATATATGTTATTGAAATGAATCGAGTCAAATCGAAATGGAGCAGGGCTATTATATGAACTCTGGGTGAAAGTAATTACGATGCGCGAGGAACCAGAAGCCGCCAAACCGCCGTGGCTGTCCTTCCTCCCATTATCTTCCCTCCTCTGTCCATACATCTGATTTTAGTAATCATCTAATTGAATATTCCCTAACCGGTGATTATTTCAATTCTTATTCGTTATTAACGAGGACATATCCCCGAGCTGCCAAGATATTATTGCGCGAAGGACTAAGCTGAAAAGAGGACATGTTTAATGTGACCGCAGGACGGAAAATTGCATATAGTTATCGTGAGGGGACACAGGTCTAACAAACAATGAATTCTGGGAACGAGAGATACGTCTCACATCCTAGGCAAAGGTAAAGGTGTGTGTGTGTATCTATCTATAGATAAATTTAGCTGCTATCTAGTTAAAGAGCGACATATAGCCTTTATCAGACTGTCATAATAAACAGTGACCCCCGCCTCCCTTCCTTTCGTGATGATCCCATCCGAATATACTCACTAAGCTAATTATCACTACAAAGTAGCTACTGGAATTGGAGTGCATCCAATAGACTTTGGTACTGAGTTGGTCAAGACCTAGAGATTTAATTACCAGGACCCGTTGGAGCCCCAATCCGCTTCGAGAATTTGTCTTTAAATATCTGGAAGGACCTAGTAATGCCCAACTCCTCCAGATATGCGGTAACGTGATGCTGACTGGAATGTGCTTTCACGTCGCTCACGCTTTCGATAGGGTCTTTAGGTGGGGGGCGACCAACGAAGTTTTGTCCCGGAAGGGGAGTATACGGTATGAACGAATCTCTGGATTTGTCCTTAGCGTCGCATACCACATCTTCTGCAAAAGGCTGAAAGTCATCGCTGCAGTGGAGAATCTTGGTTAGAATATTATCGAGATTTCTTTTGTGGTCAGGATTAATAGACCAAGCCTGGGGCACGATGTCGTAAATGTTATAGAAGTCTGTGTTGTAGACCTTGTAGTCTTCGCTTGATACCTGAGGATCCTTGGGGAAGACTTCGGAATATTTCTTGGCGAAAACGTCGTTTCCGGGAGAAGCTCCGGCGGACGGCAGAACCTTGACCGTATTTCTAGAGCCAATCTTAGACCCTGCCAATCCCAATGCAGAAGTCGGAGCAAGGGCTCCTCCTAGACTGTGACCTGTGAAGACGACGGTGTAATCTGGATCAAGCTGCTGCAAGTACTCATCGATACGCAGACCACTATTAACTGCCGTACTAGGATTGTTCAACACATTCCACGTGCCATCGCAGATTCCCTTTGCACAATAGGACTTGGAAGGGTCTAGCTGATCGGAATTGGCCTTTTCGGGTTTAGGAATGCCCTGAGAAGACCACGACTCAACCCAGACATCAAAGTCCACGACCTCAGTGACATTGAGATCTTGTGTTATGTCTGCATCTGAATTCTTCGCCGTACCTGCAATGGAAACAGCGCAGACTTTATCAATGTCATTAATGGCCGCAAACCAGACATTGTCCGGACCGCCTTTCGGCTCATCAGGCTTCTCTTTGAAGACTCTTGGCCCCCAGGAAATAGACCAGGTGCCTATCAAACGTGGAAGGATATCTTCAAGAATTTCCTCTAGTGCAGCTTGGAGGTTTGCTTCTGTGCCTTCCGTGCTCGAGACGAGGTTGGAGGCAAAAGAAAGGCAGTAGATTTGTTGGAACAAGTCGTAGTCGCGCCCAGCCATTTTGAACTGACTGTAATAAGATCCTAGTAGAGGGCGTTAAAGATTATAATATATCTATGTATTAGATGATTGAGAAATGAATTGAGTTGGAGAAGGGCTTGATCCGAGAGAATATATGAGACTTAAATAATGATTTTACTCTACGAGGACGGGTCGGAACTTGTCTTCTCATCTTAGCTATTCTTTACACAATCCTAGGTTTCGGTAAGCTCAAGCATGATTGTAGACACATGCTTAATTACTATGCATTATCCTGGCCAATCTCGATAGTCTATTGTTCCGAATAATCCACCCTCTAGAAGCCACCATGTCTCATCGGAGGCAATATAGTTTAAGATTTACGTGAAATCATGTAATGGTAGCTGATGGTACGTAAGTATTCTATTCATGTGACATCATATCAGTCGATGCGGTGCAGTAAGGAGGAGCTGAAATGTTGTGATTCCATGGCTTGTGAGACTTATTTTTTAACCGGTGAACGGTGTCTAGGTGTCTCCAAGGAAATAATGAATGGAGTGGGGTTGTTCTATTGTTGCCAATATATCTCTTTAGGATGGCTTAACCAAACTGAAAAGCCACCATGTCTGTCGGGACTGGTTTGGAGTTTGATAGGTCGTGGGACGTGACTTTGATAAGAGATGGCCGTCAGCATTAGTCGTGTAAGTCATCAAATTGCGTAAAGGGCATGGACCATTGGCTAGATTCCAAATGATATAGTATTCCTCACGCAGCCTGTACATATGGCTCATAATTCATTCAGCAGTGCTGTGAAACCGGGAAATTTTTTGAAGTTGAGGTACAACTATCGTAGGTATAGGTAGTGACTATTGGCAGGGACTTCGTGTTTCTTTTCGTTGGTTCTGGCAAGACAGCTGTCTTGACCCCATGTTTCTTCGCGCTCCCTTTCCTAGCTCATATTCTTGCTCATGCTATAATTTCGTTTCTAGCTTATCTAGAACTTCTGTTCAGCCACTAACCGAACCTCCCGTTCAGGGGCTTATAATATAGAGAATAGGAGAATCGGAGCTCTATCGGATGCAACTCACCTGGCTATGATCTTATTCTACCTGGCGGACCATTCTCCTTTTGGCAAACATTGCATCATCTTCTTCAATACCTACCTATGCATCATGTAGCTGCTGTTCTCGCATGCAAAGATACCATTGCCAATATATAACGTCTAACAGTTTACAGCCATATACAGCAACATATATAATTATGCATAACGTAATTTATTCTAGTTATCATTAGAATATTGCAATTCCGAATGTCGGCACCTTTGATTCTACGTAATTCGAATGTATGTGATATCGTCTGGTACGCCAACATAGGCTTATTGTCTAGTCCTACCCGTTGTTCTCCTTGTCAAGGACAAACACACGCAAGTTACGTGAGATATATTAAAAATTTGTATAATATTCTTTGATACTATAAAAAGGTTTATTAAGAAGCCCAACGCCGACGCTATGTGATTAGCATTCACGAAATCATTGTTCGAATTCAATTATTTTGACTTGTTCATGCCTGGGCACGTCCACCACTTCCCGTCTTGACGCCCTCTAGAACAACAGCCCAAGTACCTGCTTCGCCTCCGAATCCAGCATAACCGGCAGCAATCCGGCGCATGAGAAGCGTATCCTTCGCCACAGCCAGCCGCTTCCCCTCGCCGCTCTCCAAGCTTTCCCTGAACCACTGCTCTTCTTGGGCATCAAAGGGTAAGCTAGTTAAATCGAGCGCCCTCTCGGCTGACTCATCGTTATGAGCAGACTCCAACACGGATAGGACAAGGCGTTGAAAAAGTTGCCGACGCATGGACTCAGCATGTGACCGTGAAAACTGAAAGGCGTCAATAACGCTTGATCGTGCGAGAGCATCAAATAGTAATTCTAATGCCGAAGACGATTGAATAATAGGCTGAACTGTATGGTAATAAGCAAGAGGCAGACTATAGTCGCCATTCTTAGCGTTGCGGACAAGAACGGTGATAATATCGTCGACGAAATCGGGTTGGAGCGACGGATGTGTAAGATATTGCAATGCAAGATCAAATTGTAGTGCGTCCATATGCCATAATCCCTTCATGAAGATCCTGTAATTTTTAGGCAGGCTGGTACGCTGAGCGTGGGTTTCAGCCCGGCTAGACCCATTTCGATCGTCAACGTCGAGTAGTAGATAGAATACTACCGAGAGCTTGTGGTGAAGGGTAGCGTTCTTAGTCTCGCATATTTGATTGTATAATTGTCGAAGAGCATCACTGTTTTTGGGAGGATAGTGGCTAGTAGCTATGCGTAGGTAGAAATTGATATTAGCAAAATAACTAGAATATAAAATGCCAGTTAGATAGTATAGATATGTACCTTTTGATAAGTTAAGAGCTTTCATTACTCGATCAATAAACAAGGAACCCTCAAGACTTCGTCGAGAAGCTTCAAGGTGTTGGATAACATTGCGGTCATAAGGGAATGGATCCAGAGAACCGAAAATGCGGTCGAACCTGGAGGGATCGAGCATTTTTGATGATTGGAAACTCAAACAAAAGAAATAAGTATCTTAAAATATAATCTTCTTGTACAGGTAATTATTCGATATCGTGATAACTTGAGCTGTGAAAGGGAACCTTGACCTTGGAAGATTGTAAAATGTAGATGCGCCGGCAATTCATCGGTCAAGATGGTCAAGATGGTGAGAAACAACCGCGTTTGGATAGCTGTGTAAGGCTTAAGCTGTTTAGCTGTTGAAAGGAAGCTAACGACACGCTACCACGCTACCAGGTACAGATTGATATCGGCTTAGTAATAACTCTAATTCCGGTGATTGTACATATATTTAGGTACCTAGGTACCTCCAGGCTAGCGATTGTGGTGGGGGTTAAGGTTGTGGGGGATTGGAAACTTGCAAGTTGTTTTTGTTTACTTTCTACCCGAGACACGAGCACCTAATTTATTCTGCCCGCTATCAATTATCAATTAAGCAATCAAACGTGCTACCGCGACAACGATAACGACAACAACGACAACTGGTCGACAAATCTATTCCACCTCGATTATTTACGGCTCAAGTATAACCGACTTTGTTCCCCTGGAGTAACCCAATTTTATCAACAATGTCCACCAGACCGACTCGTCGTGCCGCAGCGGCTCGGCGCACAGCTATAATTGAATCGGAAGACGAAGAGGAAGAGGTCGCGAACACTACTAGAAAAATAAAAGAAGAAGAAAGCGAGGAAGAATTTGCCCCTGAGACATCAACCGCTAGAACTTCGCGCCGTCAAACACAGAGCAGAAGGAAGTCTACGGTGCCTGCGACACCGCGCGGAGGTCGTCCTAGGAAGAGCACCGCCGCCAGCGTCGCCTTAGAGCCATCTATCGAAGAGAGCCAGGCCCCTGATCCCGATCACACTGCTACCTCCATACTCAGCCCAGAGCCAACCCCTAATAAAGCCATTCCGAGGAAACGGAAGAGCGCTGCCCCGCGAAAAGTTGTCAAGGAGCTCACACCTATCAAGGAGCCCACGCCCGAGGCCACACCCGAAAGTCAGCCCCATATACCGACACCCGCCCAGTCTGAGGAACCATCCGAGCTTCACGGCACGCCCTTGGCTGATATTACCGCCCAGAGCGTAAACCAGCAACAGCAGGACCCAGATGAAACCATTACTCAGGTTAAGCCTATTCGGGCCATGGACACTATCCTAGAGAGGCCTATGGATATCGTTCTAAAGTCGCGTAAGATGGCAGTACCTGTCGTTGAAGATACAGGTCCTAGAGCTCGTATTGTTATCACGTACTTGATCTTGACCAACTTTAAGAGTTACGCCGGAAGACAGGAGGTTGGCCCGTTCCATTCCTCTTTCTCTTCAGTCGTAGGACCCAACGGTTCCGGTAAATCGAATGTCATCGATTCGCTTCTTTTCGTCTTCGGATTTAGGGCGAGTAAGATGCGACAAGGCAAGATATCTGCTTTGATCCACAACTCCGCGGCCCACCCAAATCTAGATCACTGTGAAGTGGCTGTTCATTTCCAGGAGGTCATGGACCTGGTTAGTTTAATATGATATGATAGCATATAAGGATGTCATGCTGATTTTACATTTAGCCCGGGGGCGGAACGGAAGTAATTCCTAATTCCCAAATTATTATCTCGAGAAAAGCATTCAAAAATAACTCGAGTAAATACTACATTAATGGGGGCGAGTCTAATTTCACAACAGTAACTACTCTACTACGCGACCGAGGAATCGATCTCGACCATAAGCGTTTTCTCATCCTACAAGGTGAGGTCGAATCAATTGCTCAGATGAAGGCTAAGGCTGGCAATGAGCACGAGGACGGTCTACTAGAATATTTAGAAGATATAATCGGTACCTCTAAATATAAAACGCCTATCGAAGAGGCAGCAGCAGAAGTAGAAACTCTTAATGAAGTTTGTATGGAGAAGAGCGGCCGTGTTCAACATGTTGAAAAGGAGAAGAACGGCCTCGAGGATAAGAAGAATAAAGCATTGGCCTTTATCCGCGACGAAAACGACTTGACTCTGAAGCAGTCAGCGCTCTATCAGCTTTACATTAGCGAGTGCAATAACAACGTGAGCGTGACTGAAGAGGCAATTAGCCAGATGCAGGCTCAGCTTGACGCCGAACTCGAGAAGCATCAAGGCAGCGAGCAGGTTATTAAACAGTTGCAAAAAGCCTATGCTAGGGGTTCCAAGGAGTTTGAGGCCCAGGAAAAGAATGTTCAGGTCCTTGTCAAGGAGGTTTCTAAGTTCGAGCAGGAGAGAGTCAAGTTCGACGAGAAACGTAAATTCTTGTCTGACAAGCAGAAGAAACTCGAGAAGACAATTGCAAATGCCGAAAAGTCCGCCGCGGAAGCTGAGGAAACCGCTGAGCAATGCACCGAAGAGATTGCTTCGCGTGTCGAGGAGATCGCCGCTCTTGAAGAGCGCATGCAGGAAGAGGAGGCAGAACTCGCAACGATACGAGATAGCTTAAAAGGCAAGACGCAAGGATTCTCGGATCAGATTGCAGCCAAGCAGAAATCCCTAGAGCCTTGGAAAGAGAAGATCAACCAGAAGCAGTCTGCGATTGCTGTTGCCGAGTCCGAAATGGCCATCCTCGAAGAGAAGGCTAATGCTGGCGCTGTAGCTCTTGAGGACATGCAGACGAAGATTGCTAATATCGAAGAAGGCCGGAAAGCTAAATTGGTAGAACTTAAGGAGTGTCAAGCCGAAAAGGCAAAACTGGAGAAAGAAGCAAAAAAGGTCGTTGCTAACTTAGAAAGCCTAGTCCAAATGGAGCCCAAAGCTCGGGCAGAGGTTTCAAATGCTCGACAAAAGGCAGAAGAAGCGCGATCTAGCCTTTCTCAGACGCAAACTCGAGGCAACGTGCTTACCGCACTAATGCGAATGAAAGAATCAGGACGGATCGATAGCTTTCACGGCCGTCTCGGGAATCTAGGCACGATTGATGAGAGGTATGATGTTGCTATATCTACGGCCTGCCCGTCTCTCAACAACTTCGTTACCGACACGGTGGAGGCAGGCCAGCAATGCATCGAGTATCTTCGCAAGACCAATCTCGGGCGTGGTAACTTTATATGTCTAGATAAGCTGCGTTCGTACAATTTACAGCCTATCCAAACACCCGAGAATGCACCACGCCTATTCGACCTGATTAAAGCTAAAGAAGACAAATTCCGCCCTGCTTTCTACCACTCGCTGCAAGATACTCTTGTCGCCAGAGACTTAGCTCAAGCAAACCGGATTGCATATGGTGCTAGAAGATGGCGGGTAGTCACACTTGATGGAGAACTTATTGACAAGAGCGGTACTATGTCTGGAGGTGGAAATACCACCAAGAGGGGCTTAATGTCGAGCAAGCTCGTGGCTGATACGTCTAAGGAGCAAGTCACCAAGCTTGAGAACGACCGCGACGCTATTGAGCAGCAGTTCGAGGAAATCCAGGATCACCAACGAGAGCTCGAGTCCCGCTTGAGGTATCTGAAGGATCAGATTCCTCAGTTGGATACCAAGATGCAAAAAATTGGCTTAGAGATTCAAAGCGCCGAGAAAAATCTTATGGACTCCCAGCGACGCATCAAAGAGCTCGGCAAAGAGCAGCAACCATCTCAGTCTGACGACAACAGAGTCGCTGTACTGCAAAAGGAGATCTCCAAGTTAAACAAGGAGGTGTCAAAACTCCACTCCGAAACGGAAGGCTTGGAAGCAGAGATTAAAGAGCTTCAGGACAAGATCATGGAAGTTGGCGGAGAGAAGCTTCGTGCTCAGCGCACAAAGGTTGATGCTATTAAAGAAGAGATCGCCTCTCATAACGAGGAAACATCGAACGCTGAGGTAAGGAAGGCTAAAGCAGAAAAGTCGAAGACGAAGCTTGAAAAAGACCACGCCAAGGCTACTAGAGAGCTAGAAGCCGCGGTACGCGACCTTGAGAAGCTAGAAGAAGAGGTCGAGAACCAAGGTAGCAAATCCGAATCTTTGAACGCTCGTGTCGAGGAGGCGGAAGAGGAACTAGCAGAAAAGAAAAAGGAACTTTCTACATTAAAATCCGAATTAGACGAGAAGACATCTGAACTTAACGAAACGCGCGCGGTCGAGATCGAGATGCGTAATAAACTAGAGGAGAACCAGAAAGTACTCGCCGAAAACCAGAAGCGCCTGCGTTACTGGGATGAGAAGCTAGGAAAACTCGTCCTCCAGAACGTCAGCGATTTGAGCGGACCCCCAGCTGCCAAGAAGCCGACCAGACAAGTAAGCAAAGAAACAGCGGGAGACGAGGAGGAAGAGCAGCAAGATCAGCCAGAGGAACAGGCAGAACAGCAGGAGGAAGAGGGGCAAGAGGGGCAAGAGGAAGAGCCGGAACAACAACCCGAGGAGCTTCCGCGCTTCACGGAGGATGAGCTGCAAGATATGAACAAAGAGACTCTTAAGGCCGAGATTGCTGCACTTGAAGAAAAGACGCAAAATGTCAATGTGGATGTCGGCGTCTTATCCGAGTACCGCCGTAGAGTTGAGGAACATGCAGCTCGGTCTTCCGACTTGGCAAGTGCCGTTCAGCAGCGCGACGCCGCCAAGAAACGTTGCGACGACCTGCGCCGGTTAAGACTGGAAGGTTTCATGGAAGGCTTCAGCATCATTTCTCTCCGGCTTAAGGAGATGTACCAGATGATCACGATGGGTGGTAATGCTGAACTGGAGCTCGTCGACAGCTTGGATCCCTTCAGCGAAGGCATCCTGTTCTCAGTCATGCCGCCGAAGAAGAGCTGGAAGAACATTAGCAACCTCAGTGGTGGTGAAAAGACATTATCTAGTCTTGCGCTAGTGTTTGCCCTGCACCATTACAAGCCGACGCCTCTTTATGTCATGGACGAGATCGACGCCGCCCTAGATTTCAGGAATGTAAGTATTCCCCTATACTTCCAGCTTCTCGTTAAGTCTTGCGAAATATTTGCTAACCACGATATTAACTAGGTGTCCATTGTGGCAAACTACATCAAAGAACGGACGAAGAACGCACAATTCGTAGTCATCTCGCTACGCAACAATATGTTCGAGCTCGCAGCCCGACTAGTCGGCGTATACAAAGTCAACCATATGACCAAGAGCGTAACGATTGAGAACCGCGACTTTATCGATCGCGGTGCGATGGCGAGGCAGCAGCAACAACAGCAACAACAACACGGCCAGACCGTGGTCTCATGACGAGATGAATGACTTCCATTAGAATACATATGATATTTATTGATCGTGTATTGATCGCGTTAGCGCGGAGCGCGATGGATTGCGATGTTTGGACTAGCAGTCAACGCGATGTCCATCACGGATTTGATGAATGGTGGGCGCATAATGACATGAATAGGTATCCAAATGCGCGCTGGAGCGAAGCTTGTTTGGAATATGAATACATATTATGATGGGTGTAAAGTAGACCTAGGTTACCTGCCAGTTACCCCCTAGAACCTTCTTATAGATGTAATCTAGGGAACAAAATGTATGTAATAACCGTCTAGTGCTATAAACGTCTTTGTTACATGTAATCATAGAAGATTCAATTACATTGGTTAGTCTTCTAGATGATCTAGCCTAGATTACTGTATTATATATGCTTGATTTGCAAAATTATTAACTACTAACAAGGAAGCAACTGCTAAAGCTTCCCCACATCTCCAAAGGGCGTGTAACTCAGTGGTAGAGTGCTCGCTTCGCATGCGAGAAGTCCAGGGTTCGACTCCCTGCTCGTCCATCTTTTTGCTCTATCTATATAGAGAATCTATTCATCTATCTAATGATGAATAGACGCTCTTTATTTTTTTGTATTTCCCTTATTTATTTAGCTTAGAGACTTCAGGTAGCCTCGTAATGATAGGGTTCGGTTAATTTTTTATACCTTATTCTCAGAATAGAAACGCTAGATGCTGCATAGAGAATTAGGTGATACTGGGGATTCGATGACCTATTTAATTCTTCATCCTACTTGACCAAAATTTTATTATTTCGATTATGAAGTGTACCAGATCATTCATGTCACAAGGTCTTTAGCAATACCGAATTAAAGAGGTGATTAGACCGTCTAGTTAAATAAATATTTTGTTCAGTATGATAGTCTTCAAAGCCCAACTAACTATCCAGACCGAAGTTTCAAATTTACTTCTTAATGGGAAATCCAAGTCACAGAGGGCGAAAGCCGTAATTATGCATGGCCAATAAAAAGCAGTTGTTTACGTCGTGGCAATATGACTTGATTCATAAGTCATTATCTGAGGTAGTAATCATACCGAAAACCGTTTTTCATGCAAGTGAAACCATTTCCGATGACCAGATTCATCGTCCCAGACCCTATCACTCCCCTAGACACCGAAAAGAAGCATTTAGGCAACCTTGGCAGTCTGGGTGGGAGTCACCTTCTTGCCATCCTTGTTGTAACGCACACGCGGGGGAGGGGCCCTGTTTCGGCGGCCAACACGCGATCGGACACTAGAGATAGACTGTTAGTAGGTATAATTCGTGATCGAGGAGAGGAGGGATAGGAGGAGTTTTCGTTCGAGGTTCAACCAAGGCTCATCTCAGGCGCATACGCTGCCCGCTGATGAGCGCGTAGTCTGTCACCTAAACGGGACGACGTACCGGACAATCTTGCCGTGGATAGCACAAGAGACACAGTACTGCAGCTTGAGGTACATCTTGGGAACCGTGTACTCGGCGAAGACGGAGGCGTCCGAGATATCACCTGTGGGCGAAATCAGTTAGTTTAGCTCATAATTAATATCTAAAGGAAGGGAAACGTACGGATGGCGGCGGACTCGACCATGTTACGGATGGTGAAGCGCTTGATAGCCTTATCCTTAGGGGTGCATCGCGAGCAGTTGCTGCATCGGATGGGCTTGACGTGGCCACGACCCTTCTTGTTGCGGCCGTTGTTCTTTCTCTTCTTGACCATGATGACGGTATTCTATATTATTGCTATAATGTTAGAAAATGGTAATTGATAAGAATCAATGTGGGTAAACACTAAGAGACGAGGTTCTAACGTACAGGACTTTCTGGTTGGAAGTTGTCAAAAAGAGAAAGTTGGGCTGGTGGATTGGAAGAGTTGTTTTCTGTCTTGAAATTGGTGCGCGCAACTTTGTCTAAGGTACAAAATTGTTTAGAGGACACTCCACTGCAAAGTAAAAAGAATTGGGCCAATCAGAGTAGAGTTAGTTGATGGAGGGGCAAAATTAGCTACTACAAATAGGCAAATAGGTGCGACAGGGCAAGTAGGATAATAAACCCTAGCACGTGATTTTATCGGTAATTCGAGTTGAATTACCTAATCATTTTCTCATGAAGACCCACCACACCACCAAAATTGTACTTCCATAACTTTTCGAGGCTCCAATTCCCCCTCCTACTTTTTTTCCTTTCTCCAAACCAAAAATTATCTGGTTGCTTAGGACGGCAATAGCGATATTGTCTAGGTACGTCTTTTCATATTATACAAACTTCTATTCATACAATCTCAAATGATTTTATAATTCCCTTCGCGATGCTATTCTTCATACTTCTACGCATTTAATTTGCGTCGTCGCAGTGTCTGGTCGCATTCCCAAGCGCATCACCAACATCCTAAAATTTCACTCTTAATGGCACTCATCTCTAACATTTAATCTCTCCCAACAGGCAATCATGCAGATTTTCGTCAAGACCCTCACGGGCAAGACTATCACCCTCGAGGTGGAGTCTAGCGACACCATCGACAATGTCAAGTCTAAGATTCAGGACAAGGAGGGAATCCCCCCTGACCAACAGCGATTGATCTTCGCCGGCAAGCAGCTCGAGGATGGCCGAACCCTCTCCGACTACAACATCCAGAAGGAGAGCACCCTCCACCTTGTGCTCCGCCTCCGTGGTGGTGCCAAGAAGCGCAAGAAGAAGGTCTACACTACACCCAAGAAGATTAAGCACAAGCGCAAGAAGACCAAGTTAGCTGTGCTTAAGTACTACAAGGTCGACGGTGATGGAAAGATCGAGCGTCTCCGCCGCGAGTGCCCTGCCGAGACCGTGAGTTACTCCGTACTTTTAATAATTATGAATCAATATACTAATGCTATTCAAACAGTGCGGTGCTGGTGTCTTCATGGCTGCTATGCAGGACCGACAGTACTGTGGCCGATGCCACCTTACCTACGTCTTCGACAAGCAGTAAATGCTTATCGGGTCGTTTTAGGGTGTACACGGTTAGGAGTTTGGAACATCGGAATGGGCTTACGGGAATCATGATAGGACATGGATGACTTAGCTCAGTTTCTATGAATACGAATTCATGCACAAGTACTACTATTCTACTATTTCTAGATTGTGAAATGTTCTTACGTGGCCTCAATACTCCTAGTTCAAGCGCCTATTAACTAATATGTAATCTACAATCTTTATACTATTAGTCTACTTTGAGACCAGGTAGTCAGGTAGTCAAGCCACGGATCAAGTATGATCCTTTATAAAAATTACTTGCTCTCGAATATAGTCCTGGTATCCATATTTCGTAATGCTTATCCGAAGCTGTCATGAAATTCCAGGTATGCAGCATCTTCACATCTATGACGACACAGATATTTCCCTTTACAAAGCCAAAACTTCTGGAGATGAATTATTCATTTTCTTATTCATGGACCTAACTACGGCCATGTGGCGCCTACGTAGTCATTTGTATCTAGTAAACTACGACCTAAGTGGTTCATCGTAAATATATGTCGAACCCATCAGAGCAACCGCCCATAATCCACGAACCCGAATCCATGTAACCCATAGACATTATACAGACCCCCTATGCCCTTTCATTTTATCCGTGTTTTCGACTTAGCAATCTCCATGCTAGTTATTAGGAAACCCGGCCCTAAGATTCTCGTACTTAGTATACGGATACTCGATCAAATTCGGCCTGCGATCCAGCGCTCCTGGTCCACCTAATACATCAACCACATTTCCGATCAAGCTCTCCCTTCCCTCCTTATCGGCACTACTCTCCCACCACATAGCGCCACCCAGCCGTCTTTCCTCCCGAATCCACCATGCTTTCGTCCGCGCCATGTCCACCGTGTCGTAGCTGACCAGTGTCCGTGTATTAGGCTCGTAGCAGTAGCTGGCTCTAGCTTCACGGTCGAAATACTCCGTGGCCCCAGGTAGAGGCAGTTTCTTGTAGTCGTGCACGCCGTTCTCCCAGGTTCCCTCGCCGACACCACTATACCCGCTTCCTAGACCGTCTGTGCCTTGGAACGCGCGCCCGTATAGCGGCATCCCGAGAACGATCTTGCTGGGTGCTACGCCCCGCGATAGGTAGTAATCGACTGCAGCGACCGTGCTGAAGGGTGTGGCGCGCGGGTTTGATGCGCTCGGGTATAGGTTTGCTTGGTGCCCCGCCACTGAGTCCCATGACCCCGCAAAGTCGTACGCCATCAGGTTCCAGAAGTCGAGCACCCGGTCCATACCTTGAATATCAAGCTTTGTGAAGTTCTGCGCGCCGGCTGGACAGGCTACCGTCAGCTCGAAGTGGTATGGCGTAGGCAAGGTACGGCTATACGCGTCCATGGACTCGCGCACGGCGTACAGCAAGGCGACGAAGTCGGCGGCCTCGGCTGGCGATTGCGGATACTCCCAGTCCACATCGATACCATCGAAGCCCAAGTTCTTGATCAGCTCGACGCAGGAATTGGCGAAGTTGGCACGACCTTGGGGCGTAGATGCCGGCTGCTTGAAGTTGCTACTATAGGTCCAGCCACCGACGGAGAGTAAGACCTTGAGTTGTCGGTTCCGGCGCTTTAGAAGGTTGAGCTGCTTGAGACAGCCGTATAAGTTGGTACCGACATCGTTCCAACTGTCGCCTTCCCAGTGAATATCTGTATCAGCCCAGGTATCAGTTAGATAGACCTCGCCGGACTCCGGTCGTACGTTGGCGAAGGCGTATAAGATATGCGTCAACTTCTCGACGGGTAGGTCTTGAGGTCGGTGCTTACGGCCGTAGATGGCCCAGTTGACGAAGTAAGCGACTGTGCGGAATTGGTGTGCCATGTTCACTTCTGCAGTGGGAGGGGAGGAAGAAGGCGAGTTGGAAGTAAGAAAGTCTGGAAGAATACGATAGACTAAGGTGAGGAAAGCTGGTGAGAGTTGGGATGATGAGAACAAGGAGGGGTAGTGATGTGTAAGTATGAAAGCCGCAAGCAATGCTGTCACGGCAAGGATGTAAGGGAGAAAATATCTGAGTCGTGGCATATGCTATGTTTTGGGAAAGAGTAATTTTTATAAGTTTATATAGAATAAGTGATAATGTATTTATTTCTATCTTTATCCTCAAGTGAATCAATTATCATAATTCAACTTCAGGTTGAGTTGTTCTGGCTGTGTGGCTTAGAGCTGAGAGCTTGCCTGTACCAAAGTGGCGATGCGCCTACTAGGTACTTCTTAGCTCATAGATCTCTCTTTGGTAACCAATCATATTTCAAATATTCATGCTGTCGTTTTGTATTTCAGCTTGGCAACCAGGCAACTGGATAACACGGCATATAAAAATAAATGGAGAATGACTTTGCTTAAATGGAGCATCTCAAAATTGTCTTGCGTGGCAGTGTGGCTGAAGCTGTAAATCAGAGTGTCAAAATGTGGCTTATGCATCTTCCAAGGTTGGCTGCCTCTTGACCCCCCTTTTTCTTAAACTCGATCTATGTAAGCCATTTAACCTCGCAGCTTCGAAGACGCTAGAAATCATATTACATCTGATCTAGGTCCAATCAAATACTTTATTCAAATTTAACATATCATTTTAATATAAACTGCTTAGCGTCTAAGTTGACTAAGCTTTCAACTAGGAAAGACTTATAGTTACTAGCTTTCGAAAAGTTGCCTAACTATCCAATATCTTAGTGCAGGCGTCGACAATCTATTTCCCTTGTAAATATGTTCACATTATATTCAATATACTTAGCAAACTTGATAAACAGTAGACGAAACTAATTACAAGTATATGAAATACATAGTGAATATTCCAAGCTCTCCCTACCTAAATCTTCAAGGCATAGAAACGAGCTAACTTCCAAGTTAAAATACCATCGTGATTAGCTACCGATCTAGGGTTGCTCTTTATATTTTTGATAATTGTTAGTTTGCTATGTGTTGAAATTAGTGCTTAATAAGTTTTATCAAGTACGTATAGTCCAACTTTGTTCATGTAGCACGCAACTAGTTAGAAGATTTAGGGGACAGTCCATCAAGAAATAAATAAAAAATGTAAAGTTGATTCCTTTTTAGAAATCTGCAATCAAACATCATTTGCAGTCAAGATTTCGTATGATTTAGTAAACTTACCTCCAGGAATTCTAGAAGACAGAACAACATCTACTACCATGTCGTTGCCAAACCGCAGCCGCGCACGCCTATTTAATAGGACAGATTTCAGTATCAAGCCGTTCAACTGGGACGGCTTACCGCCAGAAATCCACCAAGATATCTTCGATTTGCTTCTATCTAGGAATCAATGCAGCCACGATAAGCATCCTAAGTCCACCTACGCCGCCGTCTGCCTCACCTGGCGCAATTCGTTTGAGAGGGAGAACTTCGCTCAACTGAAAATCAGCCAGTGGGATTTGGAGCTTTTTGAGCAAATCGTCACCACTGAGAGAAAAAAGCTACTTGGTACACTCTGGTTTCGTGTGGAACTTCGCCCATACAATTGCCGCTCATGTTGCTCGAAGGAGACCAACGACGAAGCCACGATGAATAGTGCATTATTTACGGATGCTCTATTACGCTTCTACGACGTTATGTCCAAGTGGGGACTTCCAGACGGAAAACACGAAATAGACCTGACCGTAATGCTGAGTGCTTGGTCCCTAAGCGACCGAGAACATTACTTCCGAGATCACCGCTTCGAGAACGATAGTTCAAGCGTCTACCGCCAGTATCGTGTAAATCGCAACGACGAAACTCATGGATGGAAGGGAGGATATCGTATCCCTCCGACAATGGATGCTTGTCTACGGCTAGTCGGAAAGCTGCTTAGTTTCAACCCTAAGCTCATAGGCAAGGACTGGAAGGGCTCATTTCCAAAGCTAGACTTCGTTACAAGTCTCGTCATTCCCCGACAATTCTACCGACCGATTCCCAGATTAGATCTGATCTTGCCGAGCTTCCCGAAGCTGAAGGTTTTCCAATATGAGCCTTGGCGTGCTATCTCTATGGAGCTTGAAAGGTACCAGCGATTTATGTTTAATTGCTTCCTGGCCCTTTTACCACCAACCCTAGAACGATTTTCGGTGTTCGAGGACTTCAGCGAAGATATTCATGCGTCGTCACGAGAGTTAAGGAACTTTAGAATTGTGCGATCCCTACTAAGTGCAAGTCGTAACTTTGTCGAGCTCGACGTGTCGTTCATCATCGACGCTGAGCAGTTCTTCCGCCGTTTCTTACCGAAATTCAAAAGAACACCCGTCGATCTCACATGGCAAAACTTGCAAGGCTTAACGTTAACTTCGTGGACCCTCCTCAACCCATTGAAAGAGCAAGGACGGCTGGATGACCTGCTTTGGTGCGTTGCTCGAGCCGTCTTGAAGATGCCAAAGCTCGAGATGATGGAGATATGGGCCTGCTCTCAGAAATCCGCCGGCATCTTTCGCTATACTCGTTCGTGTATGGAGGTGTGCATTGAGATGGAAGAATCGGAGAATACCCATACACTACCGGAGCGTGTCATGAAAGTTTGGCAAGCAGTAGCGAATAGATATACCGAAGGCCGCCTTCGTACATCAAACCGCTACATATGGTCCAGCGCTATTAGAACACACAGGTCAGCTCTAAGCTACTTGGAGAGAGCTGAAAGAATTCTGTCACCTGCATCTACTCCTCGACTGATGTAGGAATGTTTCATTTAGGGCACGAGCAATGTTAGTATGTAGGATGAGAATTCGCCATCGAGGCCATTAAACGGCAAATCTAGGTTGCACAGTAACGTTCGTCACTTTGAGCATAACAGATACCTATATCATTAGCGTTATATTGTAGAAAGAAAATATATAGAAAATATAAGATGATAAGATTCCTCTCTATTTAAAACGCCGATAATGCCTAGCTAACTAACTAATGGATCTAAGAGCAGGAGAGAAAAAGCGCTAGAGCGTGTAAATGCATAGGGCAAAGATAAGTAACATGATATCTAACCCTTCTACCATCGTTATAAACCATCTAACTGCTCGGAACAGGACCGTGGCAGTGCTCCTTCGTGGGCTCTGGCTTTCGCTGCTTGGTAGCTCTGCCTCCGAAGCCCCATCCGATCTGGTTTGCAACATAGGTTGCTACGTGGAGCTATAAATCGCAAGCAGATGTTAGCAATCATATTCTAAAATAAAAACAATTTCTTTGATGATATTCATCACGTACCTCTTCAGCCCAAGTCCATACAAGACCGGGGTTCTTCTGGAACATACGTCCAACACCCGCGATATCCACGGGAGTGTCATCAGCGTCTTTACCACCGACAAGTAGATCATTAGCTTGCTGTCCGCTCATGATAGTACCGACAGTGACCACGTATGCGTTGTCACCAATAGCTCGCTTGATGGCCTTGGCGAACGGCGCCTGGTAACCGGGGCCTCGGGCGATCTTCTGAAGCGGGTGGTTTCCGGCGCTAGAGACGTCGATAACATCGACACCGTGCTGGACGAGCAGCACAGACAGGCGCACCGAGTCCTCCAATTTCCAGCTGTCGCCAGTGTAGCCCTCAACACCCTCAAGCCAGTCAGTAGCGCTAAGACGTGCGAATAGGGGCATGTCAGCAGGCATAACAGCGCGGAGCTCATCCGCCAGCTCGAGAATCAGACGAGCCCGGTTCTCGAAGCTACCGCCGTACTTGTCCGTGCGGTGGTTGGTAACGGGCGATAGGAACTGGTGGAGGAGATAACCGTGGGCACAGTGTAGCTCCAACACATCAAATCCGATCTTGAGAGCGCGCTTGGCAGCCGCCACGAAATCGAGCTTGAGTTGCGCAATATCCTCCAGCGTTAACGCCCTGGGCACCACATGGTTCTCGTCGTAAGGGATGGCGCTCGGCGCAACTACGTCATCGGGCCAGCCGCCTACGTCGGCGGCAGCCGTGGCACCCCTGTGTAGCCACGGCGCAAGGGCGGAAGCCTTGCGGCCGGCGTGGGCGAGTTGGATAGCGATGTGCTGACCTTGGGAGTGCGCGAAGTCTACCGTGCGCTTGATTCCCTCCATGTGGTCGTCGAGCCAGAGTCCGGAGTCATTAGGAGTAATACGTCCGTGAGACTGGACCGCGGTGGCTTCGATCATGGCCAAGCCCGGCTGTAGGAATAGTTAGCAATGTCTTAGTCGTTGCTTTTTGTACGATCGAGAGACTTACCCCGCGCTGGATGATACCGCCAAGGTGAGTTAGGTGCCAGAATGTGTGGAAACCGTTTTCAGCCGAGTACTGGCATAGAGGAGATAGCATAATACGGTTCTGAAGAGTGAGGCCGCGGATCTTGAGAGGAGTGAAGAGCTTTGGGATAGTGCTTCCATCGGGCTGGGGGTCCAGAGCGGTTCCCGCAGGAGGCTCTTGGGCCGGCGTGAAGAATGGGACGCCCTTGGCCGCCTTGTTGGGGATGCTCAAGGCATTGACCTTAGTACCGTTGATAGTAGACATATTGGTGTTGGTCTAGGAGTTTTCTTTATATAGCGAATTATATATCGAAGAGTCAAATAGCAACGCTAAGTAGTAATGTAGAAGAACGAAGTCTAGAGGGTATGACGCTGAACTATTGGTATTGAATGATGATGCTGAGTGATAAGTAGAAGTTGTGATATCGAGCTGGAGTGCCGGCTGGGTTATATATGTCTCTGGGCTATCGCAAAACAACATACGTCCACCCTTCCACCCTCCATACTATCAACGTTACTAAGCGCCATGGTGGTGAGCCCCTCCATAACTATCTCAGTAGAGTAAAAAAACTACCAACAAGGGGGATTCGTACTACCTCATGAGAATATTTCCGAGAGTGTAAGCTAGGTTCACGCAGGGATTACAAAGTGCCGGCCAACATCACCAATCAGAATTAAAAATCTATATTGATTCTGATACATGTTGGTAGATATTTACCCGATAAAACTTCTTTAATGCAAAATCGCGCCTTAGGGGATAAATCGGGGACGCTAAATGACGTCGCGATGGTCTGGCCAGAACCAGTTACAGCGGAGGATTAACGACCCGTTAGCTATAGCACGAACAGAGTACGATTAGATAACTGGACAATTGTCCCGGTATTGTATGATCAATCACCCGATATCTTCTTTTCGCGGAGAATGCGGAGTTGCATCGCCGGAACTTGTTGCTGGCAAATCAGTCTTAGCCCAGGAGCATGCGGAGTCGATCACTAATACCTAACAAATAGGTTGAGCCAATAGCCCCTGCCCTCTCGGAGAATACGGAGTCAAATTTTGGACAATTTCCCAATTAGGTAGGTCTGATGAGTAATTATCCGCCATGCCGGACCGGGTATTATAATTCCCGGGCCGTGATTAGACATTCGGGACCCACTTCGGTCCGGCCCGCTGCCGGAAGTACAACAAAAGAACCCTAAACCTTAAGTCACATGATGCACATTACTTCACATTCACTTGTTCAATTACTTATTTAGGTAGGTACATAGGTACAGACATACCTAAGATACCTTACATATGAAATTTACAGAGTAATGATACACCCGGCTGCCTGAGATATGATATCATTTACAGGCCATTTGAGACATGTTATCAGAAGTAAAGGGACTTTGGTGAGTTTTAATTGGGTTTCTCTCATAAGATTGGTATTTTCAACCTTAGGGAGGTTAGGCACCTAAATATATAAGGTAAATTAGGTACATGTGGGAACCCAAGGGCTGGTAAGTGACAACCCCAAATCAAGCGCTAATCTATATATCCTCAATCTCAAACAAACAAACTTTTGAGAATAAAACCCATCCATATCGCTCCAGATACCATATAACCAGCAATGTACTTGTAGCAAGAGAATATTCGAGTGTCGTAGGTATTAGAGGTATTTGTAGTTGACCTGTTCAAGTTAGATATTAGGTTACCATATTAACAAAGCTAGAACAAGATGGATAATTGCTTACCGTTAATTTATGCGGTGCACTGATCATCCGGAATTTGGATGGGATCATCAACTTGAGTAGTGGCATACTGGTCCTGGAGTACCTTGGAACTACCACGAAAGCCATGTTTGGTGCGAACATGAGCTACAAGAAGATGAAACTTTATGGTGTTGAGACCACAAATCCCGCAGCGACGTCTATTGGTGGCATCTGCCTGTAGGAATGCAGAATTTACACGGTGTTTCTTAGATATATGAGAACTGATGTTATGACGGGAGTTCGTCATCTCAGCGCCGCAGTTGTTGACCCCACATGAAAATTTTCCATTAGCGAGGATATGTCCTTGTGCATCTGGATGGTTGATCTCATTGCCTTGGGCGTCCTATAAATGCATAGTAATTAGCTAGTCTTCTCTACCATAGAATACAGCTCTTGATCATGCCAGCAAGTAAGTTGAGGACGAGGATAGCAAAATCAATTCCAACGTATCACCATCGCGGTACAATATGCCTTAAAGAGATATCGCAGTAGAAGGGGACGATCGGGGTAACAGGAGGGAAATTCCCGTCATGTGTTTTGTGATATGGTGTTTAGGGAGAGTATGCGATGTGGTTTATGATAGCAGGGCCGGGTGAAAAGACAATTAGAGATGGGTTATTTACTTACAAGGTTACGTGCCATGGCTGTAGGTAGTAATGAGCTCAAATATTTCCTTCGTAGACTGTTGATAGTCGAATATTGAATAATGATAGAGGCGCAGAGATAGTAGAGATAGTAGGTAGGTAGCAGGTAGGCTGTAGGGGGGGAGTGAATGGTAGTAGAATAATGTTAGAGGGATAATATTAATAGAATAATTTGATGTAAGTAGTACTCATCCGTGTTGTATGATGATGGATGTTAAGTAACAAGCCTGGCCTTAAGGCAGCCGGGTTGACGAAAAGATTTATTGTAAGGTAAGGTAAGGTAAATTATGTTTATGTTGAAGATTATATATATATATTGAAGGTTATGTTGAAGTTGATGTTGATGTTGAAGATGATGTTTATTGGAAAAGGTTCTTGGGGGGAGGCTACGAATTTAAACACTGCCGTGAAGGCGGTGATTTGAGCAACGCGTTGAGCGGCGGCAGAAAACGAAACTATCGCAAGTATCAATGTACCGCGCAACATCAAGGTAACTGCGCTTGCATCTAGTCAAAACTGCAGGAACGGCAATGACAACCTTAGCATTGGACGGTTCTTAAGGCACTAAAATTGTTAGCATATGTAAGTACCTGTCTATCAATACGCAGAGAACACTTTTACAACCATATCAAAACCAATAAGATAGCATTATATTACTTTAGGCAAGACCTAGGTACATATTTATTATATAACATCAGACCAACATAATATGTACCTAGATTGTTACGAAACAAGTTCGATCCCAACTTAGATTGTCTCCTGCCGTAAACCTAGTTGATAACACCTAAGGTATCATGCTTATTGCACCAAAGTGAATAAGTCACTACCTAGGTTCTTTCCATTAGACCTTAGGTACTAGGTACCGTAAGAGTCACGGAACATTCACTATTGATTATTTAAGGGAAGTACGACACTAGGGACACTGTTGCTGCCAATTATGTCGAGCTAATCACCGTACATTTCAGTCGCCATGTTTGCCAGCTGCTATACTTTCAATACTAGTCAAAAATATTCACTGGCGCATGATTGACCTCCCTGGGCCAGATAATACATAGGTACAAGTCTATGCGAATAATGTATGACCATGTACAGAAATGTTCTGCAGAATTTTCCAGGCAGTTTTCTAAAATAGTAGGGCATAGAAAGGATATTTATCTGCTTAAATATTAAAGAATTATATGTAAATTCTAATCAATGCTGGTCAGTCAAGTGCACTTATGTTCTAATAAAATTATTTTATTATCTACAATGATATGGACCATCGTGAGAGCTCCTGCCGTTAAAAGATCACAAACAAGAACAGAAGGGGACCATAAACAGGAATGGAAGGAGAGAAAGATAAAGAAAGAAATACCATAAAGTCTAAGAAAATGCCGAAATCGCCGAAATCGCCGAAAATTAAAAAATAAAGGAACATCCCATATAATTCTGTTATTACCAATAAGACATAACGTCAGTAATATGTGAATTTATATTTACTCTAAGTCAAAATGAAAAAATAATGGATTTGTATTCGCCGTATTGTCCATTACGGTGAAGGGCTATATCATATATCTTTACCTTTGCTCAGACAACTGCTAACGTATAATAGAGACAGCATTATTTTATTATGCTTCAACAGGTTCGATATTTGGTATGGCGATAGATTTGCCGTCCTATCAAATTGATGGATACAAAGACAAGATGGTTCTGGTTGAATAGAATGGAACGTAAAGGAGGATATTGGGTAATATTCTATTTAGTAAGCATGGCAATAGAAGGGTTGATAGTATTGCTCATAAATATCTATTATTGGAATCCATCACGTTGAAGAATGTTATTGTATGGTCCTGGAGTCCGAAAGTATATCGATAAGTATGCTGATTGAGGTTGAAGGATAAAGCTGTCTAATAGAACCTTAGCAGAACTCCTCAAAAGGACACTCGGCTGGTCATATGACTGGAAATACTTGGAGAAGTTGAATCCATGAAAGTTTCCTGAGGCAACAATGTACTTTGCAACGTATTTTGCAATGATGTCGTCTCTAACATCAGAGTACTGGTAATTTGTAAGTATAACAGAGACTATATATGATTCATTTGGGATTGGAGGGACTTTAACTAGGTGGTATTCTTGTTTCTAAATCCCAATTGCTAAGGTGATACGTTGGAGGCAGATATCAAGCCGTCTGATTTGCATCTACTGGTACACTATTATCAGAGTTAAAATCGTGGCAATAAAAGAGTCTTGTCTGCAACATTTACCTACATCCCGACTGTCTGAGGCTTGACTGCGATGATCATGTGGTTATATCACATATTCAAAAATTACCTAATGAGTGCTGCTCCATAGATGGCAGGATATGTCCCGAGGCATGGTGGTGATGTTGACGACCTAATGACTTTTCTTACCTTATTTAGTTAGATGTAGTTTTAATCGCCGAAAAAAAAATATCTGGGTAATTGGTTACAGATATTAGAACCACCAATAGGAGCACTGCAGTACTAAGATATTCCGGGGTTTCGCCGAATTAGTACGTACCTTCTAGTGGGGACCTGAGCTCGACAAATTTTTTGTACCTTTTTCTTTGCAGAGCTTCAATTTTTCATCCCATCACCACACGCCTAACACGATAATCTTGTATGCGCAAATCCACGCAAGGATTTATTCAACAGGCAAGATGACGCGAGTAGACTTTCTGCTGCATGAGTCCGCTGTCGGATATGCTATCTTCAAGGTTGTCCACCAGCAGGACACTGTTGGTTTACACCTGAAAGAGGTTCAGAAGGCTGGTCAGGATCTCTCCAAGTTTGGCAAGATGGTGCAATTGGTTAACTTTGCGCCTTGGAGGTACGACTGATTTCAATTCTCAAAGTGATTTCTATGACATATAGCTGATGCCATGATCTCTAGAAATGCCGCCGACGCGCTCGAGAACATTAATCTTATTTCGGAGGGTATACTCCCCGATTATCTCCAGTCCAATCTCGAATTGAACCTACCCCAATCGAAGAAGAGCAAGATTATCCTTGGTGTCGCCGATAAGAATTTGGCTGGTTCCATTAAGGCCGCTTTCCCCGGCGTTGAGTGCGAGACTGGCGATACATCTGAAGTTGTCGCCGACCTCCTCAGAGGTATCCGCCTTCACGCAGCCAAGTTACTAAAAGGTCTCCAAGAGGGAGACGTAGAGAGAGCGCAACTAGGTCTTGGCCACGCCTACTCGCGTGGAAAGGTCAAGTTCAACGTCCACAAGAATGACAACCACATCATCAGAGCCATTGCCACTCTAGACAACCTAGATAAGGGTATCAATCTTTTCTCTCAAAAAGTGCGAGAGTGGTACGGCTGGCATTTCCCTGAGCTCTTTAGCATTGTCTCCGACAATTTGACTTATTCACGCTTGGCTCTCTTCATTGGCGACAAATCTTCCCTATCAGAGGACAAGCTTCACGAGATTGCCGCTCTAGTCAATGATGACGAAGAGAAGGCGCAGGAGATCCTTACCAGGGCTAAGATATCCATGGGGCGAGAGCTGTCAGAAGTTGATATGAATAACATCTCCACCTTCGCCGGCAAGGTAGTTAAGCTCGCTGAGTACCGAAGAACGCTCTATAGTTATTTGGTCGATAAGATGAGCACGGTTGCGCCTAATCTGGCCGCGCTCATCGGCGAAGTCGTTGCTGCTCGTCTTATTCAAAAGGCTGGTTCTCTGACAAACTTGTCCAAGTATCCGGCCTCTACGCTTCAGATTCTTGGTGCCGAGAAGGCTCTATTCCGTGCCTTGAAGACGAAGGGTAACACTCCCAAGTTTGGTCTTATCTACCACAGCACGTATATTGGTCGAGCAAGTCAAAAGGACAAGGGTCGTATTTCGCGATATCTCGCGAACAAGTGCAGTATCGCTAGCCGAATTGACAACTTTTCTGAGCAGCCATCAAAGAAGTTTGGCGATGCGTTACGAAGACAAGTCGAAGACCGCTTAGAATTCTATGCTACTGGCAAGAAGCCAACTAAGAACGCAGATGCGATGGTATGTCTGCTCTTTTACTTTCCTGCTTCTCAAGTTACTAACCCACGAATAGAACCAAGCAATGGCCGATATCCTCGCCGATGGTCAGAGTCTAGCTATTGATACGGAGATGATCGATGCCCATCCCCAAGCCGATGCCACTACGCCTAAGAAAGAGAAGAAATCCAAGGACAAGAAGGAAAAGAAGCGCAAGCATAGCGATGTAAACGGCCTGGTGGAAGTGGAGGCGGACGGAGACAAGAAGAAGAAAAAGAAGAAGAAGCACGCAGACGAGTAAAGGGTATGTACCGTCCCGCAGACGTTGAAAAGATACACGGTTGAACCAGGCATCGGTTGGGCGTTCCGGATTTGCAGGTGTTTCTCTAGGCGTGGTTGTGTATAGGGTAGGTTCATACCCATCGTTATTCTGCTGGTTTTAGTGGAACTTAGTGTCTATGAATCAACGAGTCGAGGGGAATATAGTTTGTTTCTACTGTTCATGTTTATGCTACTAATTGCTATGATTTGTTACTCGTAACTTGAGGTACCCTAAGTACTTACCTACCTATGCTATGTTCTATCAATATGATTTGATGATTTGGTAATAAGGTACTTTAATACGGAATAGTTTTATGATATCATACTTCTTAGTTTATATCTGATCCGGCGATATTCGTAATACAGGCTAGTTTTGATCTGTAGGGCCCTGATACCTACTGACGTGCCGAATTAATATAATTCTCATCAGTGTCATATTTTCTCTCGCTAGAATTGGATAAGTTCCACAGCCTCATATTGGCCCATGATTCGATCATCACATCGCATAAGAGGATATGGATGAGCCCGACTGCACGGTACCTTCATCAGCGCGTAGAAGTATGGGTAATTATCAGTTGCCATGGTATCTAACACAATCAATTATATGTATGTCAATCATATGTATTTCAACGGCCAACGAACTCGAATAGGTAGTCGCGAAGTGCCCAAACAATGATGAAGTTCGCCCAAAACGCCTGGTAATGCCGGTGCGCTCCGTAGCCTCCCCTAGTTCCCTTCGCTTCCAAACTCTTTGGTCCATTCCGAATTACGATTGAGATCCTCACCAGACACTGTTGGCCTTGACGACTTGATAGCTTTTACGAAGTCCTTAAAGTCTACTAGTGGTTCGAGTAGTTTCTCTGGATCGATGTCGTCCCAGGTCATCTCCTTCGCTTGAGGGTCACCTGGCGAGCATGGTGTTACGAGTGTATTGCCGTCTTTTTGCACCTATAGATTGGAAGTTAGTAACGGAGAATACCTACTCATGAAGAAATTTGTTTGATGGTTACCTCTTTAAAATGTGTGGCTTGCTGAATCTTGCGTATTGGTTGCATAAGGGCGTCTTGTACAGCAATGGTAATATCACTTCCCGAATAACCCTCAGCAAGCTTTGCTAATTCTCGATAATCTTCGTTCTTTAGTGTGGTGGGTGTTTCTCCAATGGCTAGCTTGAACATGGTAGTCCTTGCAGCAAGGTCCGGCAGGCTGATATGTACTCTTCGTTGGAATCGTCTTCGAATAGCAGCGTCTAATTGCCAGGGGATGTTGGTGGCGCCTAATACCAGCACGCCTGTTGAATCTTTACCAACACCGTCCATCTGGACTAACATCTCGGTCTTAATTCTTCGGGAAGCTTCCGACTCGCCTTCGCCTCGAGGACCGCAAAGGGCGTCTACTTCGTCGATAAAAATAATAGAAGGCCTGTTTTCTCGCGCCATAGCAAATAGTTGCTTGACTAACCTATATGTCAAGGGAATGTCAGTCCATGGCCCTTCGGGTCGAAATATGGTCTTAGCAAGCATACCTTTCACTCTCACCCATCCATTTGCTCACCAAGTCACTACTGCTCACACTGAAGAATGTGCTGTTTGCTTCTGTAGCGACCGCCTTTGCCAAATAACTCTTACCCGTACCAGGAGGGCCGTAGAGTAGAATACCCTTCCACGGCTTGCGTTTCCCTTGGAATAGATTAGGAAACTTAATAGGCAGCAATACAGCCTCTTTGAGTGCTTCCTTCGCGCCATCCAGTCCAGCTACATCGTCCCATTTGACATTCGGTCGGTCTTGTAGGATAGCACCAGCGAGAGCATTCCGTAGCTTCTTATTATCCTCGTCGACACCCTCTTCGCCATTCTGCTTTCCCTTGCCCGTTCCACCTGTCGACGAGCCATTAGCACCGACCAGGCCAGGCTTCTTACGCTTCGCATCGGCATCGGAGAGATGAGCTTTCAACTTCTCGGCGCGGTCCATGTATTCGCCCGTCTTCTGACGGATCATCTCCTTGGACTTGGGGTTCTTCTCCCATTTTAAAGCCAACATAAACAACTCGAGGGATTGATAGTAGAGTTGGTAGGCCTTTTCGTATTCGGCTTCCTTGTCGGCGGTCACAGCGCGATGCACCGTGTCGATCGCTCGACTGAGAAAATCGGTGTTGGACATTCTCGAGCCCGTGGTATTTTTAACCGATTCGAATTGAGGTATATGGCAGGTGGAGAGGATGAGGAAGCAAATGTGTCGAGTTAGTGGAAATGTTGTAGTGTAAGTTATTTTTATTGTTGGGTCTTAAACTTCAGCGCTGAACTGAACTGGGCTGGAATTGCAACTACGAACTACGAATTACGATGCAATCAAGAAGGTCCGCTCAACTCTCGTCTAACAAAAGGCCGGTGGTATGAGGTACCTTTAGGCGGCAAGTAAAATGTGTGGAGTAAGAAGTATTCTATACAAGTTGCCCCTTCAATGATAGCAATAGGCAAGGTTTAGATAATATCTTATCTTAGAGGGGTTAATATTATCGATTGGTTGGCATGACTACCACTTAAGCCACAACTCTACAGCAGCCACAGGCAGCATTGAAAGAAGAGGTTAGCATCAAACCATCAAACTTGAGTCTGTCAGTTGTCTGTCTTTACAAGAGCTAAGAGGTCTAAGTCACGCTCGATTCACCAAATTTACAAATCTAGAATTTTAAATCTGTGCATATATCGCTAAAGCAAAAGGTACTTTTACTCTACAACATTTTAATATCGATACTCGGGATTGCGACAACACATCAAAACCTCTAGCAGCAGGCTCTAAAACAGACAGATCATGGCGGAAGTTCAAGCACGTCTTCAGAGTCTCTCTGAAGACTTCACCAAGCTACAGCAGGAGTTACAAACTGCCGTACAGTCGCGTCAAAAGCTCGAGGCTCAAAAGCAAGAGAACACGAATGTGCAAAAAGTCAGTTTAGGACGATATAATATCACGCATAATTCGTGACCAAAGGACTTATAGGAGATAGGAATTTGAACGTCTTAAGGATGACGAGAACATCTACAAACTAGTTGGCCCAGTATTATTGAAGCAAGATAAAATCGAGGCTGAGAGTACAGTCAATGGACGATTGGAATTTATTAGTAAGGAGCTGTAAGTTTATTTTTATTTTTTTCAGTTGTCTTCTGCATAGCTTTCCATGAGCTAAGATTATTTGTATAGTGAGAGGACAGAAGACCAGATCAAGGAGTTACAAGATAGAATTGAGAAGAAAAAGGGGGATATCATCCAAGCCCAAGCAGGATTACAAGCGGGAGGTGGCGCACCAGGGAAAGTAGCAGCAAAGGGTTAAGGAATGATGAAAGAATTTTAGTTCGAAAGAGCGTCAAAGAATTAAGGAGTGAAATGAAGTTAAGAGACCAATTACGTTCAACTCTAGACGTGTTCAGATATATCATCAATCTAAAATTCCTCTGAGCAATATACAAGATTGACCTTTAAATGTACTACATGAATTATCAAGACACAGGAATAGTTTTATATAAAATTCATAGTGGCTGCCTATACGATAGGTTAACACATGACGTAACGGGCTTGCCTTTGGTACACTGCGTAATGTACCAAGAGGAAATATAATTGCGACTTATCTCCAGATTGCCCCGCCATTCCGATACGACCCCGCCGCCTACATTCTTTCGCCGTGCCTGCCGTACCTGCCATACCTCTGCCATACCTGCCATACAACCTTGATACCTAAATTTAATTTCTAGCGCTTAGTAGCGGGAAAGGTCACAAGGGTTTACAAGCCGCGTCTCCCTTCAACATCAACATCCTTTTTTCCCGTCGCAAACCAACACGCAAGCTTGATACTAGGCAGCCGGAAAGAAGAACTCCTCTCATATACTACGTCGAGACATAATAAATACTTATTCACTAAATCGAATGAAGCTCCGTTCGTTATATTACTTACTCTCTGGAGTATAGCTTGCTGCGCAGCAGCGTAGATGATGCGAAGATGGCCCCAACTAATCCTACGTTCCCGTCTGCCAACCGCCCTCTGGCTATTAAGGAAATAGTTGGTGAGGCAGAGGGCTTTAAATGGGATCCTGCTATACCGCTGAAGTTTTGGCTGCGCACTGCCAACACACTATTCCTAGAGGTAAATAGCATCATGTATGACTTATCTCGTTCGACATAGTGTTGACTTTTGATCTTTCTTAGGGTAGAAGCTATCTGAGTGATGGTAATTTCGCTCAAGCCTACCTCATCTATATGCGATATTTAGATCTCGTTACGAAGAAACTGCCTAAACACCCCAGCGCTAAAGCTCCCGAGGAAAAAAGGGCCCTCAACGAATTATACAAGTCCCTTGGGGATGTTATGTCTAATCTCGAGAAGATTAAACCAATTATCGAACAGGATTATAACGCGTGGCAAGAACGGTCTAAGAAACAGGGCCGCCAAAAGCAGGAGGCTAGTCATCCCAAGTCTAAGCCGCCATTGACCTACGAAGAGCGCGCATCCCGAGACCCTGCCTTATCTTCTACGCATCGATTGCTCAATGCCGGTGACTATCAGGATCTTGCAGTTGAGCTGGCCGAGAGGGAGTTTCGCCGTAGGGATACAAATAGGGGTGCGGCTAGAAATACCGGCGTATCGCACGAGGAAGATACACGCGGTGCGGGCTTCTGGAACAACTGGACGACCGAGCTAGCTGATAAACAAGCTGAAGATGAAGAACTTTTCAGAAGGCAGATGGAGTCAATGAGAAAGACATTAGATGGAGATGAGAGTGGCTACACGAACAATATTCCACGAAAACATTCGCGCCCTTCATCAATAGCAAGTCCTTCAACAAGCTATCGATACCCATCTATCTCTCCATCTCAGCCTATTCAGTACGAGGCCGAGCACACCCATGCCAGAAAACCGTCAACTCCTCAACCTCTCCGACCACCCAAAGAAGAGATCTTTCGTCGGCCTGAAACTAGTCCGAGCCATACTCCTGCACCAGAGCTGCCTACTAAGATACATGCATCCCCCGAAAGGACGCTCCCAACACCCGAGACATCTCAAGAACTCCCTACCCTCCCACCTAAGATACGCGAAGAGTCTCCTGTGCCCCAGAAGGAACAGCAACGCCTTACATTTAAACCAGCAGCCTACCTCGAGAGTGGCGAACCACTCCGCTCCGTTTTCTTACCCAGTCAATTACGCAGCCGATTTTTGTCAATCGCTGCAGAAAACACCCGGCGTGGTCTCGAGATGTGCGGTATCCTCTGCGGAACTGCTGTTAAGAACGCCTTATTCGTGCGTTGTCTATTGATCCCTGAACAAACCAGCACTTCGGACACGTGCGAGACAGAAAATGAAAACACCATGCTGGAGTACTGTATGGATAATGACCTAATAATATTAGGTTGGATTCACACGCACCCAACCCAGACCTGCTTCATGAGTTCTAGGGACCTGCATACCCAATCTGGCTATCAGATCATGATGCCGGAGAGCATAGCTATCGTCTGTGCTCCGAGCTTTAAGCCCTCGTAAGTTCTCCTTTTTCACTGCCCATACCTTTTAAATTCATCTATGGCATATGCAATTGCTAACATGTTATTTATAGTTATGGCATATTCCGCCTCACCAAACCTCCTGGTTTAGACTACATCCTTGGTTGCACACAGACCAGCACTTTCCACCCACATGCTATGGATAACCTCTATACGAAGGCGCAGTCCCCACCGGGTCACGTTTACGAGACTGACAAGCTGGAGTTCGACGTACATGATCTTCGACCGGGCGGCCGCAACAGCAACAGCACCGTGCAGCACAAGAACTTTTAGGACATGATGTCTAATGGGATGGGTTGTGGCGTGCACGCATGCGCTCTGCTCGTATGTGCTCTCTGCCCGTGGGGAGCGAACCGGTGCCCGGATCGGCCGGGATCCAATCACACCTGCAGTATGGTTAAAGAGGATTGATTGGTGTAGTTTTTTTCTGATAATATCTGGATTGTTGCCACCTGATTAGCGCAGCATAGGACAGGCTCAGTACTGCATAGCATGGGCGTTATGGAGACTTTTTAGTTTTAGTTTTTATTTTATTGTCTCTTTTCTCGGGGTACCTCTAAGTGAGACCCATCAAAACAAGACTCGACAAGCTTCACGGGTTCATTTCAAGCATGTACTGTACAAAGGTTGCCTAGGTAGAAAGACGAAACGAGATGGGGACAGGAGAAGTAAAGTAATGAGACTGCGGTTTGATCAAGCACGACTGATTTGTGTGTATAAGATAAAAAAAGCTAAACTACTCTGTTTCCCCTTTCCCTCCCGGACACCTCCCTCCCTTCGCATAATCCAGCTAAACTCGGAAATGACTATTCTTTGCAGAATTTGGAGTTTTTGTTTCGGCCGTGTTGGTTCGGCGGACGCGTGCAACTCCTCTAGATAGACAGATACCTAATTTGGTAAATGGTATGAAATCAAAACAAGACCGTTATAAACTCTCACTCTCTCTCTCTGGATGATGATGGTGATGATGTTGTTGTGGTGATTGTGGCTTGTGCCGTATTTCCCTGTGCCCTAGTATTCTTACAGATGAATGGTAGATATGAGGGATGAATGGGATGAAACGACAGTAATGTGTAATAACGCCAGTCCAACCAAAAAAAATATATGTTTCATGGTTTTTATTTATTTGTTTGTTTGTTTGTTTGTTTGTTTGTAAGTCCCCGCGCTGTGCCTCAATCTTGGAGGACGTGGTATTTGGTATTTGATGTGATTGTGCCCGTTATATATAAATTCCATATATGCATTGCCATAACTATCCGAAAGTTGTCCCGATTCGTTTCGTTGTGTTGTTTCGTTTCGTTTGTTCCCTGCCTGCGGGCATTTGCGTGCCTTCGTATCCGTGTCGTGCGTATGTGTGTGTGTGTGTGGTCTCGTATCATCAAATCAAATCAAATCAAATGAGTAGTTTAAGTAAGTAAGTGGTACCTAACTAACATGCGTCGTAGGTATAGTGTCGATACCCCTCATTCGTGAAGGGACCATCTAGTCATACGACGCGTTGCTGTCGCGGCCGCGACCAGCTCTTGCGCCAGACTGGGATGCCGATGACGCTGTGCCAGCGCTTGGTTGACACGTTGGGGTTGGTAGAGCTGGGGATGTTGGTCTTGGACGTGTCCTTGGAACCGTCCTTGAGAACCGACTTATCGGAGCTGGCGCGCGTGGAACTACTTGCTGTGTTCGAGGTCTCGGGTACGGGAGCGGCCTTCGCGGCTTCAGTTGTCGTGCCTTCGGTTGTTGCGGGCTCAGCAGCTTCGGCTGGTGCTTCGGCTCCGTCGGTTTCTGGGGCCTTGTCGGATGCATCGAGCTCGCTAACTCCGTCGGCCTTGGCCGCCTCGGCTTCATTTGATGCTTCGGCCTCGGTTGCTGTCTCGGGAGCCTCGATGGCTTCGGGCTCAACTGCCTCGGGTTCTTCCACTATGACCACGGGGGGGTCTTCTGGCTTAAGTTCTAGAGTCTGGGCGCGCTGCTTCAGGCTCTCCACCTCTAGGAGCGTGTTTTGCCATTCCTCGATAGTTTCGCCTTGTAATTGCTTGAAGACCCTGTACGTTAATGTGTTAGTTACGTGTAGCGAAGTTGAATCATATATGAATGAAATACTTACTTCTTCATGGTGGCGTATAGGGAAAGGTCAGCAAGGAGTGTCAAGTTTTGCTTCTCGAGCCAAGCTGTGAGTCCCTTCTTCCACACGTCGATCTCGGGGTTGAAAGAGGCGCTGAGGAATTCAGCAGCGGCGGTAGTCTGCTCCGTAGCAATTAAGTTACGGAGAGCCTCGGAGACAAAGCTTCCCAGCTTGGCCTCTTGGATCTGGCTTCGAGCGTGGGGATCTTCGATCGCGTTGGCGATCTGATCCTCGACGAAAACATCGGTAGAGTTGCTGAGCGCAGCCCCGAGGACGGTTCCAATAATTGGGCTTTCAGAGGCGCGTCCGATAAAAGCGCCGATGGCAATACCAATTGTGAAAGATGCCGAATTCGTGTTAGTTGCTATTTCGTAATAGCACTGGTTCTAAATATTCAATATCGGTTAGCAACTTATATAAATGAATAGGGATTAAGTGAATTGACTACTAACCTCAGTTCGGCTCTCATCGTGAGAACGATGTAAACCGGCGACGGCGGGTCCGAAGACTGGGACTTGTTCAGCGACAGCGCTCGTCCAATGTTCCCTCTCGATGGAGTCGGCACTGGAAAGAAATGGTAAGCTACCTATACTAGATTTGAACTCATAACACAGGCTTAAATACGTGGAGGGGAGCGGAGCCAGGACAATACGGGCAAAAGCCTGTAATACATAGTGACAAACATACGGCTTGGAAAAGCTTAGGCGTCCTTTTCGGTTCACGACGCAGGCGCTGAGGTCTACCTCGGCCGGGTGATGGACACCTTCGTAATCCTGGAGTTCGCCAGTGAGCCTGAGGCTGTTCGAGTCCCGGGCGAGGCTAAAGTTACGACCAGATCGTGAGTAATGCCTCTCATTGACCTCGAACTTGCCGCCGATGTTGCCGTAGTACTCGTCGAGATCGATCTCCGACGTGTGGAACTTGCCATCCCTGCCGACGACCAGGCCCCGCAGAATGGCGTTATCGAGCGTCAAGCCCGCGGTGTAGAGTAGAAGTGAATCGCCGCTACGGAGGAATTAGTTACTGATATTCGTCATAATAATTCCGAATATTTGTTAATGAATTAAATTAAATTTCAAAAAAAAAAAAAAAAAAAAAAAAAAAAAAAAAAAAAAAAAAAGAACATACAGCTTCTGGAACTCGAGGATGCCGTCCCGATTCCTGACGAATAGATCTAGATTGATGCATGTCTCCTCGGCATATGCGCCAGATATAGTTCGTAGTCGAGCATACAGGTATGGGCCGCGAAGGTGGACTGACCATTCCTGAGCGGAATTGTGCCAACGGTCCCCGGTAATATCGAAGGTGCCATTAGTGTTACCAATATGTTCGTTGAGGTTGAGTTTAGAGAAGGACCAAGAGTCATCTTCAGGTTTTCGCACCGAGGCCACGAGCCACGAGCCGCGAAGCTCGATTTGCTTCGAAGTCAGCGAGAAAGCCATTGTGAGCTCTCTATTCTTCGTCTTCTTCTTCTTCTTCTTCTATTCGGTGTGTTAGTCTATAATGTATAATATCTGAATATAGACAATCTAGATAAAAGAAGCAGAATAAATAACCAGTCGGAAAGGATGAACTGGGTCTTAATTATTCTTGAAACTTTACCTTTTAATCTTTGACGTATATTTGAGTCTACTAAATCCCAATTCCTCTAATATCGCCATGACAGGACCAGACATATTATTATACCTTGATCTGGCTCCATATAATTTCCCCAGGGCCCATACACGATGCATTTTTTTCCTTTTCTTTTTTTTTTTCCTTTCATAATTTTTCATCTGCTATGCCAGCCATGTGTCTATTCTTCCCGCCACCTCACAGCGATGAGCTGTAACACCTGCATGGAGCATATCTCATCTCGTCTTCTTATTGGCTGCTTCATTTGCATTGACATGCTCTTGTCTAACGGGACTATCCCGCCGACACATGGCCGCACGGTGTTTCGAGCCCGAAACGCAAAAGCATCGTTGTCGAGTTGGCAGCCGTCAAAACCAATAGGCGGGTCTTGGACCAAATGGCCACGAATGCTTCGAGTTAGGTTCGCGATGTGGCACGCGCAGAGGCGAAGCCGCGACTGAAAAAAAGACGGAGAGTGGATAAGAATAACTAGGGATCATTAGGGGATCACATGGGTTGAATGCATATGGAACGCATACGATTGGGGGGAGAAGGGGGGGAAAAGGATCGTATCATTATTCTTTTCCTGTTATCGTTACTACATATTGTTAGTGTAGTTAGTTATAATACTTTACTACTTTATTACTTACTACTTACACAGGTACTATTGACTTACTTACCGCCTCAACCCAACCTCTCCCTCCTCTTACTCTTTGTGCATATCATGCATATCTTATCCAATCTATTCTCCACCGCCATCATACAATTGATGATGTATGTATGAAAATGAAAATAATAAAAAATCAAGTCTACCCAAGACAAATCTTAAAAACAACTGGTTCGATTTGCGTAATCTGATCATCTCTTCCTTTAGTTAATATTTTATCATGTCAAATCCGGCAACCTATGTTGTAATTCGGAGTGATCTACTTTCTCTCCGACCCGCTCAGTTAATACAGAGGCGCATCAATTGGATTCCTGATAACTTCCCAATCCAAGCAAGAGGGATACCATGATCTGGCTCACCGTATGATAGTCCTTACAGGCCCCCCCGGTAAGCCTAAACCGTGCATACCGCGTCTCGCCCACTGTCGAGAGGCTGGCCTGACTGGCTTCGTCGCCAGCTCAGCAAGGCGATTGGGCTTCTACTACCCTTGGTTGTGGTCCCTGTGGTCCCTGCATCGAGAATCCACCTCTCCGCAGCGCCCCATCGTTCAAACGTAACAAATCTCCACCAGCACTAGGCATCCATTCTTCCTTCGAGATCCGACTGAGCCCGTTCTCTCTCATTCATTTTTCCCCATAACCTTGACGTCTCTTATCCCACTATCGATGCCATCGTGACGACGATTGACCAACACCAGCTCATCAAGCTTAGTATCGTGTCCCACCAAGGCCCTCTTCACATGCTTTCATTCGCACTGCGCCCCAGAAAGCACATCATGACCAGCCCTGATAAGAGCCGGAGTTGGGACTCGGATCTGGTCGCCACCCTTGAGAGCCTGAGTGAAGCGCTTCTTGGTCCGCGGGCCCGCCGCCGATCTCGGTGAGGATTGGGTGAGCGGTTGCTGCTCCTCCGTTATATACGAATCACAGCTTCGCTAGCGATGGTAGTCGCCAGACGTGGGGCGCAGTATGCGTCATGTACACAAAGAAAGAGGTGCTTCTGCTTCATGTATAGCTTCATGTATAAGCAGGTTGGTGCCGCTCGAACCGCGGTTCCTTACGGCCCAGCCTCTGTCATATTGCGCACCGACTCGGACACCGCAATCATAGCCGCGGTGACATGGATAGAGGTCAAGTGAGCGGACTTCCGGGTGAGTCATCGGGTAGAACCCGACTCTCGGAGATCATATCGGTATAAATACCGTGAGTAGTACCGTGAATAATACCGCACCGGGTTATAAGCCGGCCGTTCCCGTGACTTGCACATATCTTACGAAGCCATGATATCACAAAAATCGGTTTATAAGCCGTATACAGGCCGAAACCGTTTTATCTATTGGTGACAAGAGAGAGTATCTAGGTATCAAGAGGTCACATTGAACAATCTAAGAAAGGAATACTACCTAGAGGAAGGAATGCTAAAAAGCAGCTAGAAAAGTATAAGGAGACGAAAATGGAATTATACCTGCCCATCACTTTGAGTGCCTTCTTCTTTCATCTACAAGAATGAGGCGAATATAATTTTTTTTTCTCTTACTTTGGTTGAGACTATGATAGTTCTGCATTTGGTGAGGTGTGAGAGGTGTGAGAGGTGTCTGGAACATCCAATGTTGAACATGTGAGACCGGTAGACTTCATAGTTGGGCAGCATTGCCTTAGTGGTTGTTTAGTTGTCTTTAGTGGTTCGCCTCATTCTACTGTACCTAAGGTGGTACCTTATAGCAAACTCGGCGACTACCTAACTTACCTAACCTTAAAAAGGTAAAGGTAGAAAAAGGTCTAGTTAAGTATTTGTGTAACTATACTCAGTGCGTATAAACAGTATTAAGCTTACTATATACTGTATTTAGCTTATTAAGGTTCGGATCTAGGAGATCATTGGAGCTAGACCAACTCCAGCTACTATCTGGAATTCAGCCCTACCCCACCGTTCACACCAAAAAAAGGAATCAACCAATCAAATCTCTATTGCGCCCTGGATTTGATTCCTTTTTCTTTCAACGTCGTTTTTACAGATCACATCTAGCCATACTATTGGATAATATTATATTTCATCGTATACAGAATGGCTAAGGGTTAAGGAAACAAAGACGCGACTGTTGGATTCTAATCTTGAATTAAGTTACGGCATACTATTTTCTTAGCATACGAGGGAAGGATTCGAATCCCTCCCTCTTAATCAATGCACACCACACGTATATCACGTACAAGATCTAAATATCTTCGGCTTTCAATTTTTCTCATCTCCAAGTATTAATAGCTTACCTCAGTCTATAGTTTATTATACTCTTCTACCAGCAGTAGTAACTATACTATCTATTTTACTAGTCCATCGCTGTGGACATAGATTGATGGTAATATTCTATCTATCCTATCTCTTAGATGCAAGATCTAAAAGATGACAGGTCCAGCTCTTCATCTAGGTTAGAAAACTATGATATCCTGCCACCAACAACGTAACATTGGGGGCCGCTATAACTTAGTAATGGACGGCTAAATATTATCTGCGCCCCCTACCTCCTGGGATATGTAGGCCTCAAGTATACTTGGGTAATTCTGCCTCGTAGCTGTAGCTTACAATTGCGCGAGCTATGTAATCTCGCGCTTTTTAAATCTCTGTCACATCATGTCTTGATAGCACGACAGTCTAATATACTGCTCGATGGTTCGTCCATGTAGGGCGCAAGAAAATCGATATATTCTCATCTATAACGGCATCGTCTTAATCGATATATCGATATTTCCAGCGCAGGAACCGAAAAGTGAGTAAGACGATGGCTTCAACCCCTCCGACAACCTACGATAGCCGGCACAACATCACATGGGGTATCAATGGGTTCGTCATTGTTCTGACTATACTCTCTGTTGTGCTCCGCTTTTACACTCGCATCTTCACCCGTGCCGGATTGAAAGCCGACGACTGGTTAATTCTATTCGCTCTTATCACTTCTCTGACGACCGTGGTGTTGGTGATCTGGGGGAACTCTGTTAACCCGAACGGACTCCGTGCATCAGACAATACGAGTCAGAACTACGTCTACTCGTCCCTGGATCATCTATACATCAGATTATCATATGCCTCTACCATCCTCTATTTCACTGTCTCCGGTGCCACCAAGCTTGGAATCCTACTCATGTACCATCGCATCTTCGCCATCAGTCGAGCCTTTCGGTATCAGTTATTCGTCGTGAGCGCCTTGGTTATCGGCTGGTGGTTTGGGTGCACCGTTGCCGCGCTGCGGAAGTGCAAGGATCTCGAGGTTGGTCTGAATAGTACACTGAACGATCCGAGGTACTGCATCAACTTCAATGTCTACTGGATGGCGGCCGGGGTATGCGAAATTCTTCTTGACGCCTGGATCCTGACCTTACCCTTAAGCGTAGTGTTGAGGATGCACTATTCGCTGAGACAGAAATTCGTCGTCTCGGGAATCTTCTTATTAGGAGCTTTGTACGTCCCCCTTTTTCAGGTACTTCTCTAACTGTCTTCCTAACGAGTATCTAGCTCCATAGGTTCCGGCATAGCCAAAACTGTCCTCGCTTATCAGCCGGGAAGGCGGGCGCTGTCTTATGCCAATACCGAAATATGGGCGGCCTTGCATACTAGCATAGCCATATTGTGCGCCAGCCTGCCCATATTCAGACCCCTTGCCGCCCGAATAGCGCAGTCGTACCCCGTCGTTAAGATCACCAGCCTCTTAACCCGGCGACGGAAGTCCGGGAGTGACAGCTCTGGTCTTGATAAGAACGGAGACGGGAGTGGAAGCGGACGCGGGAATGGCAACAAAAACGGCAATGCAGGGTTCAACCAATATTCAGACATATCATTCATAGATATGGGCATGGCCCAAGACCATCTAAAGCAGCCAAACCCGACTTACTCCCGGGTGTCGCCTGTAGATTCTGCGATAGATCGGGTACATACCAAGGACCCATATGAAGAGATGCAGGAACCAGCTCCTCAGCTACCTCATATTGAAAGGACGGATTCTCTAGAGCTGTCGTCTGATATCAGGCCTTTCACGACTCTGTCTCCGCATAAAGAGAGTAGAGATACGGATCACTGGTCAGACACAGGCCTGTTGAATCAGCCACGCGGATTATGAAGGGATGTTGGGATGGCCTTCGACATACATGTCTGAGAAATAGGAGGAACGCAACTATGTACATTACGATATGAAATGAGATACCCCTGGATTTAAATATTGATTATACTTATAGCGCATAACAGTGCTCGCGTGAAGGTTATGCCTCGGTCTCTTATCCCAATATTGCATGAGAGCCTAACTCATATCTTTATCAATCGGTCGACGCAGCGAGAGAGTGTTAGTAGCTGACCGGCCTAGACTTGGCTAGTTAACTAATAGCCATTATTCCTGCCAACACGGTATCGCAGTTGAAAACTCCTATACAACACCACGCACCTAAAGATAATCTTAGTACACTTAATTCAATACACATATAACTCTGATTAAGCCGAAGCAATCCTGTAGGTTAACTACCTACCTCTCACTTAGACTAAAAAGTATAATATAATATCAACGCGTCTTCCTACTAAGTGAACTCACCGGAACTAGAGCAGTCAAATACGTCAGCGTTAGTCAGTCGCGATAATGACGGCGCATCAACGTGAACGACCAACCCAATTTCTCAATACCCTTCCCTACCACTTCTATACGCGTATTTCCCTAACCTAGTCCAAGAGAAAAAATAAGTCAGAAAATGTAGAACGAAACACATACATACCATAGTTACCTCCTTTTCCCATCGTCGCCAGATCCGTCTACAAAATTTTCTATTCATCCATGCGGGCGATGTTTACATAAAACCGCGACTCAGGGCCCAGCAGTTTAGACCATAACTATTACTTACCCCCGTACATACATACCCACCAAACCACGTCCCCTCCTCCCCAATCTCCACCACAATGGGCGCCATAGAATCGAAGCTCCTATACCTCAAACTCCGCTTCAAGTCCAAGCTTCCACACCCTCACATACTAAAGCGATACGGAAAGCCCGTTTTCGTAGAAGACGACTACTGTTACGGCGACCACCTAGGCCTGCTCGACGGCTACGCCAACCCCTCGTGTAAATTCCCAGTGTCGAACTACTACTACGACGAAGACGATTTAGAGTCCGATGATGAGAGGGGGAGTGAGGTAGATATGTATGAGCCGTTGAGTTTAGAGGGAACATGGTATAAGAGGCGTGGGTGGCTTGAATAGATGAAGACACAAGATACCTATCCCTGAGCTTTTAATAAAGTCACTTGTCGTATAGACTCTTCATACATGTCATATAGGTCCTAGTTGAGTGTTTTTATTGGTAGTTTATATTAACAGCTATAGACATACAATGATTAACCCCTTTTGCTATTGATGAGGCGATGCGTTATGTCAACAGTTATGCAATTTTGGTTTGCTGCCATAACCCCAAAGAAGCGTTACAGAAAACGGCTGAGTTAGCCGTATATGCTAATATAGACTAGCCAAGAATAGGCTCCTCTTTTATCACTGTTAGGCGGTAAGCACCTGTTGTTGGGAATGCTCGAAACAGATTGTAGAACTTACCAAGTCTCTTGAGGGTTACAAATATGATAGCTAATCGAATTCGTAATCCTGAAGATCGATGATATTTCACGTCTGTCCTGGTATCATGGGATACCTACTCGCATTGGCACTTAGGTACTTTGATGATTGGAAGGATGGCCTTACTGGGAGATATCTTTCATCCTCTTCTCTGAGGTCGCTTGGATGGTTGTCTGCTACCCATGTCGCTATCATTGCCGCCGTTCCGTTCGCGCTTCTGAATGTTCATATTTCGAATTTCCGGACCAATCACAAGTCCCTTAACGCCCTTCAATCCCATTTTCCCAACTGTGCTCTTCTGGAGCGTTGGAATCTCAGCCGCTCCAAGACCGTTTAGCGCAAACTCATTCGCTTCACGAACAAGTCGGGCAGAATCCCAGTTCAATGATTTGATATAGCTCTTGTAGTAACCAAGCCAACCTTGGTATGCTTTCGCTTGTATTTCCGGATCGAGTCTCATAGCAATTTCCGATACATCATCGCGGGCGCTTAGGTCCGCAGGTGTATCCTCAAACGTGATGTTCTTAAGTGTTCGCTTTGAGAATGAAGTCTCGTGAGACGTGATAATGAAGGTGCCTTTTCCTTCCGCGCCCGCACGGGCAGTTCGTCCCAGCCGATGAATATAGGATTCCTTATCGGAAGGAATGCCTGCTTGGAAGACGTTTGTTACCGAAGGAAAGTCCATGCCTCGAGCGATGACATCCGTTGCCACTAGGATACAGCTTTGAGCTCGACGGAACTCTTCGGTGACATTCGTCCTCTTTCCCTGTGACATTCGAGAATGGAGGGATATGACTGATGGCAGACCGGGTGATTTCTGTAGGACTTCCATGTAAAAGTCTACTAGCCGGGCGGTTGGCACAAATATTATCACTTTAAAGGCTTCGGGACCGACGACTGCAAGCTCTTGTCGTAGTGCACCGAGTAATCCAGCTGCCATATCAGAGAAGGTAGGAACGACAATGAGATGCTGAGGGACGCGCTCGTGCGTGTTCAGTTCACCTTCTGCGATGGTAGAGATAGACTTATAGTCCTGTCGAAGGACTAATTGGGAAACTCTTTGGACATGTTCAGGGACAGTTGCCGAGAAGAGCATGCATTGCCTCTTATGGACGGCCCTGTTCGGCAGGCATCGAATAATCTTCTTGAGAGAATCCAAAAAGCCCATATCCAGAAGCCTGTCGGCTTCGTCTAGCACCAACGTGTCAAGACTCTGTAGCATGCCAGCAACGCGGCTATCTTCTCCACTCAGATGATCGTATAGTCGACCTGGAGTACCAATCAGAATATCGCAACCTTTTAAAATGCGTCTCTCTTCCGTGTCCTTGTTTGTACCACCAATGGCGATACAGATCTTGTACTGCTTTAGACGCTGTAGTAGGGCACGTGCCTCCTCTGCGATCTGCATTGCTAACTCTCTGGTGGGCGAAATGACAAGCAGAGAAACGTTATTGCCTGGTTTTTCCTGGCGATGCATCATTCTTTGAATGGCTGGTAGTAGGAAGGCGATAGTTTTTCCTGTACCAGTCTTTGCTTGTGCCAAAACATCGCAGTCTTCCTTCAGAAGCGGATGGATGGTAGCTGCTTGTACCGGTGTCATGTGGTTGAATTTTAAGTCCTCCGATATTGTTTGCAGTAAGACAGGATGAATTAGATTATCTTTTGCGAGTCCTGCAAAAGTCGGAGTATCTGTGGGCACAGAGATTCTCGGAGTGGCATTTTGAGGTGTAACATTCTGAGGTGTTTCTGAGGTTGAAGGCAGGTCAGAATCATCGACTTCATTGCCATTTGGCTGAGTAGAATATTTAGCTGCAGCTTGCCGCGGTTGATTTGGGATATTCCTTGAGCCTCTAGTATTGTTTCCACGTCTTTTGCCTCCTCCACGCGTGCGAAAACGAGAATGATCCTGTGATTCTTGCATGGTCATGGTGAAATTTCTATGCTGTAACCAGAGAATATGTTGTTGTTGTTGTTGTTGTAGTGGAAAGAAAAATGGACGTAGTTTAAAAAATTGTGAGACTGCTCTAGCTTTTATTGCTTTTATTGGTACTTGCGTCAGTGTCATTTTATTGCAAGGCAGCCGCTGCAATTTATACCTTCCCACAGCTTCTTTAATCTTTGATTCTTTAAAGGCAGTTCATGTATGTAGGTACATGTATTTTAGGAGGTACATATAAAAAGTACCTTTATAAAGTTTTTTTTTCTGTACATGCAGTTACATATTCAAATTCACGTGTGCATTGAAGCGCGTAAGGGCGAGACCTGCAGCCATGAAATCTCTTCTTATTTGAGCAAGAACTTGATTGGTCCATGGATGAATATTTCCACAGATTTTCAACAGGCAATTTTCTCTTTCTTAACCTAACTACAAATTTATTCCCGGAGCTATGTCTCTAGTAAAGCAAGTTTTTCTTTCTTTCTTTTCAATCTGCTTGATGGCAAAGTACTAAGTAGAGATGCTGTTGGTTTTGAAAATAGCGGAAAATTTTTATTGCTTGTAGATTTAACGTAACTAGTTATTAAAATGCTCACTCTCTTTTTAACCGCATCGCATATGGTTAGATCCCATAGTCCCAACTCGCAAGTAGATGCTTTTGAGGAGATAAGAGGTAGTATGTGTGTTTATATTTCAATCTTTAATCTCTTACCGTTAAATTGAGCTTGTTTGACTAGATCTTAATTGCCATCTGGCTCGCTTCGAAATTTTCTGGTTGCGCTTCTTCAACTTTACCACAAGCTCGGTGTGATACATCTTAACATGTTTTGCCTCAATATTACAAAGGAAAAAGATTGCATCCATGTCAATGCTGAATTATAGATAGGTAGCAAAGAATTTTATAAGATATCACAGCGCATAGTCACGGTAAAATCAATGATAAACACAAACGAGTGAAAGGAAAATGGTGACTAGGAGCCACCACAACTTGCTCAGTAAACTATCTAACTCACCAGTCCTATATACCTACCAAGAGGCATATTAACTAGTTCAAAAGCCATCTAGTTCACCAGCGTCCCCCCCAAATCGATTTTTTTCTCTTTTTTCTCCTTTTTTCTGCCTGTGTCACTATGCTGGCAAGACTGTGCCCAGGAGCCGAAATTGTCAGGATGGCGAAAACACCATCCTAATGCAAAAGTGCGACTATGGACGTGTACTTGAGCTCCCTGATGCATAAGAAGTTTTCGGGTAAGCACCGATAGGTAAAAGTGTGACAGCTCATGACCATGGAAACGGGAGCTGCCAGTAACCAGGAACAGTTCCAAAACATATTAGCCAGTCAGTCGTATTGGGTGAATCAGAATGGCCATCTGTAGACGACGATTCCTCCTCCATATTGAATAATTTTTGTTGCAGTCCGAGTCGAAGTTGTTGCAACTGATGGTACCAATGCTCCTGCGGTAGACCGACGCAGTGCAATAATTGTATAGGTTGAACAGTCCGGGCCCAAGGCAGAGGTATTATTTTGCCCTAGCATCTGCTGTCCTCGGGTACGGTGAGTTTTGCGACAATGCTCGCCAAACACTGCTCCAAGTTGGATATGAAAACTTCAACCAAGGTTGATAGAGAGGGGGATGAGAGGTAGTTAAACGGAAAAATGCTTATGAGACAACGGTAGAAACGAGTCCATCAACATAATATAATCTCTCCTCGTGGTCATTCCTCGTCACCGAGTGCACACCCCCTATGCCGCCGAAGAATTATCTGATGCCGACCACCGAATCCAGGTGGAAAAAAAACGCCCGACGCCAATATTTTCCCCTTCCCCGGTTCGTCCAAACGTCAACTAACTCGGTCTCATGTCGTCGAATGCTCAAAGAATCTCCTTCGCGAGATCGAGGAACGATTGGAAGCCAAGGAACCAACGAAGTCATAATGGGTATGTTACAAATCGCAAAAAGAATCCAGAAGATATGTACAGTGCAAATGAGATGAAACCCAGGAAACCCCAGTGGATGTTGAGTTTCTGGCGTGGGGTCTAAGCACGTTCGAAAATAGTTCGAGCTTATTGTGGAGGTTGATTCTGGCCACCTCGACCACCACCACGGCCACCATAGTTGCTGTTGTTGTAACCGCGTCCACGACCTCGGTTACCACCGCGACCTCCGCCACGGCCTACTCCGCGATTGGATTGGTACGACTGGGAGTCATTGAAATGACCACCACGACCGCTTTGGAAGCCCTGTCCTCTATTCTGAGATGACGTAATGTTGTTCGATTGCTGCGAAGAGAAATCGCCAGAGTGTGCGGGCTTCGGGGCGTACGTGTTGACAGGACGAGGGATACTCTCGGGGTTGTCGTAAACATAAAGGCTCTTATCAATGGTGGCAGGGATTGGCTGGATCTCCGTGCCTAGGTCCTTTTCGATATTGTACAGATTGAACCTGTCGTCCCAGTTGATCAGATTGATTGCCAGACCAAGATGACCGTACCGGCCGGATCGTCCAATACGGTGTAGGTACGTTTCAGCATTCTTCGGGAAATCAAAGTTGATAACGACATTCACCGCCTGAATATCGATACCACGAGTGAGGAGGTCGGAACAGACAAGATTACGGCAGACGCCATTGCGGAAGTCGTGGAAAACTCGGTTTCGCGCATGCTGCGCCATCTTGGCGTGACTGTAGAAACATGAATAACCAAGCTCTGTTATCTTCTTGGCTAGCAGTTCTACACGGTTCGTCGAGTTACAGAATATGATGGACTGGTTGATTTGGAGCTTAGAGAAGAGAGTGTTCAAACAATGAACTTTTTGTTTCTCTTCGACGAAGGCGTAGTATTGTGTGATACCCCGTAGGGTAAGTTCGTCCATCAGGTTGATTTCGTAAGGCCTATCCATGTTCTTATCAGAGAAATCCTTAACAGACATAGGGAACGTGGCCGAGAAGAGCATAATTTGGCGATCCTTAGGGTGGAACTGGAGCAACTGTTCGATGACAGGGGTAAACTCGATCGAAAGCAGTTTGTCGGCTTCATCCATGATGAACATAGGACATTCGCTGAGATCAGCAACATTCTTGCCTGCCAAATCAAGAATACGGCCGGGAGTGCCCACTACTATGTGGACGGGATCCTGTAGACGGACGATATCATCGCGGAGAGTAGTACCACCAGTTGTAACCATGACGTTGATTCCGAGGTGCTTGCCGAGGGTCTTGCAGACCTGGGACGTCTGCATTGCGAGTTCTCTTGTAGGGACCAATATTAAACACTGAATTTTGTTAACTTTCGGGTTTATCCGTTCCAGAGCGGGCACGACGAAAGCTGCTGTCTTGCCGGTACCATTCTTGGCTCTTGCTAGGATATCTCGTCCCGTAAGGGCTACCGGGATAGATTCTTCTTGGATAGGTGACGGTTTCTCAAAGCCAGCTTCAAAGATGCCCATTAGTAGATCTCGCTTCAGATTGAAATTCTCCCATTCTAGACCTTTAGTGTTTGTTACATCCTAAATATCAAATTAGCTTGTCTCTCGCCCTTCCAACAAGTCAAATACAGACCTCAGTTTGTTGTCTGTTGTCACGAGTAGGGATGTTGAGACTCTTCTTCCAATCCTCGTTTTGAGGAGCATCATTCAGGGTCGAAGCCCTCAGTTGCGCTGTTAAAGCATCCGTCATTTTTGCTGAGTGTCAGGCCTAACTGTGAAAGAGACTCGAGGATCTGATGTTTGTATGTAATTCACGGGGTAGCGTTGAATTCCAAGCGTGTACCATGCACTGCTGAGAGACAGTAGGGGGAAGGTGATAATGTTGTAGAAGGCGACAATGTGAGTGAGTGAGTGGGGCGCGAGGCTCTATGAAAAGTAAACTTTCATATGCCCAGTTTAGAAAGTAGGTGTGAGTGCGAACTGTTTGCTGCTGGTATAGAAGGTCGTCCGTATGCGCGTCTAGGACAAGAGTAGAAGCTTTCGCTCTTGTTTAAAATCGATAGAGTGGTGGGTATGTCAAAGGCTTAGCAATGCTAGAGAGTAGAAATTGGTCAGTTTAAATTTGGCAAACAACTCAGCACACAGGCGGTAGAAAGAAGCGCATTCAAAAATAGTAGAGAGCGGGTCTTTCTAATGAGGAGACGTTCCTAGCACCCAAATAAGGCACCAATGAGAAACATCTGAACATGACCAAAACGAATAACATAGATAGCTCCAACAAGAAGTTTAGGCCAAATGTGGGAGAGCCATAACCGTACCGCGTATAGACACGTAGACGTACCTTCGCCAAATAGTATCTCCTGCAGCCAGGGAAAATCCAGCTGGCTGAATAATGGATATGATCGACGCTTGAAGCACCTAAGGCGCACAAGACGGAATCACGTAGTGGGATATTTAGAGGGGTCTTCTCGTATGGGGCGAGATAACGCGGTGTATAAAGACGAACGAGTCGGTTTCAGTAGTTAATCGAGAGTAGAGAATAACCGAGGATCGGGAAGACCTTGTTTCAGTAGCGGAAATGGAGTTTTGATAGTGTATTCGCGAGGGAGGTTTTTTGGGTAAGCTCTAAGTACTTTAGACGAGGGGGGACCGAAGATCAAGGGAGCTGTAGTAATATGTGCAATGCACTCAAAGATATTCGTAGAGGTTCGTGTGCGGGAAAGAGGTAGAGGCAAAAAGTGTAGATGGTGGTTTGTGGATATGGAAAGAAGTGCCTCGTGAAAATAGTCAGTTTTGAATTGCAAGGAGGAAGAGGTTGTTGATTTGATCTGATCTGATCTAATGCGCACCACAAATTGTTTTTCAATGGGGTCGAGCCGAGAAAAGAAGCCTGCAGTTGTGTAGTAAGAAGGAATATGCACGAGCCACACGGTGCCGGTCCGGTATTGTCCCGACATTGCGGGACCCTCCCGAATGACCCCGCAACCTTGAGGCTGAGGGAAACCAGGGAAACCGTAAAGAGCGTTACATAATGCCAGGGACTATGTACAATATCCTAGCTGCATAGCATCGATTAGCGCTAACTTTATAGCGAATGAAACCCCTATGACAGCTTGAATGGCAAGACCGTTTTAAGTCATCATCTACGTACCGCATGAACGCATCGGTCAGTCGGCTTGAGCGGGTTTGAGCTATTTCAAGCCATTTCAAACATACAACAAGACTTACAACAACACCTAAACTCAATTCTATATTGCCTCTTTTTCCAATTCATCTCTCTTTATTAGAGATCCTACTTCCACTAGTCTAATTTATCCGTCATGAGGCCTTTTCTAATGGGCTTCACGAGCAATGCCCTTCTCCTGTAGACTATGATCTTCAAGAAGCCAACTTTCGCCCTTTGCTCCAGTCTTCCCGCCTTGCTTCCATCGTCACACCCCTGTTATAGCATAACGTCATCATCATGTAGTACGAACACGCGATGGCCTCCGTGTCAAGAGCACGGCCATGTCTTCTTGCGTCGACAATATTATGCTACGGTTTTCGACGGGTCCAAGAAGTCGGCTACCTCTTCTAACGAGCATGCCTGGCCTGAGTCGCCACACCCCACCCCCTATGAAATCTTCGACCAACAGAAGAGTGCGCCATATAGCAAGACCAAATTCTATGAATTGGTTAAGCTCTATCATCCCGATAGGCATCATCACGTGCCAACCCACCGGCTGTCGCATTCCGCCCGGCTTGAGCGTTATCGGTTGGTCGTTGCAGCAAATCAGATTCTCAGCGACCCATCTAAGCGACGAGCCTACGATTTGTACGGCGCAGGATGGGGCGGAATGCGAAATATGGAAAATCTCTACCGCTCCGCCGACAGGTCTTGGCGCGACGTTCCTGGGAATCCGAGCATGAACGCCACATGGGAGGATTGGGAACGATGGTACAATGAAAGGGATGGGAAGAAGGAGAAGCAAAGTCCTGTTTATATGTCTAACCAGCTATTTGCCGGTGTGCTATGCATATTCGTGGTTATCGGAAGCGTGGGCCAAGCGCGCCGCGCAAATTCAAACACGACAAACTTAGTAGAAATGAGGGAGCAGAGTCATGCGATTATCAGTCACGATATGAGACAGCGTCAGACTGAGCAGGCGACCCTCAACAGACATGAGAGAGTAGAAAATTTTCTGCGACAGAGGGAGGGTTGGGCTTTGGCCGCAACAGAAATCCCCCGCTCAGTATCAGCCTCTGATGAGAAATAAGATCTCGGCTCTCAACAGCGAGTCTCCATCGAATAAAATCTAACCTACGTATCTAATTGCGAGTGAGACACGGCGAATTACTCTTATTGACATACGTACCTACTATAACTACATCAAACTTGATATTATTAGATATACCTAATCCGCCGCGTCTCCCTCGCACCCGAGGACATAGGGTTCCCCTACCACAAAGGTGGTCTTGAGAAGTAGTATTTACGTTAGTGCCTACATCAATTTAGACGTCCTTAGGACTTTGGAATGTACATACATTTGCATTCTATCATCATTTATAAGCCTTATATGACCTATGGTCTATTGGTATTACACCTTGTCATCAAACGCAGCCACTAAGTGAAACATAAGAATATGGTCTTCATCAACCTTGCCGCCCACTGATTTCCCAACCAGACGTAGATCATTCGTGAAGAACGATATGTTAACTCTAGCCGGCTTATTTGAAGTATCTAGATGAACAATTCCCCCGGAATGAACACTCTCGCCAAACAGATTTCTGATCTTCCACGATTCTCCAGTTTCCGCAGTCTCCTTAGTATCAAGGATAGTATCATAGACGACCCCGGCGCTCTCAACAGTCTTTCGGTTCTCAGGTAGAATCTCAATCTTCGCAACTCCAACCGCGCCAATCGGATGTTTCGTGGCTCTCGGAGTGGTATACGGCACTCGCAGGTTCCGAGCCGTAACATCCAGGCACCAGAACGGCACAGTCCCCGGCTCAACCGGACTCCCATCGTCGTGCTTCGGGAACGCAACCGCCCACTTCAACACCTTGCCATCGGGCCGAGTCCTCCCTCCACGCCTTAGGTCTCCATACACGATTCCGGCTTTCGCATCGCGGACCTTCTCTTGGATCTCGTGGAAGTGTTTTTCCTGCTCCAGGAACTTCGCCTCCTCTTTTACGGAGGGAGGCGTAGACGGACACCGCAGAGTAACCGCCCAATCTACAACCGTGCCCTCCTTCTTCCCGCCCCACTGGTGCGCAGCGCGCTTCGCCGGGTCGGCCCCCGGTACAAAGGCGATGAACTCGAGGTACGAGCCGTCAGCTAGTAGCACGAGGGTATTCTCGGTTAGTCCGTCGGAGTGCCGGCCACCGGGGTAGAAGTGAAATAGGTCTGCAAACCAGGAGGGCGGGGCGGAGAGGAAGGAATATGGGATCAAAATCACGATGTGATCAACAAGCGGGGTAGTTGGAGTCGGCATTTTGTAACGTGGTGATGGTTACGTTTGTGATAGTTAACGAATTGGGATAGGGACGTTTTAGTACACTAGAATTTATGCAGTGTACTTTATATAGATGTCGTGCTCAAATTGTCAATATTGCGTGACTCATATATATTGATCGGCCTTCACTAGGATATGGAGTTCTGAAGCATATTTGTATGGGTATCTTATTATAACAGGACTATATGATATCGAATTTGAGGCTAGTCTCAATTGATAATAGCTGGGACTAGACTTTCTTCTAGTACACGCTTCATGACCCTCTCGGCTTCCTTTGGGTCAATTCTCTCCTCGGCGCCTAGCCAGATCATTCGACCAACTAGGAACATGAGCTTCCCTTGGGGATATTGTTTATAATCTATAAACTGCTTAACAACTTCATCTTGTCCTTCCGCTGCATTTAATGCCAGCTGAATATACTCATCCTCGTTAAGTTCATCAAACCATAGGTTTTCCTCGTCGAGGACAGCATTTATCGTGGCATATTCATCTGGAACCCTCCGGCGGAAAACGGCCCATAGAAGTTCCTTGGCTACTTTCGCAGTTATCTTGCGTTGATATAAATATAATAAGATGTCGGCAAGGTGCCTGGCAGGTACACGATCACATTGACCGTCTTTTGTAAATCCTAAGTCCTGGGCGTCATCTTCACTACGGCCCGAGGTTAGGCGACCTAACTCATGCAAGATCCAATTAGCAGCAAGTTGGTAACCAGATAGATATTTAGGAGAGGCGGCATCTGGTCCAAATCGTTTAGTGAGGAGATCGACGACATTCCAGAAATATTCAACTCGGTTGCCTCCGTCAAGCACTACCATAGAAAGTGCATCTTTAGGAGTAAGCTGAAATCGTTGAATAAGTTCATCGACTTCAGCATCGGGGAGTTCGCCCATTCCCTCTCGCAGGTGGTTGACCAGATCGTTACCGATAATAACAGGTGCCAGATCAGGATCTGGCATATACCTATAGTCAACTTCGCCTTCTTTTCCACGTAGTCGGCGAGTCTCAGTTGACCCAATCGACCAGCCACGAGTCTCACTCTCGATTTTTCCACCGGACTCCAGAACGGAAATCTGTCTATCCCGCTCGGCGATAATAGCGTCCTCGACAGCCTTAAAGCTGCTTAGATTCTTGATTTCAGTACGCTGGCCGAGCGGCGCAGAGGGATCATCGCTTCTTCGAACGGAGACGTTCACATCTGCGCGTAGACCACCCGCCTCCATACCCGAGACACAGGAATCGGCGGCGTTAAGCAATGCCTGAACTTTCCTAACCAAAGCAGCAGCAGTAGCAGGGTGGTGAATATCGGGCAGAGTAATAATCTCGATCAAAGGCATTCCAACACGATTGAAATCGATCCAATGCACTTCACCTGGTTGTGCTAGAGTCTTGGCTGTGTCCTGCTCCATCTGGATCTGCTTAATCCCAACTAAGACACCATCACCATCTTCTGTTGCGATTCCATCTCTAGCTTGTAGTAAAATCTTACCATCTCGCGCAAACGGTTCATAGTACTGAGTGATCTGGTAGCCTGACGGCTGATCCCAGTGGAAATAGTGTTTCCTATCGAACCTGCTTACGTTCTGTATGTTACAGTCGAGCGCTAGAGCGGCCCTTAGTGCTGGTATAAGAGTCTCCTTTTGAAAGATGGGCTGGCTACCGGGCGTGGCTAGATCAAAGAATGCAACGTGAGAATTTGGGTCATCATTAAACGACGTAGTTGCAGGCGAGAAGAGTTTCTTTGCCGTATTTAACTGAGCATGTATCTCAATTCCTACGGTCAACTCCCACCCATCCACTACTTGGTTGCTCGCGTTCTTTTTCTTCTTCTTTCCGAGGGCCTTTTGCTTCTTGGCCTCGTCTTTCAACTGTTTCCTTAATGGAATATGAGCGGGAGAGAGCGTATTATTGGAGAGATGAGAAGTAGTAGACTCCGTATGAACATCTCGGATTTGGGAAGACCATAAGGCTGTCGACTGAATAGAAGTTTGAACAGCTCTAGGGATGGTCCGTGCTTGATATTTTAGACAACCTCGTGTAGAAAATTGACCATTAAACACATATCTGCTCAAGGTTGAGAATCGAAGTCGCGGCATATCGAATTACTCAAAATGAGTAATACCGATTGCGGATGTTATATCTTGAGACAACGGAAGCTTGCGATATTGAACTTGGATATTTCGAAATTAACATCCACTTTACCCGCAAGCTTATCGTATAGCGCACAGATAAGGGTCCGGGCACCTGCAGTTCTGCAAGGGATCGGCAATACTGTTTATCGGGTGAACTCGGTTAGGTATCAGCAAAGTATCAACATTAACAGCAGCTTATGACGTTTGACGCTAAAAGAGCTGTAAAGCCCCACTAAACAACCACCGAGCCAGATCTGCGGGTACATTCCTTATGGAGCTTATCCTTGTCATTTAGCGCCCAAATCATTTATTGTAGGTTCTAGCCTTCGTGCAGCCTTCGTCATCTTACATCTCCAAATCACAAGGAAATTTGGAACATTAAGAATATATCGAGGCAGACGTCGCAATTTAGAAAATCGAAGGCATGGCAAAACCTCTAAAGAATAGATATTGAATCAAAATGAAATTAAGGGACCGCCGACTACGGCTCATCACCGTACCCGAATGCGCCATGTGGCCGTGATCACTTTCAGACTCATTCGCGTCACTCACATCTCGACTGGTCAACCAATCATCTATTGTATCATATCTGGACAACTCCCATGCGACCTACCAGTGTGGTGGGATCTCCTCGTTATCGTTTGGGATACCAGTACCATGTCGGCTAACCAATTGGGGGCCATAGGGGACTGCTTAGTATCCTTTTCTGGATATCTTACCCTCTTCTCTGTTTAACCTTTTTTTTTACATTAATATCAATCAGGCCGTCCCATAGGACCACATACCTTCACGTAGTTCGTGGTATGTCCTCTGGCGTCGCAAAATTCTACCATGGCCGTTTAGCGCCGTATTCTCTCATCAGCGCCTGGCCACATGTTCTTCGAGTAATCGTCTATAGCCTTTTAGTAGACTCCTAATTCGACTCTTGGTTACCACATACCAACGTGGATATTTGTCATCATTCTGTTCGTCAAAGCTAGCGTCTCATTAGAAAATACTGTATACTTACATCGTCTTCATGGACTGACCCTGCGAGGTATGCGTGTTTCACGCTGTTTTCGCATCTTTTTCTTTTCTTCTTCCCACCGTAGGGCCAAAGATCCGTTTCATTAAGAGTTTTCAAGAGAGAAAGCACAGTCCTGCTGATGTCGTCCACAAGACATTATCGTTCATCATCCGTCCCGGCCGCGATCGATCGAGGTACCCCTTGGCGAGCCGTTGAGCGCAACATGGCTGAAAATCAGGGTCATACCCAGCCCAGTTATCCTTACCCCCCATCCACGAGGAGAAGCGTGCCTAGACGTAACACTGATATCAAACAGCCCACCCCGATTATAAGCTACGGCAACCCGAACCAGGCCCATAGGAGGTTTTCGAGCGTCTTAAACGCAACTGATCCTATATCTATTCCCGGCAAGCCGATCACATTAACTCCCACCTTAACCGAAGAACCGGGAATTATTCAACCGGGAGTTGGTTTCGTTGCCCAAGAGGCCGCCCGTCTTAACATCGCATCGGAAAACGAATCCCTTCCTCGCTTAAATTCCCCGTCAGTCGCCTCGACGAGTTTAGCGACTGTAGCCCCGAGCGAAGCTGGATCAGGAGGCTCGGTTAGGAGTGCCTCGTCAGCTACGGAAAGGCCTTTTATGAATCGAGACGCTACAGGAAAAGCAGGCTCTCGACGAAAGAGGTTCCCTAATAAACAACCTAATGCGCTCAATTTTCTGGATTCGGACTCTCCTACAGTTACGCCGGAAAGCATTCGCAGATCAATGGAAGAAGCTGCTAGTCGATCGCCAACCTCCATTCAAGGCCAGTCGCCCTCGATGCGTAGTGCATCCTCGGTATCGAGTAACTTTAGAGACGACGCTTCGGAACTAATTGGTGAGCATGAAACCGACCGAAGCACCAGTCCAGAGCGTGGTCCTGAGGTAAATGATGAGAATCATCTGCCACCACACAACGGAACTCGACCAGCAGGAAACGAGAATAGGAAGCGTAGCTACGACTTTACAGAGAACCCTAGGGGAAACTCTGAGCATTCACATGGACCACCAGGAGATTTCGCACCACGAGAGCCTAGCCGAGGCCGGCCGCAACACGCTCCAAGGGCCGAGAGATTGCCAGTCACAGGTTATCAGCTTCTTGCCTCGAAAATATCTACGTCTTCGTCCGATCATACCAACAATCTTCGACCCATTTACCGTAGATTCGAGACATTGAATCATCGGCTGTTACTGTATCTTCAAGATGAACTTTGCGAACTAGAAGAGCAACTTCATCGACTTGATGCAGCGGATACGCAATCTAGACGTTTGCCGAATTGTATTTTCCCGGCGTCGCGAAGAGCAGAGTATATGGCTAGCGGGGAGCTTCATTGGCACAAGACCGATATCCTCGGTAAGATCGCTTTCAAGCTAGATCAGTACAGTAAGTTCTCTAATCACACGCCTATTATTAACAATGTACAATATACTCACGCATGTTATTATCTAGACCGTATATTGTCATCATTCAAAGATACTCAGGGGATGCCGGCCCCAACTATGGAAGATATACACGAATATCGTAGCTATCTCGCAACCCATGCTCCAATCGCCGAGGTTGAGACCCGTTTCCTTGATCCAACGGACGACTTGGTATGTCCAAGTTACGAATATCAAGAAGTGGTTGACGAGGATCCCATTCCGACGCCAATCCCGCATCATGATTACCCAATTGGCGAACATAGAAGCGTGTCTCCTATTCCATCTCCTATTAAGTCTCGGCCCACCTCGCCTTATCGACAAGAGGAAATCGGTACCGAGACCGTCTTCAGCATGTATGAAGAATCACCAATCGTTCCTCTGTCTATAGGGATCACGGTGTCTGTAATCCTTCCGATTTTGACATTTTTAATCATACCGGGATATCTAGGCAGGTTGACAGTGGTATTCCTGGTGGGTCTTGGTATCCTGGGAGCCCTGATCCAAGGGGGTATCGTTGCTGTCCGGACCTGGGAGCTTTCTATTTGCGTTGGCCTTTACGGCGCTGTTATGGCTGTTATTGCAGGAATTGTATGATGGATTGTCGTATTTGGCCGGGGCGTCGGGCTCAAAACATCTATCTAATTAACCGACATATTGACGCCACGTCCCTAGGGTTGGTGTCTGCGTGATTTTAGGGCAGAAACTTGTGGAATTACAACGGAATACTGGCTTCGATGGTAGCTTGATTGTATCAGTACTCTTGACAACCAACGACAAGATATGACTTATGACTTATGGTGTTGGGTGTATCATATTGGAGGAAATAGTCGAGGCTTGAAAGCAGCTGTTATACAATATGTAGTGTAGATCAGATATCTCGCGAGTTTAATTAGCAATGAATTATGGGTTTTAAGTTGATCTATGCCTTAATGTTTATCTGATTCTTATATCCGTCTTCTCAAAATTTACACAAGTTTTACCTCAGGACCTGCCGACGTTCCTCATACACTATGCCTAAACACCAGATCGATACCTGAGCCTTACACAAGGCTAGAAAACACACCGATGGGACGTACGGGACGGATTAATAGCGACTCTAATAACATAAATACAAGTACACTCGGATGCAGTTCGTTATTGTGTAGTATAGTGTTCCAAATGACCATTCAGTCCCCTCTCGTCGATAACCTACTCTATACTCTCTAAAGGCCTGTAGAAAATATCAACTCTGCCCGAAACATCTTAGACCCATCGTCACGTAAAGTTGCCAGCCCTTTCCCGACTAAGCATCACCACGCATCTCTTTCACCTGGTGCCGAAGAGCAGCTATGTCGCCCCGGACCACCCCAATTGACCAGCCACAGAGCCAGCCCAGCGAGAACGAGAAGCCACCCGCCACAATGCAGGCGAAGGCGATAACTAGGCACGGCATTTTCTTAATTGTTGTTGAAGCTTTGGTTTTTAGCTTTTTGCTACTGTCGGTAATGGTAGTATAGTGGTGGTTGTTGGTGCTAATATTTTTTTTGAGAAGCGTGTTGCTGAAAAGACAAAAGTAAATACGGAATTGCACAGGCTGTGAGGAGTCGGCTTTAGATTCGAGTTAGTCCCTATCGCTTTCTCATTTACTAGGTAGGTATTTTACGTTTATATAGGTACTTATGAAGTAAGTATTAAGTAAATAGAAAGCACTGTAGGTACCTGTTAGATATGAAGGGAAAGTCCATCTCGCTGCCGGTAGTAAAGTATAAATCTTCCTTGGAATACTGAAGGAAACGGTAAGCATGGTAAACTAGTAGGTCATTTGCTAGTGACTAACTCAGGAGCAGCTATGGGGGGGTTTTGGGCGAAAAAAAGGATTGAGTACCTAAGTTATAAGATAGTGGGCAGAACGGTCTGTATTAACGTACTTGAGATGGTAACACTGAGCCCATGACGACTACCTAGGTATGATCTCAAACATAATTGCCACATGCATTCTAATATGTAAATAGCTACGTGTAGGTAGGAGAACGGTTAAGAACTAGAAATATATAACTTTGTTAAAATTCCACCCTTTTTTGGCCCTCTCCCCCGATATAAGCAAAACTCATCATGAGTACTTTCTAACTAGGTAAACATCACTGTTGGTATTATTGTAGCGTTTTCATTCTCTTTATAGTATATCTAGAATCGAGTTAGAGTGTACTGCCATGGACTTCCATAATTACTAAGGGTCATAGTCCCTTATGGAATTACAAAGTTGTTTCTATGTCTTCTAGTTGTACCTTGTGGTATAGACTTTGGTGTTCTTTAGTATTCTCGATATTTGGGGTCAACTAAAGTTGCTTGTTAAAATTCTGAATAATACAAGACAACATGCCAATAGCCATGTTAGTAGTTGGATAGTTTCAAATGTTAAAACAGGCTCATGATTCTTTATGCAATGACTGCATTATGATTGCCTCAATCTTGATAGTCTACATGTATAAGATTCGATTATTCGCTCCTATGATTTTCTATGATTCCATCTCGTGCTCTTTTTCTCGAATTATCCAGAGTTATATTCTAGTTATTCTATTTTCTCGGTTGTAGGGGTAAACCTTTCGTATGTGTTACCCTGCAGACAATGGAACAATTAAAGGATGGGTCTTCTGGGGTGGTTTTTACATTAGAAAGTCGACCCCGTGTTTTTACAAGACAGGGTAGTTGACATTCCTGTTTGCCGCTGCGCCTCAACCAATTCGGTTGGGTGTCGCTCAATTCGCAACTCAAATCAACGACAGCTTAAATGATATGTATTATAGAGAATCTAAAATTTGCCTTGGGAAAAGGTTAAGCTGGTTTAATTCTCCGATGAAGTATTTGTGACAAGTCTACGTGGTTGATTACCTCAAATTTGAGGGACAAACGGTGTTGGCAAATGAGATACCGAGTAAGGCAGCCAACAATAACTTAGCTGTAGTAGCACATAATAGAATGAAAGTGGTTCTGTGAAACAATGTAAGCTTAATGTAAGCTCGTGTGGTCGAATTGTTTCGGTATAAAGATGCATAGAAGCTTCGTGTCTGATTCGCTGATCAACTTCGGATGCGACATATCAGGTAGTCCGCAATTCGCAATCTGTGGTCCGCGGTCGTGGTTTTGGTAGTGGTTGTTCCAACCTTTCAGCCAGCCATCTCACTCACTACCCAAGCCAGGCTGAGTTTGTAGGCCTCCAGATCCACGTATATCTTTTAAAAAGCTTGTGATTCCTACAATTTCCTATTTGTTATTATTACTTATCACTCAGATATATTATTATTTGGATAATATAATACCATATTATTCTATTTACAATCCGTAATCGTCATGTCGCAGTCTTCGGGATCATACGAGAGACGGTGCGATTGCGCACGAGTGTTTAAAGATGTGCAAGCGATAAAAAATCATACCAAGGATACGGGACATATGGAGGCAAGATGGTGCACGGAATGCTCTCGTTTATTTCACTCTAAGGGTGCACTTGCACAGCATAAGGCGACTGCCGCAAAACACAAGAACAATACGACTGCGACTGCCACTACGACTGCCACCGCTGCTGCCATACCAAAGACCAACGTTAAAGCCAAAGCCAAAGTTAAGGCTAAGGCTAAATCCAATACTTTCGATAACAAATCTCAGATAGATAAACCCATCGTCGCTTCTAACAAGCCCGCAAATAAACCCGCAGGAACTACCACTATCATCACTACCATTACTACCTCTAATAACCCCCCTAACCCCCCTAACCCATCTCAGAGCGCCATAAGAAAAAATTCACTCAAGGGTCCTAAAGGTAGGTACCTAATCTACACCACATATTACCATATTCTCTTCCAATATAGCAAACAATATATATATACTAACTTATCTAGCCGTCATCTCGAGTAAAAGTCAAACAATGCAGAGCTCAACAGCAGGTGTATATACACCCCCAAAACCTGTTCCGACCATTCCGTTGGATCCTATTTCAAGTAAATATCCGTGGTCATCAGAGAAGCAAACCCCAGCCTTGATCAACTCTTTATCACCCTGTTGTCATACCGAAGCGTGCTTGATAGACGAGAATTATTACACAGGCACTTGGACGGGTCGAAAATGGAAGCATATCAATATCGGAAGATTCATACCGACTCCTATGAAGGTAAAGGGGATGAAAAAACGTAAGGCCCTGGTCATTGACTGCGAGATGGTTGGGATCTCGGGAGGAAGAAGCGAACTTGCCCGTATTTGCATTGTCGACCTTTTCACGAGAGAAGTCCTTGTCGACTCCTTTGTGATCCCCACCGAGATTGTTAGAGACTGGCGGACAAAGTACAGCGGAGTAACCCAAGCTATGATTACTCAGGCTCGGGCTAATGGAACGGCTCTGAACGGGTGGCCAACCGCAAGGACTAAGCTTTTCGAGCTTGCCGACGCGGACACGATACTCATAGGACACTCGCTCAACCATGACTTGCAGGCCATCCATGTCATTCACAACAAAGTTGTCGATTCTGCTATCTTAGTTGCAGAAGCCGTTTTCGGACGGGGCAATAGGCTAGATCGCCAATGGGGGCTGAAAGTGCTGTGTCAAGAACTGCTGGGTATCACAATACAGTCGTCTAAACGTGGCCACGACTGCTTGGAAGATACGCTCGCATCTCGAGAGATTGTGCTGTGGTGTTTTAGGGAGCGTGAGAAACTGGCGGCCTGGGCTAAGGATGCCTTAGTCAAGTACGAGCTTGAGAAGCAGAAGAGAGAAGAGCGCCAAAGAGCGAAGGCCCAAGAGTTAGCGTTGAAGAAAGAAAAGGAAAAGGAAAAGGAGAAGGCGAAAGCTACTCATTACTATTACGACGCCTACGATGATAATAGGCTAACGACTCAGCCAGAATACATCGACTCTTCGGAGCTCACTTCGCATTACAATTCATATTGTGGTTCATCATCGTCTTACTATAGGGAGTCAGACGACAAGGACTACCGCACGCTGTAAGAATAGAATAGAAGAGAGCGCCTATCATCTACCACTTCTCATTGAACAGAAAGGGAGCTCTGCATTATGGTTGTTGACATATGCCCACCTGGTAGTTAGAGAATAATTAGCATGCGTTTCTTTTAATAACTGTATAATTACATTTTCTAACTGAATGCAAATCATAGCTTTCTATCGAGTGTTGTGAGATACGGTAAGGGGTAGTGCGAGTGACTCTATTGACGCGAAAAGAGGAGCCTGACTTGTATACATGTTTTTACTAAGATACCTCGTATTATAGTCCCCTTAAAATGGTTCGTCCATTATACGTATTTATTGGCTTTAGTTACGGCTATTGGACTACGGGTATGTATCACTGAGCAATCAAGGATTAAGCATATCCTTAGGTATTTTTCTCTTCACCGTAAATATAAGAAGTACCTAATTACAAGCTTAATATTAATAATAAATTGCATAGGCTTATTTCTAGTTTATAAATGATATTGTTAGGGTATCGCGTAGTACGAAGTGAGAGGGAGGGGTTTGCAGTGGTGCATTGGTAACTGCATTAACCTCTTCTCTCCCGGAATAGGGGTTGGAAAGGGGGTGGGGTTGGTGACGAATAGCCTCCTTATATAGACCTATTATCTGGCATATATCTTACAGGATGACCCTATTGTATCCTAACAGATAGGAATATACTCGGTGCTCTTTCGTTTGTAGTGAAAGGTATAATAGTGCGTTCAAGAAGGTTCATAGAGTTTAGACCAGAGTCTTCAAAGCTCACGACAGTAAATATAAGACCATAAAATGTTGGAAAGGTAATTTCTAACGTTTGAAATGCTTCCAAAATGATGGTTTCCTATCGTTTTCCTTCGATTCCTCTACTACCTCCTTTTCAGGCATTGGTGTACTTGCATTGTTGCTATGGGCTAAACTGGTAGTAGCATCAAATGCTTCTCTCACAATATCTGCCCATGTAAAATCTATAGCTTCGATTCCAATATCAACTATATAATATTTGTCTGATGATCGTAGCACGGGCGTAGCGGAAACGCGGATGCTATGGGATGACAGCTCAAATCTTCCTACTGTGGTAGGCTTGAAAAGAGCTTCCATTTCTTCGAAACTTGCGAGCTCCGGATCCATCCAGGTGCCGAGTTCACATGCGCTGAAGGCAATGTTGAATCCGTTGAGCGTGCCAATCAACACAGCTACCTTTGCACCATCTGTGCGTATGAATATCAGAGCCGCCGAAAGCTGCTCTGGCTTCCGACGTAGAGTATAGATGAGGGACCACTTGCCCGCGACCCATTTCCTGGCTGAACTCTTTGTTACAATTGGCAGTGGCATGTCATTTCTGGAATATGGACTTGGCCATAGGATACGGACGAGCTGATAGATCGTCGAAGAGGGACCGTCCCTTAACTGGACCAAGTGATGAAGAAAGGCGCCTTCCAATGATGGTGGCTCAGGCTTCTGAGGGACGTAGACAGTCTGGAGGTTTCCACGCGTACTGACGCTGGCGAGTTTTCCTGTTCGAATACGTGCGTACTGGTCATTGTGTTCTGACAGCTTCTGTAGATATATCGCCAAGAAGGTCGAATCCTTATAATCAGGCGGCACGGGACAGTCGAGGGCTGCTACATATTCGTCGCCGTTGAGTGCCGTAAGATGAAGACCGATTTTAAGGCCGCGGTTAGTTAAGGTGTAGGGTTCACGAGGCTCCCAGTCTTGATACGGAATTATAGTATTTGAGTTTAAAAAGTATGATGGATCTGCTGCTAGGAGGCCCTCCATCACATCTGGTAGGGCGTTAGGGTTGACCCACGCGAATAACGACTCGTCATCTGATTGCTTCATGATTTCCTCCTGAAGCCGTAGAAACGCCTTCTCGCCGCCCTCGCCGTATAGCATGGGCATGTTAACAGAGAATATACCCATCAGACAATAGGCCTTATCCTCTGGTCGTGTAGTTACCCTCTGCGCAGCCCACGACATTCGTCTCGCGATGCTCGCTGAGTCCAGAGGTTCGTCACCAAGCAATATCTTGAAATCGACCCCCGTAATTTCTGCAAGCAGCAAGCATAGAAACTTCTTCTCACCAATCGGAACCCAATCGCCGGAGAAGAATATCACATCCTTAGGTGCGAGAAGCTCCTGCAGCGTCCAACCGCGAGTGAACCACTTGTTCGTAGCAAATTCGGCCTTGGCCTCTGTCGTGACAAGTTCGTTCGGTGCTTTGAGCAGGAAGGCATAGCAGATATCAGCATCGTGATACCACGCGAACATAGAATTGATGGCCTCGGACAACTCAGAACTACTGCGTTTATCAATACAGCACGAATCAATCCAGATATATTCGTAGCCATCAGCAGCAGCTTGGCCACACGCGCCTAGAATTTTAGATAGCGATGCGTGGGCTGCAGCCGTCTTGGCTGAGGTATAAGTCGCCTTATCATTCTCAATATCGTTGAAAGTTATTTCATCATTCTCCCAGGTATGCGATAGTATAGCGTATTTGAATAGCTCGTTCGGTCTCTTCTCTACTAGATTTAGAATACCGGTCTCTTTGGCTGTACGGGCTTCTAAGAAACGCATTTTATCCGGTGGCGTTTTTTATCTTTTGCTGGTACTATGTAAAAGATTTGAGTGTGGTTACAGGGTAAGTCAGTATCTCGTGTTAGCCTTACGCCCCCAACTTCTTAGGTGATAGGGAGTAATATTATGCAGGCTGTGTTTCAATTTTACCGACCGATATCCAACTCGTCGACCGATTAAGATGACATTTGGAGATTTAAGAAGTAACTAATAAGACATAAATAGAAGGATTTGTGCCACCACCACCACATGTTGTGTACCTCTTAATCTGGTTACATACTTACCTTCGAGCGTGGCGCAGTGTCTTGGCGAGAATGTGCATATAATGGCCTCCCTCCTCACCCTTATACCTACCTGCCTAGGCTTATATATACTATATTCTAGCGTATAAAGTTACTTGATTTTATATATCAATAAGCGACATTAGTCTTTTTTAAAGGAGTTATCCGGTCCTAAATACAGAGATAAACAATGGACAAAAATTCACAAATTGAGGGTGTCATCGACACGCATATTCAAGTCCCCCCTCCCGTAAGGCCAGCACCACAGCCAGACCTACCAAAAAATGAGAATGAGCAAGACCTCATACAAGTCAACACTCGGCCGCCGATCCCTGAAATAATCGTTGAAGAGTAGGTAACTAGAAATCTTCCACCATTTGAACGCTATGATCACATGGTATTTATACTAATATCCGTATAGGCCCACAAAGCCGCCAAACATGGCAGTAAGAGATGATAAACTGCCTCAAATCATCCAAGAGCGTGACCCTCCAATGGTAACACCTTTAGAGAGGCTCGATAATAAACCTAGGTGGATCGACTGTCCTGCTTGTAAACGGCGGACTATGACAAAGGTGGTGGAGGAGGGGGGTGGAATGCAAATGTATGTAGCGGCTTCATCTTGTGAATTTTATCTTGATCTTGTGCTAAGCTTTACGTCTATAGAGTAGTAGGAGCCTTATTGTGTTGCGTCTGCCCTTGTCTCGCTTGTCTGCCATGCATTGGCGGGTGGTTTGAAAATACTCGCATAGTATGCTCGACCTGCCAGGTTAATGTCGTTAATATTTCCCATGATGGTCTTGTACAAATTGTACCGATACATAGGGTAGCGCAACAGCCTTCTGTTTACTAAAACCAGCCGAGTTCTAGTACAAATTATGTAGTTTATAGCTTATGTCAGAGATACCCCTTAATGGTTGTCATATATAGAATAAATAAATGTTAGAAGCAGCAGTCTCGCTGTTGTGTAATAGCCGTATAGTAATATGAATCTATTAACCCTTAACCTTCTATTTTCTTTCGAGAGCGTGTAGCGCCCCTTATATATATATATTAATCTATACCTAATTCATACTGGCACTACTTATAACCTGACAGCTTATACTACATATGATTATATGGGTACCTAAGTAAAAAGAGTGGATCAGATATCCCGTTAAAGTGAAATATAATCTTTATCTAGGTATTTATGGCTTAACTAGTCCATTATTATACGGGGATTATGATATAGATTTTGGATAGAAATAGGATCGGTTTACATACATAGTCTGATAATATGAGCGGACGGTCTAACCTATTCCAGTGGTACCTAACAGTGTCGTTTTACTTTGGCCTGCGACCATACCCAGTAAGTAAGAGACGGATGTCTCAGTAGGACCCTAGCAAGTATATTAAATGATAGTAACTGTATGAACCAAGTCGGAAAGCTCAGGGTTTTCCAGGTCTATGGTTTCCCCATGGAATGGATCGTCCACTATTCCATTCTTGACCTTGTCTTTCGTCACTGGCGCTATAACTCTTTTAGCTATGTATCTTTTGAAAGGGGTGCTGTTATCCGCACAAAACCACCCTATTCTAACAAATAAATCTTGATTTGTAGGGCGGTAGATCCTCTTAAGGACTAGTCCTCGAATAGGAGACAAACTTTCCAAATCATGAGTATAAGTTAAGCACATGAATAAAAGTTCCTGTTTTCGTTCTTCGTGAAGTCTTAACCATTCATCTGGATCGGCGGCCATAACGGAGACATCCTCATCCCAGGTAATCCCGACTTCGATATGTATCGGCGTTAAATATCTCTCCGTTCTTAGCCGATTGGTAAGTCGAAGCTTGTGCAATATTGGTGCAGGAAACTTTGCTCCTATCTCTGATACATGAGCCAACACGGCGATCCCTTTTAGTATCAGTTCTGATGATGTAAAGCTATGTAACCTCATAGGATCATCTGAGACGACATCAATTCCTATGATCTCTGCCAACGGAGTGAATGCGTTTTTGGAGATATAACTTAGATCTGGGAAAACTGATCCGTATATATTAGCCCAAGACCATGTTGGGGCAATATAGGTTATCGTTCTAAAGCGGGTTGGCGATTCTTCACGTCCATCACCAGTATACCAACAAAGTTGTCTAATAAGATCTGTTTTCCACATGCCAGCGAGATATTCATCCGATACTATTTTTCGCATTTCGCTAGCCAACCCTGCAATCGCGATCAATCTATCAGATTGTTGAGTAAGATAACAGCCTGAGTAGGAGCGTACCAATCTATACCAGGCCCATCGAAACTCCTCATGATTTCGGACTTCTACAGTTGGCTTTTCAAGCATACCGAGCCCAGCATCTAGCAAGAGACTGTCTGTAACGCCCGTGGGGTATCGCTCAGAAGCAACAAGCTCCAGGCACTCCCAACAAACTTGATGTAGGAAGCTTAGCTGCCTTCTCGCTAGGTATCGCTCTTGAATAACCCATGCACGCGTAGTCAGTGGGGACTGTGCTATCAAACGTCGGGGAAAGGAGCATGCAAAGGCATATTCGACGGTTTGGCCGTTATTAGGAGTTAATTTCATCGAAGTATAGTCCATCGTTGATAGGTCCCTGTTAGCAAAGCAGCCGTAAGTGCCGTCAGCAGCCCATGTCGCGGCAATGTTACAATGAGCTCTGCTATATATTAACCCCATCTTAGAAGATTGGGTTTTCCAATCCTCTTCATCGTCCTGAATGATACACAGAGAGTCGATCCAAATAAATCGCAACCCTAATGACATGGTAATTTGAAATGCGTCCCGATATGTCTTGGGTAAATGTGAATCAGCCGATATTTCCAAGAAATTTGAATAATTGCGCTTGGTTAAGCATAGGTGTTTAGAAGATCCCCAGCAATGACTTAATGTTAAATATGGCACGGCGCCAACGTGCTTATTGCAAACAAGTCGCCACTTGCAGCTACTCTCATTATTGTCACGGCTTACTTCTATAAGTCTATCAGGCGTAAATACTTCATCGTCCTCTCTTTTTGCACGGCATTTGGCATGGGATTTCAAGCAGGTACGATACCAGTGTTGCCATAGTTCGATCGCCTCAGTTGTTGAGCGATATTGTATTTTATATGGAGGTTTCATTGAAACGACTCCATCGAAGCGAACCGTTAGTAAATGTTCCATGTCTTCCTTTAGTTTAATGAATATTCTATCATGATTCCCAAAGTATAGGACATCGAATCTTATCCATGGCTGCTCGATGTCATGTTTTCGAAGTCCACTCTGGAGGCGGAATTCTGCGTATGTCTTAGGCATATCGCCTTCAAGTGCTCTTCGAAAATAACCTTCAAATCCGACTCCAGTTCTAGATCCTAGAATCGAAGTCCAGAGCTTTCGACAGACGAGGCATCCCGTCAGGATTGATTTATAGAGACTTAGGGGCGTAGGATGCAAAATATTTGACTCTGGCTCTGGTCGCGGCTTATCAAATATTGTGCTGAGCACTTTGTAGGCAATTTGAAACGAACTCCGGCATGTTTCACAAAGCATTTTGAACTAAAGGGCTACGTTGCAAATTGATTCAAGCCGACCAAGTAGCTTGTGTTAGAAGGGTTAAGTTTTATATCGGTATAACAAAGAGGCTTCGAGATAACCCCGCGATATGTGTCGTGTTCGGTATAACATAGGCGGTTCCATTACGCATATATATATTGAAGGGGCCAGTTTCTTATTAGAAAAAAAAGGACAAAAGTTATAAGTGGACAGCAAGCAGTGTAAGTGGAACAGTATATGCAGATTGAACCCCATTGTATTGGGCATTGCGATTCTTAAAACCACAGTTTCACCTGAATGGTCGAAAAGGTATAGCCACGTTTGTAAGTGAAGTATCTACCAACCCAATAGGCTTGAATCCATTTAAGTGGATGGTCTATATGTTAATAAATATATTGCGTAGTATACATTGTGTAGTATACAGCGGATGCTACTCAGCCCCTTTTTTGTGACCCAAGATTATGAAATTAAGCCCAAGGCTGACCGTACCTCATAAACCCCAGTTCGTATACCTTCACACCTAAGTCCTTTCGACTAAGCTATAGATTTACCCTAATACCTTTATGAAATCAATCTAATAGTTACAACCTTGAAAGCTAGTGAGACGGTTATCATACCTTCGTGCTGAAGTATGACCGTAAGGTGCAATCGAACTAGCAGGGACTTGTAGTTTATAGGATATTGCTTATCTATTTCGCGGTTAATTCCAGTCGAGTAAAGGGGTATTGTCAGTTACTAGCAGTAGCAGGTAACCCCTTTCATATGATTCTTAGCGCGTCCCGATTATTTTAAACATTAGGTCCTGGACTCTACATATCATCATATAAACATATGCATTGCTCAATTATGCTACTCTATTCTTATAGACGACACTATCTATATCCACATTAATAGAACAGGCTTACTATTCAACAAGTTCCCATGAAATACCTCTAAATAGCAAAATTAGCTTGACTAAGCTCACCCACCGTACCTCGAATAGCCTCCCTATCCTCCTCATCAAACTCAATACCAAAATACTTCTTCATAGCATCCAGCCTTTGCTCCTCCGTCTCAAACCTCGCTATCTGTACTGTCTGCCCCTCGCGGCGCCACTTTAGCGTATCCTGGAACAATATCAACGCACCATCAATCCTACCATCAGCCACCGCCCTATTACTTATAAACGCAGATTCGTGTGCCTCGC